GTAAAAAAAATAAAAATAAGGGACACCCTAATACCCACTAATACTAACCAATTTAATATTTTCTGTGATTTTATATTTTTTTAAATAATTTCTGTTTTGTAGCAAAATAAGGTTCAATAATTGCATGTTAGGTATACCCGTATTATTGAGTTCAACGATAAAAAAACCATCATTAGTAACTTTCATTACAATTACTTAGCTGTTTGAACCTATTTGAATCGGTGAGAATAAGAACAGTACAAGTCCAAAAATTTAATTTTGACAAATCATTTTTTAAAATCAATTTTAAAGTTTATAATACATTTTTGTGAGAAGATATAAATTATTTTACAGAATTTGAACATTATATTTTATAAAATAGTTAAAATATTCCCGCAAAAACGCATTTAGAACTATACGCTAAAGAAGTATCGCTAGTAGCGCCACCACTCGGCTGTTATCATCGTAACAAAAGTAGAACTTTTATAATCAGCTGTCAAACGCTTAGGTTACAAACGAGTGTTTATGAGAATAAAGCCGGAAAATATTAAAAAATATCGAAAAAAAACCGTGGATCGATTTGTTATGTTGTATGAGTATTTCGAGAGGAAATCCTGGGTTGAGTTTTTACCGGTTTTCCAATAAACAGTGTTAATCTGAATGAAGAAAGAAATTGCATACAGTCTCTGTAAATATAAATTGTACATATTAGATACAATAAATACAAATTTTAGTAGTGATTAACGTGAAAAGTGTAAACATTTCAATTCAGTAAAAATCGTCAAACAAATAAGTCGTCTAAATTTATACAGCATTAAGCATAATTAAAAGCGTTGATTAAGAATTCTTTAAAGTCTCCACTCAACGGTAAAATAACATTATATTATGTATTATATATAAAATTATGTTGCCATGAATTCGTAGGTATATTTTGTTGTTTAAAATGCAGTTGTCGGCGATTTTTAGAGAACTTAAATATAAATTATATTAGGTAAAGTTATCATTAGTTAATTGGCAAAACATGAAAATGCAACGATTTAGTTCTTAATTTTTATTTACAATTAAAAACACAATAATTCACCATGATCCCTTTAATAAAATACACACACTAACGTAATTATATAAGCAGTTTAGCGTTGAGTTTCTTAATCAATGATATAAGGAATAATCAATAGAAATCGAAAATTAAAAAAGTTTTTTAAATCACAAATAACGTGCGCGATTTAGCTGTGCAATTGAACAAAATTTTTTGCCTTCCTCTCTTTTGTAAAAAAACTACCTATTTATTTAAAAATGATGTATAATCGGTGCTTTAAATTTATTGTTGACAATTCCTAAATTCACGCAATGCATTCGAAGTCCACCAGATGGCGCGCGTGTTGCGAAAACCCGATACTTCTTTAGCGTATAAAACTGATTTTTTTAAATAAACTGCTCGTCATAAAAATCGACGCACCTAGTTTTTTGGAGAATAATGTATAATGCTATGTGCACAATATCGTATTCTCAAAATTAGACGTAGGTCAAAGAATCCACTATTGCTCATTTTTTGGACTAAACTGGGAAATAACGACAATTTTCGATAAATTGGCATATAATATCGTAGTAAGCCGCGATATTCACAAAATCTCGAAAACGTTTCGAGGGATTACCTTATTAATATTAGGGAGGGGTATTACGACTATCAAACTCAACTGCCTCATGAATCGGAATAACTTGATATTTCCGAAAAAATACATCTCTTCGTTTAACACCCTGTAGTATAATGCTATGTGCAAAATATCGTATTCCCAAAATTAGACATAAAAGTCAAAGAATCAGCTATTCAGAATTTCCAAAGATTTTCAAAATCGATTCAGTAATTTTCCAATAACGAGCTTTCAAATATTTTCCAAAAAACTAGGTGCGTCGATTTTTATGACGAGCAGTTTATTTTGTCAAAATTTTAACTTTTGGACTGTTCTTAATCTCATTCATTTGGATGGTCCGACTTTATGGTCTTTTGTTATTTAAAGTATATTATTAAAAATAAACATTAAGAAACATTGCAGGGTTAAATTCTTAAATACTTAGATAATTATTCATAAAAGTTGGCGAATATCTTCTGTAAAATCAATGCAATTAAATATTTGGATTGAAGACAATTTGTTAATATTTTTTTTTCAAGGGTATAACAATTTTTAACTTTTACACTCATAAGCCTATATAGAAAGACTTCATATTTGTTCGCAGTTCAAAAGTCAAATTAATATATACCGCCGTAGTATACATAACAATAATGAAAATACATTGAAATTACATAGGAAGAGTAGTTCCATCTATCGCGTTTAGCTCGAAATCAGTTAAGAAAATGTAAACTTACAGGTCACTGTATACAGTGAAGGTATACATGTACATTACTACGCTAAATAAGCGCTTTTTCGTACTATTAGGTACCTAATGTACTATTTTACAATATTCCGATATTTCTCGAATGTCATATTTTAACAGTTGTACTCCTAGATAATTAAATAAAACGTGTAATTAAAAGAAACATATTGTGACTTATACCCAATGTAGCTCGAGTAAAGGCATAGATAACAAACGGTGTATTTAAGCGTAAAACTGTCTAAATGATACACGAATGGACGATACTCCATAACTAATTTGAAGCCTTTCAATTACAAAACCTATTAAGTTAGGGTAGGTATCGGCGTAGGAATGGAACAATACTAATCAGCTATATCTGATTATATTGGTTTCAAGTACGCACGATGTTAAGGGTAGCTAATCAATTGTTAAAAATACATTTGATATGAAATAAATTGAAGATATATATCTAGCTATCTATACATTTAAATAATAGCATATTCGTGACTATGATGTTAAAATGCAATTTCACAGTCAAAGTAGTATTTTAAAACAAGTAAATGCATTATTTACTAAATAGCATCAATACTGAAATCCATAAAATACACTGTAGGTAAATTTCAAATTTTTGAAAAGACACATAAAAACGCCGGCACACTGTGTGCCGCACACGTAAACCTAATTTTTAGTAGTAGAGTTGAGTAGTGTAATCAGCTTTTCAAAGTTAGCTCGTTTTCTTAAGATATTTAATATTTACGTTTATAACTTTTTTTTAGAAACACCAAAAAGACACAAAAAACGCCGGGACATATAAAACTGAATTTTTGTGTGTAGAATTCAGTGGTGCAATCCGTTTTTTAAAGTTCGTAAATATTTAAGTTTTTTGTTTCACCATTTTGCTATAATTTTAAAGAAGAAGATACCATAACCCGTTTTAAAGTGTCTTTATTTATTTTTAATTCATAAATTTTTAATAACTTTCGTGTTTAAGACGATATTATTAATATTTTTTTTAATTTTATTAGAGTTTTCGCATATTTCTTTTTTTTTGTAATTAAATTTGTTTTAGTAAATTTTATTGTCTGGTATTAGTAGGAAATATTCGAATTGAATAAAATTTGGGAGTTTCATTTACTATGCTATTATTTATAATAAAATTTTTACTTTAGTGAATAAACTAAGAAGTACAGCCTGTATAAATGTTGTTTTTAGTTTTTACAATTCGAATTGAAAGAATTCTGTGTTACAAAGTTTTTGTGTGAGTATAAATATGTACATAGCTTAAACATTTTGCATGCTCATTTTGATTTTTATGAAAAAGAACCGAATCCGATAAAGCTGGTGAACGATTTCATTAAACCATTATGTCATTTGAAGATCGGGTTTCTGGCAAAAAATTCGACTCGATGCTTGCTGATTTTTGTTGGTCAATCCTCAAAGAGGCATACAACATTTTTTACATTTTTTTTACATATATCCCATATATGGGATTTTTTTATTTTGCTTATTAATTCTTAGTTACATAATAAATAAATAGATTATCACAAAAATCTGAAAATCACTTCTAAAAAAGCATCGTGATTTTGTCATATCCTTTAAAACAAAAATTAAATTAATTTAATAAGGAAAAAAATACAAATTTACGATTTAGTGTTATTTAAATATGTACTTAATATATAAATATATTGGTCGTTAAAAATTAAAGTTTTTGCGACGCCCCCTAAAAAGCTTTGTTTTGATGAAAAAACACTGGGAATTTTTTTAAATTAAAAACAACACATGCCTCAAGACGATCTAAGTTAATTTTTTGGTATAAACATGTCTTTTCTGAAAATATGGAATAATAATTATTTGAGATTTAAAAATTATTAACAATGAAATAACTTCACCTTGGAGTGAAGAAATCTAGATATTAAAATTACGTTTGTACTAATTTAGTTTTAAAATAAAAATATCAATTTGAATATCTTTAATTTTTTTATTTAATAGACCATATCAACTGGGAAAAATTTTGAATTTAAATTTTTGTCTATTGTTATTTCGATTAAATATTGTTTTTTTATTGATTTGGATTCTATAATTGTTTATATTTCGAATAAAATTTTATTTTTCATAAAAAAACCCAAAAAAACATTATTATACCAAAAAATTAACTTAAAAAATTCCCAGTATTTTTTCATCAAAAAGAAGTTTTTTAGGGGGCGTCGCAAAAAATTTAATTTTTAACGACCACCCTAAAATATATATTATAACTATACCGCGGAACTTTTCCAGCGATGACGTCAAAATTTTACAAAAATCAGAGTTAAAAAAGTAAACACATGTGCAAAAAATAACTATAATATCACAATATAATCATTTTTATGTAATCGCTGGAAAACTTCCGCTCTATAATTATAACATCAATATAATATCTATAAGTGTTTCCTACCGGGCCAATTTTCCGAAAGCTAAACATTTACCTTTTTTATTAATTTATTCTAACCCCATGAAATAAAACTAAAAATTTTGTAAAAATATTTACCAACGCGTTGAGGAAAATCCCATCCCAACTACCACGACAACCAATTAATCGATCCCAGCAAAATATGTAAAAAACATAGTGTGCCCCGCGTACTTAAAAAGTTTGTATCGATTCGTAACCTAGCAATCATTTATAACAGGTGACTCACGCCAGCCCACAGTAGGGTAGTGCACCTAACATGTAGCGTACAACCTTCGTTCGAGTGCGATGTCATTTTTTCGAATCCTGTGCATTCAGATGTAAAACGGAAGCAACACAGGAAAAACACATTTTAATGTATAGAAATATAAATAAATAATCCAGTGAGAGAATATAATCGCAGCAAAATGTTGCCACACATCATAATACCACTACTAACAGTGCTATCTCAAACAGTATCTCAAGAAATATACAGTGACCCCAGCGATGTGAACATGGCCTTAATCTTGAACAAGTGCAATAGTGCGACTCCATATAGCACCCACAGTGTTGTAAACTCAGCTATATGGACCACCCAACGTATAAACTTCCTTGAAATCACATCCCCTTTAAAGTTCGGCCTTACAGTCATCCAAACTTGCTCACAAAAAGAAAATATGAACACTATATTCAACCTATACAACTCAAGTGATGAACATTACCTAGTCGGTGTTATAAGTGAAGAACGTTTCGATGACAAAACTTCTCGCTTCAGCGATATTCTCGATATACAACGGAAGGTTATCCCCAAAATATACAAGGCAATCATCAAAAGCACTGTCGAATTCATGTCGATGATGAATTGGTTCGAAAACGTAACCGTAACAGTGACTTCAGAAAGGTTTTTAAGTGAGTTTTACACCTACGCGACAAGAAAATTTATCTGCATCAACAGTTACTTAATATGGAGGTAAGTCACTACAGCAATAAGTCTAAACACTTCATACTTTTGCTACATTCTAGAAACACCCCAAGCTTCAATAACATATCTTCAGACACCGTCATTTTCTTTGGAAACAAAGATGATATAGACCTAATGCTCACCAAGTATGAAGATAGAATATTCTATAATAATCTTTTAATAATTCCATTAGACTCTTCTGTACCTAAAGGTAATAAATATTTCAAGGGAATTACGCAATCACAGCATACTAGATAATGAAGTGCTCTGATTGGTTAATTTCTTCTTTCTATAAAAGTTACAAATTTCAAGATACACTTAAAGCATTTATAGGACATTTTGTTTTTAGATTTACCCCAGGATACATATGTTATGATACCAAATCATGGCCCAATCTCAAAATACTACAAAAAATCAGCAAACATAGTCCTAACCCCTCAATTATTTGATATAGCTACTCCAATGCTCAACTTTGCTCACACAATTGGAAAATACATAAAAACAAACTGTAATGAAACGGTATATAAAATAAACTGCTTAAGAAGTACGTACCACGATATTTTTCCGAGAAGAATTATATCACCTCGAGAAGTTATGGAGATACTTAAAATTCAACCTTTGACAGAACACTTTGTATACAACATATATCTAGCAGATGATGTAAATAATAGTGTAACGTTAAAGAAAAATAACTATATACACCCCTACACTAAAGTATTTACTTATAATGTTCTTACTGATAAATGGTTGGTACACAATGTTTCTGTCATATTAGAAAACATAGAAAGTCATAATGAAACTGAAGAATTCTGCAAAGAAAATGTGGATTATTGCATAAAAAACTGCAAGAACTATCACCAGAATATTCTGGATAATAGGGAAATATTTGGAGAATCAATATTTGACAATATTTATATCAGAACTGATTCGTGGGTGTATACATTCCTATCATTATCAGCTCTAGGGATCTTATTTTGCATCGCCATACTGTTTTTTATATTTATTAGTATATGTAGACGTGATATTTTGGAAGGAAATCCCTCTTTAACCATATTTTTATTAGTCACAGTAATGTTAATGTTCCTTTCAATTTTACCATTCTGTATCAATGTAACCTCAATTCACGCTAGAGACACACTATGTCACCTTAAAGCCATGGCGGTTACAGTTACATATGCCCTGGCTTTTTCATTGATATTATCCAGAAGTATACTTTTAGCTTCAGCTTCAAAAGAGTTGGGTTTTATGTCCCACATATCAGGTTCTGTGCAATCTTTTCTATCCCTTTTTATATTCGGTGTACAAGCCGCTTTATGTCTGCAAATTATGGGAAGATGCGATGAGATTTTCCGTGGTTATTCCTTCATATTTTTAATATCATACAATGTAATGCTTCTCTTACTTCTCCTATGCCTATGCCCCTTAATTTACAAATGTCAAAGAAATTTCCGAGAAGGAAAATACTTCGTAATCGCAATATGTCTAACAACAGTTTTTTGGTGCCTTTGGATACCAGCATACGCTTGCTTTAAGCATCAATGGAAAGAGCCTATATTATGTTTTGGATTGGTTTCTACAGCTAGTATACTATTGGGAAGCATTTTCGTACCCAGAACATACCAGATGACCATAGCAGTGGCTAGAGATCGGATTACCAGCAGATTACCATCATTGGCCACAGCCACAAGTACGATGGATATTTATAGAGCTAATACACAGGTATGTGGTGATATTTTGTAAACAATATATAGGATTATTGAAAAATAAATGTATCATTGGCACACTATGTAAATTTAATCAAAAGTGATATTAATCTGTTAAGGTATTGTGATTTAAAGTTTGATACCTTTATCTTATAAATCTGTATATAATTAATTTAATAATTGATTTTGATGAAACGAAAGCCTGCATCTATTATTCATGAGAGTTCCTTCTAGAGTCGCTAGACGGGAGACGCAAATCCATTTCAATTAAATAGTAGATAATTACATGATTTTTAAATATACTTGAATAAAATCGGATCAGATGGTTAATCATACTCTTTACCAATATTTAAATATCATTATAGTTACTTGAAAAAGGACAAAGCACAAAGTGCCCTAAGTAACTGTTACACTTCGCTTTTAAAGATGCCAACATCGTTGGCGAAAAGTTCTTTAAGCACTTTGTGTATTGTTTTGATGTTGGGAAATATTTCTAATATTTGTTTATCATCATAGTTGCCTTCTCCCAATTTAACATCCGATTGGTCCAAATCACCGTGTATAATGATTCCTGTTGTTATTTATTATAATTGTTACCATTATATACGGAAAAACACCCAATATTATGCAATATGAGTAGATAATAGAATTTTATGTATCAAGTTTGATCAACGAAAGTTATCCCTTAAAAATGGACCGTTAAATCCGATATATAAGCAGTTTTTCACAGTAAAAGTAAAGAAAATGTTTTATTGGCACTCAAAGGTGGATTCTTCACCCGAAATTTAGTTAAATCTAGTTTACGACCGCAAAATTAATATTCATAAAAAAAATTCAAATATTGGCGTTAGAAACCATTTTAATAATTTTGTATTTTTGTATTGAGATAATAAAATAATTTTTACATTTAGTATTATTTTACAAGGGCACTTTATTTTAACGATTGTATGACATTTTACAACTGTCAACTAACTTAAAACTAACTTCAGCCCGCGACTAAAAGGCCATGAAGCCACAACTTGTCAATGTGTATTTAAATGATACTTAGTGTTATGGAAACCTGTACGAAAATGGGCGTTTTAAAGGTGGTAGTAGAAAAATTTGACATTTTACCTGACATCTGTCAAACGGGTTTTAACCCCATTCTGACATCTAACCTTACTTTTTTTATATAATGCACTAGTGCAAAAAGTAATGTATTAAAAGTAGGAGTAGATAAAGTTTTGAACTAAATTATGCTATTTCAAACACATTATATATTTTTTGTTTTTAGCCTGTTTATGACTGCGTGAACGTGGCCGCTATAAATGCAGCAAACGTCGCCAGGGCCGGAATGGTTGGTACAGGCATCCAGCAGCCAGATCTGTACAGTTGCCCGGCTCTTCCGGCCGACGATGACATCGACTTCCGATGTGACAGTCCGCTAAGTAGCGACAAAGTTACCAGATTTTAATAAAAATATTTATTGTGTGTGGATAATTAGGTCAAAGGCGATAAAAATGAAAGTTGTGTTTGAATGTATAAAGGTAGAGTGGATTTTTGCTCGATAATAAATAGGATTTGTTTCATTATGATATCTTTTTTTAAAAATCAATACTGATTGGTACGTAAGTATCTATTAATTTATTTCAAAGAAATTAAGGCCATGTAAATAATATAATAAAAAATAAATTATATAATACCTAGATTTTAGATCCATGCTAAATTTTATAGGTAACTATAATTATTTATACAACAAATATTCTTAATATTGCTCACAAAAAGTTGTATTATTTTAGTAGTATTTACTATTAAAGCATTATTATTATAGGTAGGTACTTACATACAAATAATAATAAAGTTTAGTATTTCAAAAGATATTGTACTTTTATTTTACATTTTTTATGTTGTCTCGTGGGACCATTATCACATGTTATAACAACTATAACGAAATCCATAAAATAATTTTTAAGATTCCTTTGTTTTGAAATTTATTTTTTACTAGAAACTCTCTAATATCTTACAAAAAAAACACTAAATAATAAAAGCATAATTTTTATTTAAATTAATTTTATTGTTATTTAGCGATGTGTAAAAATTAAAGCCAAATATTTTTCACAGAAAATAATATAAATACATAAAACCCTTCTAAAAGCCCGTAAGTATCAGGAGAGCATGAAGTCGCAGTGGTTTTGACATAAATGGCATTGTCATTTATTTTGCTGTAATACCAGAATACACAAAAACCGGTATGCTGATGCGCATGTTATAGCTATCTCTCTCGCACCGTGTGACGTCATGGAATGTTATTTGCACTGCAAATTCACGTTATATTCGAAAATTTATGAATATAGGCCTGGCTAAAATTATTAAATGTAACAAATGTTAAGAGAAAGTTATATTGGCAGCAAGCGCTTTTAATACTAATGTAACATATTTTAAGCAATAATTAATTTCCTACCTTCCTATTTTTATTTTTCAAAATATATTTTTTTTAATTGAATTATCTTAACTAACGCTAGACCGAATTTTACAATTTTTTAATTTAAAAGGTAACAAAATAATAACGCACGCTTGCTTTAAAGTGTCTTAAGTAAAAAATATCTCAAAACTGTTTTTTTTTACTTGTAAAGCGGTTTTCCGATACAATTGTGTTTTAATTTTTATTATTAGTAAGAACTTAGGCAACCTGTAAAAAAATATGTGGTTATAACCCTATAGGGTGAAAAGTTACTATAAGTAACAGAAAATTGTGTATACCAAAAATTGCCTTCACTTACCGTTTTTTATTTTCATTTTATCCATTCTCTTGCATTCATTCATCCACTGTGCTGCCAAACCTTTATTTTTTGGAAATTAAAATATTTAATGTTAGGTTAGGTTGGGTGTTGGAGTTTCTGTTCCGGCATATTTTAAATAGATATTAAGTCCAACAAATATAACACAAACTTAATAAATAACCTGGTATAAAACACCCGTGCGTGGCTTATAAATACCTTGAAAGTAGTTATGCTGTTCAATAAATGCAGTAAAAACTTTACGAAAAACGTTGCAAAACCATCGTGCGTGGCTTATACTTTAAAAACACAATAATTTCAGAAAAACCTCAAAAGAAATCGTAGAAAAACACCCCTTCATAGCGTATGCCTATGCAAAACTGTTTGTAACTGTTTGTAACTTACAATGTAACATTTAAATCTGGTTCGCACGTGACGTAACATGTGCGGAGTCGAAAAATGTTTTCATTTCATAACCAACATACTTGTTTTTGTGTATTGTGTGTAATACTACCGCGGGATAGTTTTTAAACGGTTTTAAGGATCAGGAAGGCAAGAAGTCGCATATATTATATCATTTATCGAAGTGGGTGTGCAGAAGTAAGAGAGAGGTGAAAATAAATGAATTAAAAATGGCGGACGCTGTAAAATGCATTGCCTATTTTTCTTGAAATAAAAGTGTATGACGGGTATAAAACAAAAAGGTAAGTGAAAATTAAAAAAATTTAATTTCCAAAATTTTTGAAATTTACAAATTATTAAAATTTTCAAGATTTACAAAAATCTTTGATTTTACAAATTTTTCGAAACTTTTCTTGAACTGGTCAGTAACTAGTTAGTAACTTAGTCTAGTCGGTTACTAGTCAGTAATTAGTAACTACTTAGTAACTAGTCAAATTAAAAGTTTTTATTGTAGTAAAAAGCAAATTTTTCCTGGGTAATTTTTATGGCCAAATTTTGTTTTATAGCAATACATATAAATAGAAAGAAAACACAAATGAAATTGCACTGTACCGAAAATGGCGTCAATAGAAAATGGTTAAAATTATTATATTTTTCATGGTCTTTAAAAATAACAAAAATAAAATTTTGTGTCAAATGGTTAAAATCATTATATTTATCATGGTCTTTAAAAATAACAAAAATAAAATTGTTTGTCAAATTTTCTTTATTTTTATTTGTATTTTTATCATTATTTTAGCTGCTACCATTTTTGCTTGTGGTCATTTAGCTGGACTTCATTTTAGCTTGTCACCATTTTAGCATGTCATCATTTTAGCTCGTGGTCTTAGCTGGTCATCAAAATAGTTGGTCATTTAAGCTGGTCAATATTTTTTTCAGCTTGTCCACATCGTGGCTTATTGTTTGCTGTTCTTACTTATTTGTATAGTATGTCACCATTAAAACCTGTTGTCATTCTAGTTTGTCGTCATTTTATTGTTTAATTTTTTTATAATGCAACTAAAATACGAAAATCTTCAGTAAAATTTATAATCACTTAAAAACAAATTCACGTATTTCTTCGTCGTCCTTGTTGTGCCTGCGTGTCTCAGATAACGAGTTCACCGCATTGGGTCCTCAGTGAAGCTGCAAATTTCTCATTGAAACTCACTTAAAGTCCGCAATTTATTTCCGATAATAAAATTTTAGCTTGCGACAGCTGCTGCACCATGTAAAGGACAACCGTTCAGTTACAGTCCTTCAACAGTGCCACAAACATGCAAAATATTGAATCCTTTAGATCCTGCTCAAAGGATAATAACGTTATTGTGTTTTTTATTGTTTATATTTCGTTTTTTCTGGATAATGTATTACTTACTGTAGTTGGTAAGTACAACTCTAATGTCATTAATATTACAACGAAATAGGGAGCACTTAATTAAACAGACATAACTTTTTAACAAAACTGGATATTTACTTAGAATTTGTGAAATTCAAGAAAAAAATAAATATACACACAATAACAAAAATAAATTTTGAACTTTGTTTTAAGAAAATTTAACAAGAAATTTAATTTTATAATAGGTAGGTACGTCCTCGCCGAGCTCTTAAAACCTTAGCACATCTTCTAGTCATCGATTCTATTAGCTGGTCTATTACATTTTGAGGAATGCTCTCACATTCTTCTTGTACCATTATAACAAGCTCTTGAATTTTTTATTTGGTTTTTGGCAATTATGCAAACGCCCTTTCATAATGATCCATGTTCAGTTGGGTTTAAATCTGGACAATCGGCTGGCCACTCCATAACACTTAAATTTTGTTCTTCAATAAAATGTAAAACTATTCGCGCAACATGCGGACTAGCATTGCTTGCTGTGGTGCAAAATTTTGACCTACTTGATTTGCAAAAGGTAGCACAATAGGTCGTAAAATGTAATCTCCTAGCATTTAAAGTTGCATTAAAAATTGTGTGCAAGGCAATACATCCATTTAAACTTACACCACCCCAAACCATTATCGAACCACCTTCAGAAGCTCGCACTTCTGTAACCGTGGAGTCCAGAAAACGTTTTCCTTGCCATCGTGCCAATTTAGTCAAAATCAAGACTCGTACGTTACCCCATTGCTCTTTATTCGCATCTTCTTGTGTGAAATTTCTCCTAGCTCTACGATGTCTTGGAGTCAAATAAGGCCCAACAGCAGCACTCATTGAATGTATACTTGCTTCGTGAAGCCCATTTCGTAAAGTCTGGGTGGATATGCGCCTACCAGTTGCTTCAAAATGGACATATCGCAGTTGATAAGCAGTTCTGGTTCTCCTTTTAAGGGCCAAACGCACGATATACGGCGATCTTCTCTGGCGGTTGTCAATAGGGCCTTCTGAAAATCATACCAACTTTTTGGTCATGGTCCCAAGCGCAATGAATGATTGAGTATTTGTGCCACACATCTTTACGAACGCCCTTCTTGTAAAGGAGTAATTGTTCTAGCCATTTCAGCTTGGTTAAGATGTCTTCTCTGGCTTCCATTTCTTCCAAGAATATCTTTATTATTCTTCATTTTAAATACAATTTTATGAATTGCGAACAAAATGATTAATTCTTGGTAGGTATTTAAAACAATTTAATTCTTTTGTTACCACCTGAAAAAAATTATAAAGATTATAAAAAAAAGCGTTAAATGGCTTAACTTAATTTTTTTGTTAACATTTCAAAAATAAAATAAAAAATATATATAAATATTATATTTAATGTAGAGAGGAAAGTAACAGAAAACATACAGTATGTTGAATGCTGCAAAAGTCTCGAAAAGAGCAGAAAACAAAGATAAGAAAACCAAAAAAGGTAGAATAATTATTAAAAAAATTAAATAACTTTATTTTAAATAAATAAATAATAAAAACAAAACTTTTATGTTTTTTTTCTACAGGCAGAAGTGTAAACGAAAAACAAAAATCATTAATTTTTCAATGTCACGTTAAAAGATGCATTAATTAAAGACCTTTATAGGAGATGCATTTAATTAACGCATATCATATAACATAACAATAAGAAATTGAAGATTTTTTTTCTCGTATGCAGTATCCTGTAGAATTGGCATTGGCATTGGCAACGTTTACAACACAATTTAGCAACAATAAACGATAATATCTTGCGTGGTTTTAGCAACTTAAATAATTTTTTTATTTGGAAACCAGACGGTCAATCTTTCTACACGGTGTGCCTGAACGAAGTTTAAGTCACATAAAAATGCCGCCAAAAACTGATTGCAGTTTCTTGTTCGGGACCCTTTGGTGACTTAAAAATGCTATTTACGAAAATCCTAGCTGCTCCTCTTTTTTGAAAATTCATGATTTTTTTTTTTAATTTTTGTTTATTTTAAAGTCTACCTTTGACAGAGTACACATTTGTATACACCGATTTTTATAATATTGGTGTTTTGGAGAATACTTTTTTATACTGTGCACTTCATTTAATATATACAGGGTTAACCAAAAATCGCTTCTTTTAATAAAGCAAAAGCGTAATTTTGGCAAAACACGCAAAAAAGATATATACCCACCCCTTTAGATATTTTTATGTTTATCAGGCTACAAAATGGGATTCTTATAAAGACTTTATAAGAAAAATTGATTTTGAATAAAATTAAATAAAATAACATTTTTTGGAGATAAATCTTTTTTGTGCATTATGTTTTTTACTACATAAAAAAGTGATTTTTGGCTAACCCTGTATAAATCTAATGATGTGCTCAGTATAAAAACAGTATTCTCCAAGTCTCGTTAACAATATACTCCAATATTATAAAAATCGGTGTACAAATGTGTACTCTGTTAAAGGTAAGATAAACAAAAATTAAAAAAAATAACAATTTTCAAAAAATTTCGAAAAGAGTAGAAGCTAGGATTTTGGTAAATATCATTTTAAAGTTACCAAGGTACGAACAAGAAACTGTAATCAATAAAAATCGGTGTACAAATGTGTACTCTGGCAAAGGTAGACTGCGATAAACAAATAATTAAAAAAAAAAGATTTTTTAACAAATTTAAAAAAAGCAGTTAGAATTTTGGTAAATATCGTTTTTAAATCTCCAAAGAGTGCCAATCAAAAAACTTTTTGTTCAAAATTGAAAACTACTAAAAAGCCTAAATTAAAAAACACTTTAAATATTCTCTAAGCGTTATTTTATTTAATTTTATTAAAAATCTATTTTTTTATAAAAGGTTAATAAGAATGCCATTTTGTAACCTGATTAAAGTAAAAATACCTAAAAAAAGGGGATAAATCTTTTTTGCGTGTTTTGCCAAAATCATGAATTTACGCTTTTGCTTTATTAAAAATAAGCGATTTTTGGCTCACCCTGTATATATCAAATGATGTGAATAGTATTAAAAAGTATTTTTTAAGTCTCCTCAATAATATACTCTAATCGGAGTACAAATGTGTACTCTGTCAAAGGTAGACTTTGAAATAAACAAAAATTAAAAAAGTATCATGAATTTTCAAAAAATTTCGAAAAGAGGAGCAGCTAGGATTTTGGTAAATATCATTTTTAAGTCACCAAAGGGTCCCGAACAAGAAACTGCAATCAGTTTTTTGCGGCATTTTTATGTGACTTAAACTTCGTTCAGGCATACATACATATATGTGTTATGTTGAAAACCAATCGTAAAAGGTTTTGTTAAAAGTTCTTAACCTTTTTTTGTGTGCCTGTGTATTAGATTCAATATGTTCTTGGTATTTTCCCTGTATAATTAATAGTTTTTGGTAAAAATACCATAAAATTTACATCACTAAAAAACTTTAAATAATTTTTAACATTTTTCCCATGTTAGTACCGATCATCCCCGACTATCTCTTTTCAAACGTTCTGAACGTCACCCTAAACGATGAGAACAAACCCTTTGGTCCTGCATCTTTGAGCCCCCTACAAAGGAAATACCAAACCCTAGAAAAGGATAACGGACCTCTAGGAGCCTTACTAGCCTCCAAAGCCTTCGTACAACTAGCCTTTACACCTGCGATAGGTTATTTGATTGGAATTTCCGGATGCAACCTCCCATTGTTGCTGGGATCCTGTAACATGCTTTTAGCAGCTATACGTAAGAAAAAATTTACTTTTAAATATGATTTTAATACAACTTTACGTAAAACTATTACACTTATAAAATGGCGCACTAACTTTATGCCATAGGGGTTGAAAAAATGTTTAAGTTATTAAATTTTAATTTTGTTACTTTATTGTTTTGAGATTATTTATATAAAGTTTATATTATAAACTGAAAAAATTTCAAAAATAAAAGTTAAAATTTATTTATACGCTAAAGAAGCATCTGGTGGCGCTCGATAGCATTATTGGACTACAAGGTTTGACAACAATACATTTAAAGCATACGAAGTGCACATCATTTTGAAATAAATAGGTAGTTTTTTACAAAAGACAAATTTTATTCGCAAAGTTGTAATTATACAGCTTAACTGCGCACGTTATTTATGTTTCGCGTTGCAAGTAAAAACTGAAAAACTTTGCTTGATTTAGTACTTTATTTCGATTTATTATTTCTTATATGCTTATATAGTTACGTTTGTCTATATTTTATCCAAGTAATCATAGTGAATTATTGTATTTTTATTTGTAAATGTAATTCAAGAAGTAATCGAAGGTTGCATTATCATATTTTGACAACTGCATTTTGAAATAGTAAAATAAAAATATATCTACGAATCCTGGCAACATAATTACCGTTGGGTGAAGACTTTCTCAATCAAAGCTTTTAATAATTCATAATACTATTTACAATTATCACGTAAATCATTACTAAAATGTGTATTTATTGTATTTATTTATAGTACAATTTATATTAATAGGGACTGTACTCAAAGATAATACACCCCATAGATTGGAAACTGCACTAGCGCTAGCGGCAAAAGGCTAAAGTAAATTAACGCCATCTAGGTCTACAATACCCTTAGCAATACCAAAAATTGAAGTAGATTTCTATAACATATATTGGCGCCATATTTGAATGTTGATGCTTCATAGGGTGCCTTTATATATTGTACTAGTATTTACTGCTGTATTTTAAATAAATAAAATACATACATCCATATGTACATATTAAATACATAATCGGTATACATGAATATGTTTTTGTTTGTGGAGTGCAAACCTAAAAAATATTAGTCTTAATTCTTCAATAATAAGAGAATATTGCAAAATTTGGTAATTTAGTCCAGGCTACTTATACATATACATATAGGAATTTGTACAAGGCTTTTGAGTTTGGACTTTTGGCAAGTTCTAACCAACCGTTAAAAATCCATCTTGCCAACTATTGGTTTTGAAACAACCATAAGTAGCCTGGGCTTGGCCTGGACTTAATTACCATTAAACAAGCAATCCTAAATAATTCATAATTAACAAACAGTATTTTTACGCTAGAGCGATACTGCCTTGCTTAGCCAAAAAGATCAACTCCACATTTTTACTTTACAAATTATAGCGCTTTATTGTTTTTTTCTAAGATACGTTCAATTTAATTAGAAATTAGGAGCTATAGTACTTAAAAATGTATGTATGTATAGTATAGTTAAAATGCGTCTTTTTCTAAGAGAATAATTTAATAATAACGAGATGAGTCTTTTTGGCTTAGGACGGCAGGATAGTCAATACTTACAAATTGGTTACATTTCCGCGCCCAACAACAATACCTTTCACAACCATTAACATGTTTTATCACTTTTAAGGCGCAAAAATGTATTTAATAATTCAGAAATTATGATCGACATCAATAATTATGATTGACATTTGCAAATAGCGTTTGTACAGATGTCTGCAATTTACAAATAGATATAGTTCAGGTATTGTAGCTCTAGAGGGCAGTGATGGGAGAGTTTTCAATCTATGGGGTGTATTATCTTTGACTGTACTCTCTAAAAATGAATTAGTCAAAAATGACTAATTTAATAGTTATTAGTGGCTGCTTTTTCACTTGTACCATGGTATCCCAAAATTTAACAGTCCATTCTTATGTAACATTGTCCCCTGAATCCGAAAATGTCATCAAAACTAGTAGAACAGTTTTTGAGATATAGTCAATTTTCCATTTAATATGGAATTGACTATATCTCAAAAACTGATCCACTTTCATAATTTTCGATGGTATTTTCGGATTCAGGGGACAATTTTACATAAGAATTGGATGTTGAATTTTGGGATACCATGGTATTCCATGATTAACCATGGTACAAGTGAAAAAGCAATAAATAAATAAGTATGCAATTTATTTTTTCTTTCGGATTTCCACTTTTTATGGGAAACCGATAAAAACTTAACCCCGGATTTTCTCTTGAAAAACACCCAACAAAACAAAATATCGTTTCACGGTTTTTTTCTTCATATTTTAAACATTTTCCGGCCTTATCCTCAAAAACGTGTGTAATACGCGTAAGTACTTTTGTTACTATGATGACGGCCACGTGGTGGCACCACTAGCGATGCTTCTTTAGCGTATAAAAACAAAGTAATGATGATTTAAACTTAACATTTTTTTACACAACTGTCAAAAAATACATCTGTCAACCATATTTCACTTCGCAGTAAATGTGTTGTTTAATTTGATCCATAGCAACCGTTCTAAGATATGTGATAAAACGGGAAATATACAAAATTTCCAACGCAACAACTAGGTACTTGTCGGAAAAAATTGTAATTTTGTTATACTTAAAATATTTCTCCATTCAGCGTGTCACAACGTTAGTGCGCCATTTTCGGAATAGATACCTTGCTGGTGGCAGAAATGCTTAAGTTATTTGCTCGTGTGGCAGAAGTTGGAAATAGTGAAGTTTGGATTATAAAAGTCACTAATGACAACTTGACTACCATGCCATTATTGCTGCATTATTAATTAGTAGACAATTAAACATGACAAAAAGAAAGTTTTTCTAAACCATTAGCTTGCGTTTAGCATTTTCTTTTAACTTTTTAGCTTATTTCATTTTAACTTTCTTTAAATTTAGCTTGTCATTTTTTAGTATATTTTCATTTTAGCTTATCGTTATTTTATTCACTAGTCCTTTCATCTTGTTCTAGGTTGTTTTTATTTTAGCTTGTCTTTTTATTGGCTTTTGATCATTTTAGCTTATAATCATCAGGATAAATTAACATTATATATAAATTTAAAACTTGGAGCTTCTTAAATTGTATTATCCATTTATTTTTTAGTTTTTGCATATGGCAACTCTTATGGTATCCTAGTCCTAGCTAGAGCACTACATGGTAGCTCTTCAGCTGCTATAGCAGTAAGTGGCATGTGCATATTAGCAAAATATGTACCAAAAGAGTCCAGACACAGATTTATGCCACTGGCATTTGGTGGCATAGCCTTGGGGGTTCTAATAGGCTATCCTCTTGGTGGAGCGGCATATGAATTATTGGGAAAAAGCGCCCCTTTTTTGATGATTTCGTTTTTAATCAGCATCAGTATAAGTATTAGTATAAACAACAATTTTTACAATGTAGTATAGTTTTGTGTGTTACAGTCCTCCAAATATTACTCTTAGAAGAAAACGATATTGAAGAAAACAAAATCATAGAAAACACCTATTCCCAATGGCTAAACTTAATAAGGGATAAACAAACTTTAATCATAGCTGCTGCCATTTGCATTTGTACATCTTCAATGGCCATACTGGAACCTTGTGTGCCAATTTGGCTGTTGGGACATTTAAACCCTCCACCCTCCAAATGGCAGTTGGGGGCTGTTTTTATACCTGATAGTATTGGGTACTTCATTGGATCACATTTTGCAGGTAATTCTACAATTTAAAACTGATTATTTCCCTCATTATAATATGAACCAAGCAACAGCCTTGAATTTTCGAATAAATTTCGTTTAAATAAGCGATTAAATCACTAGAACTATTTAACAGCGATTAAATTTTAGCCTCCATATTGGATTTTTGTTTACGATTTTATGGTGTTATTTACAAGTTTTAACAAACATTTTTTAAAAAACAATAAAAAATAAGTTATCTAGTTTACGAAATATCAATTAAAACTTATTACATACCTTAAATTAATGGAATTTTCTTTAAAAAAATATTTATAAATTTTGACACATACGTCAGATTTTATAAATTGTCAAATAATCTAGACGTATATCACAACCTATAAATTTAATCTCTCAAACTATGCTCAGTAAGTTTTTTATTTGATTTTTCTTTTTGGAAAATAGTTTCATGCAAAATAATTAAAAATAAAACCCCTCGACACGCGGTCTCGTGATTTTATTAAATTATTTTGCATTCAACATTTTCCAACAAAAACCAAACAAAAAACTACTGAGCCTAGTTTAACCGATTAAATTCATAGTTCTCGTGATATAATATATGAATAAAACAAATTTCGTAAAACTAACTAAAACATTTAAAACTATATCCTTAAGAGTTTTAAAGCTGCTTGTGATCATTTTAACTTAGTTTGTGGTCATCATAGCTTGTCATCATAGCTTTTAAGCTAATCTTTATTTTAGCTGGTCATCATTTCAATCTTTCATTATTTTAGCAAGTGGTCATTTTATTTCCATTGAATCTTGTAAGCATTTTAGATTCCCTAAAGATATCTTAAAAACCTGTAATACCGATAGTAAAAAACATGTGTATTTACAAACTTTCTTAAATTTATAATTATTTACTAAAGTTGTAATTCTAGGTCTTCTCCCAGTGGCCCCATGGAGAACAACCCTAAGCGCCATGGTTCTCACAGGCTTAAGTTGTTGCGCCCTACCACTAGCAAGCACACTATTTCAACTCACCATACCTCACTTCGGTCTGGGTCTAGGTGTAGGTATTGTGGACGCAGCTTTGGTTCCCTTGCTGGCCAATTTGGTGGACAGCAAAGGTAGCAGTCAGTATGGACCAGTCTACGCGTTGCAGCAAGCTTCGGTGAGCTTGGCGTACAGCTTGGGGCCTTTGCTTGGCGGTGAAGCCGTTCATATTTTTGGATTTCCTTGGTTGATAAGGATTGTGGGGTTTATGAATTTGCTGTTTTGTCCTTTGTTGTTGGAGTTGGAGAATAAGGTAAGGATTATTTTTGTGGAGATTTTCATTGGTTTTGGTTTTTTTTCAAGAAAAATCCTTCGCAGCTCCTGGGTGATGATGTGGTATCTTCATATTCTAGTTTTGAAAACACAAATACTATTTCTACACAAGAAGATTGGACAAGAAATAACTATAATAATAATTAAAAACTTTTCATTGCATTATAAGATTTAGATAGACAAAAAATAAATCATAAAATTGTTCCAATACAAATTTAATTTTAATTAAAATTATTTTCAAAATTTAAGGACAATGTAGGTATTTATTTAGGTATATAAAAACATTATAAAAAGTATCTTATATTCTTAAAAATGTTATGTTTCAGTTGATGTATTTAACAATAATTGTTTTGTCGAGTGGTTAATAATATGCTGATTTTATTTACGATTGTAGATAATTAATTATATACATTCCTCCATATGACAACCTTAGCCCCTATTTACATAAATAAAATAATCCTCACCTTTTATATCATCTCTTCCCTACCAATAGTAACAGCAAGGAATAAGTCATTTTTCCCGCTACCATTAACAGTGTGATTGACTTTAAATGTAGACGTCATGTTTATATAATTAAACGTCAGATTTAAATACTATATGACATAATATGAAATATGAAATTTTGTAAAATATTGTTTTTAAAATTAAAATTAGCATCACTCGACAAAAAGCATAGTGTTTTCCTAGAGTTGAATTCCTTCCCTCGCCTATTGGCTTGTTCGGAAATTTTCATCATCGGGAGTAATTCCTAAGGTTCCACACTCGATAAACAATATAATTAATACTAATTTGTACAATTATTGTACACTTTACAATTTAATGAAAAAAAATTCTATAAGTAATACTTCTTTTATATTCTTTATTTAGATATTTTTGGCAGTGGACCTTTTGACATTATAGTTTCTCGTCATTTTATCCTGTCATTATTAACAGGGCATATTGATGAGTTTTTTCAATTTAACCACATTAAATGATTTTTTCCGTACTTTTCAATGGGCTATACCGTTTTTGCAAAAAAATTTGCAGTTTTTTTGAAATTTTGCAATATTTTGCATTTTTTTAAACAATGTGTATTTTTTAATTTTTTTTAAAATAGCATAAAATCGAAGTTTATTATGTTACCTTTGAATAAAAAACATACATTTTTCTTTTTCGACTACAAAAACCAAAACATGGGTTTTAATTGCTATTAATTTGAACTATTGCAATAAAATCGATGAGTTTAAGGCAATACGACACAAGCGCCAAAAAATTTAAATTTGTTAGAAGTACATGTACTGCAGGTCGATAGAGAATTATATTCTCTTTCTTCTAAAAAGTGCTGTTTTGACTTAAACCCATCGAAAAATACATTTATTTCTATATAAAAATAATTTTAAAAGTTGTATTGACCCTCTCCAATTAATCCACTAAGTAGTAGACCGATCACCGCTGCAATAAAAAATCAAATGTGTCGCATTTCGAGAAAAAAACAAATATATTTTTAAAATCGTTTTTTTATAACCAAAACATTTTTTCTCGCTTTCGGGACCATTTTTATCGTAAAGCGTGGAAAAAATGCTATACGATATGTTGATTATCAATTTAAAAAAAATTATTATATACATGAATATTTCGACGTCTTTTAAGCGCACAAGAAAAAAAAAATTTTCAGGCCCCTGTATCTCTGCAACCCGCTAATCCTTTTTGCCCCCCATTTGGAAAATTAAGGTAGTCCAATAGGACAATGATTTGGCAAAGTTTTGTTAAAATCGGAGAAAACATCATTTTTAGGTGGGAACACTTGAGGTGTTTTGCCCCATATATAATGATCTTCGGCATTTTTCTTTTTAGATATGTACCTACATTTAAATTTTTTTCATTTTTGGTTTTTATAATTATAAATATCTTGTATATACTAATTGGAAAATAAAGACCCATTATTATTATTATTATGTATCAATGCATTTTTTGACGAAAAAGAGTAATCGTTCTATTCTGAAGGAATGAAGAGTAAAAGTTGGAATAAATGTATCGAACTAAATTAGCTTTATTTGGTCAGTCTTTCCGTTCTTTGCGTTGCTTTATCAAAATCTCAAGCTGAATTCCTTCACGATTCTAATAACCACGTTTTTGTGAGTTATCTATAAATATTTGCTATGTTATTTCTCTTGATAAAATCAAAATTAGCTCTTTAATTTTAATTATTAATAGTCCACACGTGTCCGACGTGTAATCCCACGTGGACCGACCTCCCTCTGCCGCTAAATGGCGAATAAACATTCGAGAGATCCGTCTTAACTTACAAACCAAACAAAAAGATCGAGTTATCGTGGTGGTAGCGGCAACTTGTAATCCAGTTAGGGCGATCTAGCCATCCTTGATCAAACAATCGACGACTATCCGATATTAGAGCCAGATTTAAAACATTCATTGCCAGGCCAAATCGACCGTAGGCGATTTTGCTTGCTAATAGAATAAATAGATGGCTGTGGAGATGGAGTTTCAAAAAGAAAAAATAGTGGGTTTTAAATTAGAGAAATTTGATATTTTCTGGGTTTCGATTTTCGATTTGGTGTAATTATTTATATAATTAAATATTCTTAAAAAAATTTAAAAAATTAAATACAATTTTGAAATTCTACTTGTGAGAAAAATGTTTTGTAATTGTGTTGTACTTAAAATAAGGGGGGAGTTACGCGTTTATTGATTTTCATTTTAAATCTAAAAATCTGAATCTGAATGCGTTAGCTTGATTGTGTAATTATTTCGGCTGCTTATAACATATTTATAAGGGACACGAGTGTATGAATTTTTAAAAGTTAGGCTTAATTTAAGAAAAATCGTAGAACATTCTTCTAGAACATCTGTTGATTATGAATTTGATTGACGCTGAATTCTCCCGCTAATGCAAATTTATTAGTCGGCGTTTACAAAATTTTAATAGAGAAATTTACAAAATCATCAAACATTTGAATTAACTTTCCCCACTAAATTTCACTGACATATTTAAATTTACTTTAGCAGCATTAAAATATTGTGAGTTTGTGACTAAAAAATTAAATAAGAAAAAAAGCCGACTTTCTAAAAGTCACTGCAAATTCCCGATTTTTCATCAGAGAGACCGCGAATTTGACAAATAGTCCTTAAAAGTCTTCCCAAAATAAATGAGTAATTTCTTTCGCCTACTTAGTAGACTCTACTATATTTAAATGGATTAGCTGAAAGTCAGCATTAGCTGCAGCTGCAGTCAGAATGGTCGGCAGCAAAAACTTTAGAAAATGCCGAGTGGTGAATTTACAGAAAAATTAGTATCCGAATCCACATCTTTAACTAAATAATTTTTCATAAATTAACTAAATTTTGTACCCACTCATTGGAAATATTAAAATAAATTTTTGCTATAGTCGCGGCCAAATCTGTATGGGTGCACGTCATCAAAGGCATATGACGTCAGCGTTAAGGTCTATTCATACGTGCCCAGACACAATCTAACGCTCGTGTATTGTTGACTGTTTATAGCGGTGGAAGATGGAATTATAACGTCCTTGTTATAATCTTCTGCACTAACTAATTAGGAGTTTGTTACAGGCAAATTTTTATTAAATGTGTTTAAAGAGAAAACAAACGGAGTTTATTACATTTTTATTACATATGCACATAACAAAAAAATACTAAATTATCAGAAACACAAAAATAATAAATTACCAGTCGTCCTTGTCATTAGAGCAAACCAGGTCAGAAGTCTGATTATTTCCCCAAATTTATTATTAAGGGCGCAATGTCTTCGAAATCTAATAACGGCTAGTTGCCAACAAGCCTTATATCATTGTTTGCACAATCCAGGGATTGAATCTTATAAACATAATGTATAATATTATTTATAATAATTTGCAACAAACGATGCTTCCGGACGAAATGTCACAATTACAAAAATACGTCAAATATAAAATGACAGCGACCCATCAATAATATTGAACGGTGCGCGCCAGCCTTAAGCTATTACCAACTGGCACACACAAAAATTACTAAGTGAATGGTTTTATTTTGATAATTTCGTGAAAAAACGTTTTAAAACAAGGAAATTGTTACAGTTCTTGGTAAACAATACGCAAATGAATGATTTCTTTTTAATAACACATCAGAATTACGCCTTAAAAAAGTAAATTTAACGGCAGTAACTTTACAATTCAAAGTTGGTAATGCTGACGTCATTATATCTCATTGATGACGTGCACCCATATAGATTTGTAATATATATATATTATATATATATATATATTGTAATATCCATATTCATTGTTATAATAATTGCAAATTGTTAAAGACAAATTCACTAACGAAAGTAGGTTTTTTCCGATTGTTACGTCACTTAAGTTAGGGAGGGCCACCCCAACGGGAATATTAATATGTAATTTTTAAAAATAGAGTAAAGAATGGTATATTATGTGTCACGTTTGATAAACGCCATTTTAGTCACGAATTTAATTTAGGCACGAGCGAGCTTGCGAGCGATTGTTTAATTAAATGGGTGCATAGAAAAGTTTATAAACGAGTTGCATACTATACTTTTTCTTTAACAAATACGAATACGAAAACAAAGTACCCATCCCAATAAACATTTTTGACGTAATTTTTACCATTAACATTGCCCATTATTATTTTAATTAAACTTAGCAATTAGTGATACTTTAAAATATTAAAATAACTTCAAAATATTATTATGTTAAGTAAATATTTTATCCTTTAATTTTTTGTATTAGTTTGTATCTAGTTAACTCCACTACTACGGCGAAATTAAAAGGTCAGTACATACGTTCATATCACTCAGTGGTTCATATAATCTTTTCAAATATGGCCGTCAAGAAACTATTTAATACTTTTGTATTGAGAAAATAAAATAATTTTCACATTTAGTATTATTTTACAAGAAAGGCACGTTATTTTAACGATTTTAAAGACATTTCACAACTGTCAACTAACTTAAAACTAAGTTCAGCCAGTGACTAAGAACCTGTTGCTAACTTCAGCCCGTGACTAAAGCCCCATAAAGCCACAACGTTAATCTGTATTTAAAAGGTATCTTAGTGTCATGTACGATAATGAGCGTTTTAAAGGTGGGAGTAAAAAAAATAATATATACGAGGTGTGTTCAGAAAATATCGGGAATTTTCGTTTTTTTTTTTAATATTTATTTATTCGTCTATATTAATGTTGTCGCCTTCAAAATAGTCCCCATTGGATATTAGGCACATGTGCCAGCTCTTCTTCCAATACTCGAAACACTTCTAAAACTCGATCTTTGGGATAGTTCTTTCAGCGATGCCCTTTTAATGTCATCTATGCTTGCAAAACGACGGCCCTATAAGGTTCTCTTTATTTTTGGGAATAGGAAAAAGTCAGACAGAGGCATGTCTGGCGAATATGGAGGCTGGGGCAATATTACAGTATTGTTTTTGGACTAAAATTTTGTTCAAAATTTAACAATTTTGGAACAAATTTTGCTGCCACACGTTTCATACCCAAAACATTTGAAAAAATTTCATGAGATGAGCCAATCGATATACCAACATCATCAGCGACTTCTCTGATGGTTTATAACCATTTCTTCCACTTTTCCCATGTTTTTATCGGTTGTTAATGTGCTTGGGCGTTCGGGGCGTTCGTCATCTTCAACGTCTTCACGGCCATCTTGGAAACTCTTATACCACTTGTAAACTCTTGTTTTACTTATAGCAGACTCACTATAGGCCTTTGTTAACATTTCACAGAATTTATTTCATCTTTTAAGCAAAATTGGATACAAATTTCTTTGATTCATTTCTTTTAACGAACGAAAATCGCCGAGCTCATAAAACACGTCTAACCTTAGCGGCTGCCACAGACAAAGTAAACGATGAAAACAGCCAAAGTTTTTATCATACTTCGGGGGCATGTATACCAACATAATAAAGAAAATTTTATGACAACCGGACCCTCCGAACCCGCGAAATTTAACAATTCCCGTTATTTTCTGAACACACCTCGTATACTTATAGCTTATCGGTATTTTATCTTACGGCCATTTTAGACCAACCATTTTTGGTTGTGAATGTTTTTACGTGTGGTTATTCCAGTGGATACTTTAAACCTGTCATTAATGTAATTTTATCCATTTTTGTTCGTGGATATTTTGGATTTTCGGTATTTAATTTTATAAGTTTTATCTTTTGATTATTTTAAATCTTCGTCATTTAAGCTTATCCCCATTTTATCTTATCATCATTTTAGCCGTTTTCTTAAAATAATTTAAATTACTGTAGTATAGTGTATAATAATATGAAATAAACTATATATACAATGTAATGTATATGGGTCAGAATTTCTCAAACGGGCCACCTGAATTTGGTCAAAATTAGTTTTTGATTGTAGATACATTTTTTCGATAGTATTTTACATCACTAACACAAATCCTAAAGGATTTGGTAAAAAAAAAATTTTCAATTGACATATTCATGATATTAAAAGTAAAAGTTTTTAGTAATTAAAAAATAAAAAAAAATCATTATGGCTAAACTAATTATCCGATTCCAACGATTTAACTAGCGTTGGAATCTTGTTTTGACATAGATTCTTTGTTATTTTTTTCAATTGTACAATTTTCATTTAGGTCGATTTTTTTTTGTTTTTTTTATAACAAATTCGGAAATAATTGGCTTCTGCGCCAGCTATCGACTCGAAAAAAAAAACACATATACTCCAATCATTTTTCGAAATTATGCTGCTGAGAAAAAAAATGGCCCGCAGGTTCCAGACCACCGTAAGACGTCGCGTCACAAGCGCGTACAGCGTACACGGTTCGGAGCGTGAGCTGACACCGCGCGCGGCCACAAAAGGACGAATAACTTTTTGTCAACCTGCGGGCCATTTTTTTTCTCAGCAGCATAATTTCGAGAAATGATTGGAGTATATGTGTTTTTTTTTCTCGAGTCGATAGCTGGCGCAGAAGGCAATTATTTCCGAATTTGGTATAAAAAAAACAAAAAAAAATCGACCTAAATGAAAATAGGACAATTGAAAAAAATAACAAAGAATCTATGTCAAAACAAGATTCCAACGCTAGTTATATCGTTGGAATCGGATAATTAGTTCAGCCATAATGAATTTTTTTATTTTTTAATTATTAAAAACTTTGACTTTTAATATCATGAATATGTCAATTGAAAATTTTTGTTTTACAAAATCCTTCAGGATTTGTGTTAGTGATGTAAAATACTATCAAAAAAATGTATCTACAAACAAAAACTAATTTTGACCTAATTCAGGTGGCCCGTTTGAGAAATTCTGACCCATATATTATACATATAATAATAATATGAAAATGATATGATAATAAAAAATACTATAGTATACCATCAATATTTTGCTTATTGGACTTTTTTATGTTATTTGTTTACCTTGACGCCCATCATATTATTATAAAATATCACTTATCACAATTTGTTTATTTACTTAAAAACCACAAAGACAAGATGCGCCAAACAAAACGAACCGACACAAACACGCAGGTATTTTTTTTCTGGGCCATCCCGAATTTTGGGTGGTCCAATCACCAAGACATATGTTATGCAACAATCGTAATGGACTTGTGTTTATTTAACAAACTGACAGTAATACGTCACACGAGGCGCACATATCCATCCTGCAGGGGAAACAGTGAACCCAACCTCAAGAAAAAATTGTTTTTAAAAAAATTTAAAATAAATGAAAATGGTACATAAGCCAAAAACGGTGGATGGGTTTTGAAGCTATTTTAGAGTTATACAAGTTTGGTTAATTTTGTGATTTTTGATTTAAAGTTTAAGATAAAATCTAACATTTATTTTTGTATTAGGTTGTCGCACTGTTACATGTAATAGTAACATGTTGAATATATTCTTAAATTAGACCGATTTGTTTGTAGTGTGTTACTCAGTCAATAATTGACTGAGTAACACACTACAAACAAATCGGTCTAATTTAAGAATATATTCAACATGTTACTATTACATGTAACAGTGCGTGATTATTAGTGTTACAACAAATGTAAACTCTTTAAAAATGTAAAACAACAAATTGTCAATGAAACTAAATAAACCTACTGTAATAAAAAAATACTTTCTTTATTAATATTGCTTTATTAAAAATTGTAATTTTGTCACATACATACTAACATAATAAAATTAACGTGAAAGACTTTTCTTGGTTAACGTGCAAAAAAGGCTTTAAATTAATTCCTGTTAAGGGGTTATATTATACCTTTGTGAGGCAAAAAACGATTTCGATGATTTTCTTAGGTAGGTATGCAAACATAAATGTATGGTTTTATTTATTCTATGGTTTGACGTCTTCTTAAAAAAATCTTGCAAAAAATTGTAAAATTGTGGAAACTACGTAGGCCATTGCCTGAAACACCTTTTTTTACAAGGGTTTTGATTTCTCAAAGAGCAATTTACCGATCGATCCTAAATTTGTTGTTCCTAATTATAATAGCCCCTCTTGAACCGGAAAACCCAATTTTTATACCCAAACCCTTAGTTTACGAAGGGGGCAATACTATATACAAATATTGTGTTTTTTTCATAAAATTCGGTTGAGCCGTTTTCTATATTTTGTGCTTACTGCAAACGTTTTAAAAAAGGCGTTTCGGGGCAAGTAGTTCTCACAATTTTTCATTTTTTCGAACGAAACATACTATACGATACTTTGTAGTTCGTCTTAATATAATTATTATTACTTACCTACAAAAAATCAATACAAACCCTTAATTTTCCCGAGCACAAACGTATAAAACCTTAAAACTGTAAAGGAGAAAACTGAACTTTTTTTTATTTATATACAGGGTGTTTCTAATCAATAGAGGTTGTTGATCTCATCAAGATATAAATTTATATAAACATAAACATTACCCTTACCTCTTTATTTTCCTGATTTAAAATACAAAAATTGTAGATATTAAACTGATAACAAAAAAGGTTGATGTATAAACAAAAAAGCTTGATTATTCGAAACAAAAGCTCAAATGAAACATACTTATTTGAAAAATGTTTCTCTTAATGAGATCTACAACCTCTATTGTCTTAATGAGATCTATTACGTTGTCCATTTTGAGTAGAAACACCCTATAATGCAACAAAAGGAATTTAAAAACTAATGGTAATTTTTTTTAGAAAGATTTCATAGTTTTTATATTTTTTAACAATAGTTGGGTGGCCTTTTCGAACTGACATATGCATAGTAAACGGCTAATGGAATACTGTTTACTTAATGTGGAGTTGGGTATATCCGTATCAAATTTTAAAAAAATCCGGTGACACTTTTTAACACTCTTAGGGGGGTCTAAATCAAAATGAAACTAAACATATGCTCACATAACTTTATTTCAATGTTTAAGTGCTAAGAATATTTTAGTTTGCAGAAGAAACATGGACTGGTTCTTTGGGTTTTACTTTCTGTACTACAAAATATTAATTTTAATATTTTATAAATTGTTGGTTTTGTTTTACCTTTTTTGGGGTTGAATAATCGCCCTTCAGCTCTTAGAAGAGGTACTTCGAAAAATAATGTAAAAAGAAAACCCCATAAGGTTACTATTGTAATATCTGCTACAGCGTAATATATCTGCATAAATTATGTTAAAAGATTTTATAATGAGACCGGACGAATACTTACAGCATTAAAATTGCTAAAATATATTGGTACTTTCATATTTCCACCTATATAGAGTTGAACAATTGTGTGAAATAAAAATACTGAATAAGAAATCCTACTTAAAACTCGAAAAAAGTGGGCTGACATAATATCATTTATTATTCCTACAAAAACAATCGTTTTTATACATAACCATTACAAAAAAATCTTACCTCCATATCCATTCTTACAAGCCCATATAACCCATACAAGACACAACGTCCACGCCGATCTGGAAAAAGCCAAATAACTAGCAGATTCATACGGATTATATTCATGATTTTCCAACTGGAGAATTCGGCTTGATATAATGGTGGTCCCCATTACGGATAAAGCTAACATCCAAAGAGAAATGCAAGCTGTTTTGGATATTTTTATGTTCTTTTCTTTGGTTTTAAAGAGAAAATAACCAAAAACTATGCCTATGATGTACGGGGATATTCTTACATGAGGTTGTGTGTAATAGTATTTGAAATAATCTGTGACTAGAACTCTACTTCTGTAATAATATTAAATATATTATAAAAGTTTTGTTTAAACATTAATAGTAGTACTTACGTTACTTCTAACATGTCTCCAGAATAACGATTTTTAACAGCCAAATAAAAACTTATACCAATTGAAAGTAATATAAAGCATATACAATTTATAAGACCCAGTGTTGGCCATTTCCATAGCGGATATAGCATTATTGGTGATAGGTAGTAGAAAGGCATTTCGCAGGATAAATACCATATGGGGTAGTTGCACTATAAATATAAATACTTATAGCAGTATGCACAGAATTGTTTAGTTAATGACTAGTTAGTTAATGACTAAATTTTTAGACACTTGGCAACCCTGTGTGTCTGGAATTTAAAATCTCTTAAGGACTAGTAAATTCCTAATAGTCATTAAATTGTATTTTAATAGTATATTATAATTCTAGTTGGTTAAACGCCATTTTAGTCGCGGGTGTTTAATTAAATGAGTGTCTAGGAAAGTTTATAAACGAGTTGTATAATATACTTTTTCTGCTACAAATACTTATTATTATCTAAAAATGATTTAAATTAAATATTTGTATAGAGCGACATCTATAAAACAAAATAATAACAAACTTTGAAAAATGTAGTACCGGCGCACCCGTAAAAATGTCAAATTTGTATGTGTAAATCGAAATGAATCCCTTGAAAATGAACTAACAACAGTTTTTTCACATTGAAAATGTTTTATGGGCACTTCACGGTGGAGTCTTTACCATAAATTGAGTAAAATCTAGTTTACAATGTTCATATAAACTTTTTAGATATTGTTGTTGAGAAACAATTTAATACTTTTGTATTTTTTATTAAGATAATTATTAATATAATTTTCACATTTATTTTTATTTTACAAGAAATGCACTTTATTTTAAAGATTGCACCTTTTGTAACATTTGACTGTCAACTTACTTAAAATTAACTTCAGCCCGTGACTAAAACGCCATAAAGCAACAACTTTTCAATGTATATTAAATAGGTCACGTAGTATCATGGAAACATGTACTATGCTCCACACCTCAAAGTCCCACCACGTGACCACGTACGGAACGCAGTCTTTTGAAAATTTGGCATTTAAGGCTTTTCAGGTTATGTATCTGTCAAGCCTTAAATGCTAAATTTTCAAAAGACTGCGTTCCGTACGTGGTCACTTGGTGAAACTTTGAGGTGTGGAGCATAGTACATATGTTTTAAAGGTCGGAGTAGAAAAAGTTATTTAAATAATAACTTTATTTTAATATTTGTTATAATTTAGGTTAGAATTATATTTTGTCGTTTGCATTTTTTAGGCCCTGGTAGGGTTTTAAAATGTCAAAATAAAACGGAAAAAATTGGAGGAAAACCTGTTTTTTCCGTTTTTTCCAGATCTTGAAAAAATTGTCCTTGGAAAAAAATATTTTTTTTTGAAAATATACACATTTGAAAAAAGTAATAATCAACAACTAACCATTATTTAAAAAAAAATATCCTTTATTACAGAAAAAAAATTGAATTAAATTAAATTGATTTAAGAAAATAAACGCAATCGTTAAATATAATAATAATAATAATATCGTGATCGTGATTTAAATACAAATATTTTTACTGTCGGTCGGGTCTTTTTTTGCAAAAAGGAGTCCATTAAAAATATCCAATTACAAAATAATGAAGGATTTATAAAGCTAAATTACAAAATTATATAGATTTATAAAATAAAATTTCAAATAAAAAACGAAAGTTTGTATGTTAATACAGCACCAAATATGTTTTTTTGCGGCCCGGTATAATATTCTTACTGAATTAAAATAAAAGGAATAATTATTATAATCATAATATTATGATTATCATCAGCATCGGAAATTCACTTTTTTCTCGACATCAGTGTACGGATATCATCTGTTAAAATTTTCAGAAAAATTGACTTTTGCATTTTGTTCTTATTACCCTTTAAATAAAATGAAAAAAATGCAAAAGTAAATTTTTCTAAAAATTTTCCAATTTTTCCGTTTTTTTTTTCGAAAAAAAAAAAATTTGGGGTCAATAATAAATAAAGAATTATTATTATTATATGGATGGTATCAATATTATTTGTCAAAAGTCAAAAGCTTACTTACGTGATACCTAATAAAATCTTTAAAATTGAATACAAATGACAAATACATATAATCGACGATCAATTTAAACCGAAATAAACTATTTTACCTATCTAAATAAATTATTTACTTTTATATAAAAAAGTTATTAATTAATTTATTAATTAAGGACAGATTGTTGATTAAATTTTAAACATCCGTATTAAATTTTAAGGAGTTTCATTGGTTCATCAGGTGGTAGCCTTTGACTGTAGACATAAACTAAAAATATATGAATACTTATTATAAATAAAATATTAATTTAAACAAAAATCAACCTGTTTAAAAACGTTCATGCTGATACGTTGTTAATCAGGATTCAGGTATCAACTCATCCTGATATCCTGGAAAACGTGTAGATTCGGTAGAGCTTTTGTAGATATCCACTTTATTTATCAGGACGGCGAATTAAACTAAGGTCTTACCCATATTCCAGGATTAATAAACGACTGTATATGCAATAAGGTGCTCCACCAGTAATCCTGACAAGGTTTTTGATAGGTTGTGTACACATCAAACATTAAAGTACCACTTCCCAAAAATTGTACCAAAGTACACCATATCAGCAAATTGATGGCTAAAGGAGCTGTAAGCTGTAAGTTAAACTTTTTTGTTTTTTCAACGTGATCAAAAAATCCAACCCCCACTAGCATGCCGCTTATCATAAAAAAGGAGTCTACACTGACTGTACTTCCGAGGATAAGTGTACTAGGGTACTCCATCTCCCACTAAAAATCAACTAAGCCAATCAATTTTGGGAATAGAATTTCTCAAAAAAAAAAAATTAGATAAAAAGATTTTTGATGACCCTGTATATATACGTAGTTTCAAAAGTTATGCATGACCTAAAATCTAAGTTTAGTTTAGTCTTTTACTAAAAATTATTTGCGATAAAAAGTTAGGTAAAAATATGTTTTCGTAAGTTTTGAAACTATGTAAATTATGGCCACTTGCACCGTAAGTTTAACAGTGGTTTTATTTTTAACACAGGTTTATTTTTCATAACTGGCTTGCACCGTAAATTAATTCTTGTTTAAATACCTCTAAACTACTGTTAAAATAAACCCCCAATTTCGGTGGTTAAATTACTTTAATCCACCGTTAATTATTTATAACCTCAAAAGTATTAGTCATCGGTATTCAAGATCTTTTTTTTTTTAAATATATTATTTATTGACATCTTTAGCAAATCCAATAAATATAGTTATAGGTATAGAGGTCAGCAACTCTATAATGAGTCAATACTAAGAAATAAAATAGAAAGAGTATTTGGAATTTGGAAAAGAAGGTTTCCAGTGTTGGCATATGGGTTAAGATTAAAACTAGATACAGTTTTGTCCATTATTCCAGCTGTAGCTGTACTACATAATATTCCTAGAGACATGAATAAACCAGAGCCGCCATTGCCTGATGATATTAATGCCATAAACTGGAGTACCCCGTTGTTACTCATCCACAAGATCGCATTATGTTTCAAAATCAATTAATACAAGATTATTTTGCGAATTTATAAAACTTAATGTGAACAATATTTTTGATGTATTATTTAATTTATACTTATTTAAAATTAAAATAAAATAAATAGCCACTTCTTGTTTATTATTAAAATACATTAAGTTTTTCTTTTTCTTCTATAATTTTTAAATCCGAAAGATTCATTTCTTTTTCATCCTTTTTATTGTTAATTTCCTGCTCTAATTGTTTTAACCCTGTCTCTTGGTTTTCAATGATACCCTTGTATCCACAAGATTAATTAAATGATTTTTTCATTTTCTGAAAAATTTGAGGAGCACCTTTTTTTCAGGTTCTGTATCCATATTATTCTCTCTTACCATTAACTGAATAGGTCGTACATGAAATAGAATCGAACCAGATATGAAAAATAATCGAACCACAGATTATAAAGAATCGAACTCTTAACGTCAAAATATATTTGCGACACAAATAAGTGTTAAGTTATTAGCACCAATCTTTTCCATTTTTTAGTCAAATTCCCTAGATCACTAGTTAAATTTTAAATCATAGTAAAAAATCACGGTGCAAGATTTTGGACACTAATCTCCTGTTACCTTTTAACTTGTCAGTTTATTTAACTGATCAGTTAGAGAAAACGGTGCAAGTGGCCATTAGGGCATTAAACAACGTTCACAAATTTTAAAAGGCACTTATTTGTTTGTCCGGGCTAATCTCCGAAACGGCTGAATCGATTTTGACAGGACTTTCATTGGAAGGTAGAGGACTTTTTGGAGAGCAATTAAAATAGTCTACATTTTATTTCCTACTTTTACCCCCTAAAGAAGTTAAAATCAACACTGACTCGCACACAACAACAAAAAAGGGGTGGCAGGTTTTTTTTAAAAGCTGAACGGATTTTGATAAAAATTTTTAGTTAAGGTGTCTTAGAACGGGAGGGTTGCGGAACGAAATTGGGATGGAATGAGACAGGAATATTATATATTTTCCTAATTTAATTTCGATTTTCTTTTAATTTTCAAGGTGTTAATATTCTACATATTTTACATAATTTTACCTCTAGTATTCCTAAACCGTTTACTGTTGGATCAGCCATAAACATTATGTATCTATGCCCCAAAACTACATAGCATGTACTCATGAATCTAAGCCCGTGTAAAAAATCGAATTCTGATTCTGTTTTGGCGTTGATTTTTTGTAAATTGGTATATGCCGAAAAGATATTGAAAAATGTATTGATTTCACCTAAAGAATTATAACGTATTTATAATGTTTAAAAAAACCAAATTCTTACCTTTCTGTATGTATTGATAATCAATAACAGCTGTTACTATGCCTGTGAGGAAAAATAAACCTAAAAAAATTCTACTAAAACATACAAAATCACTCTTACAAGAAAAAATTTCATACAAAGTAAAAACTTGCATTTTTCCAAATTTTGGTTTGTGAAAAATACTATTGCAATGCTTCTCCTGCAAGCTTATATTCAACTCCAAGCCTTCCAACATTTCCATAATTTTTTTATTGAAATGTTTTTCTATGTCATAAGCTGGGCAACTATGAGGTACACATACAGACCAACTTACCTCTTGAGGTTCAACTAGAATTTTTACTTTTTCAAACCTCTAAAAGATAATTAATAATTAGCTGATGAGCATTTTAAAAGAAGTAGCTTACTTTATCAGATACATTTCTAAATCCCAAAATATTCCTCATCAAGGACATACTAGGTTTGATTTTCAATCTGCAATGTTTACCAAGAATTTGACCACTTTCAGTTTCTTCGTCGATTTCTAAACATTGTTGAAACGATCCAAATTCAAATAAGTTACCAAGAAGTATCCCTGATTGAAGTTTGGAATTCGAATCGAACACTAAAAAAATTATCTAGAAACAGTTTATAAATGTGATATCTTACTTTTTAAAGCCCAGGGTTCAAAAGCTCTAAGTGCTTCTTTAAATTCTTTAGTATGTTTCATACAAATTTCATCCTCTGGCTTTTCTAAGGCATAGAAACTTAAAACTTGGTTTATGAGTAGGCCCTGCTTCATTGTTAATTTTACAGGTGTTCTTTTAGGAATTTTTTTTTCAGGTATTTCAGATGGTAGAGCTTCTTTCAAATTTTCTGAAACTACGTCATTAACCAAAATATTCGGCATACCCTCCGTCAAATCATCAACTTCTAAATTTGTTGTAAAATCGATTATTTTGGATATAACATCATCTTTTTTAATTATTACTTCACTTCTTACAATTATTGAGTTTATTATAACCAGCGATATAATCCCAAAGAAATTCATACTAAAAACTGTACAAAACATCGAAGAAAATATCCTTTTATACACGCAAAAACTGTCAAAGAATCATTAATAACATATCATTACAAAAATACTTTGTACTCAAGAATAATTCTAAGACACTTAAAACAACAAACAATTATTTTCTGTCTGAAATACTCCTGTATCAACACATGTGTACATCACGTATCCTATGTGCCAAAATCGAGGGGCGTGGCTTAATTTCAGTCGCGCGGCCGTATTGGTAACAATTTGGTCCTTAGAGATCCAGAGTGAAAGATGCTCGACGCCGGTTGGTCGATGTTTAATCACGTGGCTGTTGATCGCTGAAATCCGAAAATTTTCAGTATCCATTACGGAATGTTGTTCATTCAAACGAATTGTTATATTCTGTGTGGTAGCTTTGTTACATGTTGTGTGGGATAATTTTCTTATTCTAGTGTGATTTATTAATAATGTTGGCTAACAGTAGGTCTGCGAGGGTGCCAAAATGTGCACGGTGCAGAAATCATGGCATGATATCCACTTTGCGAGGACATAAGAAACAGTGTATTTACAAGAATTGTTCTTGTACGAAATGTGGATTAATTAAAGAGAGACAGCGTATTATGGCGGCACAGGTATAACATTTTTTTATTATAAACATTTTAAAATATTGTAAAAATGACTTTTATTAAGTAAGTTTATTAAATATTATATGGTTGATTTATTTAAAAAGTTAATAATAATCCCGGCGCATTCGCCAAAATTGCAACTTTAAATATTATTAAGAATTATTGTTGTAATTAAAAAATTATATATAATATTTATAATTTGAAACAAAAATTTCATACATCGATAATTTTGTTTGAAAAATTTAAATATCAGAAAATAGCCACAAAAATAGGAGTAGGAAAATATCGTGAGTTGAGTTTTTCACACTACTATTTACTTTTCTGTACCCCAGAGACAAACTGTATTAAGTCCCCTTTTTTATAATCACATCACACATTTTTTGCCAACATTTTCCCGCTCTTTCCAATGGTAAACAGGCTTACTTAGTTTTTTGATGTATTTAAGAAAACCAAAATATCAAAAGTTTAAAACATCGTTTACGTATTAATTGATTCACTATATACAGGGTGTTACCTTAAAAAACGTTATCGAATATTTTTGACAAAAAATGTGTGCCACTAACTTTTGTGTAATTTTTATATTTTTTTCGCAATTAAAATTACAACTTTTTTGTCTCTTGATTTTTTTTCTTAAAAACAAAATTCAAGAGACAAAAAAATTGTATTTTTAGGTGCTTAATCCGAAAAAACTATAAAAAATACAAAAATTCAGTGGCGTACTTTTTTTTGTTAAGTACACTAATGGAAAAAATTAAGGGATCAAAAAAAACTTCCAAATTTTTGGGCAGTTTTCAAACAGAGAAATGGTCGTACAGGAAATCAAAAAAAAGAAAATTGTATCTCCAAGTGTCTAGTTTTTGGATTCGAACTTCAAAATTTTGTACCCTCCGCGGTTTTTGAGTAATCGTAGAAAAACCAGCAACAAAAAAATTTTTACCGCTTGATTCCTTTTCGATAAACGCTATCCAATTAGCCCCTTAAAACTAGGAATAACACTGCCAAATTACAACAAAATTGGGAAAAAAATATTTAAGATATTTATGAAAAACCAATTAAAAAAAGTTTAACACCCTGTATCTTGAAAACTAAGCATTTGCGGACTTATGTTTAAATTTATTTATTGTACATACTTAAGTAACACCCTGTATATTATATAATAACGTTTCGATTAATTTTAGATTACGAATTCTATAAATTTAATCAACCACTATCCATAATATAACCGTTAATCATTGATAACCTTTTAATTTAAGATCTTGGTGACTATTTAATTTAATTTTCTACTAGAGCAAAACGTGCGCGGTGCGATTATAAGTGTAGTTTGTGACATAGCTGGCGCGAAACAGCAATCACAGCTAAGAAGTACACACTACTTATGAGTCATGAGTCATGACTCATGACTGCAGCAGTATAAAAAAAACGAATGTTTAGAGGAATGGTAACTTATGGGACATCAGCGATTGATGTTTATAGATGAACTATTAGTGCGTTTGCGTAGTAATTGATGTGACGACTATTGCTGTTGTTCATACGGTCGCGTGTTCGCGATCCCGGAGTTGAGGGGCGGTCGGGGTAGACAATAAAATGTTGTCAAGTTTCAGATAGGCACCCATGAAATCGGACAAGGGATTATAATAATCCATTGTTCAATGACATATAATTAAAGAATTAACACCCAGTAACAAACAATAAATAAAGATTACTTTGCTACAATAATTGTAGTATAGTTATCTTTATTTGTTTTTTGTTGTTCGGTATTAATTATATAATAATATGTCGTAGAACAATGGAATCATATATTGATAATTTCTGAATTATTTTTTTATATTTTTAAAAAGAAACATTTAAATAATGAGTGTCCTTTTTCAAAATCAAAGCAAGCATTTGGCAACATGCAAGTTACTGTTAAAAATAATAATGTACAAGCCCAACTTTGTGGGCCTCAATGTCTACAAAAATTCGCGTATTATCACCGTCTTGCGGGGGTGCCGGGGTGTGGAGCATGATGTTGTATCGGCGATGTGTGATGTATAGGAAGCGCAAATTTCTGGAATTACTATTTCCCTATTATGCGGTCGGGCAATGATTTAAGCGTTTAGAATTAAAGTTGGAAGGGGTGCGCGCTAAATTTAATCGAAATATTATAACTTTATTCGATGTTTTGATACTTTTAATGACTAAAAATTAGTAATGTATCGAAAATTTCACATTATATTACCCGAGTCAAAATTTAAATCGTAATTTAAACCTACTTTGAACTACGAAAACTGATTTAAAACCTGTTCAGCCTGTTTACTCCAATTTAGCACTAGAACAACCGAATTAATCTTCATTTGAACCGGTTTAAACCTCTAATAAAATTTTTGTTTCAAATTTAAACGTAATTAGAACCGAAAAATCGGGAAAATGGACTTATCTGCCATGTTTTAGGTCATAAGTTGGTCTTGGTCATTGGTTGGTCTTTAGGCGAATATAAAACCGTTTAAGACGGAAATTGTCAACTTATTAGGTTTAAATTACGATCTTAATTTTGACTCGGGTATAATTTTAAAATGTGAGGCCAGACCTTAGTTGCTTTATACGACGAGCCGCCACTGGTGCACGGGCCTGGTTTATACTGTACTTTGTGATTCAAAAGATCATAAAAGGGTCAAAAATGAATTTTAACATAGTTTTGGTACAATTTTTAGTAAAATAAACATTAGTAAGAGAGGGTAGATTTTGGTGTGATTTTACATACGAATATCATCCAGAAAATGCGTTCTAAACAAAAATTTTGTAAATTTGAGTTTGTTATCCATGTAATACTTGGATTTGCATAATGCATAATTTAAAATAAAAACAAATAGGTGAGTGAGTTAAGGGAGGCAATTGCCGTCTTTTTAAAACGTCAGGTGACAAAATAAATCGAATAAAATTGCTTATTCGTTCCTTTTTAACAGATCGGGTACAAAAAAGAATCGGAAAAAATCACGAGATTTATGAAATTCATAAAAATATAGGTATATTTATAAATAATATTTCAGTATTTTAAGTGAAAAATATAGTTTAAAATTAAAACCCTTCTGAGGGGGTTGACAACCCAAAACCTCCAGTGCTCACCGGCCTAGCGGTAGCGGTACCTACCTGTAACAAATATTAAGTTTTTTCTTGCGCACCCCGTGCAACAAAATCCCAAATATTTACGAACTTGTGTCCGATCCCATAATTTTTTTTTCAAATTCTGTAATAATTATGTGTCACCATGTTAAAAAAAAATTACCAATTGAGAACATTACAAACAAAAATTTGTTTATAATTTGCTAAGTACCAATTTTTACCGATTATTTAATTTTTATGATTTTTTTTTGATTCAGTAGTTTCCGCATGATAAATTTTAGACAAAAAAATATATATTTTTTTAAATATTATATTATTATATATATACACGCAAAAAAGAAATCAAGAAAACTTAACTTGGAATTTAGCATTTATTACAGTTTTGGGTAGCAAGCAGTGGCGGCTGGTGGATTTTATGTATACCAATATCTCAGTTATTAGACATGGGACCCACACCAAATTTATAATAGTTTATAATGACATTAAATAAACAAGTTCGGCGCAAACAGAATTTAAATTAAAGTTTGCGAAAAAAAGTTAGTTTTTTCTGTCGCCTCACCCGCCTCCAGGCCCCCTATTTAAGATAATTCAAATTGAAGTGGTGAAATTTATTGTCTACTATAATTTATCGACAAATTTAAAATTTTATTTAAAAAATCCAAATATTACAGATTTTATTCGATTTTAAATTTTTATTATTTATTTTATTAAACGCTTAAACACATTAGTTCTTTTTTGTAAAACATCAGTTTCCTACAAAAATATGTATACAGATTCCGGAAAACCATCAATACATTAACGCCCGTGGAAACCTAAAGCAGAACTTATTTAAATATATATATATATATATACACATATAAACGGTCATTGTGCAGCCCATTCTATATACAAGCTATACTTTGTGTAGCCCGAAATGACTTTGTGTGGCCCACTCCCGGGCTGAACAACGTTTGACGTTATTTCAACGCTAATCGATTAATCACGGTGTTGGGAACCCCAGGTTAAATTTTTGGCAGGGCTTAACAACGACCGGTTTAGCCATAGTTACATACAGAATAGTTCATTGAATTTAACTGTAGGTGGCGCGCTGTAGTAAGTGTATCTAGAATAGGAATCCTAGATATCTTACGGTTCCTGTGTAGCCCTAAATCCGGCAACACTGCAAACACAAATTTTTCGTAGGAAGATATTATTTAATATCAAGCAGTGAGCAGAGTTTTAACGCTGCCGCGCGCTGTAAGTTCGATACCGCGAGTTAGTCAGAGATTTATTCGAATACTTTTAATTGTTTGTATTACTTAATGTATTATTTTTTATTAAAAATTCTTTTAAAAAACGCAAAAGCTTTTACAGGTAGAACATACATACTTTAAAAATTTTTAGATAACACAATTGTATTAAGTTGTAATAAGCGGTTTAAATTTAACAACTCAATCAGACTTTTTACCTTTTTAGTTGAATTTTTTAAAAATAGAAATATTAAAATATTTGACTAAAATTGGGCATATTTTTATTTAGAAATAATCCATAAGGTACAGGGTGATCCCCTATAATGTCGCCCCCCTTTAACTTTTTTATTTTAAGTGTCCGAAAAAATTTCAAAGTGAGGTTATGTAGGTACTAAAAAATACTTTTTTTCTACGTATTAAAACCCTATATATGAATTTATTTTTCGATTCCTTTCGATTCGACATATCCAAGCCACATATTATTATTTATTGGATATAGCCGGGTTTGCTATAAAAACGTGGATTTGGCCGGTTTTGCTCCAAAAGCTACCTTTTAAATGTGATTTTCATTGACATCTGTCAAATGGTTAACCTAAGTTTTTACCAATTTTAAATGTTATTATAGTCGCCTTCTTCCAATTTAAAACCCGATTGGTTCAAATCACAGTGAATATTGAAATCGGCCAATAACTGATGCATAACAACGTGAATAATAGGTTTATTATTTAGTTGTTAGGCAGGAAATTTAAAATGTTTAACAATATTCACGGAAAAAACCCGAAATTATGCAATAGGAGTATATAAAGATTATTTTACTGTACATTTATTTAGTTATACCTACTCTGCAGGAATAATGACAAATTTAATTGTATTAATTATTAAAAGTAGTTTTTTTATAATATCTTAATTTTTGATCAATTTTGTAAAATTTATTTGTTATTTGGTTATATTTGTAATGTGACAAACTTTCTTAAATAAAAAACCAGGACATAACATGCCCCCATCGCCCTTCCAAAAAATAAACAAAACTTATTTATTCGATGTTTATTATATGAATGGAATTTTTTTTGTAACTCCAAGTTAAAAGTGGATTGCATACTTTGTTGGGATTTAAGGTCGACATGGTATAGTCAAAATAATTTATGTTAGAAGTCTGCTAAAAATATATAAATGGTGATTATAATATTTAAATTTAATTTAATAAGGGGCAAATAAAATTCAATTAGGTTATCCTACACACCAGTAATTGAGAAGCATCCGTGCAAAACCGGCTATATCCACTTTAATAAAATGTTGGGAAAATGGCAAAAACTCTCGGTTTTCTGGCCTTTACAGATAAAAGAAAAAGCAAACTTGAGTTTTGTGGGCTTTGTGGTACTTGATTTATAAGACATACTTTCGTTTTCAAAAACTTTATATTAAGGCCATAATTTCAAAAAATATTTTGGATATAGCCGGTTTTGCTCGAAAACCGAATAAAAAACGAATAAAATGTGAAAAAAACATTTATTATTTAAAAATATTAACAAAATAAATTTAGTGCAAACATGAAAAAACAGAACAAATTTTAGTAACGGGTGATTCATTTAGACCTTTTTTTTTAATTCTAAATAAAACGCATAAAATGGAATTGGATGGAGGAATCTTTATTATGACCTGAAAGAACAATCTTTGACATTTATTTTTTGGCAATAATTTCATTTAAATGCTGGCCACGACGGCACACACAGCGCGCGAAACAATAGCTTTATTGAGAAATCATTTTGGTGAGCAGATAATTTCGCGTTTTGGACCTGTCAATTGGCCGCCTAGATCGTGTGATATCACACCCTTGGACTTTTTTCTGGGGTCATGTTAAATCAAAAGTCTTCGTCGATAAGCAAGCTACGATTCAGGACTTAGAAGCCAACATTACTCGCGTAATTGGGCAGATACCGGTCGCAATGCTAGAAAGAGTGATCGAAAGTTGGACCTTCCGAATAGACCACGTAAGGCGTAGTCGCGGCCAGCATTTAAATAAAATTATTTTCAAAAAATAAATGTCAAAGATTGTTCTTTCAGGTCATAATAAAGATTTCACCATCCAATTCCATTTTATGCGTTTAATTTAGAATTAAAAAAAAAGGTCTAAATGAATCACCCTTTAGTAGTATCGACATATCCAAGCCACATATTATTATTTATTGGATATAGCCGGGTTTGCTATAAAAACGTGGATTTGGCCGGTTTTGCTCCAAAAGCTACCTTTTAAATGTGATTTTAACATGGATTTAGTCTGATTTAAACTGAATTATCTTGGTTGTCGATAGAAATGAACCCAAAGATGCGAAATAAAAAAAAAACAAAAACTGAATAAAATGGATTTAGCCGGTTTTGCACGGATGCTCCTCAATTATTAGTTTTTATTCCCAGACAATACAAAAACGGTTTTTGAAAAATAAAATGTAAAACATTGTTTTAAAATAAGTAAATAATAAGTAGATAAAAATGGTGAGAGAAGCGAGCTAGATCAGATCACCTATATTAGAGATGTGCTAATAACGTCAATAATAAAAAAGTACAAACAAGGACCAAATCTGCAAAACCAGGACAAAACCAGTACACAATTGAAACCAGAAACTACGTGGTGCGGGGTGTAGTATAAATAGATAGGTACTATATAAGTATTTTAATAATACAAAATTTATTATAAAATATAATTTATAGTATTATTTTTGTATTTTTTTTTGTTTTAATAAATATCACATGGACCAGTTGCGGACTAAGGGGGGAGGGCGGTCCGCTCCGGGCCCCCGGTCCAGAAGGCCCCCCAAATCTGAAGTAGTCTTTCTCAGTCCAATAATTGAGCCGGCGGTTTTTTTTTTCGAAAAAAACGAAAAAATTGGGAAATATTTAGAAAATTTTTTATTTTAACATAACTTCATTTAATTTAACACTTATAAAATTATAATTTTGTAATTGGAATTGGATATTTTTAATGGACCCGTTTTTGCAAAGTAGACCCAAACGACAGTATATTAAACGTTTTCGTTTATTTTCTTAAACAAATTTAATTAAATTCAATGTTTAGTTATATTTTTTTTATAAGGATATTAAAATTATATTAAATTGTTGATTGCTACTTTTTTTTAAATGTATATATTTAAAAAAAATCCCAAAAAAGTTTTTTCCCAATTTTTCCGTTTTTTTTTCAAAACCCTAGTATAAATATAAATATTTTAGGACCCAGCTTCACAGAAAGAAAAACTGTACGCAAAATTAATAAACTGCTGTCGTCAATTTTTTGTACATTAATATTATGTATTGGTGTTTATTATAATAATATAATTATAATAATAATATATATAAATATATAAATATATATAAATGTATACAATGCTTTTTCATCATAGATTAATACATAAGTACATTGAAAGCATAAACTAGTCAACATCAAAAATTAATTATTTCCTTCTACAATATAATAATAAAAATTTATTGAATTAACTATTGACGATCATTAAAGTTTAATAAAGTTTAATAAAGTTTAATGATTAAACGATGTTCTTTATCTTTAAAACAATAAATTTTTTGTCATAGATCCATGAACAGCAAAACATAAATAATAATAAACTGTCTTCATTGTCCCAACGGTCACTAAACATTGATTTTACGAACTTAACCATTAACTTCTTAAAACGCGCCAAAATTAATGCTACCGTACGCACAACGGGACGCACAACGGGATGCACAACGTTGAACGTACGAAGAATAATACGAAAATAGGCATTAAATGCAAATTAATATCGCTTGATCGCCGCGTGGCAACAAAACAGGTGGATAGCGCTGTTCTTATTGGACAATTCGTACGCGTTGGCTTGGTAAAAACCGGCAACGTTGCGGGCTAAACAAGAACCGTATGCTTGGTTTTTATATACACGAGGGATGAATAACGTACTAAATATATCTTATGGGCTTTACAACGTACCATAAATAAAGTGATCATTAAATTAACTTATATATTTACCCCTCTTGGTATTTCCTAAATTAAATTATGTTAACAAACACTTAGCAAAGATATATACTCGTCTAACCACGTTAGAAATGGTGGGTGGTAGAGCGCCCCAATAGTATCTCGGGCTAAACAACATACCAATTATACGTATATATATATATATATATATATATATATATATATATATATACATAACACAGAAGAAAAAAAATAAAAAAACAGTGGTGTATCCAGGGGGTGTCCGAACACCCCTTAAATTCAACTGGTGCCTGCGGGGCTGATTAATAAAAATCCTGGATACGCCACAAAAATAGTATTTAAAAAGTTTTAATGTTTCTAAAAATGTTTAACATTATTCTTAAATGAATCATATGATATTGCTTTTGGTCCGAGGTTCCCTTATATTCCTTATTAGTATGGATTATTTTTAGTTTTTAATATTAAAAGCATCCATTAAATACTAAATAAACCACAAAATCCTTAAACATAACGATAACATAAACCACCATTAATTTTCAAACCAAATAAAAATGTTTTACAGAATAATAAAATAATAAACAAAAACACCTCATTAATTTAAATACACATTTTTTATAAATCTAAATAATATTATAACAAGCCATTTAATACAGAAAACGTATATCTACGTATATACTTACCAAAAATTTATTTAAGCACAAATACACAACATAAGAAATTGCTATTAACAGTGCAAAATCTGAAAGACAAATGACCCTAATAATAATAATAGAAGATGCAACTGGCGACGTGAATTTCGGTTTGATATTTAAAAGTAGTTGACCTTGCATCATAAAAAAACTGTTGTTTTTTCAACTTTAAATTTCTATGAGTAATAAACAATCATCAAACTGTAAAAAATGTTAAAATAAAATGTAACTTTTTTAAAAAAATTTTAACAATACTTTTTATTTTAAATAGTAAAAGTTATTATTCAGTTTTATATTTTTTAATTCAATTAGCAATCTTTAAAAATTACAGTTTGAATGGCAAACTATAAAAATGTTGGTTTGCACTGTAATTTTTAATCGGCGAGATAAGAAATTATATTATTTGAAATTGTAATAAATACTTCACCGGGAACCTTAATTTTTTATAGTTTTTAATGCTAATTTCCGGTCGTTAAACGACCATAATTTCAGGAATAAAAAGGCAATAATATTTTTCAATTTAATTTTGCTCAAATTACTTTTAAAACTGTAAAACTTGCGCTCTACATTGTGATATTCTTATTGCTATTTAAGTTTAAAAAATTACCTAATAAAGTTGCGACGTTTGCACTTTTCCTTTCAAAGCGACAGTTTTTACAATTTGAATTGTAATTTTTCCTGTTTTCTATTTTCCGTGTATTTGCAATTGCAAAATCAGAAATATTTAATTTTGGAAAACCACTCCGCGTGAAAAATCAAGGTACCACTTCCACTCTATAGGCAAATACTTAAGGATTTGGCGTAAGGGGTTGTAAAAAAGAACAAGGTGGGCCGCTTTTACAAAAACCGTCCCAGGCCGTTTGAAACATGCCCATCCGCCCCTGATTAACTGCATTATTGTTCTGTGCATTAATGGTAACTGTTATTATTTTTATTTTCTCCATGTACCTAATTCTTTTTTGTGCATTACAATTTTTTTCTTTAGAATAATGTTTGTCTAAATTTCTATTTAAGAAAATGAGTTCGATTTATGAAAATTTATGAAAATATTTAAAAAAAATGAGTTAATCTATAAAAGATCTATAAAATTCTAACAATAAATATAATTTTTATATACTCAATAGTTATACTATTGTAGTTTGCCAAAATAAATAATTTCGTTATAAAAATAGTGACACTTAAACAACTTGCCCAAAGAATTTAAGTTCAATATGTTTGCTTCATTTTGAACCAATTCCTAGCTGGGTAGATACATAGGTACAACTTCAGGGTGTATCGATAGGCTTTCTTTATTTGTTTGTCCAATATTGCCACAGTAGTGGCACTACAGCGTGCTATAAGCGACAGTCACAGTTTAAAAAATTAGTAGTATTATTCTGCACGGATTTGTCAATAAACTTTTTCGTTAGGCCTGTCATAGCAAAACCGACAATCTCCACTTTTGGTCAAAAATTAGATTTTTGGCGGAGACTGTACTTCAACTAATTATCTATAAGATGATTAAGTTTATGTGCTGCAAAAGAAGCTAAATCCTGCCTAAAATCCTATTTTAAAAATGACATTTAGTGCAAAGTCGACAATATCCACTGATAGATTTGCAGCAAAGTATACAATCTCCAATTCCACCATTAGAAATTAGTAATTTGTGTCACCTGACATCCTAACATTTGATGTTATAACGTATTTTAGAGATTTAATTTTGTGTTTTTTTTTACTGGAACATACTGTTAAGTTCTATTGCAGTAAATTGCCCTAAAAATATATTTAAAATAGGTATATATACGTTTTATTGATTAAGAATTAAGAATTATAAAAAAAGTTTTCTTGTTTATTTTGTGCTATTATACCATAATAAGACGTAAAGGTAAAGCAAGAAAAGGCTGATAATGTCAAAACATTGCAAGTAAAACATTACGGAGCAAAGTGGGAAGAAGTACTATAAAAACTTTTTTGCACGTGGCAACCTGGTCCCAGATTTACAAGAAACTCCAGATTTATGTGGTCCAGTTCAGAATTTTCCCACATTGATTGTATAGTTAAATTTTATAACCATAAAAATACAATTATTTTTTTGTTTATTTTTCTAAATCTCCTTAAACGTTTACAACAAAATGAGCGATCTCCAGCAGTTCATATCAAAGTCAGCAATCTCCAATTTATAATTACAGATTTCACCTATACTATGTATCCTGGAGACCTTGTAGTTGGCTGCTAGACTAACAACAACAATATTTCAATATAATATATAAAAAAATTACAAATCTAGAATTTAAAATGCCAAAATCAAATATCTCAATTTACTCAGTTTTAGTCTGACGGGAGATTGTTGACTTTGCTCTGACAGGCCTCAAGTAATCAAAGACCACACTTGCATGGTGACAATACTGTCAGTTATGGTCCATCACACCTACCTATAACAAAGGTCTACACAGTTTTTTTTAATAAAACTTACTATTTTTTTTGAAGATTTTTGACGTACTAAATCTAAATTCGACTACAGAATTGCTCCATTAAATCAGGTTTTCGAGAAATTCTAAGTTAGAATTTCTAACCTACAATATTTGAGGTAACACACTAACTCACTACGTCATCTGAACTACTAAGTAATACTAAAAAAGAAATTTTAGAATTTTTCCAATATCCTTTCTCTTGTTCGAGAAATCATTTTATTTGGTTTGGGTAAAAGTTTGATTTATCGTTTTGATAATAAAATTAAAAGGAATAATATGTCGAAAAATTTAAAATGTTAAAAGATTGGATTGGTTTTAAGAAATTAAGCATTGAGCGGAATTATAGAAGCCAATTTAACTTAAATAAACATTAATAAGACCAATTTTTCTTTGTTTTATATTTTATTGCACCCCTTTCAAAAACCATATAACGTAATATAAAACTCAACTGTCACCGAGAGAATTAAGTTTACACTACTTGATCGATATTCCATTAGTGGGGTATCAAGTATCTCAACACGGCAAACACATCTTCATTTATAATCATTGCAAATCCCCCTTAAACATTTTAATTTAACCACTTCATTATTTTGTAGGTAGCCCTAAAACGCCAACAAGCCGCTGAAGACGCAATCGCTCTGCATCTGGTATCAGCTGAAAGCGGCCGTACCTACGACTATTTACCCCCGGGTCGTATATACGGCATGCAAGTGACGTCACCGAAACCTGACTCGCCAGGAAGTACCACAGAGCCCCAAGTGACACCTCAAGAAACTATGGAGGAAATCCTGGTGAGTCCGGCCTCTCTGGAGATGTTGGGAAAGTTATTCCCCAACAAAAAACGTTCGGTTCTGGAGTTAGTGCTAAAAAGATGCAACCACGACCTTCTTAAAGCCATTGAACACTTCAACCTTGCTCCAAACAAATCCGAGAACGACTCGGACGCAAGCGCAACCAAAGAAGAACCTACTAGCAGTTCTGCGTTTAAACCTGTTGGTTCTACGTCAAGTAAGCTGCTTTCAAAGCCGCTACCTTCTCCGCATGTCGGCAGTTCTTCGTTTATTTCCAGCAGTAAGGTTTTCATGCACAGGTTTTATCCCTTTTTACCGTTGTTTAATCCGCAACCCCTCGGGTGTCAGCCTGTTTTGCCGAACCCCGTATACGTGCCTGGGTTTTGCGAGTGCGAGCAGTGTAATAGCTATTTAAATAGTAAGATTTAAGTTTTTTAAATAATTTTGATTAAGTTCAGTTTTTTTTATTTGGACTTGAGACGTTTGATTATGTTAGTTTTGTTTCTTGGTCTTAGAGTCATCTTCACAGTGACAAATGTCAATAAAACCCACTAGATGGCGCTATTGCTCCATAAATCCTCACATGCAGTGACCGGCAAAAGTATGGAACAAATTCATTAAAAAATGTTTCCTTTCTCCCCAAAAAAATTCCTTGATTACGTCGATGTTGCTTTTTAATTCCGCCATTTTTGTATAAACTATGACGTCATCGGTCGTTGTTTTTAAATTGTACCCCCTCTTTTTTGCAGATTCGAACAGATTATGAAATTCTGAATTCAGCAATATGCACATGTATACCTTTTGGGATGATAGTTTTGGCTATTATTAAATTTAAAAGTTCGTGATTTAAAAAGTTCCTTCCTATTTGTAGAATAATAAACTGTAAAAGTTTTATTTTGAAATGAAATACGAAGTGTGTTCAGAAAATATCGGAAATTTTCGTTTTTTGAAACAAATATTTATTTATTTGTCTACATTAATGTTGTCGCCTTCAAAATAGTCCCCATTGAATATTATGCACATAATACTCGATATTTGGGATAGCCTTTGGTTCTTTCAGCGATGCGCTTTTTATGTCATCTATGCTTGCAAAACGATGGCCCTTTAAGGTTCTATTTATTTTTGGGAATAGGAAAAAGTCAGACAGAGGCATGTCTGGCGAATATGGAGGCTGCGGCATCATTAGAGTATTGTTTTTGGCAAAAAATTTAACAATTTTAAAACAAATTTTGCTGCCACGCTGTTCATACCCAAAACATTCGATATCATGGGATGAGCCAATCGATATACAAACATCATCAGCGACTTCTCTGATGGTTTATAACTATTTATTCCACTTTTCCATGTTTTTATCGGTTGTTAATGTGCTTGTGCGTTCGGGGCGTTCGTCATCTTCAACGTCTTCACGGCCATCATGGAAACTCTTATACCACTTGTAAACTCTTTTTTACTTATAGCAGACTCACTATAGGCCTTTGTTAACATTTCACAGATTTTTTTTCACAGATAAAGTAAACAATGAAAACAGCTAAAGTTTTTATCATACTTCGGGGGCATGTATACCAACATAATAAAGAAAATTTTATGACAACCGGACCCTCCGAACCCGCAAAATTTAACAATTTCCGTTATTTTCTGAACACACCTCGTATTTTGAGAAAGTTTAAAAACATTTCTTCTATAAACACTTTTTAATTTTATCAAAACTATAAAACATCAAAACAAAAACTATAGTATATATACTTAAATTTTACACAACTACAAAACTATCAGTCCAAATGTGCATATTGCTGAAATCAGAATTTCATAATCTATTTGAAACTACAAAAAAATGGGGGTACAATTTAAAAATGGCCGATTACGTCAGAGATTCTACAAAAATGGCGGAAATATAAACATTGTTATAGAAATAATACTCTAATAAGTATTATTTCTATGAACATTGTACATCAAAATATGCGTAATTGAAAAACAAAATCGACCTGTTCGAGCGTTTTTTTTTAAGGCGAATTTTTTGATGAATTTGTTATATACTTTTGCCGGTAACTGTATAAGTTCCGCTTATTCGCTATATTTTGTAAAGATGACCTTAATTCCTTTTTTGAGAGGAAATTTGTGCATTTGCCGTATCACTTAGTGATGCCGCGAGACGAGACGAGACGAGAAAAGTCCTTCTCTCGTCTCGTCTCGTGCAGCGAGAGAAAATGGGTCTCTCGTCTCGTCGAGAATACTCTTTTCTCGCTCGAGAGTGCCTTTCTCTCGTCTCGTCTCGTTTCTCTCGTGGTAAAAGTACCTGTATGAATACAAAAATTATTTGCAATTAAATACGAATTCGTTTATATTTTTTCTATATAAATTTAAACTGGAAATAAAAAAAGATTTTGCCAAGACCACACTGATAAAGTAAGACTTTTTACGCCGAAAATGTCGCACATTTGAATCAAATGGTTGGATCTATGTGGAGTAGTTACATATATAGATGTAACTGTAACACTGAGAAAAAAGTTTATTGCTCCCAAATAAAAAAAATATTTAAATATGGGACAGTATATTTATCCTAAATATATTTGTATTCCCGACACATAAAGTTTTACTTAAGTATATTTATCGTTATTATTTCGACTATTTAGAGGTAATAAACAATATATTCACTATTAATAAAAGGATTAGCTATAGCTAAACTGTGTATACACAGTTTATTTGTCCCATTTTTTTTCTCAGTGTAGTATATAGGCGCAGTAGTTTTCAGATGGATGGATCAAATCATCCATCCATCTGAAAACTACTGCGTCTATATGATGTAACTACTCCACATAGATCCAACCATCTTGTACCTACTGCGCATGTCCGTCATTTTGAATCCGCAATTTTGTTTTTTCAATGGATATCAAATTCTTAACCAGGGACCCCATAAATATCTAAATACTAAATTTTACCCAAACCATTAAAGCCGAAAGACAAATTTTCGTCATATTGGATCAGCCATTTTATTTTTTGAAGAAATGGATATCAAATTTTTAATCAGCCCCTCAAAAACCACATGTTGTTGATAAGTTCATTGAATAAGCAATGCTTATTAAGCACGGGTTGTTTAATAGTATAAGGAGTGCCATAAATGTGCTTATACAGGGTAAATTTTAAAAATTAATATTATTTTATAAGTAATTTTTTTCTTGGTTACCTTAAGTTGTGTTATAAAATAATAAAACGTTATACAGGAACAAATTTTGTTTATTATGATATGCGAATAATGTTCTCATTGGTCCAAATAAATATCGCAAAATTAAAATTTGTATGTAAAAAAATTGTTTACTTATTACCGGAATAATCGAGAGAACGAGAGAGATCGAGAGAAACGAGAAATTCTCGAGCGAGAGAGGGCTTTCTCTCGTCTCGTCTCGAGCCTTTTTTCGAGAGAAAATCTCCCTCTCGTCTCGTCGAGACGAGACGAGACGAGACGAGAGGCGAGAATCTCTCGTATCGGCGGCATCACTGGTATCACTTACCTTAAACACACAAAATTATGATATTTATAATGACATGTTTATAACAGCAAGAATTTGGCAAAGTCGTATTTCTACAAAGTTGGCCAAAAGGTTTTTATCATAGACATATTAATATGCAGATGGTTTTTATAACTAACCATTTTGTTTGTTCTCAGTTGTATACCAATTGTTTTGGCATTGTTTTTTCCATTTTTTTACGACATTTTTAGTGGCTTTTACATAATATGCATATTATGCCTCTTTTGCCTTTTACAAAGCCAAACCTCAGAAATTTATGTAAGCGATGTGTAAGCAAATGATTTAGAAAACATTGATATAAACTAAATTTTATTTAGTTGACAATTCGCATCATACTTGGTCGTATTAATATGTCTATGGTATCACTTATTTTAAATCCCCCACAAATATCAACTCAAAAAGGAAACAAGGTCATCTATACAAAATATAGCGGTATATGTGTGGAAGTATGTGAATAAATCCATATACCTATAGGTATACCTGTGTGGTAGGTATATGAATAAATTTGATTCTTATTTAGCATCTATTATTTTCACTAGTTTAGTTTGTTTGAACTGAATCCCTAAATTTTTCACGCTGTCAAAGTCCAAATAAAAAATGAAGTTATTTCTAATTTTTAGTAATTAAAAATAAGTTTTTTAGTGTTTTTATTATTGTTACTTAAGTTTTGTGATATTTATTTAAGTTATTGTAAATAGGTACATATATATGTGTTATAATATTAGAAATAAAATAATTTACCCAACAAAATTTTTCAATATTATTTTCTATTTTGTACCACTAGCTACATACATACATATATTAGTATTATAATTTTAATTAAAAAAATAGATGTTAAATTGTAGTTTCAACTTGCACACTAATACTTGATAAATGATTCAAATATGAAAATTATAAAAACGTATAATACAAATTTGGAAAATATAATCAGTTACGTCCCTGATGGTGATGGTGATATTTAACAATAAACCAATATAACCTCAAAGTAAAAAAATAAACGATTTCTATAAAACTTAAAACGCTGCAACCCAAAAAGAGTCCCGCTATACCACCAATATAAACTAAAACAAACAATATTTACAAAAAATTATAATTTATATTAAATTTTTACCTAAGAAGTCTGAGAACCCAAATATAACATTCCTCTTAAGTCTCATCTTGGGGTACTTCAAGCCCCACTGCAAATTTGACCCTAGAAACCATTCCCTCGTGTCAAATTCTTCAACAAAATAATTCACTTCATCGCAGTTTGCTATGCATTGACAATTACCTTGTATTAATTGTTCTGAAATTATTTTTTGTAAGATTATGTTGTTTTTTTTTGTATGTACCTATATACCTTTATATCTTGAGAGGCAGTGTAAGCCAGACACATTGCAAACTTTGTCACTAGCTAAAAATCGTTTGGTTACAATAAACATATTACTTATTTAAAATATATTTTTACCTAATTGTCTGTAAAAGTGAGGTACACAACCACAAAGCCTATTGGCCATGTTGATTCTGCATTCGGTTCTGCATAGAACATAAGAATAAACTGGCGAATGCCTCAAATTACTTTCGTAATAAAAACGGCATTTCCTTTGATTTATATTAAGTTCTCTCGTAGCTTGGCTGCTAAAAATCGTAAGACCTGACAAGTAAAGTTGCAGAAAATATCCATTTGGTGAAATGATTTTTTTACTTGCTATGTCTGCTACCTCGTTGGGACCATGGATGTAAACCTAAGACAATAAATTAGAAATACTGTTTTTACTTTTATTTTATTTAGGTGCACTCTTATGAATTGTTCAAAAATTACTACAGTTATTAGTGGCTGCTTTTTCACTTATACCAGTTCTTATGTAAAATTGTCCGCCTAATCGGAAAATGTCTTCAAAAGTTATAAAAGTAAATCAGTTTTTTTGGTTAAAGTCAATTTTCCAAATAATATGGAATTGGCTACATTGATACTTTTATAATTTTTGACAGTATTTTCGTATTCAGGGGACAATTTTACATAGGAATTTGTTATTATATCGGGGATACCATGCTATCTCATGGTATACCATGGTATAAGTAAAAAAAGCAGCACCATGGTGCTGCTTTTTTACTTATTATTATATATTATTATACTTATTACTATATATTATTATATTATATTTATTGCAATAACTGTAGTAATTTTTGAATAATTTATTTTTAGAGAGCATGTATTTTATTAACTTACTTCAAAACCTGTGGACATATTTACAACATTTGCAAAAACTTCACCATCTAGTGGATTTACATTCAATATTTCGTTTACTGGTAATAATTTCCAACTACCCGATTTCCAAAATCTAAAATAGTTAAGTATATATACTAGGGTGCTTCAAAAAATAAAAAAAAATTTTCGCTCTTACCCTCTCAAATGTTTCTATTTAATATAAAAAAGTCCTCACCAAATATGGGCGTTCCAGCTCAACTCTTCGAGGTCGCTGTTTTTATTTTAGTTTCCCATTTAATTAACATGGAAAAAAATAATTTTATGTTTGAATTTTATACCTCTGTATCAAAGTAACTTATGGCAATGATCATTACAGTTTCGTATATATAACGCTCTACAAAAAATCTCTCTTATTATTTTTCGATATATTTAATTTCTTCTAGAGTTATTCGAGGCCAAAGTTTGATTAACATCAAATTGTATAGGTTTTTTTAATTTTATGGTACAATTAGCAGACAGGAGGTGAAAGGGGGCAAAACAAGGCAGCGAGGGGGGGCAAAATGGGGTACCCAAAAAATGGGCATTTCCAAAATTGTACCATCCTTTTTCTCGCTCTACAGACTCAGAATAATTATTTTCGATTAAAATCGTGAACTTGTGAGTCAATATATTTTCAAATAATTTAGATACCGAAAAAAACAATCTAAAAAAAATTTTTGTACAAAATTTTTTTGGGTACCCCATTTTGTCCCCCGCTGCCTTGTCTAACCCCCTTTCACCTCCCGTCTGCTAATTGTACCATAAAATTAAAAAAAAACTTTGACCTCGAATAACTCTAGAAGAAATTAATTTATCGAAAAATAATAAGAGACCTTTTTTGTAGAGCGTTACATTTTATATAAGAAACTGCAATAATCATTGCTATAATTTTCTTTGATACAAAGGTATAAAATTTCAAACATAAAATTAGTTATCCCCATGTTAATTAAATGGGAAGCTAAAATAAAAACAGCGACCTCTTAGAGTTGAGCTGGAACGCCCATATTTGTTGAGGATTTTTTTTTATATTAAATAGAAATATTTAAGAGGGTAAGAGTGAAAAAAAAATTAAATTTTATTTTTTGAAGCACCCTAAAATATACTATAGATTTTATATCCCAGCTAACAAAATTGATTATGTAAGTGTTGTTAGAACTGCTATACAACACATATTATAGAAACGCTAAAATTGTATAATGCGTTTAAAAACTACTATACAACACTTACTCAACCAAAAAGGGCCCCGTTTTATAAAACAGTTTACTTCGTTAGCAGTTATATAAATACACTACACAACCCTTATAAAACTCAGTATCAGTATACTGGGGAACTGCTACACGATTATACTATAGCGGTTTTACTCTGCAGCTTAATTGCACTTTACGAATATTTATAGAATATTAAAACAAGCATTTTATAAGTATGTTATAATGCGACAGAATCGTTATAAGAACATCAATTTGTTTCCTTCTCTAGAAATTAGGAATGGAGTGGGAAATTTTTATCCTAAGACTATTTTATAATGCGAATTATGTTGGATGTCAAACGGCTAAGATCCAAAATGGTGCTTGTTGTTTATTATGTAAATATAATTATTAAACCTTTGAGATTTACGCTATCGAGGACAACATCTTCCTGCGGAGCAATCTTTTCTGACAATATATGTATATATTTTTAACGAAAAATTAAAGCGCCAGTTAACAAACATACCTACTAAAAATTATTTAAAAAAAAAATTAATTTTTTATTTGACAAAGTTTCATGTTTTTTAATAATATTATTGTTTTATTTGTTCAGTTTATAATTGACTAGTCTTAAGATAACATTAATTTTTTTCAAGAAAATTCATTTTTAATTGACAGTTTTAACGTTTGTTGGTAAAATTCACACAATGGCGGCGATTTATAAACAATTGATCGGTCAATAAATATGGCGTTTTTGTTATAAAATGGTTTTGTCTTTATAAAAACGTTATACAATTTATCTGCTCTGTCGCGTGCGTTATACGATATTTAGGTTCTGTAAAGTTGTTTAATACAGGCGCTATAAAAGTAAACCAAGAAACTGACATTTGAGATGTTGCCAGATTTTATCTGTATTTTTCAAATTATTTGTTTTTTTTTTAGAATAAAATACTCATTTTTGGTGCAGTTAGGTACATCAAGTAAAATTTTATTTATCCTGCACGACGTTACCTTCATTTTTTTATGCAAATAAGGATTTGTAGGTAACACTGCTGCCTAAAATAACAACCCTGTAAGTTCATTTTTCGTATTGGCTATAACGCCTTTGCCTACTGCGCAATAGAACAATAATATCGCTTAAGGTATGCATTGTACCGCACTATACAATTGTGTTCTGTTTTATCCACTTTTTAGCGGTACCTTCTTTATCTACATGTGACCTAACCTATTTTTATTTTTTTTTAAATGCCCACTTTTCTTAATTTTTTTCCATTGCGACTCCATTTTAAAAAAATACTTAACTTATTTTGGCGTAATAAGACAATAAATGTATAAACAGACTTAAGTAATAAAATTATAACGCAGAACTTGCGATAATTTTATTTTATAAACTTTCTATAAAGAAGTTAATCGGTGTAGTTATAGGATAATTATAAAATAACTTTATACTTATTGTGTAGTGTGTTTACTTCTGCTTAAAAAAACAATTTTTTAATGTATCTTATAGAGCTTCAATACAACTTTTATACAAATTCTATTACAACTATCATAAAACGTTGAAACTACAAGTATAAGAATAGGTATACAACTCTATTATAACTTTTATACAACTCTTTTAAAATAATTTTATAAGGGATTGTATAAAACGTTATACAATGGTTAAAAAATGTGTATGAGTTTGGTTCTATAACACGAGTTGTAAGAATATATATACAATAATGTATTAGAATTTCGTCGTTTTTACGATAAAATTATTGTATTAAGACGCATTAAACAATAAAAATGTTCTTTTTGCAGCTCTAGACGATAGTTATAAAACAATTCAGTTCTTTAAGGGATTTATTTTGCTAGTTGGGATAGATTCTATAGGGGTTGTTATAAAAATAAACTTGTAAACAAAGTAATGGCATAGTTGTTGAAATTGAACAAATATTTAAGGCATATTTAATTTTTTTTTTATTTAATTATAACTTATTATTATTTTATTCATGTGATCCCGGCGCCTTCTCCATTTTTGCAATCCCAATTCTAACTGGTATAGATGTAAAAGTTTGTTTGGCTAATTATGGGGGGTGATTTTCAATAAAATATTAAAAATAAAATAAGGTGGTTTAATTTTTCATTTTAGTATATTTTTAACTTACCCTGGGGAATTATAGATAGCCAATTCGCTATTATAACTATAACATATACCCATTTCTGACATAATCTGCGTTAAGTTATACTGACTTCCAGTCAAACCAGAATTCGTAACATATGGTTTAAAAGTAAACTGTATTTCCATCAAAATATTTAAAAACTCCGAAGCTGGAATATCGTAATAGGGCAAAACATTCTCAAAATTGGTGTAAGTTGCCTCTGAAAGCGACTGCAAAAACAACTTTAAATAAGTTTTGTTTTTTGCAGAGGATTTTTCAACGTAAGCGTCCAGTTTTTCTTCGTCGAATCTGTTAGAAGGGCAAATTGTTGCAGCTGGAAAAGAGGTGTTCCAGGAGAAATGGTCTCTTTCCATGGAAATTACTGTAGGGTTTTGGGTGAATCGGGTCATTGTTGCCAAACTGACCTATAAAAAAAGAAACAAGATATGGAACCTTTTTCTGATTATATAAGTGTCAACAGCCATTTTGCTACAGAGTAACCATTAACTTTTCTAAAGTAATTTTGGAGCGTTGATTTCATTTTTCTCAATGAGCTTGTTTTCAAGATATTGTGAAAAAACGTTTTTTTCGACATGCAAACATTTAAATTTGCAAATATATATTTTTTAATCAAATACTTTAACAAAGATATCGATATATTTGAAAATATATATTAAATAGTTTTAGTTGAGATATTAATGAAGAAACGTAAAAAAGTTACCCGATTGGCTCCAAATATGGCAGCAACCACAATGCTGATCCATAATATGACCTCCATTGGGTGCCTACCACCCACAGAAATATGGTAAAACCCATGAATACTGCTCATACTAAAATAATGGTTAATAAAATCGACAAACATCCTCCATTTAGAGCTTTTCAATTTTTCTGATTTATTAAATTTTGTTTTTTCGAAAACTTTTACGGCTTTCTGCTGCATTTTTCTGACCATCTTGTCTGGAAAAATGTCGAGTAGTTATTGAAAAAATCAATGTGTAATTTTGTAAAGGTTTTGTTTGCTGAATGGTAGTCAATTTATTGATAAGCACTTCTATTGTTATAAGTTGTTAATAATTCAGAATATTAAAGATTTATTTATAAAAGTTCAAATTCAATAGTTAATTTGTTGTATGGATTTTTTCTATGATAATATTAAATAATTATATACCTATGGGCAAGGCCGCCAAGAGCGGAAACAGGCCCTGGATTGTTTAGCCTTTTGGGCCTCTAGTGTCTTTTAGGAATTTATTTAGCTATTTGTATGGCCTACGGCCCCCTCTCATTGGCCCTGCCAGGTGATAGATAGAGGCAGGGCCGCCTCTAGCGAGCATGCAGTGCATCAGTACTTTGTAACGATAAACTTTCTTGCAAATAAATAAATACTTGAACATACATAGGATAAAGGTTACCGCCTTTCTTTACGTCGGCTTCATTAATGCCCTATGCCTCTATTTTTTCGGCCGCTATAAAGCGCCTTTAGCCGCTTTGATATTGGCGGCATAATTTTTTTTTGATATGAGTATCAAAATAAATAATATATTTTTCTACAACCGAGCGAAAAGTACAAATTTGCGCTTTCAAAAGAAATCGCCGAGCGACAAAGTATCCAAAACGCTCGCTTAGTTAAGTACCATGGAAACCATAATAACGAAACGTCTAGTATAAAAAAGTCAAATTTGATGTTATCAATAATTTTTAATTATTACCAAACATTTATATAAAAACACCGTTTTTAGAAAAAATCCTGTGTGTAACTCGAGCGCAAAGTGACATTGCCGCTCTCGCAAGATAGCCGCGCTCCGCTAAGCGGCGCGCGTCAAACTTCTCCCTCAGAGCGACAATATATCACTTTGCGCTCTTAATACACAAATAGCTATAGTATTTGTTTGATAGTTGCAGTTGACGGTAGCAACAGTTGTTTACACAGTACATGAGCTTACTCTCTAAAACTCAATAATAATTATCGACAACAGCAATTTGTATCCGGGACATTTAGCAGTCAATTCCTATGTAAAATTGTCGTCAAAAGTTATAAAAGTAAAACAGTTTTTGAGATATAATATGGAATTAAATATTCCAAAAACTGCTCTACTTTCATAATTTTTGACGGTCTTTTCGGATTCAGGGACAATTTTAAATAATAATAAGCTGTTAAATATCCGGACATTTTTGACTAATTAATTTTTAGAGAGTAGGTACGTCACTAAAAACCAGTTGCAGTTATTATGTATGTTCTTTGTATGTTTTGTTTTCTTTGGAGTATTTTTATTACTAAATATTTTGTTGTGATTTTGTTTGTATGGTAATATAATAAGCAGTTTTTTTACATTTTCAATTACATATTGCCTGTTTGTTACAAAATATATATTTTTTAAATTTAAGGGCATTAAATTAAAATATTTAATGTATTATATTCAAATATAAAAGGGGCGCATCAAAGAATGCTGCACGTAGGCGCCAGACACCCCAGGAACGGGCCTGGATAGAGGATATGAAATGTAGATTAAATAAATAGAATTTTTAGTGTCCGACCGAAGCTTCTGCAAAAAATATTACCGCGTGTAAATCCACAAGTTTTCTAGTAGGAAGTAGGCTTCGGCTTAATTTTGACCAAAGCCGAAGGTAAAATTTTTTTATACATTTATTTAGCACCGGCGGTGGCCGATGCCGAAAGTGGGTAAATTATCACACATATATGTATACTTTAGATAAATGCTCACAATCGAATATTGAACAACTTTTATTTACTTTTGCCTGGGTTCAAAAATCGCCAAAATCGGTCGAAATTTTTAGTCCCTTTTTTATCAAAATTTTCTGTTTATCAGAAAGTTTGGGGAAAATTTGGGGACAGATCGGATCTGTTAAAACATTTAAATCAATTAGTTGTTATTTGGCATTAGCCGCAGCTGCAGTAGGCATCAGTCGGCATCTTAGAAAATGAAGACTAATGAATTCCCAGAAAAATGAGGATCCGAATTTACTTCCGTATCTTTATCAAATTTTTTAAATAAACAAATTTTGAAAAATGCAGATTTTTTCAAAATCACCAAAATTTTGTTCCCAGTCATTGGAAATATTAGAAAATATTATAGGAACGTCGAAAAATGCCGATTGCGGAAATGTTGGGGGTGGGACACCCCCTTGCTACGTCCCTGTTTGAATATACATGTTATATAACTAAACTAAAACTCTTTAAAAAAATATGAAATGACCAAATGCTATCTTAGAACTCCCCAAAACTGTATAAAATTAGCCAAATTTAAAATTGTTCAAGACGACTCGAAACTCTCAAAAATTACCCAAACTGTCTAAAATGACGAAAAACTATCAAAAAACATTCTAAAATTATCTTAATTTTGTTTATGAAATGAAAAACTAAAAAACTATATAAAATGTGCCAAAACTAGCAGAAATATACCTACTAAAACTAAAAATTTCCCAAATCATATAAGAACGGTCTAAAATAAAATTGTATTAGAAATGTTTAAAAGTCCTAAATAACCCATTTTTTTAAATTGTCAGTTATCTAAAATGGCCTGAAATGTATAAGAACTGTATAAAATGACCAAACACTGTCTAATAACGTCATAAATCTGTCCTAAAATTATCTTTATTATATGAAAAAATGCATTAACAAACTTAGTTTCTCCGACTGTACATTGATTTTTATCCCCTTTCACGTGGTACCTATATGGTACAGTGGTACAGTGTATTACCACGTAATAGGGGATACAATCATAAGATAAAATAATCCACATCTAATAGCCGTTGTTATGGAAACAACTGAAATAAGGTGAGTCTCTTTTAAAACAATTCAAACCTATGATTTTTAATGTTTCCATGATTGTTATCTTATTTTGTAATATAATGTAAAATACCTATATGTGTTATACAAAAAATATGAATGTATATGAATTGACCATTCCATTTTTGGCAAGGTATCTACAATCTCACAAAAATGTGTTGAATATAAAATTTAAAACCAAACCCACTAGTGACAATACAAACGAGTACCTAAAATGAACGTTTTTTTCACATTTTCGGTAATATTTTGTAAGTATTCAATTTAGCTATATTTATATTATACTCAGCTATGGACGTTTCAGTTGAAATCAGAAAGTTATTGACATTTACCAAATACCCTGTCTAACATTTTGGAATACTATTAATGGCTTCTAATAGGATACTTTTTGGTTAACGTATCACTTTATGTATATTTTTTTTAAATTAAAATATCTTAAAAACAATTGATGATAGAAAAAGGATTTAAAATGCAATAGCCCCAGAATTTTAGGAGGATTTTAAAAATGCAATAATATTTATAGGGTTTCATTTTAAAAAACAAAGTTATGGTTGAATCGAAAGTGACAGCGCATTAAAAATATTTTAGGAAAATAGATAGAATCGCCCTATAGCTTTATTTATGTCTTATTTAGTTTTCTATTAACATCTAATGAATCATTTAGGTGAATCATCCTGTATATACCTATAATTTTATACCCTCGGAAAAATGTACATCCACTGATAATGAAACTAATTTTAAAATCTCGAAAAAATTTTCAACCTCGGGTACCTTTTTTATTAAATTTTTAGTGTCTTATTGGGACAAAAACCTACGATTTGTCAAAGTAATGAGATTTTTATTATTTACAGATTTAAGTTTTTTTAATGTTAATAAAATTCTCATTTACTATAATGAAGCAGCATATTTGAGCTTTTATAAAAAAATGCTCATCGAACAAAGTAATAGTTGTTATAATATTGTCATGGCAATAAGAAATACTTTATGTTTATATTAAATCTTTGTCGAACTTAACCCTTAATGTTTTTGTTAAATCTATAGTTGTGTGTGAATTTCGCTTACATAAAGACTTGTTTAAAAAGTTAGTTTATATTTTTTTTATTTTGTACATCATATGTGTTATACCTAATAAATAATTTGTTTTAATACCTTGCAATTATTTAAATAAAAACTACCCAACATCCAACAGTAGGTTGAAAATGTGACCATTGAAAATAGTTTATTGAATTAACAATTATTTTGTTGTTAAATGTACCTACATTAATTTTATTAATATTATAAAAAAGTTTTATTTTAAACGAAAAGGGATTTGTAAAATTTACAAAGGTTATATGAATAATACCATTAGGGTTTCATTAATACTACAAAACGTTTTTGTAAACGGTATAGAACTGTTTTTTGGACAAATAATAATAACTATATTTATCAATGCGTTTCTGCATCTGGAAGAGTGTTATTTTTATAAACATAACGTGAATATACTTTGTAATTAATGCAAATGCTATTACTGAAAGCAGCGTTTGTAGATAAATAATCTTTATAAAAATAATCTTTTCGCCGTAACAAAAGCAATTGTTGGACGAATAGGGATCTTTACTTTATTAAGACAAACTACTTTTTTTGTTATATTTATTAAAAAAATTCTGAGTGTACCTATCACTAATGCATCCGACCTATGATAGGAACAGAATTGGATTTGCAGACTCTTAAAACAAAAAAATATCAACTGTCCTTTTTACAGTGAAAATAAAGAAAATGTTTTATGGGTACCTACCAGGGATGTTGCGGATGCCGATTTTTTCACATCCGCGTATGTGAATGCGGTTGCGGATGCGAATATTCGCAACATCCCTGTAGTATACGATAAGTAATCCACAGCTAAAACAAACACGTAATGATTTATTTACAAGAAACAAATAATGCACCACAAGAAATGCTCCCATTGGTCATGATCACGTGCGCACCCCGCCCAATTTCTTTGTATAACATCCGCATTGATTATTGCGGATGCGGATGCAGATGTCCAAATCTATGCGGAAGCTCCGCATTTGAGGATGCGAATATTCGCAACATCCCTGGTACCTAGTAGGTACTACCTACTCCACTTGGAGTCTCCACTAGAAATTTAAATTTAATTTAGTAATTTAATCTAGTTTACTGCCGGCGAAATTAAAAGGTCAGTACAATGTTCATACAAACTTTTCAAATATTGGAGTTGAGAAAATATTTAATACTTTTGTATTGAGATGATAAAATAATTTTTACATTTAGAATTATTATATTGACAACTAACTTAAGAAATCTAACTAACTTTAGCCCGTGACTAAAAACCTGTTGCTAACTTCAGCTCCTAAGTAAATCGCCATAAAGCCACAACTTGTCAATGTGTATTTAAAAGGTCACTTAGTGTCATGAAAACATGTACGATAATAGCCGTTTTAAGGGTAGGAGTAGAAAAAAAATTATTCAAACAAATACGCTTTTTAAAGCAATTACAAATATCTACTGATAAAAAGTCTTTTATGATGCGGCCCTTACAACCGCAATTTTATTTAGAGCTGCCCCTTAAAGTTGGACAGCCCTGATCTATAGTAAAGATGATAGGTACTACCTTCCTATGTATTAAAATTTAGGCGTTTCTAAAATTAATAAGATTTTAAAAATATTCTTTATAAAATTTTATAAAGTTAAGAAATATGATAGATAGCATTAATCTGTTGTCCATAGCAAAAATATTTGCTTAACGCATGGATCCTACTAAAAGATATCCGACAAACTTTAAATATTTATACAAATATTTCTAAATAGGGTAAGGTCAAGTCGCTACGTTTCCCAATTATTAGCGACGTAACTTTCCATTGCCACTTATCTTACAATTAATTTGAGATCCACAAGAAAACAACTAATGACAATTCTCTAGTAGGGGGGCTATAGGTTAACTCTGATAAGTTAATAAATATATTTATTATTTATAAAAGATATAGATTAAAAATTTAGAAATATCGGTTAGTTATATGTAGATCTTAAGAGAGTTTGCTGCAAGTTTATTAAATTATTTATTTTAATGTAGATAGGAAGTAGACTAAAATTTGTCAAACTGAGTGAACAAAATCGTTTATTTAAGTTTTTAAAGAGATTTTTTAAAAATCGTAAAATGCTGAAAGCTCCTAGTTTACTGCTCAGGAACCCCGTTTTAGGGGTTAGAACCTATGTAAGTAATTTATTTTTAATTATTATCAGGCATTTTTTACCCACGGTCTTTCCATTCAGAGGAATCCAGACTAAGAGCGTCATGTTTTTTAAAATTTAAATTCTTAATAATTGGATATCTAGTTATTAGGAATTTAAATATAAAAATCCTGACAACTCTGTGTATCGGATAAAAAATTAAGTAAGGCAGCTAAGGTTGACATGGTTGACCGATGGTTTTGTAATAGTTCGTGTTAAAAAAAAAAACCAAATTTTGATATTTTCGAAATTATATTATTATTTTAAAACTACATTGGAAACTTGTTTTCTATTTTTTGTAAAGGAACTCCTAGGGTAGAACGTAGGCGCCAGGTTAACCTGGCGCGTACGTGCAGCAATTAAATATTCAAATATAATACAGCCCTAAAATTTAAAAAATATATATTTTGCGACAAACTGGCAATATGTAATTGAAAATGTAAAAAAACTGCTGAATTAATTTCTTAATTACTTAAGTATATATAACACATTTATTAACTTACCAAAACAAACAAAATCACAAAAAAATTTAGTAATAAAAATACCACAAAGAAAATAAAAAAAAAGTTATAAACAATATAATAACTACAACTGATTTTTAGTGACGTAAGCCAAAGATATTATCTTTGACGTAAGCTCTTTACAAAGTCATGCACTGTGTAGACTACTGTTAAACTTTGATACCAACTGCAACCATCAAACAAATACTAAAAATATTATGACAATTTCTCTCCTTTTATTTTAATACACATATCAAAAAAAAAAATTAAAAAGGCGCTTTATAGCGGCTGAAAAAAGAGCGGCATAAAGTCGGTTTCATACAGTTGCGAAATGCGAAAAATGTTTTCATTAGTCCATTTGATTTGGCGGGAAAAGCGTTGCGACGTTTCGACAGATCCTAAGAATTTGCAAGATTTGAAATCTAGGAGGCGGGAATCTTGAGATTGGTCCAATATTTTGCGAAAATCGCACTAATTTGGCGTGCTGCCCATGCGTTTCGCATGCCATTTATGTTTATTTAGTTGTGTGTGTGTCTACCATACACCATGATACCATACTGGGATCATGGTGTATTTTTGGCTGAGCTTAGCTCCTTTGCCACATAAATAATTTAGTTTGTATCGAACTGTTTTAATGTGTTTAGAGTTTTTTTTATAATGGACAAAGACTTTTATGAGGAACATTAATGTTTATTATCCTACCTTTATAGTCACTTTAAGTAAATTAACTATTTAGGTACCTAAAATAGCATGGCAAATATCGCCGAGTAAGAAAACAATGTACCTAAAATAGTTTCCATATAAGTATATGAAATGGGAGTTGCAAAATGCGAATATTCGTATTTCGCAATTAGCATTTCGCATCTATATGAAGCCGACTTAACGCGTTGTTACCATTGGCGTAACTACAGGGGGGCCAGGGGGGCCGGCCCCCTCCCAGACATCGCTGGACCCCCCAGAACAACGCTGACTTTTATCTGTTATAATTTTTTGTTATTACCAAATTTGCAATAGAAATATGTATGTATCATTTACATATCTTAGGTTTTTTTATCAGCTTTCAAAATACGAGTGGGTACCTATTTTAAAACCGCCCTTGTAACCTCGCAACTAGCAATTGTATCTTTTCAACAACAAACAGTTATGCACGGAACAAACGGTCATCAATTATATTTGGACGCGTCCTCAAGATCATATTGTAGTACTTACTTCCTTTCTCACTGGAACTGTTTGATCAAAAAAATTGGTATTTGTGCCTTTTGGAGACAACATCTGTTTTACTTTTTTAAAGATTCCTAGTCACAATAACAGGCGCACCCTAGCCCCCCCCCGGGTCAGATGGCTAGTTACGCCAATGGTTGTTACATACAAAATATTCAAAGACAATTATTTCTGACTTCAGATAATCAAAGAGCATTTTTAACTATTCTATAACGATCTTAATTCAGAAATAGATTTTTGGACGCTTTCTCGTAGCGCGTTACATATTTGTCAAATCAATTTTCAATTAAAAATATGTTTATCAATACAAAGATAATTATAATTTTAGCAAATATTTACATATTTCACAATGCAATTCCATATTTATCAGAACAATTACTACAACGCTCAAAAAGGGTGAAAAAATTGTGTTATAGTTAATATAATTTTGCATTAATTAAATATGTTACACAAAATTGTTCATTTGACCAGTTTTTAAAAATACTTTTTACATAAATTTAGATGTCTCTACAAAATAAATATTTATTAAATACATAAGCACATTTTTAAACTTATTTCAGGCATCATCCAAAAAAATCATAGCAATCCGCAGAGAAGACCAAAGCGTATGGGAACGTAGAGCCCCTTTCTCCCCAACCCACGTACGAAAACTCACAAAAAGAGGCATTAAAGTAATCGTCCAACCCAGCAACAGACGAGCGTACCCCATGCAAGCCTACCTTCACGCTGGCGCAGTCGTACAGGAAGACATATCCGAAGCTAGCATCATCTATGGAGTCAAGCAAGTCCCCATAGATCAGCTAATTCCTGATAAAACGTATTGTTTTTTTTCGCACACTATTAAGGCGCAGGAGTCTAATATGCCTTTATTGGATGCCATATTGGAGAAAAGGATTAGACTTATCGATTATGAGAAGTTAATGGATGATAAGGGACAACGTGTTGTAGCTTTTGGTAAAATGGCTGGTATAGCTGGTACAGTGAATATTCTGCATGGTATGGGACTGAGACTTCTGGCTTTAGGACATCATACACCTTTTATGCACATAGGTATCTAAATCAACATTTCCAACCTTCAATATTTATCATATTATATATTTCAGGCCCTGCACACAACTATAGAAACTCCTCCATGGCAAGACAAGCTGTCAGAGATGCAGGTTACGAAATATCACTAGGTTTAATGCCTAAATCGATTGGTCCACTAACCTTCGTATTCACTGGGTCTGGAAATGTTTCTCAAGGTTCCCAGGAGGTTTTCCAAGAACTACCACATGAGTATGTAACCCCAGACACCCTAAAGAAAGCTGCTGAACACGGTAGCCTAAACAAAGTATATGCCTGTGAAGTAAGACGTAAAGACTACCTTGAAAGAGCTGAAGGAGGTGGTTTCGATCCAGTCGAATATGAAGAACACCCAGAACGCTACGTCTCTAACTTCAACACAAAAATAGCTCCCTACGCTTCTGTCTTAGTAAACGGCATATACTGGGCTGTAAACAGCCCCAAACTTTTAACAATTCCGGACGCAAAACATTTGTTGAGACCTGCACATACACCATGGCTACCAACCTCTGTAGGAGCACCAGCGTTGCCACATAGAATGTTGGCAATATGTGATATATCTGCTGATCCCGGAGGTTCCATAGAGTTTATGAATGAGTGTACAACTATCGACACTCCGTTCTGTCTATATGATGCAGATAGAAATAAAGACACCAAATCGTTTAGTGGTCCAGGTGTTTTAGTTTGCAGTATTGATAATATGCCAACTCAGATTCCCAGAGAAAGTACTGACTTTTTCGGTGATTTATTGTTACCGTACAGCTTCGATATCTTGAAGTCTGATGCTACAAAACCTTTGGAGGAACATGACTTTGGACCTAGTGTATCCGGTGCCATTATTGCTAGTAATGGACAGCTTACAAGTAACTTTGAGTACATACAAGAGTTGAGGAGAAGTCAATTGTAAGTTTTTATTTTATATCCGTTGTAAAACAATTTTTTTTCAATGAATAATGTCAAATTTATGCTGGAATCAGTTTATTTTAGATTTAATTATTGTTTAAAGTTGCGGTTATTTTTAGGAAAAGTAGACATAAGTCTGGCGGCGATTCCTTGAAAGCCGAGAAAAATGTCGTTATTTTGGGAGCTGGTCGTGTAGCTGCACCTTTAGTAGAGTACCTACACAGAGATGAAAACATTGGCATCACTGTAGCATGCGAGCAAATGGAACTAGGTATACCATTAATATATTCCCTAAGCCAAAACTATAGTTTCCCTTTTTTAGGTGACCAATTGGCTCGCGATTTTCCTGGGGTGGAAAGCGCGTATCTAAACGCTTCAGAGAACCAATCTTCCTTGCAAGATTTGGTTAAGAAAGCTGATGTCGTTGTTTCTATATTACCAGCCAACTTACATCCTATAGTTGCTAAAGCTTGTATCAAAGAAGGCAAACACATGGTTACAGCTAGCTACATGAGCAACGAGGTGAAGTCTTTAAGTAAAGAAGCATTAGATGCTGGTATAACAATTTTAAATGAAGTCGGACTTGATCCCGGTATCGATCATCTACTAGCTTTGGAATGCATACAAGAAGCTAGAGCTCTAGGTGGTAGAATAACCTCTTTTGAATCGTTCTGCGGTGGTCTTCCTGCCCCTGAATTCAGCGATAACCCATTACGTTACAAATTCACTTGGTCGCCACGTGGGGTTCTATCAAACACAGTATCATCAGCCAGATACTTGCGTAAAGGCCAAATAGTGAACATCAAGGAAGGCGGGGATTTAATGGCCGCGACCAAGAGGCTGGATTTCCTTCCAGGTTTCAACCTAGAAGGTTTTCCAAACAGAGACAGTACAGTATACGCGAAACACTATGGTATTGAGGATGCCTCCACTCTTTTAAGAGGTACCATCAGATACGATGGTTTTGCTCAAGCCGCTAGAAACTTGCAGTATTTAGGGTTGCTTGATTCGCAACCCCACCCAAGCTTGCATCAACAAGGCCCCGAGATTACGTGGAGGCAGTTTGTGTGCAACTTGTTGTCCGTTGAAGATGTAAATATTTTGGATGACAATCTTAAGGTGAAAATAATTGAGAGAACCGGCAACGAGGCAGCAGTTGATGTTCTTGAAGAACTAGGCCTTCTAGACGAAAATAATGTTATTAAATGTGGAACTCCTTTGGATACTTTGACGCAATATTTGGCTACAAAGTTGGAATTGGAGAAAAGCGAAAGGGATATTATAATTTTAAGGCACGAAATTGGAATTAACTGGCCGGATAATAGAAAAGAAACAAGAGGAGTTAATTTAGTTGTGTACGGGGATGTTAATGGTTATTCGGCGATGGCCAAAACAGTTGGATATCCAACTGCCATAGCCACGAAGATGGTTTTGGATGGTAAGATTATACATAATATTACAAAATATGTTCTTATTGTTGTGTTTTTAGGTGAAATTCAAGAAAGAGGATGCGTGTTGCCATTTGCACAAGAAATCTACAGACCCATTTTACAGAGGTTAAGAGCTGAGGGGTTATATAGCACTGAAACGTCTAAATTTTCGTAAATAAATATTTATTTGTAATTAATTTTTTTATTCATATTATCATATTATCAATAGTATATTAAAGTACAAGTTGCAGAAGGCCACATATTCTCGCACGAATTCGAAATTTGGCCTCGAGCAACGAAGGAGCGAGTGGACGAACGAATGAGTGCGAGAATAGCCTTCTGCAACGTGTGATTTATACTATTTTCTCGATTTTAACTTTTATTTAGGTTTTTTTGATCGTTGTTAGTTGGGGAATTTTTCTCGCAAAATGTCAGTTGGCAACACAAAATGACAATATTTGTTATCCTGCACAAGTACAACCTGAACTGCACTTTTTTACATTAAACTTAAAATTTTGCATTAAAATGCATTGTTGGAGCAAACTTAATATTACAAAACAAAAAATAAAAGCTTCATTTTCAATAAAAGTGTAGTTCAGGTTGCACTAGTGCAGGATAACAAACAAAGCTATTATAAATAAACCTAAAAGTAATGAATTTGAGGTTATTAAACAGTTTGACATTTTGGGGGTACCAATACTTAAAAACTAAATGATACCAAAAATCGTTTAAGAATGAGCTTCATTCTTCAACGATTTTGCGTGCGAGAATATGACATTAAATAGTTTCTTGAGGCCAACATTTGAAAAGATTTTATGAACGTTTTAATTTCACCGTAGTAGTGCAGTTAACTAGATTTAACTGATAAAGCGTTAAAAATTTTGCGTACTGTGCCCATAAAACATTCTCTTCTCTTCTTCTGTGAAAAACTGCTTCTACTTCGATTGTTAGTCTATTTTTAAGGGATACATTTTGATTTACATAAAAAAAATTGAGATTTTAACGCCGGTAGATTTCCAAGTTACAAATTCTAACGGGAATTTCAATAAATACAACACTTTTTGTGATTATATTTTACAATTGAATTGTCTAATTTCAAAAGCGGCCATCTCCTTTGAAGAATATTTTAAGTAAACGTCAAAAAAACATTCTAAACAGTAATGAGTAAAAAATAAATATATTTTGAAAAACTTAAGTTTTTCAATTGTTCATATGGTAACTAAAAATATTTTTTCCCAAAAAATAAGTAACCAGATTTAAGTTTTAATTAAAAAAACATATATTTCAAAAGGGAAATGGGCATTTTAAGTACATTTTTGTACTTAAAACATCAATGGAGATGGCCGTTATTAAAACTAACATAAAACTTTAATGAATTATTTTCCTTGCAAATAGCCGTTTTTGTTGGGATATAATTTTGCACTAATATACTACTCGTACGTAATATTTCGATTTTATTAGTGTAAATAACTCATTTAAAAAAAAATTGGAGATGGCCGCTTTTGAAATTAGACACTATTTTAGTTTGCACTTTATGAAAATTGTTTGTTGGTTTTGTTCTCTTTTGTTTGTCCAGTGAAAAGCGTCCAGTTGAGGGATGGAATGACCGCTCAGAAGCTCACTTGTCACTTAACTCTTAACTCATTCTTGACCGTAGTGTAGTCTATACTCACTGTAGTTGTTTCACTATAATTTGTTTGCACTTTTGAGAATTTATTTGTTGGTTTTAACTTTTACGTTTTAAGAGCTCTCGCTGCTACAATGCGTCTTGCCTTGTCAAGTGCTGGAACCGGACTAGATTTCGGTTTATACAAATATTTAATTTAAATCATTTTTTAGATAATATTAAGGATTTGTCGTAGAAAATGTATACTTAGTAGGCAACGTGTTTATAAACTTTTCTATGTACTCATTTAAGCACTACACCTTTTCCAGTTGATATTCAGAAAGTAGCAATTGATATTCAGAAAGCAGCAATTGATTTTTAGATATTGCAAATGAAATTCAGAAAATAGCAAATGTTATTCAGATATTTCAAATGATATTCAGAAAGTAGCTGATGTAATTCAGATATTGCAAATGATATTCAGACAGTAGCAATTGATATTTAGAAATTACAAATAGTATTCAGACAGATAACACAATCTGAATTACATATGCTACTCTCTTAAAATCAATTGAAATAGCTGAATTACAATTCCTACTATCTGAATATCAACTGGAATATCTGAATTACAATTCCTACTTTTTGAATATCAACTGGAAAATGTGTAGTGCATCGGCATCGGTATGACACTTTTACGCACCAGTGCGTGGTAAATTAAAAATAAAATCTGTTAAAAAACGCTGTAACGAAAAGTCTTGAATGCAATAGGCTGCAAAATCGATGTCTTTTAAGCACTTGACGTTTTTTTTATTTTAATAAAATAAATAATAAAAATTTAAAATCGAATAAAATCTGTAATATTTGGATTTTTTAAATAAAATTTTAAATTTGTCGATAAATTATAGTAGGTAATAAATTGCACCACTTTAATTTAAATAATCTCAAATAGGGGGGCCTGGAGGCGGGTGAGGCAACAGGAAAAACAAACTTTTTTTCGCAAACTTCAATTTAAATTCTGTTTGCTCCGAACTTGTTTATTTATTGTCATTATAAACTCATATAAATTTGGTGTGGGTCCCATGTCTAATAACTGAGATATTGGTATACCCAAAATCCACTATATTATGGGTCTTTTATGGTAAAATATGCAAATATTAGTCTGAAAGGGACATTTCAAGACTTTTTTACGACAGCGTTTTATAAAAATTAATATTTTTATTAAAACATTTCTGTAAGGGCCCAGTACAAGAAAAGATTTGGCTAAAAATGTAATTTAATGGCTTAATGTAGCCATGAAACTATGTAATGGGCCATTACACAATCAGACTTACATATGTGTTTGCTGGGTATTCTTAAGAATTGTAGGTATTCAATAATTTATTTTTTCTACTCCCACCTTTAAAACGCCCTTTATCGTACATGTTTCCATGACAAGTTGTGGCTTTACGGCGCTTTAGTCACGGGCTGAAGTTAGCAACAGGTTTTTAGTCACGGGCTGAAGTTAGTTTTAAGTTAGTTGACAGTTGACAAATGTTATACAATCGTTAAAATAAAGTGCCTTTCTTGTAAAATAATACTAAATGTGAAAATTATTTTATTATCTCAATACAAAAATATTAAATAGTTTCTCAACGCCAATATTTGAAAAGTTTATATGAACATTGTACTGTTCTTTTAATTTCGCCGGCAGTAAACTATAACTTAAATTCGGGCACGGACTCTACTGTTAAGTCCTCATAAAACATTTCCCTTACTTTCACTGTGAAAAACTGTCAATTTTCAAGATATAATTCGATTTATAACCTTTATAATTGTGTTTATAAAACGTAAAAATGTGACATTTGACAATTTCCCCTGTTGTTTCATAGATGGCGCTCTATACAAATTTTTGATTTAAATCATTTTAAGATAATAATTAGTATTTGTCGTAGAAAAAGTATAGTATGCACCTCGTTTATAAACTTTTCTATACACTCATTAACTTAAGCACTCGCTCGCAAGCTCGCTCGTACCTAAATTAAATTCGTGTATAAAATGGCGTTTATCAAACTTGATACATAATATACTATTTTCTCCTTTCACCTTAAAAACGCCCATTATCGTACATGTTTCCATGACCTTTTAAATACACATTGTCAAGTTGTGGCTTTACGGCGCTTTAGTCACGGGCTGAAGTTAGCAACAGATTTTTAGTCACGGGCTGAAGTTAGTATTAATTAAGTTGAAAGTTGTGAAATGTCATACAATCGTTAAAATAAAGTGCCTTTCTTGTAAAATAATACTAAATGTGAAAATAATTTTATTATCTCAATACAAAAATACAAAAGTATTAAATAGTTTCTCAACGCTAATATTTGAAAACTTTGTATGAACTAAAATTCGGGCTTGGACTTAACTGTGAAGTGCTCATAAAACATTTTCTTTACTTTCACTTTGAAAAACTGTTGTTTATCCATTTTTAAGGAATTCGATTTATAACCTTTATAATCACATTTATAATATAACACATAAAAATTTGACATTTGAGGGTAACACAGATTCCCCTATTGTTTTATAGATGGCGCTCTATACAAATTTTAAGATAATAATAAGTATTTGTCGTAGAAAAAGTATAGTAGCCTACTATTAGTAGGTATGCAATATAACATAAAAATTTGACATTTGACGGTAACACAGATTCCCCTATTGTTTTATAGATGGCGCTCTATACAAATTTTTGATTTAAATCATTTTAAGATAATATTAAGTATTTGTCGTAGAAAAAGTATAGTACCTATGCACCTAGTTTATAAACTTTTCTAGACACTCATTAATTTAAGCACTCGCTCGCAAGCTCGCTCGTGTCAAAATTAAATTCATGTCTAAAATGGAGTTTATTAAACTTGATACATAATATACTATTTTACATTTTTAATATTGACTTTGACGTTCTAAAATGCGTTTTTAACATTTTAAAATATTCTTTGACTTTCTTGTAACTTCTGTAACGTTCTGATCAAGAAGACTCTATTAATTGGTTCTGATTTGGATCGTTTTTTAGCGTGCAATTGACATTTTATTATTTTAAACGTTGTAAAATGTGCTTTCGACATTTAAAAAAAAATTGTTAACATTGTAAAAGATGATTTGTTTTAATTTTTTAAAAATATTCGTATTATAAAAAATAACATTCTTAAAAAACATTTTATTGTTTAAACCATATTTTTTAATTAATACCCAAACCAAAAATAATATCGCTCTATACCAGAGAAAAAGATAATGGCGTACAGTATAACTGTACCGTTATGCTAATTACCCCATATACAGTATAGAACAGCGCCGTAGCTACAATGGTTCCGTGGGTTCGGTGGAACCAGGCCCGCTAGCTCAAGGGGCCCGCGGCCAGCGATTGGAATAAAACATTTTTTCTTCAAATATTTGGATTAATTTTTTTAAATATATTTAAACATTCACAGGGCATTTATTTATAATAATGGCTTAAGGCTTAGTAAATAGTAAAAGACCACCAATAATAATAATAATAATAATTTTTGCTTGAATCATGTAAAAGCGAGTCAAAATTAAAACTTAAAAAACTATCAACAACCCGTTGGTCTTCACGCAATGATGCAATAAAGCCCTACGTTTTAGGTATCTTGATGTTCTTAAGGCCTTGTCAAAAATTATTTTAACATCTAATAATATGGCTGAAATAGACGACTAGAAAGGATTTAAAAGTACATTGGAGGACTTTGAAACAGTGTTTTTGATTATTTTACAATCTAACGTTTTAAATCGCATAGACACAGTATCAAAACTCTTACAAAATCAGCAGCAAGATATCCAAAAATCTAGTAAACTTTTAAAAAATGTGTTAAATGACATAAGCAAACTTCGGAATGAATTTTTAGATATAAAAAAGAGGCCAATATTACATCAAGCAAATGGGGTATTATTCCAGAATTTTGCCAAAAACGTATTCGCAAAGTTCGATGAAGTTGCAATGACTTTGTTTTTTAAACTGCTGAAGATACTTTTAGAGTTGAAGTTTTTTTTAAGACCCTAGATATTATATCAGACAGTTACAAAGTAAAACAATTAGTTTACATCAAATAGCCACTAACTTCAGTATTTTGGAAACAGAAGTTCTGTTAAATTCTACTGATACAGAAGTATACCAAATGGCGGAAAACATTCGTGAAATATATGAAGATGATATTTTAGACTTCCCTATCAATTAATAGCTTTTCAAAAATGTTTTTCTGACGAACTAAAAAATATTAAGTCAGTAAAGAATTTGCTAAACACTGTTTTCTATGTTTTCTATACATTACAATTCCTGTGACGGTTGCATCGGCAGAGCGATCGTTCTCAAAACTTAAGTTAATAAAAACGTATTTAAGGAACTCCATAGATTTTCAAGGAATTATTACAAAATTTTCCGCTGCTAAATCTAGGAAAGTAGCTTTTTAATGGACACACTTTTATTTTTTATGCCCTTATATTTTGTTTATAATATATTATTATAAATAGTTTTATTAGTTTTGGTTTATTTTTCCTGTGTATACACATATATATATATATATATACATATGTATATATATTTTATACACTAAAAGTTTAAAGACAATATATAGTCTTTTATTTTTTCTACACTATTAAAGCCGTAGATTTAAGGGGGTATAAAGGTTGTTATGTTCCTCCCAAATATAACATAAAAAATATTAATTAGTACAAAATAAAAAAAACATCTAGAGGCCCGTGGGTATAGCCTGGAACCCGGGCCCGTTGGGTTGTTGCTACGGCGCTGGTATAGAAAAGGAAATCGTTACAACGCAACGATAAAGTGCGTTTCTGTGGGTTAAATTGCTACGTGGGGGACCTTCCCAAACGCGCAGTGTTTCCGTCCGCCTCATATCGAGCCATTGAAAGCATACTGCAAGTTAGACTACCCTGTATACATTCTACGAGGCCTTCTTTGTGTTTCAAAATACGGTGCAGCGCACGAAACTTACGCGGTGCTGTTCCAATACCAAAATATTGTAACACGATCCAAAATTACTCAATTGTACAATATTGCATTTTAAATCGCAATAGCTTTGTTTAAAGCAAATAAATGGCAAATATGGTGAGTCATGGTTTCAGGGATTATTTTTTTGAATTTTTAGTTGCTTTGGTAAAGACAGTGTTTTAAATTTGGGCTAACGGTTCCAAGTTTTTTGGATCTTGAATAATTTTGGTGGTCCGTATAGCGGGTACAGTTCGGTCGAGGTAGGCGTAACTGTATTTCTCATCGACCCGGTGCATTAGGCAGTGTTGCCAGATGAGAGAACCCCAAATACTTCTACTACTACTTAACTAATAATTATTGCATTTATTGGACAGTATTTTACATTAGGAAAAAATAAAATTACTTAAATATTACATAGTAAATACATACTTTTTATTTTAAAATTACAATTGAAGATGTAATAGGTAGGTAGGTAGGTATATTTAAAAAAATGTACTGGTTTTATAATAAATCAAATATAAATTAGAAAATTGCTTAAAAGTATCCTGCATGAAAAAGAAGCTTACCTACTTAAAAATCACAGCTGTCTGTGACCAAACCATATCATTTTTGACACAATACACTTCGCCGTTAGATTTAGGTACGCATAATAATTGTTAAAAACAAAATATTTTGGATTCAAAATATTTTTATCATGAGTTAAATTTTAAAAAGTATTAGCTTTTTTAAATTAAATAAAATTCTCAATAACTATTCTACACTACAGTAGTATTACTACTACTACCCAGGTTTTTAATCATTAAGTATGGTTTTATCCAAGTAGGCTCCATTGTTTTATATATGGATTTGTGTAATTGCAGTGGTTCTGGCAACGCTGCATATCTGTTGCACGGCGTCGATGTGGGTAACTGGAACGCCGCAGGCTGTCAACGCAGCCAGCCTCAGAAAAGTCGTCTACAGTACCGTAACCCATGATTGTTTTTTTGATGCAGTTTGCGGGCGTTTAACGATGTCTGGTTGGGAAAAATCGCCCAGGAAAGGTCTGAGTGAGGTGTGATAGTGTTTGTGCGGTGGCGAGTGGTGCAAAAAACTTTTATAAACAATGGACAATCAGTCCCAACCGACCACTAACCCCATTAACCAGGGGTGTGGCCAAAATCCACAAATTTCGATACATGTAAGCCCCACGACAGGGGGGGACTTTTACCTGATGGTGGAGCCCGATGTGACGGTGGAGAATCTCAAAAAATTAGTCTCGAAACGATTAAAAGTGCCCAGAGACAGGATCTGTTTACTGTTCCGCGATAAGTGGGTTTTAGAATCAAAGTACAGTTATTTCATTTTTTCACTTATTTTTCCTCGTTTTTAGGCAGTTGCAAGACGGCGATTTGTTGCAACACGGAATTTCGGACGGGTCTAGGATTACCTTATTGCCCAATGTGGAAACTGGGCTCATTGTAAGTACATAATTAATATTCACTAAGCCTTCATTACCATTACAAAATACGTACGAATGAAATAATCTATTAATGAAATAATAATGCATACAATTATCATAGTTTATTTACATTAAGTATCAAAGTTAACTTTTCCCCTTTGAACAATTGCAATTGTTGACATATGTTTACATAACCTCCATTGAAACTGCCTATGCAGCTTATCTAAATCACCTGCCCAGCAAATTGTTTATTACATATTAACTAACTATTTTCTAATTGATCAAACATACTCCAGCCTAGCAACAATTTAGTGCTATAAACAATATAAATATCTCATTATATGGAACAAACTTGTTTTCTTCAATCAATACTTTTATAAAAGTATAAATACATAGGTACTTGGAAAATATTTTTCACTATTTTATTTGTTATTTGTTAGACGTAACTTTCCTTATGAATAATTCCAACAATTATGACTAAATGCCAATGTTGCACAACATTTTTAAATAATTTTGTTTAATTAAATAAATTGAATAAACATTGCCTCATTTAATTTTAGTTTATGTTTATGGATTTACCTATTTTATATCAGCATATAAAAAATAATAATAATAAAATAAATGTATTTTATTTTAATTTTCTTGGGCAGTTTTTTTAAGTGGGTGTTATCCATTAGTAAAACCTTTTTATTAGTTATTCTGTTTTGAACTCCTATTTTATAGCATTTTAACTGTATTAATTTAAAATTCTGTAGGTTACTTAATATTATACAGTTTCTGTATGTTTTTTGGGTTGGGTTGGGGTCAATACTTGTTTTACTAGAGATTTAACGGTTGGGGACAAAACGGTAAAAATTGGAAAAAAGGGAATTTACCGAAATTGCCGTGGAAATTCGTTAATGTCGAAATAGTATATTCTATAACAATTTTGGAATACTTACTGCATATTCCGCTCGAGTAAAAAGTTTGTCACACGAGCCGAAGGCGAGTTTGACGGTTGCACGAGAGAGGAATATGCAATTGCAATTGCAATTCCAAATGTGTTTCAGACTTTTTCTTTGTTTCCAAATAATACCATTTGAAAATAATTTAATTAGGAGAAAGTGAGTCTGGATTGGTCTAAAAGTTATTACATAATAAACACGGAGATGTCGCTGTCAGTCATCTGATGATAAAATAATTCATTCTGTAACACTTGAAGGAATATATTCCACATTAAAAAGTGATATTATAATGATCATATTCCGTAATAGGAGTAGACAAAATTAATTTTGTATTAAATAATTTGTAAATAATATTTTAAATACTAAAATTTAATACTATAAAGCATGCCTGAACTATTAATTAAAACATAATTATAACGAGAGAATAATTTTTTCCAAAATTACCGTTTTTTTTCATTTTCTTTTTTTTAACTTTTTTGGGCAATCAATTTTTCCGGAAATTTTAAATATATAATTTTATATTTATTGTTTTTTATTTTTGTAGCTTACCATTTTTAAAGAAATTAAAAAGTACTTAAGTTATTTACCAGAATCATGCCTAAGGATCGATCTTAATAACAAAAAATCACAAAACTGTTCAAAGAACATTTCTTTATGTCAAGGATATAATTAGACAGGATAGTCGACTTCCTATACTCGGCCATGTACAAAAACAGGCTGTATGGACTCCGAGTTGTGGGCATGGTTTAAGCACACTCAACAGACCAGTCACAATTCATTTAATTTGATATTGGAAAGAAAAGATCACTTCACGAGTAGGGTTATAAAATTTTCGAAAAAATTGAGCCGGCGGAAAAAACAGTTTTTTGTAGGAAATTTTTAGAAAAAATTACCTACTTGAATTTTTTAATTTTATTCAAAGGGTAATACGAAAAAAATGCAAAAATTAATTTTTCTAAAAGAAAATAATTTTTTACGGATAATATCCGCACACTTATTATATTGAAATAAAATAATTCAGTAAGAATATTCTACCGGGCCGCAAAAAAAACATATTTGGTGCTGTATTAACATCCCTAACCATCTTTTTATTTGACACAACGATTTATAAAATTGTAATTTTTCTTTATAAATCATTCATTATTTTGTAAATGTATATTTTTAATGGCAAAAAAGGCCCAACCGAGTCGGTTGAACCGACTGTATAATTAAATTTAATTTACTAAAATCAATTAAATGTTTTGTTTTATTGTTTTTTCTGTAATCAAGGATATGTTTTTAAATTAAAATAATGTGAAGTTGTTGATTGCTAATTTTATTAAAATGAGTATATTTTCCAAAAGAAATCAAATTTTCCCAAAAAAGACAATTTTTCGTTGGTCTGGGAAAAAACTTAATAAAACGGCCCAGAACCGGAAATTTATGCAGCAAGCCTTTTTAACGAAGTTGACAAAACGTCATTAATATGCGAAATGTGGCAACATTTCTCGCAAACCTTGTTTTTCTCACTATTGGTTTTCCTGTTTCCTTTGTGCAATATAGGTATAGGGTGCCCCACTTATTTCACAAATTTCATGTTTATTATTTTAATATTTGAAGACTTTTTATTTATATAGCTAATACCTAATAGGTATATATTTATATTTTTATAAAAAAAAAATTCTATTGAAGTTGGTAACTTATAACCACCCCGCATGACAACAGGAATAATAAACTCATTATACACGTTGTTAAGCAACAGTGAATGGACGATTTTAATATTCACTGTGATTTTAACTCTTCCGTTTCTAAATTTAAAAAAAGTGAGTTTGGAACTCTACCTCACTTTTCCCAATTTGGAACTAAACTCAATACATTTGAGCAATTCAGCCCAGCAAAATAATTTTAGCAATTCAAACATTTGTCATTTTTTAATTGAACAACATTGTTAATTGTTTTGTTGGGCAGAATTGCTTAAATGGATAGAGCAGTGGTGAAGCATAGAGTTTTTGTATGTATATACGGTTTGATGAAAAAAGTGTGGTATAAAATCAACAAAACTAATCAAATAATAAATTAGGATATAAAAACGTAAAAACAAACTAAAAATAAAAATTTATATTAATTAAAAATAAAGAAACACTATAAAAAATTAACAATGATTAAAAGTTTATTTAAATTTGTTGTCAACCACTTTTTTAAACTTTAGTTAGAAGTAAAAAATACATATAGGTATACCTATATTAAATTTTAAAGAGTGCACTTTGCATGTTTTAAAATAAAATTAAAACAATGCAGCCAGCCACTAATTTTATAATCATAAATGACCTGTGAGCCAGTAGATAACTACCTTGGTCTATCAAATCAAAACAATAAAGCCAGCCAAAAAGTTTATGTTTATAAGGGACGCGTATTAAAATTAATAACTACGCTGGGCTTCTGCGGTAGACAATAGTTATTTGTTTTACAAGTGTTGAAAAGCGACTTTTTCATGCAAGTGTTTAACACGAGCTTAAAAAAAGCTTTTCTCACAAGTGAAACACAATGTTTTTTCTACGAACCTTTTATTTTTTATTATATTCAAATACAAAACAAAATAAACTAAAAACGTGTTTGACAGCTGTTAAAATTACTGTCTTCTTATTCTTTTAATTTATTAGGTATAAGTTACTTAAAATCAATAAACTTACCTTCTGAATTTAAATAAAGGCACTAAAATTGGAATTTATTATACAAACACAATTGTGATCTAAATGATATTTAGACATACATATACAAATACAATACAAATTTTGAAACGAATTTCAAACGATGCTGTCAATTTCTTTTCACACACTTTTCACACAGAAATGTCACTTTACATTCGTGTTTTGCCGTACCAATAAAAATATTCATTTTCTAAGCAACGAGGCCATTACGAAATGTGACTTTTACATAGTGGTCGTAGAAAAAATAATTTTGTCTAATAGCGACCTATCTCGGCCGGTTATTCGTTCGATTACGCTAGATTTCGGCAATTGTTATAGGTTGATGATATGAGCGAGACAAATTTGAATTTGACCAACCTATGCTTTTTCAAAATAAAATAATGTTAAGCAGGTTAGAATATTTAATTAAAATATGTTTTTAACAAAAATTAAATTATTTTACATGTTTATTAAAATAACTTGGTGTAAAATAAAAAAACTCAAACCTTCAAATTATTTTGGGATTGTCTACCTTGAGTATAGAACCTAGAAATTTGTTAAAATTAAGAATTTGTTTAATTTAATTTTTTAGACATTTTAAATATTTCTCATGGTAATTTTAAAGGGTTTTCTTGTGATTATATATATAATATTGTAATTAAGGTCCGACCGAACTTGATTTTTAAGTCTGGGCCGAGACCGAGAACAAAATAAATTCTCGGCTGAGATCGAGACAAAGTATAAAAAATCAGGAAAATATACAAAAATTTCCAATTCGTTCGTAAGAAACTTAAATTAGTTATTGACAATTTGTCAATGACAATTATATTGTCTATAGGCGATGCGAGGTCCATCCCTTTCAGAAATATTCCTCTGCTTGATAGAGGACCTTAATTGTTATTAAAAAAAAAAACTTTTCCCTGACCATTTTGCCAATTTATCAATGACAATTATATTTGTTAATGACAATTATATTGTCTATAGGCGATGCGAGGTCCATCCCTTTCAGAAATATTCCTCTGCTTGATAGAGGACCTTAATTGTTATTAAAAAAAAAACTTTTCCCTGACCATTTTGCCAAATTTCCCTGACCAACCACTTTCATTTTAAAGCAAGTTTTCTTAAATTAATAAAAAAATAATGTGATGTAAATAATGGATCATTTCATAACCTTCATATTTTGCTATTTTTTGCAATGAGTTTTATAATTGTTTGTTTCTCCACTTGAGGTGTTTCGTAAAAGACAACAATACGTAAAATGCGTGAAGCAAACATTGTAAAATCTCATTTTTCCCTGATTTCAGGTGACCCTCGATATCACTCACTCACTTTCTGACCACCTCAAGCTTTCCTGACTTTCCAAAAAGTGGACAGGGTGGATATGTATTTCCACAAATCTAAATTAATTAAGCATTTTAACATTTTTTCTGTAAATTTAAAGTTATCTGAAGTTTTTAAGTATTTTTTTCACATTTTTGTATATTTTTATGATTAAGAGATTTTTTCTACTCCTATTACGGAATTTGACCCTTCTAATATCACTTTTATCTATGGAATGACATATCTTCCGTAAAGTGTTACAGAATGAAATATTCTATCATCTGATGACAGAATAAACACTCGTGGCGACATCTCTGTTTTTAATATCTAACAAATTTTAGACCGACCCAACCTCACTTTCTTCAAATTAAATTATTTTTCTATGGCATTTTTTGGAAACGTAGAAAAAGTATAGTCTGAAACACGTTTGGAATTTCATATTCCGCTCTCGTGAAACCGTCAAACCCGTCTTCGGCTCGTGTGACAAACTCTTCACTCGAGCGGAATATGCTGTATTCCAAACTTGTTACAGAATATACTATTCATCCATTGGTTGTCAATTTTTTGTAATTATGGCATTTTATAATTTCCTAATTACTTAATTACACCATGCGACAGTAAAATTTGACACGTAATATCGATAATATAGGCCTACATGCCATCCTTGTCCACCACTGTACTTCTCTCTTAAAGCACCCTGTACATTAAATTCTAACAGTTTTTTTGGGAATCTCAATTTTTAGACAAGTGTTTATGAAGAGTATTATTTTTCGTAGAACGAATAACAAAAAAGTCTCCTATTGGCAACCCTAATTTGTCGCAGTATTTATTTGTTTAAAAACCTACTTTTCAGTGTTTTTAACTGTCTTTTATTGTTATTGAGAATATCACACCTAAAGAATATTCTAACTTGGTGGTAAAATTATATAAGTAAATTTTACATTTCCTGGCGCCATTTCTTATCGTCTTTAAAAACCTGTCAAAATATTTTAAAATATATCTTTGGTAAAACGATTTAAGTGCACCTTTTACTGCTAAACATAGGCTATTATCTATGCTGCTAAAGCCTTGACAAGTAGCTCGTTTCGACATAGCGTGACCGGGGTCAGAACAACATCGGCCAGCGTTACGATTATGGCATCGGTCCAGACTGATGAGGATTCAACATAGTAACTATGTTCCTGACATCAATGAAGAAGAAGGCCATGTAACTCCAGCAAAAACTAAAAAAAGCCGCTAAGCACAAAAATTTACTTAGGTACCTTATTCCGCCTATATTCCGCCAATTTACCACTTATTTTATAAAAACATAGAGCACGATCGAGATCCATCAGAAAAAAAGAAAAAAAAGAAACAAACTAAGACCATAGTATTGAGCCAAAAAAAAATCCAATTTAGGTCAACCCCAACCAAGACCAGCTAATTCAGATGAAGAAAACGTTGTATTAGATTCTGATTATGAATTATTATTCAAAGTATTCTTTTTGTTGTCAAACTTAAGTTATTAATTAATTATAATTACCCAAATTTTAAAAAATAAAGTTTTGTTCTAGTACAGTAATTGCATTTAAATCATTTTACCACTAAATTTTGTCTTACATGCATGACGATTCAAGTACATTTTTGTAAAAAAAAAATTAACAAAAAAGCGAAATTGAAAAATTCCTTTTTCTTTATAATCCTTTTTAGCCTTTAAACAAAACTAAAATATTCACACAGTTTTTAAAACTCTTTTCTCTACGACTACTTAAGAATAGTAACATTCTAGTGTAATTTTTGATCATAGAAAGGATGTTTTTCTGCAATACTGTGCGAGAATATTCCTACTCTTGTTTAAGAATGGTCACAAGTAACGACATCTCCTGGCTGTTTACTAAACGTAAAAAATTTAATTTTTTTTAAATATTACTGTATTATTTATTAATTAAAAAATAATAGCAGTTGTATAATTAAGGTTTAGGCACAAAAAATTAGTTATATTTATGGTTTTTCAAATATACAAATCAAAATTATAATAAATTTGATATTAAAATAATAAACCAGTTACCTACTATACCGGCTTTGAAGTTTTGACAGATTCAAAAAGTTTAAAAAAAGACCTTTAAAATGTAGAAAAAGAATAGATGTTGAAATAGATTACTTGTAAAATTAGTTTTGTATTTGTTACAATGTTATTATTTTATTAGTAAGTGTAAATAACTATTTTTAATTATAATAAAGATTTAGGCATACCATTTGTTTAAATTTATTATAATTTACATTATAAAATTGTGACGGCACAAAATGGTTTGACAATACAAAAAACTTAAATGTCAAAAACTGTTTGGTTTCTTTTCTCTGTTTAAAATTATATAAGCGTTACTATTCTTACGTAGTCGTAGAGAAAATAATGTCTGAAACACGTTTGGAATAGCATATTCCACTCTCGTAAAACCGTCACACTCGCCTTCGGCTCGTGTGTCAAATTTTTCCTCGAGCGGAATATGCTGTATTTCAAACTTGTTACAGAATGTACTATTCTAGAATTTTAAAATTCAAGTTAACTTTAAAGCCATTTATCTCAGAACTAACAAAAATGCCCTTAAACCCTTTTACTTCTAGGCCCCTCAATTATCTCAAAACGATGTTCTTGAACTAGGGGACCTAAAATATGTTATATTTTCTCAATTTCAGACGCAACGTCCGGAAATAGGAATAATGCAAGCACTAGAGTCCCTAAACGACACCCAAGTAAACAAGTTCCTGTGCGGCAAGGCGCCCCTAAACCTGAGCATGCGCCTCGGAGATCACATGATGCTAATCCAACTCCAACTGAGCACCGTCTCCTCCACGTCGTCTTCCTCGGCCAGCTCCTCCGGCTCCTCCTCCACCTCATCATCGCCCTCGACGACACCCACGCCTCTAGCGGAAAGCGCCCCGACCACCGCCTCCGGCAAACCACCTCCCTCGACGCACGTGCCGGCGCCTGTTTCTCCGGCCGCGGCGCCGCCCTCTACCTCCGCCACCACTCCAAGTTTGTTGCAGGCCAGCAGGAATCTGCAGCACACCTTAAGAAGACTGTCGGCTGATGTCTTTTCCGGAAGAGACAGAGGTAAGAGAAACGCACAATTTTGTTTATTCAGCTTTTTCAGCTTTTGTAATATATTATTATTATTATTATATTTATATATATATGGGATATTCTTATAATAGGAGCAATCTTGAGTATAAGAAATTTAAAAAAAAAAACAGTTACAGAAAATTTTGAAAAACTACTGTTTTATAAGAAATGAATAAAGTTTATGAAATGATGAGTCTGTTGAGCTCAATTTTTAATTTTGGGGCTTTTTCAAAAATCCATATCCACGCCAATGACTAAGAGGCACGCTAATGATTTATTATTATTATTTAATAATGATACAAAATATATTTTTAATATTTATTTATAAGTAAACATTGGTTACATTAAAAATTAATGAATTAAGCATATTTTATCAATTTCCTCGGAGTTTGGTACTTTAAAAAATCTATTTGAAATTGGCTGTGGTGGCAAATCAAGTTTACATAATATACCAGCTTCTGTAAAGATTTGTCGATCAGTTGATCCAGGCCAATAAAAATATTTACCACTTCTTGCCATAAAGGTAATAGTTATGTTTTCTCCATTTATATCCTCAATTATTCCTAAAAATAATTTACCTCAGTGCTCGATATTAATAAAAAAGGAGACATACCTGGATACCCAGTGATGTAACCGATACATTTTTTTCAGTATCTAGGTACAGATACAAATACTCTTTGGCAGATGTATCTGGGTACAGATACCGATACATTTTCCCAAAAGTATCTGGGTACAGATACAGATACATTCAAAAAGTATCTAAGTTACTTTCAGATACTTTCTGTTACCTAAAAACTTAAAAATTAAATGACAAAGAAAAAAATTGTTTGGACCTTATAACGCAATAGATATTTATAAAGCAAGTTCATCTACTGGATGTCCAATGGATATCCAGGATATCCTATGTATATCCTGGATATTTATAGAGTATATGCATTGGATGTTCCGTGTGGGGTTGCAATCGGGTTGGGTAAAATAAAATGTATCTTGTATCTAAGGATCTAGATATTAAAGTAGATCCTGATTTTTTTAAGTATCTCGATACGTATTTAGGTACATGTATCTCGATACGTTACATCACTGTGGATACCATGTCTCTGTAAATTGCAGCTACCCATTGTAAATGTTTATGTAGATATTAAACCTGCAGGTTCATGAACAGGAGATGGCACTAAAACCCGGTTTTTCAAAAGTGGACTTACGTCTTTTGCGAATTAGGGTAACGATATTAAATTTTATCCGAAATCGCATTTATTAATTATAAATTATTTACCTTTTTAAACAGTAGACACCTTCTGCATTAAAATTTGAATCGAATGTCATTTGAATGTAGTTTAGTTGCTGCTAAGGAGCAGTAATGGTTTGCATACAATGCTCGTATTAAATCGGTACTAAAGTTCTACTTTACTGCCGATTTCTTTTACTTTACTGTCGATTGTTGACTACTTTACTGCCGAGTTTAGATAAAAATATCTTATTATCATTATTCGTACAAAATATCATTGGCGTGGATAGTCCGTCATTAGCGTGGACAAAAAAGTCCACGCCAATGATGCAAGTAAATATCCACTCCAATGACAAAATTAAGGTTAAGGTTCTTTGGACAGCAAATGGATTAATGAATTTAATTTAAATTATCCATACCTTTTGTAGTTGTCACTGCTCATTAATTATTGTCAATATTTTTCTAATAGCTTTTAGATAAACAAAATTGTCACTAGCACTCCAATGATGCACTATAAACATACGCCCATGAAACACATAACAACTTCACAATTCATAGTTCACTGTGCAACTGTTCGCGTTTGGCGCCGAATCAAGTAAATAGCGTATACCAAAATGTTTATAATAACGGTCGCTAACTGGAAAATTTAAAGTAGGCGGGAATTTTAAATACATATCATTATAATCCACGCTAATGATGTCAAACTCAGGGACACATTTAAGAAATGTTTTTTTTTTCAATTCAATTTTATTTTTTTGTCTCAATCCCGCTTAACATATCTTAAAAAGTGTTGTCTATAATATACTATTGCTAGAGTATTTATGGACAGTTTCTTAATTTGCAAAAAAAAAATATTCTGGTGAAAGGATATCCAGGGACATCCACGCTAATGACAATTTATGTAATTAAAGGGAAAATATATCGAATTGGTTTTATTTTATTATTAAGTTAATAGGTGTATGAATAGGGTCAATAAACCCCTAAATAAATATAAAATAAAAAATGGTGAACATGCACTTGACTGAGCATGGCAAGTCAGGGACATAAAATTTCCCCTATTGTAAGAATGACCCATATATATATATATATATTATATATTATTATATTTAACAGTTTTTCAGTTAAAGCCTATTTTGTTCAGAGCTTTGTTTTTTTGTAACTACCTGTAGTAGAGATGTAAAAAAACGATTTTTTTTTCAGATGTGAAAAAAACATTAAAAAAACTAGACAAAAAGCGGTTTTTTTCAAATCCGCTACAATAAGCATATTCTGTCAATAAATAACATCAATCTTAAAAAATTGAGTAATTTTTCAAAATGAAATTTTTAGTCCAGGAAACAAATATCGTAGAAGAAAAACTCGATGGTAGTCGGGTTTTATTTTTTTATATAGAGTCAGGGGTGCTAATAATGAATCAAGAATATTCCCCAAAAATTTATTTCCGCGTCCCCTAATTTCATCCCCCGAAAGGGGAGTTTTTGGCTTTTTGGCTCATAACTCGCTAACCGTGCATTTTTTCAGAATTTGACCTCTAATATTTTTGATTATGTACTAAATAAGGCACACGTTAAACCCCATTGCGCACCTATATGATGTGCCCTTTTGCTATGCAAAGTGTGCAAAGTTGAGCGTTGCTTTTAAAATCACTTTTTTGTTTTTTTTATCGATTACTTTTAAAATTGGGCTTTAATAAAAAAAAACAAAAAAGTTTTTGAAAGCAACGCTCAACTTTGCACACTGCGCATAGCAAAAGGGCACATCATATAGGTGCGTATTAAATTCTGAAAAAATGCACGGTTAGCGAGCCAAAAAGCAAAAAAACTTCTCTTTCGGGGGATGAAATTAGGGGACGCGAAAAGAAATTTTTGGGGAATATTCTTGATTCATTATCAGCACCCCTGACTCTACATAAAAAAAATAAAACCCGACTACCATCGAGTTTTCCTTCTACAATCTTTGTTTCCTGGACTATTTGAGTAAAATGTATATTAATAATAAAGTGAAATGTAGAATATATTACATTTTTCATTATTGAAAATTTTGACCGAGACTAAAAAATCTGATTTCTTATTATTTGGTAGTTTCCACATAAGAAACCAATAGCAATGTAAAACTTCTACACTAATAGAAAAAATTAAAGGATAAAATTTTTTTTTAGCGATTTTTCGGATAGCTGTATCTTTGTTAAAAATGGTCGTATTGGAGCCGTAAAAAAAGTAATTTGAAGCTTGAAGTTTCTAGATTTTTAGATGAAAAACGTGCAACGCTCAATCCTAACGAATACCGTAATAAAAAAATTCGAAATTTTTTTGGCTTTCTTTTTTGGTCCACGGAATGTTCTGTTATTGTTAAAAAATCATAAAAAAGTGCTTTTGGTAGCTTTTTGAAAAATCAAGCGCTGAATCAAAGCAAAGCGCGAGACTGTATTTACATTTACTAAATGTCATTTAGTGGCTAATTTTAGTCCATGAACTGGACTGGAGACATAAAAAATTAGGCAAATGGGACTAATCTTGAAAAAAAACCTAAAATATGAAGAAAAAACATTTGATAAAAAAAACAAAAAAACGGACCGTTTTTTTTTCAAGTCGCATCTCTAACTTGTAGTTACAAGATCAATATTATACAAATTTTATTTATCCAGCATTCTTAGTGTAAAGATTTCCCCTTATACCGGGTTTGTTTAAAACAAGTTTTATGAAAAATTAATTAATTAACTAAACTGCGCACCACTCAATGTGTCGCGACCAAAAAGTTCGTCCTTTTTCAAAATGACATAACTTTTTTGTTTCTTGAACGATTTTATTTTGGTCTGTGATGTCTGCTAGCCCTATCCTCTCGCCATTTATGCTATACATATGAAGTTCACGGTTCTTCAAGTAAATTTCGTACAGGGTGATATGTAAAACGGTCAAAAATTTTAATAACTTCATCCAAGCCCCGTTTGTAAAAAAATAATTTTTTTCTCGTTTTTACTTTGAAATATTAAAGTATTATGTCTTACCTTGAAAAGGTTTTCAAATTTTTTGTATTGGAATCTTAGCAAAGAAAATTTGATTTTTTTTTCAAAAGAGTACATTTAAGGCTTTTTGGTAGGCAATACACTCAGTCCTTTTAAGAACAAGGAGATTAGATGGTGAAAGATTGTTCCTTGAATAATTCTGAACAAGCGACAAGCAACAAACTTCCATTATTTTCAGAGGGGCCTAAGCAAATACCACTTTTTCAAAATGACATTTTGGTGAAAATTTGCGAAAACTAATCCTGAACCGATATTTACGTTCGTGACATGTTTTCTTTATAATTTTGACCTCCTGATTGTGATTCAGTTGTCAAAATTAAGTTTCAGATAAAACCAAAATCACTAAGAATCAAAATTCAAAAACAATTCCCGGCTGTTAAATAATATTTTCGTTGTCAAGATTCCAATTCCAAAAATTTAAAAAATGTTTCAAGGTAAGACATATTACTTCATTATTTCAGAGTAAAAACGAGAAAAAAATTATTTTTTTACAAACGGGGCTTGGATGAAGTTATTGAAATTTTTCACCGTTTAACATATCACCCTGTAGGAAATTTACTTGAAGAACCTTAAGCTTCATATATATATCATGAATTACCAGAGGATGGGGCTAAGAGACATCACAGACCAAAATAAAATCGTTCAAGAAACGAAAAAGTTATGTCGTTTTGAAAAAGAACGAACTTTTTGGTCGCGACACATTGAGTGGTGCGCAGTTTATTTTGCTCTTTGGCTCGTGATCGTCTTAATCAAATTTGGACCTCTACGTTGTGTTTACTTGTTTTATTAAATTCATTGCTTTAGGAGTTATACTTGGGAGAATCAGGGATACAAAAAATAAAATGCAGTGTTTAGTTTAACCCGATTTAATTTACTTTATAAACGTTTTAAAAAAGACAGAGAAAACCCTGTTCGGCTATGAAGTAGCAAAGTATGACAAGATTAGGCATTGCTTATTTTAAAAGTTTATGCAAATTACTGTAATGACGCGACGCACGTTACTTTATCTAACTCCAAAGGTCCAAAAATAGAAAAAAAAGTTGCTAATTAACAGGGCAGCAGTGTGTCAACGTTAACGTTGCCTTGTGGGGAACGAGGTCCAAAAACTGAAGACATCTCGCCTAAAGATGAAGGGTCGGGATGTCGACTAGAGAATCTAGGTGACCATTTATCCCTCACGGTGTGGAGTATTTAAATATCTACTACAAGGCACGTGCACTAAAAGAAGAAGGAGCATTCAAGGTTTAAAATTAACGATCAATACTCCCTTTTGAACAACGAAACGTCACGTATCACACGAATATTTGTTTTAAAACGACCACAAAAAATTGCATAATCGTGTTAGGGAAGGTCTAAACATTTTAGTTACAGGGACAGTGTACAACTAAATTAAGTTTTGAACAATAAAATAATGCTATCGAAATTTTTACATTAAACAGTAAACTTAAAAGCCAAGAACATTTTGTAAAAATAGCTAAGAGAAAAGGTGTTAATATCGAGTAACATTCGCTAAACGTAAAATAACTAATGATCAATTTACTTAAATCTGAATCGTTCTACGTTTATTGGGCTTTACTACATAATTTATGCTACTAAAATTAAGAACTAACCTTGGAGAATACACAAACTTTACAATAAATTTCGTTTTGGGAAAAATTTATAAGAAGCGATGCGTTCGATACCATTTTCAAAAACTTTCTGTCTGTTTTTTTTTACTTCCCTTTACTCGCTTCGTGTACCTGGACCCTCCTTTCTTGCATCATCTGGACACCAGTTCACCAAAGTTCGAGAAACTTGTAATTTCTTCCCTTTTATATCGGTTTACATCAATTTAAAAAATACAAATTTTGTAAATTTGTAAAACGTATTAAAGTACTGAACCATTACATTAGGTTACTTTAGTACTCATTGGGTATAAAATTGTTAAAATCTTGATATCGAAAACCACACGAAATACCTATAACGTTAAAATAAGAAATATATTCTTGTTTTTCAGGTCGCCGCGAAAGCGTTTACTCAGGTACATTCAGTGGGGCCCTTAATCCGGCCCTGCAGGATCCCAAGGGGCGACCCAGGCGTGATGTCGCCACCATCGTGCATATTCTAAATGATCTCCTCTGTTCGGTGCCCGAACTTCGACGAGTTACACGGAGAGGTAAGTTTTAATTTATTTATTTTATATTAAAAATAATTAACTAATAATTCTGAATCGGATTCAATCATTAAAATTATTTTTTTTAATCAATAAACTTTTTAAAATGTAGGTGGTACACAAATAATTTTAGTTATTTAAACAATTTTTTTAAGAATTACATGGTTGTAAAATTTACAATGTAAATTAAATGTAATGTTAAATATGAGTATGAGTATTAGGGTGTCCGTTATTTACCAAGTTGATTTTTTTTCTTGCGACGCCCCCTAAATTTTTAGTCTATCGTCTAAAAAAAAATTTCAGACCAAAATAAAATATTAATATTCATAATAAACCTTGCCCCAAAGACCATACATTTCCCATTCAAATTACATGGGATTTTGACACTTTTTTCAATTAATTCTTTTTTCCCCAGGCAAGATGACTTACAGCAATGAGACATATATATTCTTATAGTAAATTGAACGCTCTACAAAAAAGGTCTCCTATAATTTTTCGATTAAATCACTCGTTAAAAAGTTATTCGAGGTGAAAATTAAACTCTGTGTACATTTTCTGATTTTTTTTTACTTTTACGGCAAAGTTATTATTATTTCGACGAAAGTTATTAGTATATTTCTGAAAATAGATAATTCTGGTGGTATTAGGGTATACAATTTTTAAACCTGGAAAATAATAGACTGCATAACAGGTAGCTGGTTCTAGTTTTAATCATTTTTGAGACTTTATTTATAACACACAGTCAACTAATTTTTATTGAATTTCAAGTTTTGTATACTTTTATAAAATTTTCCTTCAATACAGTAAGTGACTCAAAATTACTCTTACAAGCATTCCCGCCAACACACGGAATTTTTATTGACGCAAGCGCGCTAAAGCGCATTTAGTACCTTGACAACGCGAATTAATTTGAGTTGGAATTACTGCTTCACTCCAAATTCCTGTCACTTCACGTATAACGATTGAACAGCTGTCATCAATAGATTTATTGCGATTTCTTGAGTGATGGTACAGTAGTTGCAGAACTTCTTTATTTGTTGGTAACTTTTTGCCAGTAATTGAACTTATTGTTTTTCCAATCAAAAATATATTTTGTCTTAGATCCATTGAACCTAAATTTTTATAGGTTAGAACTATTTGTGAAATTTTAATTCCAATGAGATTTTCAATATAAATTTAATTTTAAAGTTTTTATTTACCTATATGTTAAAAATTGCACTAATTCTAAATTTTGTTTTTTGTGTATAATAAACAAGTTTTATTATATAAATAACTAGGTACTGTTAATGTACGACACAACATTCACAACAATATGCAGAGATATTTGTATGCAATATAACAAATATACAACACACGGAATTTTTATTGACGCAAGCGCGCTAAAGCGCATTTAGTACCTTGACGGCGCTTTAAGTTAAAGCGCCGTCAAGGTACTAAATGAGCTTTAGCGCGCTTGCGTCAATAAAAATTCCGTGTGTTGGCGGGAATGCTTGTAAGAGTAATTTTGAGTCACTTACTGTATTGAAGGAAAATTTCATAAAAGTATACAAAACTTGAAATTCAATAAAAATTAGTTGACTGTGTGTTATAAATAAAGTCTCAAAAATGAGTAAAACTAGAACCAGCTACCTGTTATGCAGTCTATTATTTTCCAGGTTTAAAAATTGTATACCCTAATACCACCAGAATTATCTATTTTCAGAAATATACTAATAACTTTCATCGAAATAATAATATGCCGTAAAAGTAAAAAAAAATCAGAAAATGTACACATAGTTTAACTTACACCTCGAATAACTATTTAACGAGTGATTTAATCGAAAAATTATAAGAGACCTTTTTTGTAGAGCGTTCATTTTACTATAAGAATATATATGTCTCATTTCTGTTTGCAGTTGGGGAGTTGTTAGATGTCTGTTTCGTAGACGGCTTGTTCCTTTCCCTTATGCTGACTTCTAGAAGGTCCTCCTTTCGTGTCGGATTATTCGGAATAAGCAGAAAGATTCAACTGTTAATTCCAAGTACTATCTACAACAGAAATACAAGCGTTTAAGCAGGTAGTTATTTACTAGGCTGATTACTAGAAAACGAGTTTATGCAAATTGCCCCATTGTGCCTAAACCTCAGCTTTATTTCGATAATGCCCTTTAAAGTGATGTGTTGGCGTGTTCATGGTTGTTGTCTGGGTGACTGAACTTTTTGGTTTATGTTACCATCTCTTGCGTTTCACGGCAACTGTTGGTTCAGTGCTTTGGTGCTAGATTATGAATGTTCTGTACCGATTTATAATTACGTTTGCTGTCCTGTGGGAATTCTCTTATTCTTGGCTGTTTTGTTTTCCTGGTTTAGATGCGTTGAAGACGCTTTACCTCTTCTTGGGGGTTGGTAGAAAATGCAATATTACTTTCTTACTAGAGAATGAAAATTAAATCATCATGCGGTTTAAAGCTAACTAACTTATCTTTTGTTGCTGCGATCCACTTGACCCTCTCCTTGGTTCCTTCGGAAGACTGGTACATTGAATTGACCTACACAGGTAGTTTAACTGATTTTGTACATTATTCATTTGTAAAGGGTTGTATTGCGGGTACTTCGGGAGACAGGTGCCGTGATTTTACCTGCACAGTTCACTAGAAATTGCCTAATAAACTTAACTACACCGTGTGCGATTTACTGTTTCTGGTAAGGCTTTTATTATTTCCATACTCTTTAGAAGTGATCGCGTGCGCATCTGTAATAATGTAATGTTAAATATGAATATACATTTTTATGCTTTCCGGCAAAGTTCAACACGTTCTAAGGAGTTAGGTACTTGTAGTTTTATAATGGTTTTTTGACATTTTTCTTAAAATCAATTTTCTTGAATTCATGGAGTTTCTTTGTATCTATACCATTTAGTTCATGACAGTATTTTAAAAATATCCCTTAGACAAACGTTCATTAGGGTAAAATAAATTGTGTGCATCGGTTCCTAATTTCTGCAAGTAATCAACGACTGGCAAATATGGCTGAACCTTCTCCACAGTTAGTACATAGAATGAGCAGTCGAATTTTCTACAAAATCAGAGCGGCAACATGAACAACCCGTCGTTGACGGCAACACTTCAGTACTGAACTCAAGAAACGGTTTTCGAACAGTGAGGCAAACAATTTGCGTAAAGACGAACAAGAAGCAAGATAGGATTAACCATCCAAGCCCCATTCATGAACACCATTTGAATATGGGTGTTACTGGTTAAGGGGGATTCCGGATTATACTTAGTTTTGGATCAGTCTAACGTCCCCTGAAAACCAAAATATTTTCCCTCCTTGTCCCAAACTACACTAGCCTAATCCCGGCGACTAAATTCCGGGAGGGGTGGTGGAAATAATATTTTCTCTAAATCTAAGATTGTCTCAACAACATATTTTTTGCAAATTAAATTTTGCAAATTTTAAAATTCAAGGGTTGGATACGTCCCACGACCCGATTTTGTATTCAGACATTACCGAAGAAGTGTTACCCACATTTTTAGGTTGCCTCAAATACATACCAAAAAACTTTAACAGCTCTGCTGCTATATGTTATGATGAAAGTTTTGTGATTCTAATAATTAGGTATATTATATTTTATTATTATTAATAATAATAATAAATGTTCTTTATTGAAAAAAATACGTCCTTCAGCCTTTTATTATTATATTTTCACAATTTAATTTTTAATTTATATATTTGATTAATACATTTATATACTTTTCAATAAGCTAACATTATGTCTTCTCTAGGCATTAGTATATAAATGTTTGGAATTACATAATTAATTACAATACAAATACGATTGTATTGAGATTTATTTGAATTTATAATGCCCATTGTTTCTATTTTAAATTGAATAATGTTTATATTGTATTTTTAACTAATGTATGGTTTTTTAATTTTGTACAGGCCAAAGTGGACTGTTTTCTTATTTTTTAAATTCAAATTGGTGGGCAGGATTTTTAATAAGAATTCTTTTTTGTTATACTTGGTCCCAACCTTAAACCATATAAAACTGATGTAACGCGTAAACAAAGACGATTTGTGTATTTAACGTAGTATCGCCATTTGAAGAGTAAACAACAGTAGGTCGTGACAGCAAATTCAGCGTTGCCAATGTAGTGCAAATAAAACGTATTTTAATTAACAAATTAATACTTTTCAAAGTATCAATAAAAACAACATAAAAAGTAAATAAGTAACATTTGTTATAATGGCAAAATTGTCATATTTTTGTTTCTTAAGTTGGCAGCACGAAATTTGAAATGACAATTAAAAAGTTCAAACATTTTTATTTTGGGATTTTCTTAAAAAATATGCTATAATAAACAATTCTTTCTCTTCTGTTTGGTATCTAGTTTAAAAACGATTTTTTTCTGTGTTATTTCGCACAGATTTCCCATAGAAAATTAATTATTATAGTTTATTTTTCATGAGCAAGCTTGTGAGATACAAAATAAAAAAACGGCGTATGAAAACAAATGTAATAAATATTTTCTTGGGATCTGTGCTATAAAAAATCTGAAATTATTAGTGAATGTGTCTGATGCCTCACAAAATCATATATTAAATTTTGAAGACATTCCATGGAAACTCTTTAAATGGAGATACCTTACCACCTTGTGTTTTGACAGTTTTTCGGTGTTTTGTATAGTTTTTTTACAAAAACCTTGTGGTGAAAAATACACCGTAAATGCGAAATTTCACCGACATGTTTTTATTTTACCATTAAGTCAAGATTGGATTGGCCAACTTTATAAGTATACATTTAAGTTTTATCAATCTACGTATCGTCATATTCCTGCCAAAAGTCACTAACTGACATTTTGTAAAAATGTTAACAAATTGTACCTAACTATACAAATTTACTATATTTTTAATATTTAAAAGCTACAAGATGCCTAGAATATTAGAAATCGTTTTTTTATGGTTAAAAATCACTTTAGTTTATATCCTGAGCAGAGCTGTTACTTCTGAAAAGTATCTAGTATCTAAGATACTTTAAACAAAATAACTTAGTTACCTCTGGTAACTAGATACTTTTAGTTAAAAGGTTGTAGGTTAGGTAATTACTTTGAATCATTTTGGAATTCCCCCAACTTTCTCTAATAAAGTATCTAAGTTACTTTAAAATGTATCTTAGTGACTTTAAAAAGTATCTTGTTTTTTTTTAAATTTATTTATTAAACCCAAAAAAAATACATGATTCCATAGCAGGTACAATAGTAGAAAAAAAATATATTCAACAAATATTATATAAAAACACTAAAATATAAATACAGCCCGTTCAAAGTAAAACCGAATATAGGGAAACGCCTCCCTTCAACACGCGTCACAGTAGCTTGTGTGATAAACGACATGACGAAAGGTCGAGCAGGTAAGACTACCTTAAAAATTAAATGATAATAATGCAAAAAATTTCATTAGCGATGCAGGCTATCGCTTAGCTACTGTGTCGCGCGTTGGAGGGAGGCGAGGCCACGCCCGATACGTTTCCCTATATTCGGTTTTACTCTGAACGGGCTGTATGTGGAAGTAGTTACAGGCAGTTATAACAGTTTTCTTATAGACCGATGTCGAAAATGTTTTGTTGTCTCAGGAAGTTCATTGTACCATTTCAGAGCAGATTGTGTTATTCTCCTTTCTCCAAACTTAGTAATATTTGAAGTAATGTGATAATGCTGGTTGGTCCTCGTGTTATGTTTATGTTTATCACAGTTTTTAGTTAGTTTTACAGTTGTTTCTATTAGGTTACTTTAAAGTATTAAAGTATCTAAGTTACTTGAATTTATCTTAGTTACTTCACCGAGTAAGCTAAAGCCCCTTTAAAGACCATTTATATGATATGTACAGGGTGTTTCTTAATTGATGGCTCATACTGAATAGGCTAAATGATTTTAAGGAAAAAAGTTCATACAAACTTAGGTCCGGAACCGCTTTACTAAAAACTTAATAGTATATTATGTTACGAGTTACGGCATTTTAGCCACGAATTTTAACTAGGCATGAGCGAGGCTTGCGGAGCGAGTGTTTAATTAACGAGTTTCTAGAGTTTATAAATTTTATTCTATACTTTTTTTATGTCTAACACTAAAATATATTTTTCCCCAAAAGGGCAGTTTATTTTGACGACAAAACAATTTTATGACAAGTAACAACCAACTTAAAGCTAATTTCAGCCCGAAAACCATTGTTCATGTTCAATATCACAGTTTGTCAATGTGTATTTAAAAGATCACTTACCGTCATGGAAATACGATGTATGGGTAATTCTTTTACAAACCGAACACCTTTTGACCGACACATCTCAGATTTGGCTCAAACTTTTTTTACGAATTCTATGTCGAAAAATAAGATATACGTGTCCGAGGAATTTTTTTTCTCTCGCATATTTTCGATAATACAAGCTATCGAAAATTTGAGAATAACGAGTTTTTTGGCTTGGAGACTCATTTTCAAAAATTTATAACTCTGGTTCTATTTGAGATACAAACTTCTTTTTTTTTCATTTTAGAGCTAAAGGACTGAATTTTAATAAAAAAATATGTTTAATAAATATTATTAACAAATTCATATTGTTATTAACAATTTCATTGTTTAAATCAATTTTTAGCAATGGCCCCCACCTCGTATTAAGTTTTTTGTATTTTTATCGTATTCTCCGTCAAATTTTACATAAAAAACATGTTTTCAAAATATGGTACCTTTATTATTATAATAGCTATACTATAGTATACTATTGTTAAAACATTAATTCATATTGCGCGACACATAAAAAACGGTTTTTTGTTAATAAAAAGAAAACTATAGCTTGGATCAAAAAAAGTCAAATATAAAAGTTGTAAATAATAAAAAGATCTACAATATTTATTTTAACTATTTTTCTACATAACCTCACTTTTCAAATAAATTTTAAAAAATGTTATATTATAATAATATTTTAAAAGAGGTGATTTTTAACATTTTTATCAATTTATTTGAAAAGTGAGGTTATGTCGAAAAATAGTTATTACAAAAATTGTAGATCTATTTATTATCTACAACTTTTATATTTAACTTTTTTTGATCCGAGCTATAGTTTTTTATGTGTCGCGCAATATGAATTAATGTTTTAACAATAGTAATAATACAGGTACCATATTTTGAAAACATGTTTTTTATGTAAAATTTGACGGAGAATACGATAAAAATACTAAAAACAATATGAGGTGGGGGCCATTGTTAAAAATTGATTTAAACAATGAAATTGTTAATAACAATATGAATTTGTTAATAATTTTTATTAAAAATATTTTGTTTGTAGCTCAAATAGAACCGGAGTTATAAATTTTTGAAAATGGGTCTCCAAGCCAAAAACCTTGTTTTTCTCAAATTTTTGATCACTTGTATTATCGAAAATATGCGAAAGAAAAAAAATCCTCGGACACGTGTCTCTTATTTTTCGATATAGAATCCGTAAAAAAAGTTTCAGCCAAATCGGAGATGTGTCGGTCAATTTTTATCAAAATCCGTACGGTTTGTAAAAGAATTACCCATATACGATATAGTATGTGTGTTCTAAACATGGCAATAAAAAAATGTTTAATTTCAGGTGGCACCAGCGAAGAACCAATCGCAGCAATCCCGCAAGACGACGGCGGCGACCCGACGCCGTCGCCGTCCAGCAGCGAGGACCAGAACACGCGCACCCGGGGCAAGCTGGAGCAGCTGCGGCTCGTGATGGGGCAGCGCAGGGAGCGGCGCCGGCAGCGAAAGCAAAAACCGTACGCTCTGCCGGCGGCGGCGGACTCCGACTCGGTGACGGCGTGAAACCGGCCCCAAACTGTACATAATTGAACGCGATGCGCCGCCCGCCAGAGGGCAACGTCTAGCCCCGCCGGCACGCCGCCAATATGTCTCGCATAAGGTTTCTCAATGTAACAATGCAGGAATGTCGAGATGAGTCGGTTGCAGAATAAGTTTTTTTGCAGATAATACAGTTTGTTTATAAAATTAAAGTTGTCAAAACTTGACATTTAAATAAATTTAAAATGTATTTTTTGCCACCAACTGTCAAGAGTGGCATCAAAACAGTGGGAAAATGTTGTTTATGGCAAAAAACTTTTTAAAATCAAAATATTCATTAAATACAGTCTCATAAAATCTTAAGTTACCCAACCTGTTACTTTTGACATTTCTCAATACAAACGTTAAAATGTATTGCTTAATTAGTATACGGAGTGTCCCAAAATTATCCCAAAGGGTAAATGTTAATTCCCCTTAAAATTTTAAGGCGCATTTTCTTTTACCATTTTTCGAGTTCGAAAAACTGCAGGAGCAGAAAACTGCAAAATCGAAAAATGGTAAAGGAAATGCGTCTAAAAATTTTAAGAGGAATTGACATTAACCCTTTGGAGCGCCTATTTTGGGAAACCCTAATTGGCGGCCTTAAATATTAAAATTTAATATTTAAGGCCGCCAATTCACCTCTACCCTTTGGGTTAGTATTTTAAAATTTCTGGAAAAATTGAGCCGCCGAAAAAAATTACGTTTGCATTATTTCAATATTATACGGAAAATGAGTCGTCTAGATTCAAAAGAGGCCATCTCCATTTTTTTTAATGAGTTAATTACTCCAATAAAATCGAAATATTACATAGTATATTAGTGCAAAATTATATCCGAACAAAAAAGGCTATTTCCAAGGAAAATAATTCATTAAAGTTAGTTTCAATATAACCCATCTACATTGATGTTTTAAGTACAAAAATGTACTTAACATGCCCATGTCCCTTTGAAATATATGTTTTATTTATTAAAACTTAAATCTGGTTAGTTATTTTGTAGAAAAAATATTTTTAGTTACCATATGAACAATCTTTTCAAAATAGGAGATGGCCGCTTTTGAAATTAGACGACTCAAATATGCAAAATTCACAATTTTTTACATTTAAAATGGGAGTAGTGTTTAAAGGTTCGGAAAAAACGATTTTTTTAGTTTTTTCTGCAAGGTGCAGAAAATTTTTTCAAGACCCAAAAAAACGAAATTTTTTGTGTGTTTACTGTTTATAACGCCAATTTTGGGACACCCTGTATACACTGTAGGAACCGTTTTTCTGCAAAAAAAAATAAAGCCCAAAATTTTATCGCCGAACTAAAATTTTCGGTTGCCTGGACTGCTTATCTCTTGCACTTTTCCGATGTCGCAATACCCAATAGTGCAAATTTTTTAAACAGTAACACTCGCTTCAACATTTACTCAATACAATACAATAGTTAAGGAAACGTACCATTTTCGAATGTTTATCGGTGAAAAACATGTACAGTTTTTGTGCGAAACAGCTTCAGAATTGCTTTTTTAAAGCAATAATTTGATTTTGACAGTACAGTAAAAAGCAAGAATTCATTTGACTTGTTTTTATTTTCTAGACATTTTTTTAGACAATCTGTGATTTTTAAGTTTTTTGTGTTTGTTGAAGGTATATTACTCTGTTAGTTTGTAAGCCCTTCCTTAGCTTCTGTTTACTTTTATTTTATCAAATTTTAATAAATTTACTAAGTTCCCCTATAGGCAATAAATAAATTGTTCCAAATTTATTTTTGTTTTGTTCTGTTTTCACAAAAATATCGGTTATGTTTAATAAAGTATTTTTTAAAAATAAACATTGTACTTATTATTATATTATATATATTAAAGAAATCATCCTAACAACCATACTGCAAGCTTAACAAATTCACTGTCTTTGTAATATTAGTTGTAGTATTCAAAGTGGACTTCATTCCTAGCAGGAAAACCCTGGTAAGAATCACCTTGGCATACTCCTGCATCACAGTAACCAAATCGGACAGTCTGTCCAACACACTGCTAACAATATCCCCATTGTTACTATCCAAACAAGCCAGAACGGACGGCAGGGCATCGGATGCAGACTTGGGGTTATACTTCAACCACCTGACGATCAAAGTCAACGATAGCGACCTTATAGCCCCATTAGGCGAGGTTATGGACGCGTACAAGTATTGAGAAACCCCCTCCAATAATTGGGGACGTTTGTTGGTGAGATGATCGAGTTCTTGGAGGGCATTCAAATTCTCCGTTGATTGAAGGCTGTTAATTAGTTGGGGCCAGTGCTGGGGTAGCTGTTCTTTTTCTGGGGGGGTAACAGTTCCAACTAGTAACTCTGAAGGGGCTAAACCTTGGTCGGTAATGGGTAGAGAGACGTTAGACAATAAAGGTCTAACTCTTGGTTGATTAAATTGTATATCACTAAAACAAATTGTAAACTTAGTAAAACAAGTATGTTAATGGTTTATTGTGTATAAAGTTTGATAAACGCCATTTTACTGACGAATTTAATTTAGGCACGAGAGAGCTTGTGAGCGAGTGCTTAATTAAGTGAGTGCTTAGAAAAGTTTATAAACGAGTTGCGTACTATACTTTTTCTTCGACAAATACTTAATATTATCTAAAAAATGATTTGTATAAAGCGACATCTATACGGAAATCAAGTAACCATCCTAATAAACATTTTTGACGTAATTTTCACCATTAACATTGCCCGTTATTATTTTAATTAAACTTTTAGTGATCCTTTAAAATATTAAAATAACTTCAAAATATGATTACGTTAAGAAAATATTTCATCCTTTGATTTTTTTATTACTATAATAATTATAGTAATAAAAAAATCAATTATTACAAAGTATTAAAAATTCTTACACTGGAAATGTTCAAGGTACAAAAAGTGACAGTTGTATTTATTGGAATTCCCTTTAGAATTTCCAACTTGGGAATCGACCGGCGTTAAAATCTCAAATTTTTCTGTGTAAATCAAAATTTATCCCTTGAAAATAGACTAACAATCGATATAGAAGCTGTTTTTCACAGTAAAAAAAGAGAATGTTTTATGGGCCCTATATAGGATTTTAAAATTTCCGGAAAAATTAAGCCGGCGGAAAAAAACGGTTTTTTACTGTAAAAAAAGTTAAAAAAAACGATGTGGCTCCCGTCCCGAGGCGGGACTTAACTTCGATCCCGACAGACGTCACACACTGTAAATCCGTTTTTATTCCGCGAGCTTTTATAATTGGTGTCAAGCTGGATGGCTTAGATGGTAGGGCGCTCGCTTGGCATGCGAGAGGTACCGGGTTCGATTCTACTAGAAGTGGTCAAACTTTTTTTATTTTTTTTATTTTATAAATTTGTTGTTTCTTTGTTTTATTTTTATCGTAACATAAATTTGCCCATTTTAGTTGGGTTTTTTGCTCAATGGGGCGGGGGGGGGGCCAATGGGGCGGGGTCGGTTGGGTTGTGTTGTTGAGTTTGGGTTGGTTTGGTTTTATGACGTAACTAACGTGCCCTTAACATGTATACAGGTACAATTTATTAATATTATTATTTTATTATAACATAACAAATCTTAAAATTATGACGTCAATCGGGACTGAACTTAAGTCCCGCCTCGGGACGGAAGCCACAGCGAAAAAAAAAACCGAAAAAATTGGGATATTTAAAAAAAATTGACTTTCATTTTTTTAATTTTATTACAAGGGTAATACGAAAAATGCAAGTCAATTTTTCTGAAAATTTCCAAATTTTTACTGATGATATCCGTACACTGATATCGAGAAAAAAGTGAATTTCCGACGCTGATTATAATCATAACATTATAATTATGATTATAATAATTATTCCTTTTATTTTAATTTAGTAAGAATATTCTACCGGGCCGCAAAAAAAAACATTTTGTAATTTAACTTTATACATGATTTATTTGCAAAAGAAATCCAACCGACAGTATACCTATTTCACGTTTACGTTTATTTTTTTAAATCAATTTAATTTAATTCAATGTTTAGCTTTATTTTTTTTGTAATGAAGGATTTTTTCTTAATTAAAATATTGTTGAGTTGTTGATTGCTATTTTTTTTCAAATGTGTATATTTTCAAAAAAAAACTCAATTTTTCCCAAAAAAAGCCAATTTTTCCAAAACCAGGGAAAAAACGAAAAAAAAAAGGTTTTTATCCGAAATCGACAGTAAAGTAGTCAACAATCGGCAGTAAAGTAGAACTTTACTGCCATTTTAAGATGTGTCTACTGCTCCTCAGCAGCAACTAAATAATATTTAAAAAAAAGCACCGTCGCAGAGGTCGATTGGACCCTTTCATAAAATGTTGGCGGGCAAATATATTATAACCGTCGCAACTAACAGTATACGTAGACACTTCCTACATTCAAATAACATTTGATTTAATCATCAATATTAATTATTAGTATTATTAAATGTGATTTTGGATAAAATTTAATATGCACCTCGGGATTAAAGTCATATTTTAAAAAATACGACTTTACTACCTTGATACATAAATAACTATTTCCCAATTTTTCACTTTAAAACCATAGCTCTGTACGCAAAATTTTTAATGCTTCATCAGTTAAATCTAAAGAAAATTACAAGGTCAGTACAAACGTTCATATAATCTTTTTAAATATTGGTGTCAAGAAACTATTTAATACTTTTGTATTTTTTAATTGAGAAAATAAAATAATGTTCACATTTAGTATTATTTTACAAGGCACCTTACGATTGTATGATATTTAACAATTCGTCACCTGAGAATTATAGTGTTCTATCTGCATTTTCTTTTTTTATTCAGGTTAGTCTTGTTTTAAGTATTAAAGATGCATATTGTTCTATCTATATATAATTGGGGTAGAAATTGTACAGTTTAAGCCTTAAACTTTACAATTTCTACCCCAATTATATATAGATAGATCAATATCATCTTTAAGACTTAAAACAAGACTAACCTGAATAAAAAAAAGAAAATGCAGATAGAACACTATAATTCTCAGGTGACGAATTGTCTACTAACTTCAGCCTGTGACTAAAGCGCCATAAAGCCACACCTTGTCAATTTGTATTTAAAAAGTCACTTGTCATGGAAACATGTACAATATTAAAAGTTTTAAAGGCTGGGAGTATAAAAAAACAATTTGGACTTACTTTAGAACCCCACCATGCTCCTGAAGATATTTGGAAGCAGCCTTAATATCCTTGACAAGCCAATTCTGTATAAAAACCACAATCCTACCAACATAACCAGCCAAATCTTTGCTATGGCCATGGAAAGCCATCAAATTAAAGTAGGAGTCCAACAAATCACACAACACACCTTCGTGCTTAAATATGTGCGGCTGCAATAACTCCATCAACCCCAAAACTTGGCCGAACAAAATAAAATGCCCTCTGTTCTTAAAAACCCCCCAATCGTACTGCGCACGTCCTTTAAGACTACCGGCTAACATTGGCAACTGTCTCAACACCAACACCGGATGCGACGATGCCAATTTGCGCACGCAGAGCTCTAGGTCTTGCGATTTTTTGTTCCAGTCTTTGGTGCGCGGTGTTGCCGCGAGGGCGCTTAGTAGACAGTGCGATATTTCGTCGACGGCACTGGGGCAATTTTTGTTGTAGACTTCAGTGGACATTAACAGGGTGTTTTCGAAGTCGTTTTGGCCAGAGTATGGGAGAGACATGTACAACATCATTAGTAATTCGCGGGCATACACGTCACTATCGGCTTGTTGGCTGAGGTTTTTTACGATTGAAGTGGCGGAGATTCCTACACATTTCAGTAGAAGTTGTAAGCGGTTTTCCATAGATTTTTTCCAGTTTTCTTTGTCTGTGTTGATGCGGGCTTCGTCCAATACGTAGCTTATCATTACCATAGCCTTAAAACACTTTTTATTCTAAAAAAACTTTGAATTTGTGACAAAAACTTACCTGGCTTTTCTCTAGTTTTAGGACATCTTCAAAATGATAATGTTTCGGTATGGCCTTATCTCTGCCCTGCCAAAGCTTAGGGCTTTGAGTAAGGGCCGTAAAAAAGTCCAGAGCCGATGTGGGGCAAATTTCTTTATTGGTATTTTGTAGTAAATACGTTAAAATGCCATGTAAACTCTTCCATGTAGCTCTCTGGAGAACCAGGGACATTAATAATGGTCTAAACGGAAGACTTTGTTTCGAAAACAAAAGGTCCATCTAAAAAATAACTATTTAGAATGGATTTTGGTTAGATTTTGTAATATTTACCTGTATTTTTTGTTTATCTGTATGGGCTATTTCAAGTTCTATAGCTGACAACCAGTCCACAACAAGTCCAGTCTTCTCAGCTTGTTCTTTGCCTTCCAATAACATTTTCCCCAGTTTCGCACCCAAATTTTCCGGGAATTCCATTACAGCCTCGCACTTTTTCGCTGTCAACAACTTGCCATGCTTTATCAACTCCATTGCATCAACATTTTCTTCTTTTTTCACCCCAATTCGTAAAGCACCGTTCAAAAATTGCTGCAAAACCACGGCAGAAGCGTTACTTTTTATCGGTATTAGTTGAAGAAGCTGCTGCGCGTAGGTGATTTTCTCCTTGTTTTGCGCAGCCGCAGGGCTAAAAATCAACCTTAGTACTGTAGAGAACGAAGAGTAATTTAATAGTAGCGGAACGGTGAAATTGGCCGGCACAGGTTTAAGAAAACCGAACACTACGTCAACGAGCGGTTTGCGATGACTGATTGCCTGAAATAATGAGCACAATATTTTTGACAGCTGTCACTTTTATACAGTAGAAAACTACTAAGTTAATTTTACTCAGATAAAGAGAAATGCAAAATTAAATTTATTTCTTAAAACCAGATCTGCGAGTATCTTGAAAAAAAAAAGATACTTAAAAGTAACTTATCTAAGTATCTAAGATACTTTATCTAGGATACTTTTTATATTGGACTTTATTGGATCTTTAACTTGTATCTAAAAAAGTATCTAAGTTACTCGGTAAAGTAACTAAGATACATTTAAGTAACTAAGATACTTTTTAAAGTAACTTAGATACTTTCTTACTTAAAAGTAATATAATCATGTAAGCATAAGTAAGATGCTCATGTTTAAAGTAAAAAAAAAACACTTGTACTTTGAAGTCAAAATTGTTTGTTGTTTTATGACTTTGTTTTTCAAGCTAAGAATTCGATTATATTCCTTTAATACCAAGGAAAATGTACAATTTACTATATTTTTCTGTACATAACTTGATTTTTCTTTAAATATCACTTGAATCCCTTGGCTTCTAGGGTCCTCTTGTATCTTGGATACTTTCGTATAGTATCTTAGATATAGTCGTTGCGGCGAATGTTTCAAATTGCGTCATCAAAGTCGAATGTCAAAAACCGATTTCTCGACATACGGTTAACCTAGCTGTTCCTTGTATTATATACGTAAAAGAAAACAACAATAATTTTAATGTCTGTGCTTGGTTCAGAATTTGATGATGCAATTTGAAATTTGAAACATTCGCCTAAAGTATCTTGTAACTAAAGATACTTTCAATTCAAAGTATCTAGTCACCCGAGGTAACTAAGTTATTTTGTTTAAAGTATCTTAGAAAAGTAACTAGATTTCTTTTTAAAAGTAACTTTCCTAGCTCTGTTTAAAACTTACCTTTAACAAGCTCAAAACCACTTTGTTTCTATTCCCATTGAAATGCGGATTGTATAACGTACTTAACATCTGCAACACATCGTTGTCATTGGCAACAATGTGTTGTTTCTGCTGCACTCTTGGTAGCTCCCTCTTGCACTCGACATCAACAACGACTTCGTTATCGTGCAAGGCCGGCATCTGCATCTCAATCGCTCTGATAAAAGTCTCCCCGCCAGTGGCCCCTCTTTTGTTCTGCACCTCGACCAACTGTATCATGTACAGTTTATCGATAACTGAATCCACCACCAAAGTAGGATTCAGTCGAGTAGCTTTATCGAGAGTGTGCAACAACTTGCTGATCGACGACGTGGGGATGCCGAAAGATTGGATGAAGAGGACCAACTTTGGCGGTTCGAGTTTTTCGATGGCGGCGTCGACGAGTTTGGGAACGGTGGAACGGATCATGCGCAGTTTCATCCAGTCGGGTAGGTACGACGTGCTTTCGGACGTTTCCGGGCTGTAGGCGCGAGGGTAGTCCATGTTGTCGGGAAACCATGTGTTTAAGAGTGCCTTAATAATTATATATGTTAAAAATCCGGCAATGTGCGAAATGTCTAGGTACTCTGTAAACTGACCAAATTACCGGACATTGTGCAAAATAACTAAATTTAATACGCTAGGCAATAGGTTGAAGTCAAAATCATGATGGTAATCATTTAATATGCCTATATTTGCTGAGCAACACAATTGATGGTAAAAATTAAACATACCTATATTGGAGAAAATGGTGTCCTATTACCACAACTGTGGAGCAATCAGACAAAAGCAGATAAATCCAGTTTTGTTAAAAAATGAGTTAAGTAGGAACTAACAGTAAATGAGGTAGGTTAATCCATTGGTGAACTCAGAATTGAGCCAAACCAAGTAATTGATAAAGAATACCGGTCTCGAAACCTAGCAAATCAAGCAAAAGCAGATAAATCCAAATTAATACAATTTAAAGTCTTTTTCAATAAAAATAAAAAAAAATCACATTATTGTTATTTTAAATTAACTTAAATGGCATTAACATTTTTCAGATTAATCCTGGACCACCCTGTATAGGTCAATGAATAAACCGTTTTTTTATTCCTATTTCAAGCAAATGGAGATAAATCCTGTCAATTTAAGCAACACTAGATAAATCCATTTTGGTTTTTTACTATAACACATGATACAGGTGGACAAAAATAAAAAAATGAATTTTAAGGTCTTATAAGACTATACTCTATAGAATTCATGGGTTGTTCTTTGTGAAAATGTTGCAACGAAAAAGATTTGTTTTTTGCTGATAACTCGAAACTGCTTAAACAGGGTTCCCACCAAGAAAATAAAACAAAATTCCCTGACTTTTCCAGGTTTTCCAGACCTCAAAGTCCCACCACGTAACCAAGTACGGAACGCAGTCTTTTGAAAATTTGGCATTTAAGGCTTTTCAGGTTATGTATTTGTCAAAGTATAGTCAATGAAAGAAATCATATTTATGGTTGGTTTAAGAATTTACGCATATAAATACTGCATTTAATGAAATTCCAAAGTGTAAGGTGCAATATAAGTGATATTTTTTTGCATTGGGTCTACATTTCTCCATAAAATAGTTTTAACTAAGCAGAATTTATTTAAAAAAAATCTAACTTCTCTATTATGAAATAAGAATATCTGTATTTGATATATCAAAGGTAGGTTAATGTATTAGTACAAAAAATTTCATCTAATTTTGTATTTTAAGGTTAGAAAAATCTATTTTGACCAAAATAAATAAGTGGATTATTTGGAAGAGTGTGTTAATTTGGTCATAAATGAATATAGGTATACTAAATAATTGTCTTATACTTCTAATGACAAAACTTGTGCATACCTCTCGGCATACCTACTTTAAGTTATGCAGATTATAAGAAAACAAACAATTTTTAGAGAAACTTGCAATGTGAAAATATTTAATCCTCCCATGACATGTGATTTATTAAAATTTTTAAAGTTATAATGATTTTTTAATGTAGATCAAATTCAGTCGAAGCTTTTTAACTATTTGTATTGACAAAACTTTATGTAGGTACACTTTAAGCTGGATAAGAAAAACTACCACAATTTTAAATACCATATTATACAGTCTTTTAAATAATCCAAAATACTTATTTATTTTGGTCAAAATAAATTTTTCTAACCTTAAAGTTACAAAATTAGATGATATTTTTGTTATAATATATTAACCTACCTTTAATACAGATATTCTTATTCCATAATAGAGAAGCTAGATTTTTTTAAATAAAAGCTGTTTAGTTAAAATTATTTCATGGAGAAAACCAGATATTTGGACCAAATGCACAAAAATATTACTTATTTGGCACCATACACTTTGGAATTTCATTAAATGCAGTATTTATATTCTTAAATTCTTAAACCATCCATTGTTATTCTAATGTTATAAAGATACATACATTTTTAACGCCTAAACATAATATTATTTCTTTCGTTGACTATACTTTGACAGATACATAACCTGAAAAGCCTTAAATGCCAAATTTTCAAAAGACTGCGTTCCGTACGTGGTCACTTGGTGGGAATTTGAGGTATTTTTCTTTTTACATTTTTTTTTTAACATTTCGTGGGTTGAGTATTATAATGTTCTAACAGCACTTTTGGCGCGAAATCGGCTTTTTTGATAGAAAAATAGTACATAAAATTTCTGTTCTATGTATATAAAAATGCCTGTTTAATTTAATACACAAACTAAAAAAAAGCATTATTAAATTGTTCTATCGCACTTATTTAAAAACGGTTTAAAATTATAATATCCTAACAGACCAACCAATGAGAGAAGAGAATTTTGATCTGTTAGAACAATATAATTTTTGCTGTTTCAGTTTTGTATGCAAGTAATAATCACGTGGTTGTGCGGTGCAATTTAAAAAAAAAGAATACGTAGGTATGTTCTTATTTAAGGGATACTTCTTAGAACCCTAAAGTTTTGGAATTCTTTAGAACTAAAAACTTTTAGTTTTAAAGAATTTTGTATGCTGTTAGAACAAAATCTGATGTTTTGTGTAAAATTTTCGTTTTCAATAAAAAAAAATGTTCTATCAAAAATTGTTTATTTTGTAAAACCCAGTATTGGAAGAAATAAGTTCAAATAAGGACAATACATTTTTTAATTCTTAAGGATACGAGTCCAAAACTAGTACTTAAAATTATAAAAATCTTTACAAACGGTATTAGAATGAGCCTGGAATATTTAATCGCCATTCCCCAACAATTTCATTTTGGATTTATAGAACAATATAATACTCAACCCACGATTTCTTAAAATATAATAAAAAAATTAAACAGAACATTCATAAAAAATTTGAAAGGAAACAAACTTAGTTTATAAGGTCATACATTTTATATTATAGTATTTGCGCAAATGATTTATTTTAGTTTCAATGCCCGGCTATATTATTTGTAAAAAATAATCTTCGGCCGGTAATAAAAATAGAAACAATTTTCGGAAAAATCAAGAAAAATTAGTTAAATTCCCTGACTTTTCGTAAAAATTTGTTAAATTTCCTGACTTTTCGTAAAATTCAGCAAATTCCCTGACTTTTCCCTGACTTTTTTACTAATATTTAATTTCCCTGACATTTCCAGGTTTTCCCTGTTTTCCAGGTGAGTGGGTACCCTGTTAAAACGGATTTATCTGCTTTTGTCTGATTGCTCCACAACTAACAAACAAAAATTATATTGATCAGGCAATGTTTGGAGGTTCCGCCACCTTTTTAAAGTTCACGCCACTTTAAAGAGGTGGCGGACACTCCAAACATTGTCCAATACAATTTTTTTTTCGTTAATTGTTAGAATTGTGCACCACTTTTCCGAATATAGGCGTATTAAATATTTACCATCATGTATTTTGCTGAGCTAATACAGGGATATTAAATAGTTACCATCATGTTTTTCACTCCACCCTACTATTATTATTATTATTATTTTTAATGTGCTTTTAACTGGCACCAGGCCCAATTACAGAAATACACAATGACAAACACAAATAAACAACCATACCCCTGGTGGGATTCGAACCCACGACCTCTCGCTTGTAGTCCGCAGTGCTAACTACTACACCACCGAGGGCGGCTAGGCAATCTGCAAAATGTCTGATGCGATAGTTAATCTGGGGATTAAAGGTTTTTACTCCTAATGGCGAGCGGGAAGAAAGGAATATTTTTAGAGAAATTGAACCCAACCCAACCATTATATAAATAACAAGTGTTTGTTAATTTAATTTTTGTTTGTATTTTTGCTTTTCTAAAAACAAAATTCAGTTTTTTAATTTTACATTTGTGTCATTAATTAGTGTTGCGCACACTGCCTAGTCAATGTGAGAAGTAAAAACCCTTAATCCCCGGATTGATTTTGCACAATGTCTGTTAAATTGGTCTGTTTGCAGATTATCTAGACATTTCGCACATTGCCGGATTTTTTACTTTGCCGGTAACATAAACAAATGTAAAATAAATGAATAAAATTCCAAGTTGAATTTACTCAAAGTAGCCGTTTTAGAAAAATAATATCAAATATTGGACAAACACCATGAAACATTAAAAGAAAATCATAAAAAATAACGCGTAAAAAGTTAATAAAAAGCCTTAAAAGACTTTTTTTAGATATTAATAAAAAATCTTAAAAAACTACCCTAGGAATATAATTAAAATTCTGTAATAGTAAGGAAAAATTATGAAAATATTTTATTAACTTTGCAATGCCGTTTTTGTTAAGCCGAAAAAATACAAATCAAAAAACAATACTTTCTGTACAAAAAAAAACAATACTTTTTAATCATCAAATCTTTGTTATTAATTGTCATTAATAGTATTGTAATGGTTCATTTAATACGTTTTACAAATTTTTGAATAAATTTGTAATTTCTAAATTATGGTGTTAAGGCAAAATAACCTCTTTTAAAGAGGTAAAAAGGGACAAGATATTCGGACGTTTAGGTAAAGAAATTTGCCTGCAATTTGGAAAAATCTGATTAAGCGAGAGACGACGTTCGAGGAATACGAAGCGGAAAAGAAAAAAAATAGAGAGGGAAAACGTTTTTAAAAGTGGTAGCGAACGCATCGCTTCTTGTAAAATTTTTCTAAAATAAAATTTATTGTTAAGTTCTGTTTATATAATTGTTAAAAATTGTTTGTGTATTCTCCCAGGTTAGTTCTTCATTCTAATGGAACAAATTATGTAGTAGAACTAGAGATTGCAATTGCTTCCTGAAAAAATAATAATAATAATAAACCATAATATAGACGTTATTGACTGGCCAAGTCAATGCCCAATCTTAACCCGATCAAGAACCTGTGGGGGCTTTCAGCACGAAATTTACAACGTCGACATTAAGTATTCAATAATACAGAGGAGTTATTGGCCGCCATCACCAATGCATGGTATGAATTGCCTGGGAACTATAACAGAAATGTATACTCGTCAAGTTATACAAGCTAAGAGTTTCAAAAGCAGCACAGCATGCGTCAGTGAATGTCAAATGGTGCCCCAAATTTTTTGTCTGCAACTGTACCAGTAACTTTTATTTTTAAGCAAAATAAAATAAGGAAATGTTACTTAGAATTAAAAGTTAAATCTACATAATATGTTTAAATAATCCATGACCTCCTATTAAAACATTGATATTTATAAAATTACTAATAAAATCTAACAAAGGTGGATACGAGGTGTGTTCAGAAAATAACGGGAATTGTTAAATTTCGCGGGTTCGGAGGATCCGGTTGTCATAAAATTTTCTTTATTATGTTGGTATACATGCCCCGAAGTATGATAAAAACTTTAGCTGTTTTCATCGTTTACTTTGTCTGTGGCAGCCGCTAAGGTTAGACGTGTTTTATGAGCTCGGCGATTTTCGTTCGTTAAAAGAAATGAATCAAAGAAATTTGTATCCAATTTTGCTTAAAAAATGAGATAAATTCTGTGAAATGTTAACAAAGGCCTATAGTGAGTCTGCTATAAGTAAAACAAGAGTTAACAAGTGGTATAAGAGTTTCCAAGATGGCCGTGAAGACGTTGAAGATGACGAACGCCCCGAACGCCCAAGCACATTAACAACCGATAAAAACATGGAAAAAGTGGAAGAAATGATTATAAACCATCAGAGAAGTCGCTGATGATGTTGGTATATCGATTGGCTTATCTCATGAAATTTTTTCGAATGTTTTGGGTATGAAAAGCGTGGCAGAAAAATTTGTTCCAAAATTGTTAAATTTTGAACAAAATTTTTGTCCAAAAACAATGCTGTAATGATTCCCCAGCCTTCATATTCACCAGACATGCCTCTGTCTGACTTTTTCCTATTCCCAAAAATAAAGAGAACCTTAAAGGGCCGTCGTTTTTCAAGCATAGATGACATTAAAAGCGCATCGCTGAAAGAACTAAAGGCTATCCCAAAGATCGAGTTTTAGAAGTGTTTCGAGTATTTGAAGAAGAGCTGGCACATGTGCATAATATCCAATGGGCACTATTTTGAAGGCGACAACATTAATGTAGACGAATAAATAATAATTTTTTTCAAAAAACGAAAATTCCCGATATTTTCTGAACACACCTCGTACATAGATAAAAGACTGGGTGGGTAGGTCAAGGCAAATGTGCATATGTACCATAACTCACAAATTAACCTTAAAATTAACATTTGACAGTTTGGTGACAGCCTTGATAATATATATTATTATTATATAATAATAATATAATAAAAAAACAATATTTTGAAAAATTAAAATACCTACTAAATATTATAAAATTAAACAAAAAAGGTTGAACAAAAATTATAAGAAAATACACTATGCGACAAATTTGAAATAACCCCTCAAAAATTTTAGTCAGCATATTGCCGCACTAGTGCGGCAGAGAGTGCACTATATGTAAACATAACCAAACTTAAGTTAGAAAATCAGCTGTCAAAAATTGCGGAAAAATACTAAAACGGAATGCGAGATATGCAAAATGCTATTGCAGGTAGGTAATTAAATATTCTATTTATTATAAATTAAAATAGACAAAAATTCACAGATATTTCCGAGGATATTTCTAATTAATCTTTAAAATCATATAGGGTCCCTAAAATAGGGATAGTTTAAAGCATACAAACAATTCAATAAAATTGCACTTTACTAATTCAATAAAATTGCACTTACCTTATAGGCAGGGTCATCTAATGGGCCGTAAGTAAGCAACACAATGGCTGAATGTATAACAACAGGTTGCATGCCGCACTGCTCGCCAGTAGCCCAATGCACAAACACAAACTCGGCGTTGTAACTTTGCAAGAACGTGAAAGTCTCATCTGAATGCTCCTTGGACTTTTGAGTGTGCAACAAGAAAACATTCAGTAAGTTTTTGAGAGTTTCGTCGTTTTCCCCTGGCAGAACATAGGAGGCGACACTGTGCCTCTCGATTATAACCGAAGATAAGTCGGTTATTAGTTCGTTTAACTCCGGGAACGAATCGTTCATGTCCTGCGTGGACAAAAAGTTCATGTAACTCGACACTCTCGAAGGGTTTGTTTCGATTTGCAAAGCCTGCCGTAGAAATTGCACTAATACGGGTTTTATCGCGTTGAAATGCGGGAATTGCGGCATATATTTCGTTAACCAGTGGGTATTGTTATCCGTTGACACTTCCATATCATCACTGGGCGCTAATATCAGCGCGAGGGCTTTAGTAGATTGTGTTCTGCTCGCGCTGTGATCGGAGGTCAACCTTCTGAATAGGTACTCTAGCACCTCGCACGCCATCTGTGGATCCGGGCCGTTAACGACGGTTCTTAAATGCGCCAACAGCTGCCCTTGTTTCGTCAACTTCTCGGATGGCGCAGTCGATAGCAAGTACTCGCACAAACACTGCACTGGGAGGTGCGCTAGGACACCTTCAGAGCTGTGCACCAATTCGGCAAGCCATGGCATGTGCGCGGTCCCGCCTTGCCTCGACATAATGTCGAGTAGGAAATCAGGATGCCTGGATCTGCACAACAAATGCCCCATGCGGTGCGTATTGTTCAGGACTTGCAATTGGTCTAAAACTTGTTGCGGCGGCCGTCTAGCGTCGGCCTGCGGTCTTAACTCCATCACTTGGGGTAACAATAGGCTGGTTTGTTCCGTGATTTCCATTTTCGAGGTGGCTGCGGCTAGGTGGGACTCGAACTCGAGAATTTTTTGTTTTTCCAAAGCGATTATTTGTTGTTCTTTCACTTGGTAGTCGTCTTCTAGTGATGACATTGTTGGTGGTGGAAAGGAAAAGTGACTAAAAATATAATAAAATAAATAGTAATACGAATACAATTGTAATTTTTTTTAGATGTTAATGCCAAAGTTGATTGTACAATCCTATTGGAACAATTTTAATATACCTAAAAATGATATAGCTAGGACCAATATTGGGAATAAATCACTGGTTAAAATGGCAACAACATTTCTGAACACTGATATTAATTTTAGTACTTTAAGCGTCATTGTACGAACTCTTATTGTATTTCACCACTTCTAATATAGCATGTACATGTTATGTATGTTTTTTTATTATTATTAATGTATACCGTATTTTCATTTTACATGTAGGCAGGCCAGGCCGCATTCGGTTTTTAAGAGTGGGAGAAGCCGAGACTTTTGGCCCGAGAGACGGTTTTCGTAATTCACCGGCGTTGGGTGATGGTCGAAGTTTGCTCTGGATTATTAAAACGAATTACGTATTATTAGGTTAATTTACTTTTAAAAATGATTCAGAAACTTATAATAAATGTAAATAAATAAATAACTTAATTAATTAATAAAAATAATTATTATTTGAACACAAGCTTTAAATAATTTATTCAAAGCTAAGAACGTTCCGGATATTTAACTAAGAATAGGTCTCTTGTTTGACGTAGAGAATTGTCCACTAAAGACTAGCTTATCATGTCAATTTGCTCTTGCAATGTGTAGGTATGTTAAATATGAATGACCTGTAATGGTTTTACTGTTGGGCAAAAAAGATCTATTATTATAAAAAACGACATTTTTAAGAAAAATGGTATTTAACGTCTAATAACTAGTGATGTAAACTCCTTTAAATGGGAACGTTATGCACCTAGATTTTCACACATCTACATTTATTTTTTATCCACTACGTATTTTTTTAATGAATTTCTTAAGTAAAACTTAAATGTCAAGCTTTGTGAGTGTAAATGCTCCCTAATATCGTAAAATTCATGTTTACAAAACTTTTATCAACCATTAAAAAGAGACAGAAATACCCCCTAACCTTGCCTTTACTCTGAGTTTGTGCTGCGTATACCATTATAAAGTTTATGCTATATTTATGTAAGGGTAAAAATCATGGAGGTGAAGAATGATTTAAAGAGAATTTTCTTAGTTAAAACTACAATAAATTTAAGTTTTCTTGTAATCACTTTAATTTAATAGGTTTTTAGTTTCATTTCATTCCATCCACCATACCCGAAAAAATCATAATTTATAAAGCGAAATTGAAGGGAACAAGAAACACATTAAAATCAATTAAATTTAAGTAAATTTATATTCTTAACACTACTTACGACATCAGGCCAACTCACTAACATAAGTCGTTAACATTAGCCACTAGAATCAGTGGTTATCGGCCACTCAGGCGGATTAAATATAACTAGTGGCTCGTATTAGTGAATTGGCCTAGTTATTTGCTTTACAACAAATTTAAAAAAAATAGGTATTTATATTTAATTAAAAGTTGTCCGAGGAAAAATTTGTTGCGGTAAGAAGCGACATTAAAATATCAAAAGGTTTTTGCATGTACCAGATGGCGCTGCCAGCGGTCTTTCCGAAGTGTTGACGGCGTTGTTTATATGAATTATTAATTAAATTAAGGTGGCAATTCGATATTTGAATAGCGTAATTACAAGAACGCTGTTATAGAATGTTTTAGGTTTATGTATTATATATTTTTGTTAATGTTATGATAAACAGTCTAGGCCAAACATAATACCCCCATAGATTGGAAACTGACGCCAGCGCTAGCGGCAAGAGGTTAAAGTAAAGTAAATGTGACACCATCTAGGTCTACAATACCTAAGCAATGCGGAAAATTAAAGTAGCGACATATTGGCGGTATATTTGAATTACAAATTACAACCAATGTTTTATCAATTTTATGGCAGAAAAATGTATTTTAATAACATTCAATAATTCAATCATTATGATTGACATTTGCAAATAGCGTATGTACAAAGGTCTGCAATTTACAAATAGGTATTGCTTAGGTATTGTAGCTCTGGAGGGTAGTGGTGGGAGAGTTTCTATGGGGGTATTATCTTTGGACGAGGCCACTACAACATAACCTCAAAAATATTTCGTTTGATAATAATATTATCTTTATTGCCCAACAGAAATGGTATTTCAATTACAGGTCAATTTTAACAATACATTAATAAAATATTCTGTATTATTAAAATTGTCCTGTAATTGAAATACCATTTTTGTTGGGCAATAAAGATAACATTATTATCATTAACGCTGTGACTAGAGGCACGCTAACGTGCCGCGATTCGAAATGTTAAAGGCCCGTTATAATAATAATCCGTTTTTGTTCCCCGAGCGTTATAAAATTGATGTCAAGCTAGATAGCTCAGATGGTATACCCTATAGGGCGGTCGCTTAGCATGCGAGAGGTACTGGGTTCGATACTCAGAACTTTTTTTATTTTTTTGTTTCATAAATGTGTTGTTTCTTTGTTAAAAAGTGTTGGGTTGTGTTGGTTGGTTTGTTTTAGTTTTATCGTAACATAAAATCTTAAAATTATGACGTAAAATAATTATGACGTAACTAACGTGCCTTTAACATTTCGAATCGCGTGCCTCTAGTCACAGCTAGTGATGGGCATAATCGGATTATATCAATAACCGATTATATCCGATACGATTATTTCAATAATCGGATGATAATTCTATTCAATAATCGGCGATTATAAATCGCATACTTTCATTCGGATTTCAATATCGGAATAATTTAATTGAATTGATAATTCGAATGAAAGTATGCGATTAATAATCGCCGTTTATTTTCGAATTAAGTAATCCGCGATTAATAATCGCATATTTTCATTCGGATTTCAAATTGAATGATTCATTCGGCGACTAGAATACCTACAATTGTAGGCACCCTGATTGTAGGTATGGCAGTCATAATCGTAAATTACTATTTAAATAGTAATTTACGATTATGATGATACGATACGATTATAATGTTATGATATATCCTGATCTTGAAGAAAAAACGCGATTAGAAGTGACTTTAATACGTATTTGAGCAGATTATTTTTAATTCGAATTACGATTATTCCAAAAATCGGATTTAAACGATTATTTGAATAATCGGATAATTCGAATTCGCCCATCACTAGTCACAGCGTATCATTAAACGAAATGTTTTTGAGGTTACATTAGAAGAAGGAGAAACGATTTAAAGAACTCAAATAAAACGGCAATAGAATGTTTAACCTATTCTTTTTCTATGGTCTAACCTTATAATAGCAAAGTTAACCTTAAAAGAAATATAACAAAAAACACAGTACTTATGAAGGATATTCACATTTGGAAATTTTGAGTATTTTTAACAATGGAAGTTTGAAAAATTTTGAAAATTTCTAAAATTCTGGAAATTTTTTGGAATAATAATATTACTTCCAACTATACTATAAACTTTAGATATAACTATTTGAAGAATAACATAAAAAAATAATAATATAGAAAACCTATAGGACACCTGGCAACCCTATTTGCAGACCAGTAGACCTTTAATACAATTTGTTTTCATAATTATTTAGAAAATAAAAACTATGTGGCCCAAGTTAAAGAATAAAAATTAAAACTAATGTTAACTTACTTTGTTATGCACATCTCCATAAACATCCTTAGAGTGGGATACTTATCCCAAGCAATACTCCCAAAATTCATAGGATTATGAGCGGACAAAATCAACAACATTAACCATGCTTTCCAGTAAATCCCGGTAATAGCCAGTTTGGGCGGTAAATACCCAGCAGGCAAGGCAATATTTTCGGGATAATTATAGCTGCACAGGTTAAAAAAGAAATCCATAATTTCTATCTTATCCACCACCACAGGTGGCTCGTAGTCTTGCGGCAGATTTGCCGCTCGCTTTATTAGTTGGTCTGTGATTTCCATTATTTCTGTTTGAGCTATGGGGTGTTCTTTTGAAATTCCTATCAGAAGGATTCTAATCAACGTGTTTTGATGTAACGGGACTTCACTTGCAAGTCTCAAGAACAAGTTTCTTTCGTTTTCACCTGGCCAAGAATCAACCTAAACACAAAAATATTACAGTAAAATATGTTTATCCAATGTAAAATCTATGGCAGTACCTTGTAGTAGTGCTCAGGTTGTTCCAGGAACAGCAACTTAAGCAAAACGTGATGGAAATCGCTGACGTTGGGCCTGTATATTCTCCAAGCGGAGTCGTGCAACCAAGAAATGCACTCCTTCTGTATATCGCGAACTTGCCTTTGAAAACCGCGCAACACGGCAACGTCGCGCTTGCTCTGCGTTGCCGCATCTCTAACCTGTGGACTGACGCATAGTAACATGCACATAGAAACCAGGTCTGCGATGGACAAAAAAATTCGCTCTCTAAATTCGTGCTCGCGCACACTTGCCGCCACTTCTTTGCGCTCGCGCAGCAAAGACTGGACTACAGTGAGCAAGTTAAAATCGCTGCGCAAAACTCGATTTATTTCCTTCAATAGTGCGCGCAGTGACCTCAGATAATCGTCTTTGTTTAGCAGTAGTTCCTAAAATGAAAATTTAAATAGTATTTTTTGTATATCACTAGCTGGTACACACTTTCAGAACCGATCCATATTTTTTAGTAAAAAATAAACAACCTTGTATTATATTGACTCCAACAATTAATCCATCACATCAGATTTTTGGGGAAATTATTATCCAAAAGTGGAAAAACACTTTTTGTTCTTTCTCTTCTTCAAGAATTGTTTAGTTAAAATTTGTTTTTGGTTTAGGTAAAAATTGATTCATCTATCATAAATTTGAAATAACGATTTCTCGGCACGGAGAAAGGATATTAGAAACAATATAAAAAGGATTTTTTATACCTGTTTCTTTTTTGCTTAGATGAATAATATAATTGTTTTTAGAGGTAAAATCAATGATGATACATAGGATAGGTTAGTGACATCCAGTGGTTCCTGGTTTTGTCAAAAAAAATCATAATTTTTTTATTATAAAACAGTAGCTCTAATACAGAAATGATAGAGGAAAAACTTTCTTGTTTTGGCGTGTACTATCATCCCCCAAAGGATGACAATTTATTAGGTGACACTCTGTATAATCATTAAAATCATTGTTATGTATAATTTTTATATTTAAGGGGTGTGCTGGACCAAAAAAAAAACGATTTACAGCCTTAAAACTTGTTTAAGGCGGTGTCCGCATTTACGCACAGATTTTTTATTAACAATTTGCACTATTTTATTTTACTTTATTTATAGTAGTTATTATAATAGTTCTTGTGATTTCGGCCACAGCCACGCGCGCTGAATTGTGCTCAGCCGCTCCAAGCCTGCCTGATCTACTTGTAAAACCTTCATGAAAAGTTTAAAATAAGGTATATTCTGTACAATCTAGTGGTTAAGAAACCTGACTCTCGCTTAAAAAACTGTTTTTTATATTGTCAAATTAACTTTATATGGCACTTCTTTATTTACGTATTCGCAAATTCATACATTTTTTATAAATTTTCGAGACAAATAAGCATAACAAATTTTGTACAAATAAGCGTACACCGCATGACACAAATTTTATGCAAACGGTTTGAATACAATTGATTAAAATTTGTGTCAGCTGTATTTCAAAGACATATTATTTTACTTTAAATAAGTCTATGAACATTACTAAGAACTCACAACTTTTACAGTCGTACTATGGCGCCCAAAGCCAATGGCAACAACTTGTTAACAACAGGTATTTTAAGATGGCATAACGTGTTTTGAGGAGAAAAATAATATTTCGGGATGTAACAAAACGCGTTTTTCTACTTTCAGGTTAAAATTTTTGAAAAACCTGACGTGATTAAATTCTAAGATCGGATTCAAATTCAGCGCATCAAAAACCTTCGAAAAGGTAAAGTCTGATTTCAACAATAGACAGTTGACATTTAACAAAACAACAGAACTACATTAATACTTACCAATGCTATATCCGCAAACGCGTCCGAACTAGTTTGTTGTGCAACTTGAAATAATGCTCCCACAACTATTAAATTATTAGTATTCCTTGCATTACTCAATTCATTGTAGATAGTGTACTTCATCAACGGATATAAATTTTCAGGAAAGGCGCAAACCATTTCCTTCAGACAGTTATTAAAGTAACTAACCATAGGTTTGTTTTTCAACCTCAATTTACTCAGCTGCAAAATAACCTCCAAATCTCTCTGAGAGTTCGCCGAGCAATTATAACACAAATAAGCCAGCAACTCTTGCGCCGGTTTCATTAGTTTGTGGTTATGTAGCCACGTCTCGATTCTAGAGACAGCTATGATACGGATTTCGACCAATCCGCATGCGGTGCTCAAAAACCTGACGAAGTTTTTTGTTATTGCTTCCGGTTGTTGCCGCCTCGATAATTGTTCTTTGATAACTTCTAGTACTATTTGTTCGACATTTTCCTGCGCCTGCGCGTACCTTGGAAACACTTTTGTGGTCCATTGCTCCACCACGGTTTTGTGTTCGCTGAAAACTATAGAGACAACAAGGTTTTATTTTGGATACCTTTATAGTACACTTACCATCATCTTCATCCACGCTGTGAATTGTAAGAGGACTTGATGTATCCCTAGCAGCTGAACTCCATGGTTCACTTTTTAGCAATGAATTTGGTGGCACTTTTGTATTAAAAGCTGTAATAATATTATCGACAAATGGCTTACAGTAGGGGTTATCAATGAACACTCTATCAGTGACTGCATCTTCGACATATAACTAAAAAAGTACTTTGTTAAATAGTCTCCCATAAATGGCGCAATAAATTCGATAACCATCTACAGTCTGTCATTTTACGCGATATACGAAAACTCAAAAGAAAACATTAAACAGGGCCGTTTTTAAAGCTAAATATATCCAAGGTCATTCCATGACAAACAATACTGAGGGTGATATGTTCTTTTTCTATTAAATCTGATGAATTTTGAAAGAAAACATTCCAAATTATAATGTGCGACAAAAAAACTAGAAGAACTCGTAATTTTAATTAGTCTTCAAAATCTGTACTCAAGTAAACTGAATGACCATTATGCCTCTAACTATTGGAAATATGAAGAAGAAAAACTGTCAATCTGTCAACCGTTTTGCCACGTTGTGATTAAAAGTTAATTATCGTACATAGTATCGGTGGATTTCGTCACGGTCAGAAAAAAAATTATAATTTCCACGTTCTGTCAACCGTTTTGCCACGTTGTGATTAAAAGTTAATTATCGTATGTAGTACTGGTGGATTGCGTCACGGTCAGAAAAAAAAAATTTCCACGTTATAAGTGTTTTATCTTGATACTTTGACACTGTAACATACGAAAGGAAAAATCAGGTAATTGTTTTATTATCATACCTTACAGATGATTAGTATAATATTTAGTAAAAGTAAGGTTATGGTGGTAATACCAATATCTGAGCATAAGACAAATTTTATGTTTTTTTCTTGATTAAAAACGTTTTGAGTAAACTTTTTTCATATTTGATATGTGTGTGTATTGATTGAAGAATGCAATAATTATTATTTTTAATGCTCTTTCGAAGGCCCACCACGATGGTGTTGAAGAACCTACCGAAATATGGTAATACCGAAATGGCAAATACTACGATTTTCGTCAATAATTATGTTTCTACCGATTTTAGGCAATAATAACGATTTTACCGCTGCTTAAGTTATGTTAAAGGAGAATTCATTCTATTTATGTTTATTTGTAACTTACTATTTTGTAGTACTTAGAGACTAATAAAACACCGATTTTTTTAATTGCTCTTTGGCATCCTTTAAAACTCAGCTTAATTCCCTCGATGGTCTTTGATTGCTGGCATGTGTGGTGAGACAGACGAGGCTTTATTACTATTGGATTTTTGTACCTGATATAACATATTACATTATATTGTTTTTGTTACTAGAATTAATTTGATTTATTTATTGTAAACCAATGTATAACTGCTATTTAGCGTTAATAAACATTATTATTATTATTATTATTATAAAGTGTAAAATAGTAAAACGTTATTTATGACAGTGATTATGTGGTAAAGGGGTTAATAAATATTATACTTTTGGAGGCCTGTAATTTTTAGGAAAGTTTCCCTAAGAAAATTTGCTGAATTTCAAATAATTGTAATAATGATCAGGACATAGAGGCAGAATCGTGAAACACCCGAAACGCACACTTTTAGATTTATAAAATCGTTATCCTATATGCTAAACTGTACTAATTTTTACAACTAAAAACGTAAAGAATAGGGCACTTTAATTGCTAAAATATTATTTCAAAATAGATACAAATTTAAACTTTGGTTGAACAAATCTGCCGTGCTTAATGAAAACGCCGTAACCAACAATTTTGCGATTTTTGGTTTACGGCATTTTCTACTAGAACAATTCATCCTGCGTCTATCCCCGGTACTCAAAAAACCGTATAGATATAGATACGGTTTTTTGAGTACCGGGGATAGACGCAGGATGAATTGTTCTAGTAGAAAATGCCGTAAACCAAAAATCGCAAAATTGTTGGTTACGGCGTTTTCATTAAGCACGGCAGATTTGTTCAACCAAAGTTTAAATTTGTATCTATTTTGAAATAATATTTTAGCAATTAAAGTGCCCTATTCTTTACGTTTTTAGTTGTAAAAATTAGTACAGTTTAGCATATAGGATAACGATTTTATAAATCTAAAAGTGTGCGTTTCGGGTGTTTCACGATTCTGCCTCTATGTCCTGATCATTATTACAATTATTTGAAATTCAGCAAATTTTCTTAGGGAAACTTTCCTAAAAATTACAGGCCTCCAAAAGTATAATATTTATTAACCCCTTTACCACATAATCACTGTCATAAATAACGTTTTACTATTTTACACTTTATAATAATAATAATAATAATAATGTTTATTAACGCTAAATAGCAGTTATACATTGGTTTACAATAAATAAATCAAATTAATTCTAGTAACAAAAACAATATAATGTAATATGTTATATCAGGTACAAAAATCCAATAGTAATAAAGCCTCGTCTGTCTCACCACACATGCCAGCAATCAAAGACCATCGAGGGAATTAAGCTGAGTTTTAAAGGATGCCAAAGAGCAATTAAAAAAATCGGTGTTTTATTAGTCTCTAAGTACTACAAAATAGTAAGTTACAAATAAACATAAATAGAATGAATTCTCCTTTAACATAACTTAAGCAGCGGTAAAATCGTTATTATTGCCTAAAATCGGTAGAAACATAATTATTGACGAAAATCGTAGTATTTGCCATTTCGGTATTACCGATATTTCGGTAGGTTCTTCAACACCATCGTGGTGGGCCTTCGAAAGAGCATTAAAAATAATAATTATTGCATTCTTCAATCAATACACACACATATCAAATATGAAAAAAGTTTACTCAAAACGTTTTTAATCAAGAAAAAAACATAAAATTTGTCTTATGCTCAGATATTGGTATTACCACCATAACCTTACTTTTACTAAATATTATACTAATCATCTGTAAGGTATGATAATAAAACAATTACCTGATTTTTCCTTTCGTATGTTACAGTGTCAAAGTATCAAGATAAAACACTTATAACGTGGAATTTTTTTTTTTCTGACCGTGACGCAATCCACCAGTACTACATACGATAATTAACTTTTAATCACAACGTGGCAAAACGGTTGACAGAACGTGGAAATTATAATTTTTTTTCTGACCGTGACGAAATCCACCGATACTATGTACGATAATTAACTTTTAATCACAACGTGGCAAAACGGTTGACAGATTGACAGTTTTTCTTCTTCATATTTCCAATAGTTAGAGGCATAATGGTCATTCAGTTTACTTGAGTACAGATTTTGAAGACTAATTAAAATTACGAGTTCTTCTAGTTTTTTTGTCGCACATTATAATTAAGCACGGCAGAAATGTAATACCCAAAACGATGGAATGACCCTCCAAACGAAAATTTATTAGGAAAAAACAATTAAATATGCATTCATATTCGAAAATGTTTACTTTTATAAAGAACGAAGCCCTAATAATAACAATAGCCAAAAAGAAGAAAGCCCAAATAAACACAGAAAAATCAATAAACAACCAAAATACCTCGATGCACTAAATGACTGAATGCAGCCCTGGAGAAAATTTTGGCCACCTTCAAATGTCTCAATTACGCGTTACAATTGTTTGTTTTTGTCCATCTGTTAAATGAAAAGACTGTAGTGTAATGTATTTTACCTTTAAAAACTGTTCTGGCCAATGAACAACATCAGCAAAAGAATGTGATAGCAAGTTAATAAACAAAATATGAATATAACTATTCCCCTTATTAGTTCCTTTAACTCCTGCATTCAAATCCCTCCTTAGAACACTCAATAAAGCCATCATAACATTCTCATTGTTGTACAAGAAAGGCTTGCAACTGCACAACAAAAAGAGTGAGGAATAAACCACTTTGCATAATTTAGACCTGTGCGATCGCACTGCTCTTATAACACCCAGTATAATACCAATTGCTTTGTCAGTGTTGCCACTTTGAAGGCTGCTCATTACTGCTTCAAAAAGGTCTGTTGCTTCACAGTCAACTGCAAGGGTTTCCCATGGTTCTACACCCGTTTGGGAGCCAGATATTCTGTCTATTTGGAGGCCTCCTGTGTTGGATGTGCTGGCTATGCCTGGGCGGGCGCCCGGGATTGACACTTTCAGTTTTTTTGAGGGTGGCACAGAAAGACTGCTTGAGCTTGCCTCACGTTTTAGCTTGTCCACTGGGGCTGTAATAAGTAATAAATTAGGGAAACAAACTTAAAATAATTTATAATATTTTCTCCGCAACAATGAAGCAAAAATGTTTCATACACCTGCTAATGTAGATAGCCTGTGTCCAACACAAGAAGAAAACCTTTTTTTCTATAAATTATTATATATATATTGAGTCTTTACCTTTACTGGATGAAGTGGATAAATGCGATGTAACAGTGGTCGGTAAAGGCACAGTACGTTTAGAATCATCTCTGGATGTTGATTGTTTTCCAAGCGCTATAAAATGGTTCGGGGGCTGTTGCGTTACTTTAGCCTTGGGCCCCCTAACGCCCGGCACTGGTTTATTACGATCCATTTCGCTTAAAACCGCTAAATCTTGCAATAAAACACCATAATTTGTTGACGTACGTCGATAAATAAGGTTAGGTGATGTTAGCCAAACGGCAACCTAAAATAATATTAACGTTTTTCAAAAACGGTTTTTGACAAAAACTTTTTGTTATTAACATAAGTAATCAGTGTTGCCATATTAAAAAAATACAATGCCGACAAGTCATATAAGAAATATACAAGTCGTATATCAAAAACAGTTGGCAGAATTGTATTTTTTTGGTTTTGGGGTTTTCTGATTCAACCACTGTTGGCGTTGTATTTTTTGTTATGGCAACACTGATTACTTTCTATATTTTTTGTCTATGGATACGTCATACATACGAAGAAGAAGAAGAAGATTCTACAAATGTCAAGATTATTTTAGGTTATGTGGGATAGTTCTTGTCAACTTATTTTTCTTCTGAATTTAACAAATCTTGAATATGGGGGGCAAAAAGGTGCCTGTTAAAATGGAGGATAATGATTTTACGAATATTATAATAGCAGTGGTGGTTATTTTATTAACATTAGGTAAGGAAAAATGATTCCATATGTCATAATGAATAAATTAGGTGATATTTTATAATTTTTTAGTGATTTTTGCTCTTTATAAGCGTAGAAAGAGCACCAAACGTGGAGTTCTGTTAACTGGATTATGTGATAGTGGAAAAACTGTATTATTTTCTCAATTAGTTCATAATAAATATGTTAATACACACACATCAATTAAAGAAAATATTGGGAACTTTATTATTAATAATGTAAGTAAAAGCACCTTATAGCGTAATTATAAACTAACAATATGTTCTTTAAGGATGTACTGAAAATAGTGGACATTCCAGGCCATGAGCGTCTAAGAAACAAATTTTTTGAGAATCATAAAAATTTTGCTAAAGGAATTGTTTTTGTGGTGGATTCTATGACTTTGCAACAAGATATTAGAGATGCTGCTGAATTTTTGTACAATATTATCACTGATCCTGTGATTTTATCCAATAATGTTTCATTATTAATTTTGTGCAATAAACAGGATCAAACTTTGGCAAAGGGTTGCAATGTTATTAAATCTATATTTGAAAAAGAATTGTAAGTTTATTTTGCATGTTTGTGATTGCTTTTTGTCATTTTTTTTTTGTAGGAATACCTTGAGATTTACAAAGGCACATCAGCTTGAATCAGTTGACCCAAAATCAAAGAAAACTTCAGGATTAGGAGATATGAATAAAGATTTTGATTTTTCAATTTTACCTGTTAAAGTAGAGTTTGCTCAATCGTTTGGTTGTAATAAACAAAAAACCTGCAATATTGAAGAATTGAATAATTGGCTTCAAAAAATTTGTTAATTTTTTCCAACACTTTGTTGTTTGTTGTAATGGGGTAGTTAATTTTGTAACTTATAACATTTAGAATGCATTTACCATAAAATACTGTATGCTTTCACATGTACCATGTTGTCCAGTCACTTAACAACGCACTCTGGCGGCAAAAAAACATGTCGCAATTTGAGGTATACAAAATTTGTATTACGAATATATACATTTAAACCATACAAAATTAACTATGCCATAAAGATATTTGTGTTTTTATTTAATTTCCATTTTTATAATCAATAAATGTTTTTATAAAAAAAAGACTTCTATTTCACATAAATATTATTATTTTTGAGACTTATAACAATAAATTACATTTTTTATGTATAAAAACAAAGTATAGTCATCAACTAATTAAAAGATAATTAAGTAATAAGTATAGCTAACAATTTAAAAAGATACTCAACAATACTAAGAAATAACGAAATCACAATAGAAAAATAGATATGTGTAAATAAAATTATATCGTAAATTTTGTGTAATTTATAACAATAGGCATTTTTTGGAGCTGCTTTTATAATAACGCCAAATATCTTAGGTTCTTACACAAAGTGTTCAAAAATGGGACAAAGACGTGCTGGACATAATACAAACAATGAAGTTATGTGCTTTTCAGATCATATACTTAAAATAACCTCCCTCATGAAATTGCATCATTTTTTGAACACCCTGTACAAACAGTCTACATAAAATTCATATTGTCTATCATATTAATTAATTGATAATATTAATATGTTGATTTCATCTCAACCTTGCTTAGTAATAGGGGCTAAAATTAAAAAATAAATATTCATTCATTAATATGATGATAAGTTTAAATAATATATGTAAATACTCTGGAATGATCACGATTTAGGTTCATAGTTTAATAAACAGTATCGAGAAAAGAGGAATAATTTAAAACTTTTAAGATGCAAACATATTTTGTTGCGCAGCGTCATTTTCAAAATCACTCCAAGCGTTGTTAAGCTCCATAAAAATAAGTTTCGCTAGATTTTCATTGTCTGTACCAACTTGCTAAAATTAACAAAAAAAAACATCAAATTAAAAAAATAGCAACTTTATTAATGGGTTAATAATAAAAAGTATAATTATTAATTATAAAGGATTATTCAGCGGCGTCTGAGATTTCATAGAGGCAAGTCGTACGAGAGAGCGTTCTTTGCTAGCGAACCGTATAAAATAATTATAATCGGATACAAAATTAAGAATTTCAATAAGTGAAAATACTTGTGAAAGAAGTGCCAAGTGCCAAATCTGTGTGATTAAAAAAAGCGACTATTGGAGGAGACAAAAGACTACACAAGAAAAAAAGAAGGGAACTACCTTAGTTTAAAACCGCACGATAATTCACAATTCATTTACAAAAAATCTTGCATTTTTGAATTGAATTAAGGAACCGAAAAAACCATTGCAGGGAATCAGCCTAAAGTACACTTAAACCAAACAGTCGCCTATAAAAACAATAAATCACAGGAATGCAAACAAACTAAAATGTTCACCAAAGCATCAACAAGAAACATATTAAGGGCAATATTTTAACCTGTTAATTAATGGTATTTGCACAGTGGGGCAAATATTTCAAATATATATGTTCTTTTATTTCTTTAGGTTGGCAATATAAAAACTTGTTAAATATGGCTGAATCTTCTTTGAAGTCAGTATTTGGCAAAAGTAGTTGAATCTTCCTTGAAGCCAGCTGCTTATTTTGATCAACCTGACGATAAAGAAGAAACAGAAACGTACTTACACCCGTATAAATGGCAAGTTTTGGTCTTGTTGATAATTCAACGGATTTCGCACAGTGGGGCAAAAGAATCCGTGTTTTTTTAGCCTAGTAAAATAACAATTTAATGAAATGGCTTAATGTTCTTTAAATTTAAGACTTAAGTCTTGGGAAGGGTAGCTGAATCTTCCTTTAAGCCAGCTGCTTTTATTCAACAACCTGACGCGGAGAGAGAAACCGAATCAGACCATCAAAAGTTAGACCCCACAGCTAACTAACAACTTCCCAGTCGCAAACATAAGCCCCAAATGTTTGTGCATGTTTTCTGCATAGATCATCTTTCATAAAAATATTTTACCTATTTTCAATACCTCTGGTAAGGGTATAGGTTGCCTACCTAAAAATGATCATCTTTCATGCAAAATACGGTACCTACCTATTTTATATACCTCTATAGCTATAGTCTTGATCATTTTTAGCTAGACAACCTTTAGGTTGCCCGCATATATGCGCGATGTTTTTCTTCATAGATCGTGTTTAAGGGTATAGGTACTTTTAATTAAAAATAACTTAATTATTTTTGTAATAAAACCCCTTACCTGACTTCATTTAACCCATAATCAAAATAAAGGTAATTTAATTCCAAACGCAAAGATATTGGGTTGCCTTTAAAAAAGTGGCTTTAAAGTTTTAATAATTTATAAGATTTTTTAAAATATAAAAGTTATTTCAATTTTGTATGCATTTGTATTTTAAAGGAAATACATCTACATGAATAAAATACATATATATTTTATTCATAGTAAATTTTCCTGTTATACAGTGAGTTTTTAAAAATTTTCCCTGACTATTCAGGGTGTGAAATGAATGAATTTAATTTAATAATTTCCTAGGTCTGGTAAAATTTCTGACTTTTACCCCTAAACCAAACCAATGGTTTGGTCTAGGCTTTTAACTGGCAAAATAAATTCCCTGACATTTCCCGGTTTCCCAGATTTTACAGAAACTAGCCACCCTGTACATTGTTTAAAGTATTAATGTACCTATTAATGTTTTTAATTTTTTATTTGTACCTATACCATAATAAGCACAGAACATTTGCGTTTCCTATTTTCCTATTGTCTCCATGACGGATACGCAATTATAATTTAAATTTTTCTTAAAATTATAAAAAAATTAAAAAAAAACGTCTTGACATTAGTTGTTTAATATTCAGCAATTGAGCATAACTTTTGTAGGAAATTTCAAGTTTGATTTATACGCAAACAGATTTTTTGTTTTTGATCATTTTTGAATACAACATGGGTAATCTATTTTCTATTGAATAAGTCAATAGATAATACATTACCTACATAATATTATTATGTTTTCAGTCAATTTCCTCCCCTTTACTTTTATTTAATAATGATTTATTTATATGAATACAAAGTTTACAAATGTTTTTTTAATAAAAGTTTCAAAAAAATTGATTTGTTTTTCGACTCAAAAAGTAGAAATCCCTTTAAAGTCAGGTACCTAGATATCCAAGGTCAGGTATAAAAATAATGGTCTATAGCCAGATGTGTATTTATTCGACAAAATTATATAGTCAGGATGGCCGAGTGGTCTAAGGCGCTGCGTTCAGGTCGCAGTCTACTCTGTAGGCGTGGGTTCGAATCCCACTTCTGACAAATATTTTTTTTTACAAAAAATATGTTATTTTGAATGTTGTGTTTCGGAGGACGGTCGAAAATAAAGTATTTAATTCGAATTGTTGGAAAAAATATTAAATTTAGCAGGTGAGGAAATGCAATTTGCCACAATTTTCCCCAATACACAGCTGACCAAAAAACCGCGAATGACATTTACTTGACAATGAAAACACAAAAAAAATGATGGGACACTTGGCCTATACAAAAAAAACAATAAAATGTTTAAGAAAAAAATTATTAGGACCCTTAGACTATACAAAGATAGGACACCGTTTTTATACATTAAAAGCTATTAAGCTTGTAAAACTGCATTAAAATATTAAACATGATAAATATTCCTACCTTGTCTGGGTGAACAGCCAAACAGGCTCTTCTGTAAGCTTTTTTCACGTCCGCAGCTGAAACTAATTGATGCATTTCGCATTTTTTCCATTTGTTATCCTCCCACAGAATTGTGTGCATTGAGCATAGCAAAGCCCTGATATTGTTTTTCTTGCCTTCTTTCTGAAAAATTGATAAAAGAAAAACATTAAAAATGCATTTAAAACAGGGATGTTAAAATCTGAATCGCATATTTTCATTCCCTTTTATGATATAATATATAATATATTATGATATAATATAGGTCAATCAGCAATAATTTCCGATTAATTATGTGTATTTATAAATTTTTAATTAGTTATTGGAATATTACATATACATAGACGTAATAATTGGTTAATTACATATAATTTATATGATTTTTAGAGTCCAGTTCTAAAGTTAATTTTATTTTTTTAATATATACAAGTGATTCATGACATTATTTTCTGACAAATATAAAATTTACAGAAAATACAAAAAAAAATACTTATTTTCACGTAATATGTATATTATACCAAATATTAAATTTTGAGCATTTAACTTGGCAACCCTATGTTCCGATGAGCTCATATATTATTAAAAAATAAAACCAAATCAAATAGAGATGTATCAAAAACCTAGGGTACAGGTATACTTCATTAATTAAAACATAAATGTAACAATAATATAACCATGTGTATAGGTACATTTAATTTGATGTTATTTATTGATGTACAAAAAAAGATATTTATTATTATTATACAGTCTGTCCTTGAATGGACTTAACTATACTTGTAAAAATATTTATTTTCAATTTTTCGAAGAAAAGTCACTTTTCATAATTTCTTCTGTTTGTTATATAAATACCATTCACGATGAGAAACTTCTATTTTGTTATACAGGCTGCGCAAAAAAATACAACTGTAGATTTTTCAAAATTAAAAAATTGTTAAATATTTTTTTTTAAGGTCTAATATGAAGAGCTTGTAAGGAGAAACAAAAAAGCCAAGTAAAGTTTTTTCATGTGAGTTGTTGTTACCAAGATATTTGTTATTAAAAATAAAATCAATTCAGTTCCTAACTTGAGTGGTCCTATTATTTTGTAGAAATTGACTGCTACCTATCTCATTTTGTGATTATGAATCAAGGTTGTTGCTTTCAACTGACGTGTCTACTATATCTACAATTATTTGTTAAAATTTGAAAACTAATCTTAAATTTTCAATATCAAATATCCATATGAAAAAACTGCATTTGACTTTTTGATTTCTCCTTACCAACTCTTTATATTAGCGCTTCAAAAAAATTATTTAAAAATTTTTAAATTTTGAAAATCAGTATTTTTGCTCACCCTGTACAACTAAATAATATAAGAAGCAAAATAAATGATGTAAAATGAGTTTTTCTCAAAAAATTGAAAATAAATATTTTTACAAGTAGGTATAGTTAAGTCCATGTCATGACACACTATAAATTAAGTAAATTATTTACATCATTAAAAAAATTAATATAAAATGGTTATAAATATGTTTTTATAATGCAAATTAATTGCAAACAGCAACATGATAAAATTCGTAGTTCTTACAATTTTGTCGTTATTCATAATACATTGCCAGGTAAGAAAATTAATCAAATAATATTTATGCATATTATATCATATGTACCTATATAATTTTTAAAATAAAAATAAATTAATTTTTAGGGTAGCGTCAAAGATGAAATAGTACAAAAACTCCGTAAAGCCTGTATGGCAGAAACAGGGATAGATCTTGGTAAATAAATATAAACCACTGAGCACTCACACACAGCACATGTTTATATTTTTAATTTTTAGATACAATATTAAAACAGAGGGATAGTCCAGAACTAAAATGTTACGATAAATGCATCTTGGTGAATGCCCGCCTAGTGAGTTTAAAGGTAAATAAAAAATAAGTTGGGTCTTATGTTATTATTTTAGTTAAATCCCGATACTGGAAAATTTGATATGAAACCATTTATTGATTCGTTTCCAGCAGAAGTAACTGAATCCTGGGTTAAAATTTTTACGGACTGTAAAGTAACTGACTGTAAGTAGCCTAATTTAAAATATAATATAAAAAAAAATATTTTTGATTAATTTTAGTTACCAGTAGTGATTATTGCGAGGAAGCATTTAAATATCAGATGGATTGTTTTTCTAAACAACCTGGTGTAAGTTTAATATTTTATTATTACTTTAATTTCATATATTTTTTAATTTTTAGTTTTATGTTGTCTAAAAAACAATTGTATAGAACTTATATACAATAAACATACAAAATAGTTTAATATAATAAATATTATAAAGCAATTAACCAACTGTTTATTTTACCTGCAGTATTTTTATGTAAAAAAACAATAAGACTATTCCACCAAAAAAGTTTTATATGATACCCACAATAAAAATAAAATAATACCTAATTAAAAAGTAAAGTAAAATTTTGTAAAAATGTATGTACTATGGACCAAATGGTCCACACCCAAAAGTCTCACTACGTAACTTTAATACAAATAATTAAGGTTAATTTTCTGTCAGTGTCAAGCTAATTTTGTCCTATTGTATGTATGTATAAAGGTCTTAATTTAGAACAAGAAAAATACAAAAATACAAATATTTATCTACTCCTATTGCATAATTTTGGGTTTTTTACCGTAAATATTCATAAACATTATAAATTCCCTGTCTAACGTGAATAATGAACTCATTATTCACGTTGTTAGGCATCAGTGATTGGGGTTGTCTGAAATCTACTTAAAAGGTATGATGTTTTTTATGGACTGCTCCTTTAAGACCAATTTTCGCCATTAGTAAAAGATGTCTTTAAGTGCACCTACACTGCCCGTCAAAATTAACGCATAATAAGTAAAAAAAAACTCGAAAACGCCTTTACCAATCTTTATGAAATTTTTTATATAAATACTTCAACTTATATCTCAGTTTACGTGTTGGAGGGTTTTTCGAGCTCTTTTATTTAACAATTAAAAAAACGTTCGAAAAATAACTTTAAGGGAATTTTTTAAGTAAATAAAAAATATGCTGTTAAAGACCGTATTTTCGTTAGTATACCCTGAAAATTTTGTACAAATCAAACGAACAGTAACGAAGATACAGCGCTTAAAAGTCGGTAAAAATGACCCCTTTTTTATTATTTTGCTGAAAAGTGGTCATTTTTGACGACTTTGAAGCGCTGTTTTTTCATTACTTTTCGTTTGATTGGTACAAAATTTTCAGGCTATACTAACAAAAATACGGTCTTTCACAACATATTTTTTATTTACTTATAAATAAATTTCTTTATAAAAGTTTTTTTTCGAGCATTTTTTATTATTAAATAAAATGGCTTTAAGGATATTTTCTCGAAAAACCCTTGAACACGCGAACTGAGATATAAGTTGAAGTATTTTTATAAAGATTGGTAAAGGCGTTTTAGAGTTGGATTTTTTTTACTTGTTATGCGTTAATTTTGACGCGTTTTGTAGAAAAGACATGTTTTATGTCATAAAAAAGCGCTTCTCCTCGCAATAAAAGTGATATTAATTAAAATTTAGGGTGATCCTATTAGGGTTAATTTTTACGAAAATCTGCTCAGCTCTTCATATAAATATTAACCTGGCTCCCATGGTAGTCAGACTTTTAACATGTATTTTTTCAAATCTAAACTTTATTTTTGCTTTTTTTTGTTACTTCTAGATATAAATGAATTTTGTTTGTAATTTCTTGATATATAGCCCTTGTAAGGCTTTTTGAAATCTTGTTAATATGGGCACTAGAATACAGGGTGCACCAAGTATTTTTCTATGTATGGGTACCTTTTTTATTTGAAGAGCTACAAGATCGCTTAAATTAATGAAAAGTTGCGTAATTTCAAGTCTATTAAAATATTTAAGAATTGAAAAAAGGTTGTATGTAATTAAAAAAAAAATTAAAACATGTCAAAAGCAAAAATCGTTATAACTTCTTTATTCCTGGGAATTAAAAAAAAGGTATACATGTAAACATACAAATTTATGTATATTTATCTCCACGCGGTCTATAATTTAAACTTTATTGTTGTCAACATTCGATAAAGAAATACCTTGTTATGGCCTAGGCCAATAAAAAATTTTATGAGGCAAGTAATTCGATTTTTTCTCGCTAGGGGTATTTTTTTGACAAATTAATCCTTTTCTAAGAAATTAACGTACTAAACTGGTTTAATTTATTTATAATAAGCACTAATTTGTTTGTTTTACTGTTAATGTTTAATATTTTTCATTAAATTATTGTAAAATTAAATATGAATAATAAAACAAAAAGGTTAGGCAACCAAGAAAACGCACGATTCTTTTTCTACGATTTAAATTATCTTTAAGTTTTTATTTGCTTTAAGTTTTCAGTGAAATTAAATGTTAAACACAGCTTAAACATTCCAAACTACCTATTTTTTAAATAAAAATTCAAACAGATTGAAATTAGATATATACCTATTTATTAAACAATTAATTGAGTTCAATGTAATAGCAAAAATCCATTTCTACTTAAATCATGTAGCTAGGTATTGTCAAACTGCTTCTAAAAGCAATAATAATTATTGTACATTTAATGTAATCTTTAGCTAATAAATAAATGAGATTCTAAAAAAGTGAGGTTAGGCCGCTTTGATGTTGAATTAAATTGACCTATATATATAAAGTGCTTTGAAGATAAAATGTTGTATGCCATTCGGCCAAGAAGTGCCTTTTTGTGCTTCGCTTGAGGTTAGCACAAAAAGCCTTACTTCTTAACCTAATGACATAAATAACTATTTTATCCAATTTGTGATTTTTTTCGCCTACTATATACCGATTTACCACCACCATCTTTTATTTTTTCATGGCCGCCATATTGGAATTTTAAATCAAGGATTACAATGATGTATCAAACTACAAAATACGGTGGTTGTAACTCAGTATATGCAGTATATGCTGTGCATATTATCCACAGATCATTGTTGTCAAATATTAAAGGTCAAAAATAACTAAAAACAGCTTTTTTCGATTTTCTTTAAAATATGCTTTCATGTAAAACTGCAGTTAGTTATCTTCCCAAATAAAAAAAAATAAGAAAAGGTAACATTTTTTGTCATTAAATGATCCCAAAAACGCGCAATTAAAGTGAAAAGATCATTATTCATGTTTAAAACTGAAGTTTTAAAAATACAGGGTGTCCCACAATTAGTGCGACAAAATGAAGGTGTTTTATCTAAAGACCCCCAGGGGCCCGATTCTTGAATCGAAGGAATTAATTCCTATGAGAAAATTTCCACTTATAAAAATTCTCTTGCGAATCGAAGTATCGAAAGAATTGCAATTCTTGAACCTCGTAGGAATGTATTTCCTTTGATAACGTATGTTGTGTATTATTTCATACTAATATTTAGGGTTTTTAAGTAACTTTTTATTTCTTTTATTGGCAACATTGAATGTCAAAAAATAAATTCATTTCAGACACAGAGCTTATGTTCTGTGACACAGAGGAGGGTGGTTTCAGGTTTGAAATTGTGCGTAGTTATATGATTTTTCTATGGTAGTTACATGCTTTTTCTATGAGTTACATTATCACTTGATATAACCAGATTTAAGTATTATAATTTATATTGTAAGTATCTATTTAACAACGTTAAATTACTATTTAAATGTTAATGCGTCAAATGTATAATTGGAAAGTATATTTTTAGAGAAAATGGTTGACCCCACGTCTCAGGAAGAAACAAACGAGCTTTTTTCCAAATTTTGTAAAACTATGGCTTGTACATGTAGAAGATCCATCTCTTATTTTGTTTTGAATAAAACAGTTTTGAAAATCTTGAAATATTTATAAAATGTTTTATTTAAGTATTTTAATGCCTTTTTGAAATTAGAGAAGATTAAACTTTCTAATTCTATTTGTATATAAAACACATCTTTTACAAAATTTGTATTTAATACAAAAACAGGTACTTATAGGTATATAACGTAAAAAAATAAGTTAATTATTATTAATATAAATGTCAAAATATTTAAAGCGCGCAAGAGAACCTTTAATTCACCGACGAATCCTACTGAGAAAATTTTCCTTCGATATCTAGAGAAATAATTCCTACGAAATTATTCAAGAATACGCATGAACCAATATCCTGAGAAAATGACGTCATTTTCTCTTGAGAATTAATTCCTACGATTCAAGAATCGGGCCCCAGAGGAATTCCAGAAAATTGTTTAAAAAATTCTTTCTTCATTATTTAATAAGATACAGGGGAGTCATATTTTCTTTATAAGGCAACATTGCCTCATAACAAAGTAATAGTTTAATTCTTAATCGTCATGGCAACAAACAACAATGTTAGAAAATGCCAAATTTAAATGTCAAAATTTGTTACTTTAAGTTATAGGTTATTTATTTTACGTCAAACTGGATAGAAAAAAATACAGGGAGTCCCTGTCTGACGTAAAATAAATAACCTATAACTTAAAGTAACAAATTTTGACATTTAAATTTGGCATTTTCTAACATTGTTGTTTGTTGTCATGATGATTAAGAATTAAACTAAAACTTTGTTATGAGGCAATGTTGCCATATAAAGAAAATATGACTCCCCTTTATCTTATTAAATAATGAAGAAAGAATTTTTTAAACAATTTTCTGGAATTCCTGGGGGTCTTTAGATAATATACCTTCATTTTGTCGCACTAATTGTGGGACACCCTGTATAATTTATAATTAAAATAATATTTAGGGAATATTGAATATAAAATTATAAATGTCTTTAACTCACCCACTCCATAACCTTCATCGTTTCTGGATCTGTGTAAGTGGCCATTTCTTCCTTTCTCATTTCATTAATCGACCTCGGACCTTGATCCTTTTTCGCTGTAAACGAATAACCTTGCGAACCTAATAAGTCTCCAAAAACATCTACACTTTTGGGCTTCCCCTTCGCTTCACTGGCGCCATTATTTTTGGCGGTGGGAGGCTCAAAGTGCGCCCTGTTGTAGTCCGGAGACTTCATCTGCGGTTTCGGGGCATGCTGCGGCGTAGTGGGAGGCATTTTGTTCGGAGTTGAACCCCCATTGGTCGGAGTTACGGATGGCGGGCGTATATTACCCCCCAAACTCCCTAAATCGGCGAAAAAATCGTTGGGTTTCTGTGGCTGACTGTTACTATTATTTGTAGTGGTAGTACTATTAGTAGTAGTAGTAGTAGTGACATTAGCGGAGCTAAAATTACCCCAACCACCAATCAAATTATCCTCCCCGCCTCCAGTGGTGGCGAAAGGGTCGAAAATGTCACTTGCCGGCGGTTTGTTTTCTTTGGGAGCGGATTTGAAGCCGCCAAAGTTCATTTGGGGTTCGTTGTTGCCGCCAAAGCCGCTCAGGAGGTCGAAGTTGGAGCTCGGGGAAATTTTGGGGGAGGAGTTGTTGGCGGGAGCGGAGGAGTTGAGATTCAAAAAGTCGACCGCTTCTTCTAGAGGTTTCGTGGAGGTTTTCGTTGCGGGCGGTGCCGGACGTGGCGGTTGTTTGTTCTGAGGAATAACGCGACAATTTTTTAGTGGCTTTCTTGAAGAAACATAAAATATTAAGAAACATCCCACTCACCATAATTTGTTCTGAATCGGAATCACTTGAAGTTTTGTTTTCGCCCGTCAAATTTCTGTGAAGTGGTGGCGTAGGTCTAGATGGTCTAGACGGTCTTTGTGGCAGAATTCTGGAAGACGTATCCATATTTCTCGAATTTTTACTAACTGTAAACACAATTAAAAATATTTTGGACAATTTTTTTTTCATTTGATATCTTTCTTACCGAAATTATCGATGGTTTCATCTTTTTCAATTTGCGAAGCAAACATCGTATCGGCCACGCGTTTAGTGGTATCAGTTTGCCATGGTGCCGGTTGTGTGGGCCGTTTTTCCGTATCAGTCACAAACACATTCAAAGTAACCGAAAATCGGTCCTGATAATGTTCCGGGTTTTCCGAGATTTCATCCAAATCAGCCCTAAGATAGGAATTTTGTAAATATACCGCATTTTCATTTAAAATATTTACACTAGAGTAAACCCGATCGCCCCTCTCCAGGGAATTGTAAGCAGATTGCCGTAGGCGACGATTCAGTTACGTTTTGCATTTGCTAGTAGGTACATATTTCGAGCGTTTTAACATAAATTAATTTCTTATATTTAAAATTGAAAGTTATAATGTCCAACACATTGTAAGAGAAAATTGACATGATAAGCTGATCTTTAGTGGACAATTCTCTACGTCAAACAAGGGACGTCAATTAGAACAATAACAAACGTTATCTAAAGGTTTAAAACAAATTGTTGTATTTTGGGGTGCAAATGTCACAGTACTCCCAGAATTGATGTAGGTAGATGCGGAGAAGAAAGAAATATAGGTTTGTGCAATGGTAGAAGAAGATTCAAATACATCGATTCCCAAAATAGCCGAAGAGGCCGGCATTAGTGTCGACAAAGTCCACAAAATATTTAGAAATTAAGAAAATTAGATTTGAAGTTAGATATTTAGACATTAAGAAACTTTTCAAGACGACGAGTACCGGAGAATGGAATTTTGTGAAAATATGATGGAACGCGCAAATGACGATGAAGATTCCATTAAAAACATAGTATTTACCGACGAATCCACATTTCCATTACTTGGAAAGCACAATCCTACTATTGTCCGGTACTAGTCTACTAAAAATGAGTTCAAGCAACTAAACTTAAAGACTTCCCTTGTGGAAATTTTTCTCTGAGAAAGTCTTACTTTCTCTGAAAAAGTCTGAATAATACTTATTAAGTCGGAAAAAGTCAGAATAAGACTTATTAAGTCGGAAAAAGTCTGAATAAGTCTTATTAAGTCAGACTAATAGCAAGATTTGGGAGTCTTCTGGAAGAGTTAATAAGACTTAATAAGACTTTTAGTAGAGAAATGGTAGGTACCTACGGAGATAAAAATAAATATCCGAAATAATTCATAGAGGTTGTATTTGGTTCTCGTAAAATAAAACACATAGAAAAGTATTTATTAACATTTTTGCTGTTGTTATAAGCCAAGTTTATTGCATAACTACCTATATAATAACATAGGTAAGATGTAATAATTAGGTATAACAATTATAATTTTATACATACGATGCGCTTGACATGCATGCTTCCACCATAGAAAAAGGAGTTGCCACTGTACGTTTTATTTTAATAGTTTCTTTTGATACACGCAAATATTTACCTATCTAAACATTGTTACAAACAATAGACGTAAGACGTAATATCGAGAGACCAGCTTAGCTAGCTGACCAATTAGAGCACAGCTGACCTGTCAGTGGGACACAGTGTTGCCGTTTGCAAGTATTTTACTCGAAAATCGGGTATTTTCATAATATTTGCGAGTGATTTGCAAATTTCTATCAAAATAATAACAAAAGAAATTTTCAGTAAATTGTATATTGTAATTGTAAATTGTATATTTACTAAATATGCACAATTATTTTATTCTATCTTGTTACATTTTTATTATTATTTTAGTATTTTGTAATTTATGGTCAGGAACTTTTATGGCAACACTGTACGTAAACACGAAGATCAACCATGATACAAAGATGAATGAAACACGAAGATCAACCATATTTGTCTTATGAGTCTATCGAAAATATCATGTCTATAGACTTGATATTAACTCCTTTTTCTATGTTGGAAACAATGAAAGCATGTTAAGTGTATCGTATGTATAAAATTATAATTGTTATAATTATTACATCTTACCTATGTTAGTATATAGGTAATTATGCAATAAACTTGGCTTATAACAACAGCAAAAATGTTAATAACTACTTGTCTATGTGTTTTATTTTACGATAACCAAATACAACCTCTATGAATTATTTCGGATATTTATTTTCATCGCCATAGGTACCTACCATTTCTCTACTAAAAGTCTTATTAAGTCTTAAAAAGTCTTATTAACTCTTCCAGAAGACTCCCAAATCTTGCTATTAGTCTGACTTAATAAGACTTATTCAGACTTTTTCCGACTTAATAAGTATTATTCAGACTTTTTCAGAGAAAGTAAGACTTTCTCAGAGAAAAATTTCCACAAGGGTTGGTATCCTGAAAAGTTGAACGTGTGGTCTGGTATGTATGGGAATAATATTATTGGTCTCTTTTACTAATAATTGGTGAAAATTTAAATGGAGCGAGATATTTGGGTCTTCTCCAAAACATAACCACAAGTTTGGATAACGTTTGGTATCAACAGGACGGCTGCCCATCACATAACCCAAGAATAGTGATGGAGTATTTACAATAGATTTTTCCCCAAAGGGGCGCTATTCGCTGGCCAGCAAGGTCGCCAGCCTTGGCTCCTAACGATTTCTTCCTATGGGGATATGTAAAATCTACCTTGTACCGTCATGAAAATTAATAATTTGAGCCAATTAGAGGCAAGAATGCATACAGCGTTTGACAATTACTCCAGATATGCTAGCTAATGTTCGCACCAAATTTGATGAGACTGGGTTTTTGTTTGACGATGTTTGGGGGAAATTTTGAAAATAAGTTTTGAATGCAAAGCTTGTGTTTAAATAATAATTTATTATTTTTATTAATTAATTAACTTATTTATTTATTTACATTTATTTTAAGAAGTTTGATTTTTAGATTTGTTTTAAGAGAATTGATTTATATATTTTAATTTGTTTTTGTTTTTTCTGTTTAAACGTTTTTTTTTCAAAGAAAAGACGTTCTGTTTAAACGTTTTTTTTCCAAAGAAAAGTCTTATAGTTAAATGCAAAACAAAAAATGATTTTACACCTTTAATTAATAATTTACTGTTAAAAGTGATTACTTTATTTATTTTAAGTGTCTGAATCATTTTGAAAACTAACTTAATAATGCGTAATTCGTATTAATAATCCAGAGCAAACTTTACCATCACGCAACGCCGGAAAAGGGTCTACTGCTAAATTACGAAGTATAGTATAAGTTTTTTTTAAACAAGAATGTAGATGACAAACTTACTTTGTGTATCTTAGTGATGTCTCCTCCTCCGGTATGAATCCGGTGTGGAACTGAATCTGGCAAATTTTTAATCCAGTCGCCTTGCCTTGCGTCATCACGCCACCTAGGATGTTTCTCGCGTGGTAAATCACTATGCAAACGTCACCGCACACTGTGGTGTTTATAGGTAACAAACACTGAAATATATACTTATACGTAAAAATACAACAAAATAAAACACTTAAATACCTTTCCTTCCGCTATATTATACAATCTCATTCTCTCATAATCTTGCAGTGTAGACATCACACATCTATTTTCGCTGTAAACTTCAATATAAGGCCGGCAACCATCCCTAAACATAAACAAAAAACAAATTTTGAAACTAATAACCAACTTATTTCGTTAATCTTTTTTACCGGACTTTGGTGAACAGCGGTACGGGTTGCATAAGCACGCTTATCAGGGTGACGGGTTTGTAGTGGGGGTAAAGAGCCGGGGCGCGCACTATACCCGCTAGATAGTAGAGGTATCTTAGGTTGGAGGCCTGCATGTTGGGCGGGCAGCGTTTCACTGCGAACATTTGTAAGGCGTCTTCGGGGACTTGGATTAGACCTGCGTAGATTAGTAGTGCGCACACTAGCGTAGCCGAGGTGGATTTTCCGTCCTAAATTAAATTAATATTTCATTGTAATCAGAGTTGGCATGAATAATTCAAATGAATTATTTCAGAGATTGAATGTTTTAATATTTTTTTTTTATGTTTTAATTTAATTCCACAGATAAACGGGTAAGAAATAATGTTCACCCCTTTAGTTTATAGATAGATATAGGGTCTTTCCATTTCAATTCGACCAGGCACAAAGATGTAGGTCGTTTTTTTTAACGACATTTTTTTACAGTTTCTCTAGCGAAATCGATAAGACTCGTATTTTTTCTTCTTGCCATAGTTGGGGGTGGTCAATTGACCAGTCAATTGACTGTCAATTGACCGCTACCTATTTGACCGGTCAAAATATATTTAATTTTTGCAGCATTTTATTTAGGTATCAACAATTACCCGTGAATCTCAAAATTTTTGCGATCCTGCAATATCCCCGAGTCGAGGGGTTGCCAGTGTTGCCACCCCTATAACTTTATTAATATATCTGTTACTTTTAGCGAAAATATATTACCCTATTACGAAACGATGTAAATCTATTACTTTTTTCTTTTGTAGTAGGAAATTTTTTTTTAATATTCTATTGTGTTGACACTGGCAACTTGCCAGACAGCCCACAAAAGATTATTGTCGCAGCGCATTAAAATTATTGTAGAATTTTAAATCTCGTTATATATTTTAAATTTATTATTTAAAAAAATAAAAAATTAAGAGTTAATTAAAATAAACTTATATTCTATCCAAAATTTAAGATTTTGTTAATATTGGGTAGTTTTATTCTCTTGTGCATTTTGATTTACATGAAATTATTGTACATTTTAATTTTATCTTACATGTGATTTCGTACATTGTACGTATTATTATCGTACAAAAAGGATAATTATTCTTTCTATGGAAAATTATCGTACGTTTGGCAACACTTGTTTGACCTTTGTTGTGTGCTTAAATTTGTGTTTATAAAGTTTTTATTAAAATAGCATAAGCATCATGCACAGATTATAAAGCATCATGTAAAAATTCAATTTTATGCTAATGACAACGGTAAAACGACAAAGAATCAAAAAAATTTGATTCAAAATAGTCTATTACTAAAAATCCCAAATCTATTACATTTTGACGCATGCGTCTATTACGAAAAAAAGTTCTAGGTGGCAACACTGGGGGTTGCTGGGCCGAATTTGGCGCTTTGCCCTTAGCGGGACATCTTTTTTAATAGCGAAACAAAACTTTTTAAAGCCGCACAAACGTTGCTAAAGATGGACATAACTTTTATAATAAAAATAAATTTGGTAACGTATTTTAATTACCTATTTATTAAGCACAAATAAATCACAGTAATATTTATTTTGATATTTTATTTAATTTTATTTTGGTCAATTGACCGGTCAATTGACCGGTCAATTGACCAAAAACAATTTGACCGGTCAATTCCACAACCCTACTTCTTGCTTAAATTTTTTTTGTTGCCATTAGGAAATTTTTGAAAAATGGACAAAAACATCGATTTTTCTCTTTTTACGAGTGACATTTTTTCAGCAAAAGGGCACATCATATAGGTGCGCAATGGGGTTTAACGTGTGCCTTATTTAGTACATAATCAAAAGTATTAGAGATCAAATTCAAAATTCAGGGATAGCGAGTTATGAGCCAAAAAGCAAAAAACTTCCCTTTCGGGGGATGAAATTAGGGGACGCGGAAAGAAATTTTTGGGGAATATTTTTGATTCATTATCAGCACCCCTGACTCTACATAAAAAAAATAAAACCCGACTACCATCGAGTTTTCCTTCTACCTTCTATCTTTGTTTCCTGGACTAAATAGAGTTAAAGGTAAAAAATAAAAACCGATTAAAATTATTAAGAACTAAACTGATCAAAAAAAGTTAAGCATATTTTTGAACAAAGTTGAAATCAAACTGGATACCGACTGATACCTAAAATGCGTTTTTTCGACTAGTATACAGGGCGTATAAAATTGTATCGTTAAATTTATGTTTTGGTCAAAATATCTTAATATGCTTAACTTTATTCGATTAGTTTATTTTGTGCTTAAATCTCGTAACTTAACCTACTTTTCTTATATCCACTTCCCTAACAAACATACCTTCAATAATTATTGAAGGTATGTTTGTTTTATATAATATATAATTTTATTATAATATCAAGAGAGACAGATATTGCATTAATTCATTCTCTAGCTCCTATACCAAAACTAAAATCAAATGAGCGTTTTTTCGTAGCAAGTAAAATTTGGCTTGTCAGTTTTTTGGTAGCTCTTAAATCTGGTGTTACAGAGATGATCTTAAAGGAGGTATTTATTATGTAATATAATAAATAATTTATATACATACATTATGGTGATTCGTTTTGAAGGATATTTATTTTTTGTCACTCGCCAAGCAAAATATTGATGTACATATACAGAAAAAAGCACTTAATTTTACCCCTAAGTACTTTTATTTTGATTTTCCATTAAAATGACAGAAAATTAAGGATTTATTTTTAATTTCCAATATCTGGGCGACATTTTACGTTACTACAATTTACGATTTGTACATAATTGGATGCATAATTGGTACTTGCAACAACTTTACTACAATTAATACATTTACACCTGTATACGTCACCGAAGATATATTTTTTTAACGGAAAACAGTATTTTTGTATTTTACTGCAAAACGGTTTAAGTTATAGGTAAAAAGTGAGATTTTAATAGGAAATTCAATTGCCTATAAATGGTCCTTTGCAATAATGCAATAAAATGTATAATTTAAAAGATATAGGTCATTTAATAAATTTTAGTGTCAATTATTGATAAACTAATTAGTCCTCTGTTGTTTTACAGCAAAACGGTTAAAATTACAGGTAAAAAGTAAGAATTTTTTTTATAGAAAATTCAATTTCTTACAAAAAAAGTCATGGATTAATGCAATAAAATGCATAGCTTAAAAGATATAAAGCATTTAATAAATTCGACGTCAAATATTAATAAACTAATTAGGTTTTACGGCACAACGGTTAAAGATACAGATAAAAAGTAAAAAATACTTTTGTAGAAAACTTTATATAAATAAGTTTTATGCATGGATGAAATAAAATGTATAGTTTAGAAGATATGGAGCATTTAATAAATTTTACGGTCAACTATTGATAAAAAAAATAGTTTTTATCGAAATTTTAAAGTTACATTTATTAAATGATCTAAATCTTTTAAACTATGCATTTTATTGCATTAAGTAATGCATACAATCTTTTTTATAGAAAAATAATTTTTCTATAAAAATATTTCTTAAATTTTACCTGTAACCGTTTTGCCGTAAAAGGCAATAAATACTGTTTTATTTTAATTAAAAATACGACTTTGTTGCAAGTACTTTTGAAGAGCATCTAATTATGTACAAATCGCAGTAGCCTAAAATAACGCCAATCTATAGGAAATTGAAAAAAATCCTTAATTTCTAATGTTATTTAAATGGGAAAACTTTAATATCAAAATAAAGTACTTATGAGTAAGATTAAGGACATTTTTTTCTCGATCAATATTTTGCTTGAGGAGCGAAAAAAAATAAAGGTTCCTTTAAAACGAATCAGCCCAATATAATATATTATGTACTTAAAAGACTTTAAAAAGTTAAGATTTTGTTTAGATGTTATGACTTCCAAAAGCCTATCAGCGATAGGGACTTCTATCTATCTATAGAATTTTGATTAACATTCAATTACAACTTAATACTATTTTCAGAATAATTGAAATTTTAGAAATTTTCAAAAATTTTGAAACTGAAATTTTTGGGAATTTAAAAAACTTTAAAAAATAATATAGCAAGTATTAATTAAAAGGACAAATCATTAACTTAAAATTTGATGTTATTTTAATAAAATTGTAAAATACTAAAAACAAGTAGGTAATTACTATTGATTATTAATTATTTTAATTAATAAAAATATTACTTGAAAACAAACTAATAATTGTAATAAAAATAATACTCCTGCTATATTGTCATATTTATTAATAAAAAATATGAATTTTATTTTTGTTGTAAACAGTAAACATAAAACTGACTCACCGTACAATGCACGACGACGACATTCCGGCTGTCGCCCTCCAAATATTGGTAAATATCCTCGCAAAGCTGGTACAAAGAATTCAACAGCGGCGCTCGGAAATGCTCGGGATACGCGAACCCGCAATCGATGATACGAGCTTGCCCGAACTTTCCGTGGTACGGCCTGCGCGATAAATTGTACACGGAATATTTGAAATTGGGGTGCCGCGAGTCCAAGAAAAGTCGCACGTCTTCTATGTGGTTCGTTTTGTAGGCAGATTCGAAGCCTTCCGACGGATACGGCATTACTAGGATTCTAGAGGTTATGTAGTTTATGTCCAGGTCGGTTCTTCCCATGGTCCTTTGAGAGAAAATTTGTTATATCTTAATATTTTGGATATGAATCAATAACATTTTAAGGAGTCTTAGATGTTCAGTGTATCAATAATGTGTTTTATATGTCTTTTATAGTTTTGAAGATATAGACATATATTAGGGTGGGCCAAAAAAAAACTTTTAATTTTATTTTCTTTAACTACCATGAAATATCGTCCAAGATGAAAAAAAAATTCTGATAAAGTTTGAGCTTTTAATATCAATATTAAGAGGTGGCTCATCGCGATTTTTTATTTTCCATTTAAATAACACGGGAAAAATAAATTTTTTGTTTGGAATTTTATTGCGTTTTAACGAATCAGTGAGTTGTAGAAATCAATACATATTCTTGTAGGGACTTGAACGATCTACAAAAAAAATCTGATATGATTTTTTGCCTAGTCGACTCTTTTAAAAGTTATTTGAGGTTAAAGTTCAACTTCAAATAGTAAACGATGATTTTTTTTCATACTTGTCTCAAAAACATGAAATATCATATTTTTCGTGAAGTTTATTGAGTATTCTTCGGTAAAACAATACAATTATTACAAAATATCAATAATCGTGAAAAAAAAACGGTTTTTTCCTATATATATTTTTTTAATTCGAAATTTTTTCTTTACCTGAGTAATGACAAAAAAATGTATCATTTTCTTAAAAAATAATAAATATTCTATTTACACTTGACTATTAGGTAATGGAGAATAATAAAAGCCATGTTTCAATAATTTTTCAATTAAAATAAAAAATGTTATTCCATAACTTGTACTTTTTTCACTATCTTAGAATCAAACTAAATTTTTATTGTTACAATTGGGATATTTTTGCCGGTGGTTTTTAACTACTCGCAATAAGTATTAAATATACATATTTAATATATTTGATTTACCCATTGACTTTATCAATAAGAATGTAGAATTTTGGACATAGGATGAAAGCTATCTTATAGCTGATAGTATCAAGATAATCTAGTATTTTTCAAACGTCTTAGCGTTCTCAATGATGTAGCAGAAAGAGGAGTTACATTAATAGAAGTGTACAACAAATGTTTGATTCTAAGATAGTGAAAAAAGTACAAGTTATGGAATAACATTTTTTATTTTAATTGATAAATTATTGAAACATGGCATTTATTACCTAATAGTCAAGTGCAAATAGAATATTTATTATTTTTTGAGAAAATGATTATTTTTTTTGTCATTACTTATGTAAAGAAAAAAATTCGATTTTTTGTTTAAATCAAGTATAGAAAAAAACCGGTTTTTTCACGATTATTGATATTTCGTAAAAATTGTATTGTTTACCGAAAAACACTCGATAAACTTCACGAAAAATATGATATTTCATGTTTTTGAGGCAATATTTCCTAATAGAGCATGGAAAACTATAAAAGTCATCATTTACTATTTGAGGTTGAACTTTAACCTCAAATAACTTTTAAACGAGTCGACTAAGCAAAAAAATCATATCAGATCTTTTTTGTAGATCGTTTAATTCCCTACAAGAATATGTATTGATTTCTACAACTCACTGATTCGTTAAAACGCAATAAAATTACAAACAAAAAAATGTTTTTTCCCGTGTTATTTAAATGGAAAATAAAAAATCGCGATGAGCCACCTCTTAAACTTTATCAGAATTTTTTTTCGTCATCTTGGACGATATTTTCATGGTAACTAATGAAAAAAAATTAAAAGTTTTTTTGGCCCACCCTAATGGGTATGTATCTTTAAAACCAATTACATAAATGTACAATTAATAATGCGGTTAAAGAACACCAAATATAACTTACTGTTGTACCGACGAAATAACCTTTGTGCTAGTATCTTTTAAGTTTTTCAGAAAGCTGCCAGCGCCGCCTTTCAGCGACGAAAACAGCCCTGTCTGTTTGACGTCGGGTTGTCTGTTGATCTGTTGCTGCTGCTGATGTTGTTGGGGTGGCGGTCTGTTTGGATAAGGAGGTCTCGATGGTGCCTGTAATAACTGTATGTTATTTTGAGGGTTTTTAGGAGTTTGTAAGTGATTTTTTTACATTAGATTGCACTTGTTCAGGACAATCCTTTGCAAGGGATTGAGGAGGAACCTATGGGACAACACAAAATATATTAATATATTTACGTTATTGTACATACATTCTGTTAACGGTTAAGATATTTTTATAAAATTATTTTTTTTAAATTTTGATAAGTAGGTAATAATCAATATACCGTATTTTCATTTGAAATATGTACACTCGAGTAAACCCGAGGGAACCCGAATGCCCCTCCCCAGATGCATTGTAAGCGGGTTGCCGTAGGCGACGATCAGGCATCCCAGATCTCACGATTTATCGTAAGATCTCACAAAACTCACGATCTAACGAAAAATCTTTTAAATCTCACGGTTATTTCAAATTACACTTTTTTACATCACCGCGGTGCACTGTGTATAAAATAACTGCTTAATTACAGCAAATCGACTAAAATTGACTCCTTAATTACAGAAATCTAATAAAAATCGATCAAACTTGTTAAAAAATAAACTAGAATTTCAAGAAATCTATCACCATAAAGAATCTTGCCATCTAGTAGCTAGTACACACCAGTTAGAAATAACATAGCACTCCATATAAATAACATACAAAGCTTTTTAATTCAAGTTACATTAATCTGCATTTTTGGCAGTTAAAAAATATTCATTTTATTTTTTTACTACCATCTGGTGGACTTCGATAGAATTGCGTGAATTTAAGAATTGTCAACAATACATTTAAATCACAGATTATACATTATTTTTAAATAAATAGGTAGTTTTTTCACAAAAGAGAGGAAGGCAGAAGTCTTACTCGACAAATTACATTCAATTGCACAGCTAAATCGCGTACGTTATTTATGTTTTACGTTGCAAGGAAAAAATTAAAAACCTTTTTTAGTAGGTACTCGATTTCGATTAATTATTCCTTATATCATTGATTAAGAAACTCAACGCTTAAATGCTTATAGAGTTACGTTAGTGTGTGTATTTTATCTAAGGGATCATGGTGAATTATTGTGTTTTAAATTGTAAATAAAATTCAAGAACTAAATCGTTACATTTTAATGTTTTGCCAAAGGATCCAATTCGGTAAGTACATTTGTTGGTGAAGAATTAACTAATGATAACTTTACCTAATATAATTTATATTTAAGTTTGGACATTTTTAAGAAATTAGCCAAAAATAATTTTTGCACAATCATAACCTTAAAATCAACCATTTTTATATTTGAGTTCTCTAAAAAACGCCGACAACTGCATTTTAAACAACAAAATATACCTACGAATTCTTGGCAACATAATATATAAATACATAATATTATGGTATTTTACCGTTGAGTGGAGACTTTCTTAATCAACGCTTTTAATAATGATAAATGCTGTTTAAATTTAGACGGCTTATTAGTTTGACGATTTTTACTGGGTTGAAATATTTACACTTTTCACGTTAATCACTACTAAATATTTATTGTATCTAATAGGTACAATTTATATTTACAGAGACTGTATGCAATTTATTTATTCATTCAGATTAACACTGTTTATTGGAAAACCGGTAAAAACTCAACTCAGGATTTCCTCTCGAAATACACCCAACAACACAAAAAATCGAGCAACGGTTGTTAAAATTTGAATTTATGGATCATTAATATTGTAATAAGTGAAAAAAAATCAAAGTCTTGCATATGTTGCCACAAAGTATCCAAAATTATTAGGTGGATCCTTACAAGATATTGACAATGAGTGAAATTTTAATTTTAATGACTTTGACTTAACAACAAACGATAATGTGATTCAGTTTGAGCAAAAAGTTTCCAAAATTGGTTTCCTTTGGAGGGAATCCTACTTACGAAAAATTTATTTTCAAACAGCAGAAAGTGCTTTGATTTATTTATTTACATCAATAAAAAAAATTAAAAAAATTAACAGTCAAGTTGTTTACCCAATAAAAGACCATCCCCAAACGCCCGAATCTGAATCTGAGTAATTTGAAGTTTTTGATACCATTTTTTTTTTGTAAACAATTTTTTTTTTTAAACTCAGACTGTTGTTTTTTGTTTTTTATTTATTACAAATTTTTTGTTGTTTTTTAATTTTATTTTAAGGAATGTTTTTATTTTCTAAATAAAATAAATTTTAAAAATTATTAACGTTGTTTTTTTATATAAAAACCTTTCAAATTTACAAAATTTTAGCGCCTTTTTAAATTATGGCATACAATCGACGAAATACATGATCTCACGATTTCTCACGATTTTTTTGCCGCCGACCTTACGAAACTAATAGCCTGCCATCTGGGATGCCTGGCGACGATTCAGTTTTGTTTTGCATTTGCTAGTGTGTATTTCGAGCAATTTAACAAATTAATTTCTTTTATTTAAAATTATAAGTTATAATGTTCTCCAACAATAACAAACGTCATCCAAAGATTTAAAACTATTGGTTGTATTTAATTAATTAATTTACATTTATTTTGATTAGTTTGATTTTTAGTTTTGTTTTAAGGGAATGTTGTTATTTATTTTAATTTGTTTTCAAGAGAATTATTTATGGTCGTTAAAAATTAAATTTTTTGCGATGCCCCCTAAAAAGCTTTGTTTTGATGATAAAACACTGGGATTTTTTTCTTAATTAAAAAAACACGTGCCTCAAGACGATCTAAGTTTATTTTTTGGTATAATCATGTTTTTTTGGGAATTTTTTATGAAAAATACAATTTTATTCTAAATATAAACCATTATAGAACCCAAATCAATAAAAAACAATAGTTAATCGAAATAACAAAAGACAAAAATTTAAGTTAAAAATTTTTCCCAGTTAATTTGGACTATTAAATAAAAAAATGAAAGATATTCAAATTGATATTTTTATTTTAAAACTAAATTAGTACAAACGTAATTTTAATATTTATAAATTCCTTCACTCCAAGGTGAAGTTATTTCATTGTTAATAACTTTTAAATCTCAAAAAAATTATTATTCCATATTTTCAGAAAAGATATGATTATACCAAAAAATTAACTTAGATCGCCTTGAGGCACATGTTGTTTTTAATTTTAAAAAAAGATTCCCAGTGTTTTTTCATCAAAACGAAGCTTTTTAGGGGGCGTTGCAAAAAATTTAATTTTTAACGACCACCCTAGTGATTACGTTACATTTTAAGTATCTGAATCATTTTAAAAAGTAAATTAACTTAATAATGCATACTTCGTATTAATAATCCAGAGCAACCTTCGACTATCACCCAACGCCGGTGAAGGGTCTACTGCTGAATTACGAAAACCGTCTCTCGGAGTTTCTCACTCTTAAAAATTATTCTCCTACTCTTAAAAAGCGAATGCGAACTGTACATGTAAAATGAAAGTACGGTATAATAAAAAAAAGTAAAAAAGTTAAAATTTTAAATTAAATATATGCATATTTTTGCAAGAAAATATCCTAATCCCAGAAAGCCCAACTTTATTGCTATAATTATACATTTTTACTTACTGGTTGCGGTGGTCTGGCAGGATGATGAGCGGGCGAAGGGGCGGCAGGCCTCGGGGGCGGTTGCTCGCTCACCCCATTCCTACTATTACTATCTGGCAAATTTTGTTCGGCCTCTTTACCCACCCCCAAGTTTAAGGAAGCCCTTAAATTAAACCTGTGCGTTTCAGCGACAGCTGCCACTCTCTCCAGGCACTCGGAAACTGTGAGTCTCTGTTCAGGATTCACTTGCAAACAACCCCCTAAAAGATTTTTACAAAAATTTCAACCATTTTTCAAATATATTTTTTAAGTTAAAAAGATGTAAAATTTGATTAGCGCCAAAATGTAAAAAGTATTATATCTCAATGCTCAAAACCAATCAATATTTTCTCATTTTTTTTATTAAAACTCAACCAATTAGGGTTAAAATGTTAAAAATTCTTACGAATAATATCGTGAAAACAAGAGTATTTCGGGTCCGGTGGGATAGTGTAGTTAGCATTGATTATCCTTAATTTAGCGCTGTCCTCAAACGGGTGTTTCATGTAACACAGAGTGTATAAAATACAGCCTAAAGCCCAAACATCAACTGGTGTTCCGATAAAGTGGTTATTCCATGTGTCCACCATTTCTGGTGCTCTGTACATTGGTGTTGTAAACCTAGACATCTAAAATATGCGTTTATATAATAATTATTAACATAATTATGACATAATTACATTTTCTTCTAAAGCATTATGTTGATTAGCAGACCATGTAAGATCTGGTCTGAATACTTCAACAGTTGCTGAACCAAAATCACATAATTTAATTGAATTTTCGCTGCTAATTAGTAGGTTTTCTATTTTTAAATCCCTGTGTATTATTGGAGGAACTTGGGCATGCATATGTGATACAGCTCTGCATATTTGATAAAATATTCTGGCAATTATCTCCGGATCAAAAGGACTATTTTTAGATTGCAGAATTTCACCCAGTGATCCCCCTTAAATATTTATTTTGTTTCAATTTTTTATTCAAGGTGTTCAGAAATTATGAGTTTTTGTGTGTTTGTTTTCTTACCTGGACATAATTCTGTAATAAGTAAAAATTCATGCTGCCCATGACTAGTTTTGGCTATTTCAGTGTAATTAAATGTTAAAAATTGGATTATATTTGGATGACCTGATACTTTTTTCAGCAGATTAATCTCCTTAATAATATTATTTTTACTCTCTTCGTCAGCCCCTAACAGTCTCTAAAATATTTAAAAAACAATAGGTACCATTATATAAAACAGGGTGGAAGTATTTGTTTAAAAAATTATAAATTGTTTAAATTTAATTTAATTAGCTTTGTTTCAAGTAAATTAAAGATTCTAAAATAAGTAGATTTCCCAAATTTACTATTCATAAAATCATATAGCAATTTAGTTTTAGTTAGTATGCAAAGTATGTAAAATGAAAGTTAAAACCTGGAAAAAAGTATGTCTTCATACCTTTTTTAACAAATTCTTGCAAAAATATTTTAATATTAGTATTGCTTTTAACAATCATTTTTTGAAAACCTTATCTAATTTTTTAGATAAGGTTACTTCCTCGTTCACAGGATATTGCACAATACCAAGTTGATAAAGGTAATAAAGCTTTAATTAATACAACTTTTCAAAAAACATTTTAGTCAACTTAACTTTTTTAATTTTGAACTTAAAAAAACCTAATATATATATGCCACCTCATCTGATAAATTACATGTAATTTAATTGCAATTGAAGGTCTTAATAAAAAGAGTATAAAGCTGGGTTCTAACAGTGAAATAACGTAATTTAACTTAAAAAGTAATGTAATTTAATTTAATTTTATTTACTTGCGTTCATACAACAAGTAATGTAATTTAATTTAAATTAAATTACTTTTCTGTTAGAACCAGGCTTAAGTGCAGCTACCCTGTTAAGTAAAAATGCCTTATCTACAATATTAAGTAATAAAGATATTGTTTTTCATAGTTATTTCACAAAAAATATTAATAATGTAGACAAGGCATTTTTGCTTGAAAGGGAAGATGCACTTATATTCCTCAATTAGGTATCTCTCAAAAAAATCCCAAAAATTTAGAGGCAACTTGGGTTAAATAAATAAGTAGTTTTGACCTTTTTGGACTAAAACAACTATCCCAAGAACTCTTTAAATTTATTTAAAAATTAGGGCTTCTTTGATGTTGAAGTTACAGTACGTATTCATCTATTACTCTGTATAGACAATAAAATAACCAAAAAACTTACTTTTAAGGCATACTCATTCCCTGTGCCCAGATCCTGGGCCACAAATACCACCGCAAACCCCCCTAAAATGCAAAAAATCACTCAAAAACCCCTTCGCAAAAATCAATATACAAAATACCTTCGGAAATAACCTTCTTAATTTTTAATTTTACGTTCGATATTTCTATGGTTTGTCCTACAAAACTGTTGTCGCTGTACTGGCCATTACTCGGCCCGCTAAAATACTCGAAAGCTGATTTAAACAAGTCACTCATTTCGCATCTATTTACAACAAATTCATATTTTCCAAGATTTTTGTCCTATAGGACTTGGTGACAGATACGTCAAAACTAGGGAATTTCGGTATAATCCTCCCCATAAAATTCAATATTTCTAGGGAGTTTTATGACTCTTACGTTGGCAACTTTGATCCATAGACATACAAAATGCAGATTTTGTAGTTCTTACTATTGTAAACACTGGTTTTTGGTGTTTACATTTGACACATCACCTGTCAAGTGAAAAAGGGCCATATTTGCGTTTTAAAACCTTATAAGAGGAATATTTTAACAACAAAAACATATTTAAGAGTTCGTTACACAAATTAAAGCATGTTTTAACAAGTTTTACATAATGCCATCCACCCCAGGGAATATAAAACCAGTTTTAAGCAAAAATGGACAAATAATGATAGAAGATGTTCAAGATTTAATACTGTGCAAGCCGCGTTTAATACCACTTAAAAGTTTCACACTGGAGAAATTGGAGAAAATGCAACAGGAGGCGCAAAAAGCGCAAGAGCAAAAAAGTCCAAAGAGCGAATAGAACAAATAATTAATAAAAAATGAGCTACATTCCATTAGTGTCGAAAATTTTGGTTTCCTTTCTTATATCGTCGTTTGTGCTTTATAGGTACGGGAATTGGTACAGGCATCATTTGTTTGTTACCTTGGCCGTACTCCTAGCTTGGTTCTGTAGTTTTTGCATAGTGTTTGCATTGCCTTTGGATGTCGTATCTGTAAGTTATATTTCTTATATAATAATATGCTTAACCTCAGGAACAATAAAAATTAAGATTAATTTAAACACAATAATAATTGTATATTTATTTAGTTTTTCTCCAAATTTTAAACATTTATTTTAATTGGTTAATATCGAGGTTAATATATTATAATGAGCTGCAAGACTACAATTTTATATATTTTTTATTTTCTGTGTTTGTTTTTAGACTTTGTATAGACAATGTTTAGAGAAACATCCAAATGACACTGTTTCGGCTTTAAATAATATTACCTCAAATGTAACGTCCATTCCAATAAAACATTGTTTTGAGCCTTGGAATCAAGTACCTGAAAAAGTTTTTCCCAATCTATGGAGAACCGTTTACTGGAGCACACAATGCTTAACATGGTATGTTCACCGTTTTATTGGTTAATTAATTAAATATAATTTTATTCAATGTGGTATACAGTGGGTGCACCATTTTCTGGACCCCCTGTATATTTTTTATTTTAACATTTCTAAAGACTAGATTTTATTGACGTTTTCACAGCATTACCTTGTAACTGACATTTTATGAAAATGTGTTTTTAATGTTATGTAATAACAAGCTCCATCTATAAGCCAACTTAAAAATACTAAGCCAATAAGTCTGGAATCAAAATTTTCGTTTTTTCTTTATATTTGGCACAATTTTCGAAATTATGCGTTTTTTTGTGTTTGATAAGGTTTTTACAGTTGCAAAGTACTGTTAGGAATATTATTCTCTTTGTATTTTGTCCAACTTTTTTAAATATTTTTTTAAATTTATGTATTTTTTATCTAAATGATATGGCAGATTAAAGGTTTACATGTGGAAAGCTAAAGTTTCTAATATGGGGTGCTAAATGTGGTAGGTATATATTTATTAGATAAGGATATTCCATGATAATCCGAAATTGTTTTCCCTACCCTCACAATAAAATTTCTGAAGGTCGGGAAATATCCAATTAACGTGCAATACCCAATCCAATAAATATAAAAAAACAAATTTAATCCACCATAATAAATACTTCACTTATCCATTACATTAATTAATTTATTATCGTGAAATGTAATACTAAAACAATCATAAATTTACAAGAAAAAATACAAAGCAATGTGTTGTAATAAGGACCTGTATAAGTAAAACATAAAATTTTTATTTTAAAAACTGTTTATTAGGTAATAAATGGAATCCATATTTAAATAATAATTATTTAAAATAATTATTATAAAATTCTTAAACTAAATAGAAAATATTTAAAATTAAAATATATGTAGGTATATTAACAAATAAGTTCACTTAATTTTTTGTGTAGATTGTCCTAACAAAGAATAACAGGTTTTCTTTGCCATTATTAATAATTAATATATTTTATTCACAATTTCCCCAATTTTGACCTTATCAATTAAACCTTTTTACTAAATTCTTTGGCGGTATTTTGTCTGTAATAAGAGTTCTAAAATTTGTAAAATTAAAAATGCACCTACTTATTTAAATTTATTATTATTATTTGGTACTATAATGTTTTTATCCCATTAACTTGAGACTGAAAATTGTCTTTTATGATAAAATATACAAATAATAGCCTGAAAAGGGCCATTGCAAGACCTTATTACCACAGCCTTTTATCAAAATTATATTAAATCATGAAACTATGTAATGGCCCATTACATAATCAGACTTGTGTTTGCTAGATTTTATTTTTTTATTTGCTTTCCCTTGATTTTTTGATGTTTCATTATATATAATTGATAACTTTTAATGATAACTTTTTAAGTATATTATTTAGATTTCCTTCATTTTCATAATTCAATTATAATTGATATTGAATTTAACATTAAATTTTATTTTTGTAATTAATATTTTTTACCTAGGTTAATAATGCCTATGATGCAATCCTACATCAAAGCCGGCGATTTCAGCGTAAAAGGCAAACTGAAATCGGCCGTCATAGACAACGCCATCTATTACGGCTCTTACCTACTTATCTGCGGCATACTTCTTATCTACTTGGCCCTGAAACCCGGCATCGACTTGGACTGGTAAAAACCAAAACAACTTAAACAACTCCCCTATAGCCAATAAAATTTCAGGCCCAAGCTGAAAGCCATAGCCTCCTCAGCCAGCAACACGTGGGGCTTGTTCTTATTGGTGCTCTTACTGGGCCATGCGTTGGTCGAAGTCCCGCGCAAGCACTGGAAGAACTCGGACCGCAGCTACACTCTCACGCATCAGTACTTTCTTGCAGCTAAGCTCAGTTCGGATAAATGCGAAGCCGAGGAGACGGTCGACGATGTTTTGGAGTCGTTGCAAGCGGTTTCGCTGGCTGTAAGGCCGGGGCAGATTTTGCACAGGTGTTTGGAGGAGATTTTGCGGAAAGTTCCCACCGAGCTGAGGGATAGGATGAGCCGGAGGCAGCTGCCTGATGACACGCCTACTGACATGCCTACGGAGAAGGCGTTGGTCAGGTTGCATAAACAGGTTAGTGATGCTTTTATAGAATATAAGTCCAAAATTATTTTTTTGAAAAACTTGGAGCAAATATTTTTTTATTTGTAAAAGTAGTTGGAAGTAATATTTTTTATCTATTTTGGTTTCATAATGACTTCATTATAACACCGCTTTTGGTTCTTTAATGAGGTACTTTCTTCCACCCAAAATTTTGATTTTATAGGTTGGCTACTGGTAAAATACAATTTTGAATACCTATAGGTTATAATATTTTTATGATTTGTTTTCTAGTACTTACGAGACTTTTCGTGCAATAAATTTTGTTTAACACCAAAGAAAATCCTTGTTTCTTCTTTAACAGCCGCTTATTGTAAATACATATTGTAAATTAACGACGCAATAGCGAAAGAATGTGATAATGTTTGAAAGGTTAATGACCTTTCAAACTTCAAACTGAGATACCAACTATGTAAAGTAAAATTCGACCAAATTAAATATAAGGTATAAAATTAATTTGTTTTATGAAATGTTTGCAAAATAGATAAAATAGCATAAAGAACTCATGTCATAAGACCTTTTGTCGCACTTGTCCATTATAAAACTCGCTCCTTCGTCGCTCGTTTTATAAATTGTCCGCGTGCGACAAAATGACGTCTTATGACATTAGTTCTTTAATATACTATTATTGGGTTTCCTTGTCAAAATGTTGTTTAAGTGATATAAATTATATAAAGTGTGTCCTGAAATTGTGGGGCCAAAGTTAAATGCATAGAAAAAACACTAGTTTGTTAAATATACATGTATTGAAAGAAGCCTCTTGACAGAGTTACAGGGGTAAATAAAAGGATGATTTTTTCAAAGCATGAGAGAAATAAATTTTTGATACTTTGGTAATTTTAATACTTCGGTAATTTTGATATGCTGAATTTAGATGAAAACTAAAAATTATCAAAATTACAGCTACACATTTTTTCCAGGTTAATACTTTAATTTTTTTTTCTGACATTATGAAAATTAATAGCCTTCTCCTAAAAAACGTAGGTACTTCTGATTTGCATTGCTCAGCTGCACCATTTTCAAGAAAATTCATAAATTACTTTGTTTAACATACCCTTCTCATATTTCATTAAATATTAGTAGCAACCCACAATATTTATTTTTTAAATCCAGGAAACCTTTTTGGTGGAAAGCTCTGAATTTTAATAATGTCAGAAACAAAATTAAAACATTATCCCTTGAAAAAAGCTACTTTTGTACCTTTATCCCCCCAAATGGTATGCCTATAATTAAATTTACCGTTTTTATTTTAGGTGTTCAGCATATTAAAATTAACAAAGTTAAGTTATTTCTATATGTTTAAGCAAAAAACATCCTCTTCAGGAGGCAATTTTTGATACATGTTTATAAAACAGAACAGTTTTATCTCTTGCTGTTTAAGTTTGGCCCCTTAATTTTGGGACACCCTGCAGCTGCCTAGTTAACCTAAAACTAATCACTTTTTGTCATATAAACATTTTTTGAAAAGTTACTAGTTTTCAAGGTACATAGTGTTTAAACTTCCTAAAAAAATTAGTAAAATGATATTTTATTTTACTTCTTTAAAAACATTATTTCTTTGCAGCACATATTAATCAAACAATTTTGTTTACACATAAAAAAGGTTACAATATTTTTTGACAATTTTTCTTTCTAAACTCGAAAAAAAATCGCCAATTATTCTTAAAATAAAATTTTGTTACTAAATTAAATTTTCTACAAAAAAGGTCCCCATTAATTATAATTATAAATATTGTGGTTTCAGAGAAAATTTAGAAAATTGCGATTTTATCTTAAAATTTCCATTTTTATAAATAAAATTTAATTATCTCTGTAATATTTATGCGATAAATGAAAATGTTTTTTTAGACAATTAAATATACTAACAAACTTAATTTTAAGTTCCATTGGCGAACCTAAGATGTCAACCAAAAATGTTTTTCCTTCACACAATTTTTTTTGCCTCAAAGATTAATATTTTTGCTATTACCAAATTAATTTAAAAAAAAAGCGAATGCACTTTTACAGATTTAAATATATTAATTTAGAAGGTAACTATATTCCCTAGTTCCTTTTTGTATCAGATGGCGCACATGAAAAAGCATTTTTAGTTGTTTTTATATATATTGCGGACTGTTAATAGATGGCTTTCTAATAATGAAATAAGTACCAGAAGTTAATGTTATGGGAATATGGTATTTATTTATGTGTTATTTAGGGGGCCTTTTGCACGTTGGGGGACACCTTGCGCCGGGGAATATTTTTTTCAGCGGGGAATAATTCCATAAAATGGGGGACGAATGGTTACTTTAATTTATATTACTTTTTTATGACGACAGTCGGGATCGAACTAGTTTAGAATAGTTTATTAAAAGTCATAGTTTATGTATGTATGTAAGTTTTGAGATTTTTTTGTGCTTATTTTAGACAATAAAATCATTGCAAGTGCTCCAAAGAACAGAAAATCAATGGAACAGACTAGTCACAAAGATATTCGATCTGGAAGACACCTTAAAAAATCAAATATCAAGAGACAGAAGGTTTAAAAGAACATTTGAAAACGAGAAAGCCTGGTATTCGAAATACGAAATAGCCTCAATTATAGGTAAAGTCTAGTTGTAATACAACTATTCATAACATTGGTCCGAATTACTGATGTGATCTTGAAATGATCTACTCACACAAACTATACATGAAATGTTTCTTTTTACAGAGTGGTATTGGAAATGCATGGTTTACGGATATTTTCAAAAATTCTTGTCCGTTGTTTTTGGCATTTTATCAACATGCGTTGTTTGGTCCGAACTCACCTTTTTCCTTATCTACCCACCTCTATCGATTTTTGCCTGGATGGTTTACAGGTCCAAAGAAAACTATACTGAGCATGCGCTGGACACAATTGAGGTAAAGTTCGTTTTTATTGATAACAACACCAAAAAATTTAATAAATGAACGCACCCCAGGTCTACTAAATTTAACTATAGGTACTATTGTTGTAATAAGAATATGGAAAGGTTTTTATGCCCTGTATTCACGTCAGGGTTTTGAGAAATTTTAACACAAAATTAGAAAAAACGCGTTAGTTACGCAACGAAATATTTTTTTCACTTTAGAATTCTGAAATAAGTCTCTGTTTAAAAATTGTATGGACCTGTGTAAATTACCGTCCATTATAATGACAGTGTACTAAACATTTTTTTAGCTTGTTTCCACATGCGTAATGCTGTACATGTGTTACTGCGCATTTTCGACGGTGCTAAAGATCCGAGTGCTTAACATCTACTACTTAGCCCCCCACCACCAAACAAACGAATACAGTTTAATATTTTCGGGAATGATGCTCAGCAGGCTGACTCCGCCCCTTTGCCTGAACTTCTTAGGCCTCATTCACATGGACAGCCACGTGATTAAGTCACAAGTTATGGAAACTTATTATACACAGGTAAAAATAGGTTATGTATATATGAAAGGTACAAACAATGGGTTTCCTTTCAATATTATGAGTTGCATTTTGTTAATTTTTTAAAATTGTTTCTTATTTTAGATTATGGGCCACATGGATGTAATAGGCATTATTTCGCACGGCTTTAATATTTATTTCCCAATGGCTATACTACTGTTTTGTCTAGCTACTTATTTTAGCTTAGGTTCCAGGATTTTAAGTATGATTGGTTTTCATCAATTTATTGGTGATGATGAAATGACCACTGATTTGATTGAAGAAGGCAGAGAATTGATAAAAAGAGGTAATTTTTTTATGAAATTTAATAAATCGACAAAAATCAACTACTTAAGTTTTATGATTTACAAAAAAAAATTGTAGAGAAACGAAGATTACAACGGGCTGAAGAATCATCAAACAGACGTAGAGAATATCAAGACCGATTCCAAAATGCAGGGCGCTACAGGCAAAGAAACAGTACTGACACAAGTAAGTAACAGAACAATACCAAAAACCCTAAAAATAACTAAAACTGTCTTAAAAATATCAACTCAAGCTTGAGGAGTTTAACTAAATAAAGGGTGATCCAACTTGAGCTTGGCAATAAGAAAATAAAATAAAACTCGAAATATTTTAAAAGCTGAGAAATTTTCTATTAAATAATAACGTTAAATATCGTACTATCGCTAACAAAAAAAACTCATACAGCTTAAAAATCTAGTGTTCCTGATTTTCTATCATTTCGTTAGAGTAATTATGGCTTTTAACATGATACGTCACATTTGAAAGGTCTAAAATTAAATACAAAGTTAGGTTGAAGTTTGAAAAAAAAATAATATTTCGTCATCCCTCTGTTTTTGTTAATTACTGCCCGCAAACGGCAAAGCATGGAAGTCGCCGTCTTGCTTTATCTCGTTCCAAATGGCTTCAATGGCTTGCCAGAGTTCGTCTGCATTGTTTGGTTAAAAATGTTAAAAAAGTCATAATGGATGTGACAAAGCTCGATGTCAGCTTGACATTGACGGAAAAGTTTTATTCACACAGCCACAATATAGCTGTATGAGTTTTTTTTGTTAGCGATAGTACAATTAGGTATGAAAGATAACATCGACCATATGGCCGCCACGGCTCAAATGACAAAACCGAATGCGCTGGTCAAAATTTTCAACGTCTCTGCGACACAACGCAGGCTCTATGGCAGCTAATTCCCGTCGTATTTCTTGTTTCAGTTCCGGAATTGTATTGGGCATGTTAACGTAAACTTTATTCTTCAAATATCCCCAGAGAAAGAAATCTAAGGGGGTTAGATCGCAAGATCTAGGCGGCCAATTAATATCGCCGTTTCTCGAAATAACCCGGCCTGGAAAGCGGGTCTGTAACAAATCGATTGTTTCCCGGGTTGTATGACAGGTCGCTCCATCCTGTTGGAACCAGACCTCTTCAATATCCACTCCTTCCAACTCTTGCCAAAGAAAATCAGTAATCATGCTCCGATAACGCACGGCATTGACTGGCATTTTCTTCATGGTTTTCAAAAAAGTACGGACCAATTACTCCTTCAGCCCACAGACCACACCAAACTGTAACTTTTTTGGGGAAAATTTGTTTCTCAACAACTTCTCTTGGATTTTGTAACCCCCAAACTCGACAGTTTTGTTTATTAACAAACCCATTGAGGTTAAAATGAGCCTCATCACTGAAGATTATTTTTCTCGAAAAATCGACTTCGTGTTGAAGCATCCACTCACAAAACATACGTCGCTTGAGATAGTCTCTGGGCTTTAATTCTTGGGTTATTTGGACCTTATAAGGATGAAGATTCAAATTCTTCGCCAAAATTCTTTGCGTTGAGGTGTACCGAAGGCCTAACTGCTGTGATCGGCGACGAATCGAAGTTTTTGGTTCTTGGGCAACACTTTTACGAATGTTGGCAACATTTTCTTCTGAACGGACAGGACGAACACGCTGGGGAGTTTTGATGTTGAGTACTGACCCATTTCGCTCAAATTTCTGCACGACATTCGTAATTGCTTGCCTAGAAGGTCGATGTTGTATTCCAAAATATTCGCGCAAAGCACGGAAAGTACGCACATTTGAACGCCCATTTTCATAGTAAGTTTGGATAATTTTAACGCGTTGTTCAGTCGTATACTGCTGCATAATCAAATTTGTATGTCTTTCTAGACCACAAATATTACTTTGATAATGACAAATACTTTGAAGTTTTGATTTTCATGGCCATCTAAATTGCCAAGCTCAAAGTGGATCACCCTTTAGTTATGGGTGCCAAAGATAATACACCCCATAGATTGGAAACTCTCCCACCACTGCCCTCTAGAGCTACAATACCTGAACTATATCTATTTTTAAATTGCAGACATCTGTTGCAAGTGTCAAAGTGTCAATGTCAATCAAGTGTCAATGTCAATCATAATTATTGATGTCGATCATAATTTTTGAATTATTAAATACATTTTTGCGCCTTAAAAGTGATAAAAGTGATAAAACGTGTTAAAGGTTGTAAAATGTATTGTTGTTGGGTGCGGAAATGTAACCAATTTGTAAGTATTGACTATCCTGCCGTCATAAGCCAAAAAGACTCATCTCATTATTAAATTATTCTCTTAGCAAAAAAGACGCATTTTAACTATAAATACATTTTTAAGTACTATATCTCCTAAAAATTTCTAATTTAATTGAACGTATCTTATAAAAAAAATAAAGCGCTATAATTTATAAAGTAAAAATGTGGAGTTGCGTCTTTTTGGCTAAGCACGGCAGTATCGCTCTAGCGTAAAAATACTGTTTGTTAATTATGGATTATTTAGGATTGCTTGTTTAATGGTAATTTAGTCCAGACCAAGCCCAGGCTACTTATGGTTGTTTCAAAACCAAGAGTTGGCAAGATGGATTTTTCGCGGTTGGTTAGAACTTGCCAAAAGTCCACACTCAAAAGCCTTGTACAAATTCCTATATGTATATGTATAAGTAGCCTGAACTAAATTACCAAATTTTGCAATATTTTCTTATTATTGAAGAATTAAGACTAATATTTTTTAGGTTTGCACTCCCCAAACATATTCATGTATACCGATTATGTATTTAATATGTACATATAGATGTACCTATGTATTTTATTTTATTTTATATTATTACTACAATAAATAAATCTTATATTCATACTTGTTTTATTTAAAATACAGCAATAAATACAATATATAAAGGCACCCTACCAAGCATCAACATTCAAATATGGCGCCAATATGTTACAGAAATCTACTTCAATTTTTGGCTTTGCTAAGGGTATTGTAGACCTAGATGGCGTTAATTTACTTTAGCCTTTTGCCGCTAGCGCTAGTGCAGTTTCCAATCTATGGGGTGTATTATCTTTGATGGGTGCTTCTACAAAAATCTTAACTTGGCACTGCCAAGTTGGCAGTCAAATTTAATCATGTTAGTTTTAAAGAGAATGGACGCGTAACGGCTAAGGTTTTTTAAGTAGCTCAGACGGACTTAAGCCACTTACAAAACTTTAATAATACCTTAATTATAAGATTTGCTTAGAGTACAAAAATGCGTTTAACTATCGACAGTTTTTAATACCGATCCCTATTAAAAATCACATTAACTGTTAAGCAAATTTCGTTGTGGTGAATTTTCGTGAAAAACTATATGATAAAAGTACAATGCTATTTTATTCTGATTCATTCCGCTTACTAAATACATTAAAATTAAAGGCAATTAAAAACAATCATAACTTTAAATAGGTGTTGCTGTATAGGTATAACTTTCTCAAGTCTTAAGTCTTAACAAAAAAATTACTACGAACATAATAATTATTTAAGAATGCATGTCGCCCTCTATGAATAGTTTATAAAGTTTGGCGTAATAAGAGCCCTTTTTTATTACAACAGTTGTAATAAAATAGGGCTACTTCCTACTGCAACTGCTATCCACAGAATTCTCATGAATATTTAAAAGAAGCATTTTTATTTCTTTATTAGATAATGAATTAATTTCCGGTTCAATAAGATATTTTTTGCTCTTCATACTTAAAATTAATAATTTAATTTCCTACAGTTTAAATAATAAAGGTGTAGAAATTGTTGAATTCTTTAAACAAAACTTAAAAGAATATCTGTTAAATTTTTAAAATAAAAATAAAGGATTTATATTTTTGCTTTTAAATAAAGGACCTCAACTGTGGTTTTAAAAATGAGGTAAATTTTTACCCGAATGTGCATTTTTTGCTTTAGAATCATGTGATATAAACAAATATTTATATGGCCCTATATTTGGTATGCGTTATGACAGTTTCTGTTGCAACAGCCAAACGCCAAACCCTTGTCATATTAATGCTATATAGGTATCCTAATCACTAGACCATACGAGATGTACTTTATATTAAACAAAAGTTAATATTATTTCGCGCGCGCGATTATCTTTAAAACATTTATAAAAAAAAACAGAAAACTTTTTTGTAGGACAGTTAATTTCCAACAAAAATATGTAGGAACTACTCATTTTAAAATCCTAACTATTCTTTAAGTTATAAGTATATAAGTTATTTTGAAAAAATGTGAAAATGGATAAGTCCAATGAGGAGGATCTTACTCTTAAGTAGATAGTCTTAAGGTGCCCAGCAACCAATTTTTCGATATTGTAAGTCAAAAAAAAGAATAGTATAAAAATAAATATTGATAAGTTTTAGATTGTTTTGCAAAAATTAAACATTATAATTTTATAATTTGGATAATATTAAGATTATAATTAATTATAATAAACTTAGATATACCGCATTTTCATTTGTAATATATAAAGTCAAGTGAACCCGATCGCCCCTCCCCAGATGCCCCTCCTCGGATGCATTGTAAGCGGATTGCCGTAAGCGACGATTTAGTTATGTTTTGCATTTGCTAGTGTGTATTTCGAGCGTTTTAACATAAATTAATTTCTTTTATTTAAAATTATAAGTCATAATGTCATTCTCTACGTCAAACAAGATACCTATTCTCACTTAAATATCCGGATCGTTCTATTCCGTCAATTAGAATAACAACAAGCGTTTGAAAATATAAATTATTCAAAGCTTGTGTTCAAATAATAATTTGTTATTTTTATGAATTAATTAATTTATTTATTTATTTACATTTATTTTAAGAAGTTTGATTTTTAGTTTTGTTTTAAGAAAATTGGTTTATTTATTTTAATTTGTTTTCAAGAGAATTATTTTATTTTTTTATTTTAGTTTTTAAAGAATTGTTTTTGTAATAAAACACTTTTAGTTAAATGCAAAACAAATATTGATTTTACACCTTTAATTAATATTTTACAATTAAATGATTACGTAACATTTTAAGTAATTGAATCATTTTTAAAATTAAATTAACTTAATAATACGTAATTCGTATTAATAATCCAGAGCAAACTTTGAATATCACCTACGCCGGTAAAGAGTCTACTGGGAGACCATTCTTAAAAATTATTCTCCCGCTCTTAAAAACCGAATGCGGCTACATGTAAAATTAAAATACGGTATAAGAATATACATTTTTCTTACTACCTCGACTGAAAATACGTTGTTTCGTCCCCGATTCCACGGCAGAAAGTTTACGTTTGATGCATTGGTCAAGCTATACGTATTTTCGGCCGAGGTAGTAAGAAAATGTAATTTTCTTACTACCTCGGCTGAAAATACGTTGTTTCGTCCCCGATTCCACCTCCACCGCCCTCTATAATATCGCTCGTGCCGCAAATGTCGGGGCAGGCATCAATATGTTTCGATATACACATTTAATTTTTTCCCGTATTTTCGGCCGGGTAGCAAGAAAAATAGTATACACTACACGGGCAGAAAGTGTGAGAGCCCTGAACTGCGCGCCATGATGGCGCGCAGTGCAGGAATCTCACACTTTCTGCCCTTGTAGTGTAATATACTATAATTTTAGTTTGCAGGTTTTTTTAAAGATTACCTACTTCAAGAAGAGTATATGTTTATGATCATTAAATATTTTGGTACCTTTTCCCCAATATACAAAAGCAAACAAACAATAAGGAGTTTTACAAAATTATTTTCTTTATTTGTTAACCCCCCCCCCCACCAAAGAAAAAATTATCGACGCCCTTGTATGACTTCAGTTTCTTACCTCCCACCTCGACACACTTTTCCGCTTTCTTAATAAATCTACCGTACACGAATACGAATAAAGAATAATTCGTGGCTGATTTAGTTCATCTATTGCTTCCTGTATGCCACAAATGTTTTAAAAATCTAAATTTAGAGAACAGAAAATACTCATAATAATTCGTCACCCTAATATAACAAGGTTTTATGTTAAAAAACCGAAAAATTTGAGTTTATGCTTCTACAAGGTTTTATGTAATCCACCCTTGATATACAAATTGAAAATAACTCTATATATATATATATATATATATATATATATATATATATATATATATATATATATATATATATATATATATATGTATACTAGGGTGTTTCATTTAAAACGAAAATTTTTTTTTTCTTGCTGATCATGAAAATTTTGTTTTTTTAGGTTGAAATAAAAATTCCCTGAAAATGTGAGCCCTTAATTTTGATTCTAAGTACTTCCTTTTTAATTTTGTAGTTTTTCAATATAAAAAGCATGTATTTTGAATCATTTTTACTTTAAATTTCTATATTTTGGCTGGGTTTTGAATTATAATTTTTATCACCATAATTTTCTGCATAGTATTCACGGTTTTTGAAAGGCCCTGCATCAATTTTGTTTTTGATTTATTTACGTTGATTGTAGTAGCTCCAAAAGTCGTTTTTTCACTCTTTTCACATATTTTTGAGAAAATCGAGCAAATGACTGGTTTTACCGAAAAAGTTCAAATAAAAAGTTGTAGGAAATTGAATTTTTGACAAAAAAGGTTTTTACGTTCATATCACTAAAGTGCTTTGTTTAAGAGATATAAGCAATATATAGTTGTTGAATGAAATTACATAAATTTCAATAAAACCTATTTTTTCTTTGTTTTTGGTTATTGAATTGCTAATATCCCTTAAACAAAGCACTTTAGTGATATGAACGTAAGAACCTTTTTTGTCAAAAATTAAATTTTCTACAACTTTTTTATTTGAACTTTAAAGGTAAAAACAGTCATTCGCTCGATTTTCTCAAAAATATGTGAGAAAAAGTGAAAAAACGACTTTTGGAGCTACTACAATCAAAGTAAATAAATCAAAAACAAAATTGATGCAGGGCCTTTCAAAAACCGTGAATACTATGCAGGAAATTATGGTGATAAAAATTATAATTCAAAACCCAGACAAAATATAGAAATTTAAAGTAAAAATGATTAAAAATACATGCTTTTTATATGGAAAAACTACAAAATTAAAAAGGAAGTACTTAGAATCAAAATTAAGGGCTCAAATTTTCAGGGAATTTTTTTTTCAACCTAAAAAACAAAATTTTCATGTGTCAGCAAGAAAAAAAAAGATTTCGTTTTAAATGAAACACCCTAATGTATACATAGAATATACATACTATAGAATTATTTTTAAGTGGTATTTGAAGCGTAGGCCACGTATAATCCTGTAGAAACATAGACTTAAATTTTTCATTTTTTTAAACATACAACCTTGTTATATTAGGGTGACGAATTAACACAATTAATTTATTTAGTTCCTATTGATTATCGCTTTTGCTGCTAGCAAATTGCTAGCTCTATTTAAACCAAATCCTTTCAGTTCGTGCCATGGACCGGCAGATGGAGCCGATGGAGAACAACACGCGTCAAATGCTTCGCGACTCGTTCGAAGGCACAAAGTACACTTCCGCCGACGTGGACACGCGGTTTCCGCCCGAAGATTTGGACGTGGACTCGCGATTCGGCGCTAGCACGCACGTGCACGAGCGCTTCGACAGTCCCGAAGATTTCGAGCCGAGGTTCTCCGACGGCTATCAGTCGAGCGGGGTCGGCCGGGGAAGGGTGGGGATACCGCCCAGGGGAATATTCGATGATGTTTAAGGTTGGTAGGTGCAATATTATTTATTTTTTTTACGCTGGGAGTCAAAATAGTCATGTACAAGGTATGAGACGAAAAAGTTTCAAATTATTTATGAAATTGAACAAAATGTTAGTTATTTAAGATGAGATTATAGAACCGAAAAATAATGAAAAAATGTCAAAAGCTAGGTTTGGCAGTAATGCATTTTCTATTTAATTTATTATTTTAAATTGGGATAACAGTGCCATGTGGTAATAGCTTAATTACTACCCTTGTTTTTTAAAGTACTTTTTTAATTTTTAGCTTTTTTTAACTGCATTTTTATTTTTTTAATATTATCGGGTTTTACAATTTAATTTTTGTTTGAGATAAATTTTATTGTAAATTTTATTTATTTAACGAAGCTACTAACATGGTTTAACATTTTGTTAATATTTTTTGTAAACATTTTATAATGCTAGCAATAAATCAATCAGACTACTGCATTCTCTGTTGCAATCTAGTGTGCTGTGAAGAATGCTGTACTCAGATTGGTTAATCAATTCCGATGAAAACACTTTCTGTAGAAAGTAAAGTTGAAACCCCCCTTAGTTCCGGTAATAGATTTGGGTCGTGCTCACTTGATGTAATCATCCATTTTATATAATGGGTGTCCACTAGTGTATTCCAATTTAATTATATTGGATGGATTGGAATCTGACTTTTGTGCATTTCATGAAACGGACCGCCGTTTTATGCTCTTACCGAAATGTGTTATAATTTCATCAAGTGGATAGGTGAAATCATCCATTTCATGAAATGCATATCCAATTCATCCACTTAGTGTACAACAAAATAATGGAAAATTTTTTCATTTCGTGAATTAAAAGTTTTTAGTATTACTAAAATATAATTTAAATATTTGAAAAGTGATTATTATTATTGATTTAGTAATATTATCTATTCATAAAAATAGCAATTATTTAACAATTTTCTATAATCATTACCTCTGAAAATGTTACTTTAATCAACAGTGAAAAATAAAAAAAACAGTTATAATTGTCATCTTTTATATTTGTAACCTGTCATTTTTGACGTCTTTCAGCTGTCGTTTTTACCATCTCTCAATTCTAGACATCTGTCATCTGCCATTTTTAACATCTGTCATTTTTGAAATAAACTAATATAATAAGCAATTTTTTTTTAATTACTAAATATTAAAATAATTAGCATTCATTTTTTTTCAATACACTAAATTTTTAAATAGGTAGTAATTTTAAAATATATCAAAAACTATCATTAATTGTTTTAATTGCAAAATATTTAAATAATTATAATTAGCAATACTACTTTGACTGTTAAAACTATAGTTACAAATTTGGTAATTATTGAACAAAAATAATACTAGCCATTCATATCAGATTAGAGTATAGGTCAATTTTGATAACTCACCTGTCATTTTTAGATATGTTACCTGTCATTTTTAGATATGTTACCTGTCATTTTGACATATGTTATGTGTCATTTTTGACATCTGTCATTCTTTGACGGACGACATCTGTCATATTTCTATTAACTATTGTTAATAATTATTAAGTAATTTGTTAATGTTTAAGTACCGTAAACACGGGTGACTTTGCACCCCGCGGGTGACTTTAGCCCTTTTATGAAAAATTTTTTCGCGCTCGATAAAATTAACATATATAATTTGTTGGTCTAAACCTGTCAATTGAGCGATTCTATTGAGTTTATATTACAGGAAAATCGGTGTTTTAAAAAAATAAATGGGATTTATTACACTTTAAAGTTGTATATATTGCATTAGTGCAAAACTCTTAAAAATACACGCGTTTCAATTTCTATATTACGCGCAATTCTTTGGAATGATGATCCTTGGTTAACTACAGGTCGATTTTTTATTATTTTTATCGGTAATCCCTTGCAATTGCTATACAGTGCTTGCAATTTCAAGTCCGACCGCACTGGAAAGGACGGCTGTTCAATACCCGCGTGAAAAGAACAAGGATAGAACGCCAAATAGAATTTGATTGGCCAGCCGGCAGGCTACGACAACGCATACCCATCGCGCACCTCGCAGCGTGCTTGACACGAGGATATCAGAACGAGAACTGCAGTGGTGCCAGCAAGAGGTAGAAATTTTAGTAAAAAAGATTATTTAATTAAAAAATGTACACGTTGTAACAAAAAGTTCAGATTTTAATCTGGCATTTTGCTGGTAATTCTGAACGAGAAATTCAAAGATTATTTGCGGGAATGTTCGAGGCCAGACCAAACAGAGAAACAATTCGACGAACCGTTAATAATTTTTTCACGCACGGTTGTGTAGTTCCGATGCAGCTCCGACGGGAACGTCCTCCCCGTGAAAATCTAAATAGAGAAGCGCGGGATACTTTAATTTGCGCGTCAATTGAAGAAAACCCAACCCAGGCATTAAGTACGGTGGCTAGGGAGTTTGATATTTCAGCTTCCACGGCACGAAATGTGCTAAGACGCCATGGATATCGTCCATTTAAGCTGCGACGGGGAAACGAGCAATTCCCTGCCGACGCATTCCGCCGCATGGAATTTTGCGAGGTTGTTATGGAGAGAGCAAATGCCGACCCAAATTTTATCGGTAATATTTTATTTACTGACGAGTCGACATTTACTCTCCATGGCAGGCACAATTCGCAGAATGTTCGAATGTGGGCGCGAGAAAATCCTCGTAGGATTTATGCAGCTCGGACACAGTATCCCCAAAAACTTAATGTCTGGGCGGGTATTTTGGGCGACCGAATAATTGGCCCATTTTTTATAAATGGGAATTTAAATGGCGCTAGGTATTTAAATCTCTTAAGAGACCAAATAGTTCCCGCGCTTCAAAATTTAGACGGAGTTAACATCGAAAACGTATGGTTTCAGCAGGATGGTTGCCCCTCACATAATACGATGGCTGTTCGGGAATTCCTTTCCGACACTTTTGGACCTCGTCTTATTATGGGTCGAGGAGGAATTCTCTGGCCAGCTAGATCACCGGACTTGGCGCCGTGTGATTTTTTTTGTGGGGGTACCTCAAGTCGAAGCTGTACGTTTTCCAGGAAGATCGGGCTAATAACCTCAATGATTTGGGAATCCGCATAACTAATTTGTTGGGGGATATTAGTCCAGAAGTCCTAGCTAATGTGCGTGGGAATTTTTATAATAGGTTAGGCTATTGTTTGGCTGCCTATGGGGCTTGTTCGAACATTTAATTTAATTTTTGAGTTTATTTATTTTTATTATTTATTTTTAGAGTTTTATTTTTATTTAGAGTTTTATTTTTATTTATAGTTATTTTTATTCAGAATTATTTTTTATTTGAGAAATCTTTTTTATTAAGAATACTATTTTTGTTGTTGCCCTAGTTCTCAAGGAAAAAATCAAAAAATTTTATTTTTAGGATTCGGGTGGGTATAAAATATTTAAAAAGAAAATTAAAATATGCATCTACACTCTTACGCAGTTTGCTTAACACTAAATCATTTAGTCTAAATCCAGCCAGACTGGCCAGATTTGACCTCGCTTACAATTCGCACGCATCCGGCAGCCGGCTCTAGCCAATCAAATTCTATTTGGCGTTCTATCCTTGTTCTTTTCATGCGGGTATAGAACAGCCATCTTTTCCAGTGCGGTCGGACTTGAAATTGCAAGCACTGTATGTCGCTGCTAACATATGTCTAATAAAAATAAAATAAAATATTGAGTTAATTTTATACGGAAAATACACCGTGAGACAAAGTAATCCGCAACCAGGGGGTAACTTTGTACACCCAGTTTTTAATTTTTATTTTTGAAACTCAGCCCTATGTAAGATTATAACATAGTTATTATGAAAGAGCAACTCAAGACTCAAATTTTGATATAGAATATTTAATGTTTATGATTGTTAAAACTACAAAAATGTTAAGATTAAGTTTAAAAGTGAGCTAAAGCCACCCGTGTTTACGGTAATGTTAATGATGACATTTCCACATGAAAATTTTATGAATGGTTAATATAATTTGTTTAATAATTACTAAATTTAGTAAAAACTACACGTTATAAAATGTATTTTAAAATATTGTTTATTATGCTTTTAATAAATTATAAGCACGATAAAAATAATATTATAAAATATTAATTTAATAACTTGTGGTTTTTACTCACAATTTTTAATTGTGACGGGCGGGACTAAAATTACCGAGTAATTATATATAATATATTAATTCAATTTAATAATCAATTTTTAAAATATTTAAGTCATATATTTTTATTCAATATTTTTTAAATAATTAAAAATAAATAGGTACAAAAATTATTTTTCCCCTTCAATAAATAAACAAATGAAATGGATGATTTTAACCATCCACTTGACAAAATTATAAAACATTTCAGTAAGAGCATAAATCGTGGCAGTCCGTTTTATGAAATGCACAAAACTTTATCCACACACATCTGTGGACATCCATTTCATAAAATGGATTATTATATCAAGTGAGTACAACATATACATTTTTTTATATTAGGTACAAGTATTTTGTTGTATATTTTATGTAATATTTTGACTTCCCTTGTATGTTGCTGTTATAGGGTAAACTAAGTCAATGTTGAACACTAATATTTATGTAACTACACACTATTCCATTATATTATAGGTATTTATAATAAATAAATAAGGTAAATCATTAAATTTGTATAATTTTATTGAGCACTAACATTCTAAAATTAAAATATACTATTAAAAATTCAAACAATTATTTAAAATACATATAACAGATTTTCTTTACAAAAAATATACACTTAAGCTAAATATATAATAAAAAATGTGACGAGGGTTAAGGCAAAAAAGGCAAGAATATACAGGATAGTAACTCTAACAATTTGATTTTGTTCTGTGTGGCTTATCCTATGTTTTCTACGTTTTGGAATAACATCCAACTTTCTGGCATCCAAAATTAAAGAATGTGACTCTTCAGGAATCCTGACTTCATATATCTGAGAAACTTCTTCTTCAACTGGAGTTATTTCATCAAAGTTCTCAATAATTTTCTTTTTGGAACACGTAGAAATTCTGAATTTGTATTGCGGATTTTTTGTACTTGTTTTGTACCGGTTAAAATGGGTGAAAATTGGCTTATAATATTTATAGGACATCCTATTAAAATCCGTGATATAATCGAAATGAGTTATGCAGTATTTAGTAATGTTAAGTAACAATCCTTGGGAGTTGTTCAGCGGCATTTTATAAAAAACTACGCGTGATACAGGGGTATTAAAATATTTTTCTATTAATAAAGCTGCCTCGTTTTGTATCAAGTCTGTAAAATCCGTAAAATCTACATCTAAGCTAACATTGCTCTTAAAATATTTATCACTGTAACAGAGAAAACAATTCCTACTTTCAATCTCCAGTTTTGGACATAAATCAACTTTGTATAAAGTCTGTTTAAGTTGTTTATGTTGAATTATAAGTTGGAGCTTCGTTGCATCAGTCTGAATTAATAATTTATTTACACTAGTTTCGTTGAATACTTCTACATTTGCACTAAGTCAATTGCCTTTCATCAGTTTTGCTTCGATTTTTTGCAAATCGTACAAAACCTAAAGAATACAAATTTAGTTTTAAAGTGACAAGTTAAAAAAAATGTTCTCACCTCCAGTATACATGACATGCTCCACGCTTGCGTGCGGCAACTGTCATTGCAGTATGCTCCATCCTTATTGGTCAACTCTGGCAGGCCTCTCCACGGAGAAGTTTGTAGTTCAACAAAGTGACGTGACAAAATTGTCTTAAGTTTGGATACGGTTTCTTGTTGCGCGTTGTTTTGGGCGGCGAAATGCAGTTTGGCTCTGAGGAAGAATCCCATTGGCCAGACCCATTCCTAAAAGAAAATGTTCTTCAGCTTTAAGCCCCCCCATTAAATTAAGTTCTTACCGGTCCTTGATGATAATTTAAACCATGGGCCAATTTAAAATCAGTAGAATCATTGGAGTTATCATAATTTCCATCGTAAGCCCAATCCTCAGGATCCAAAGTCTTCATTCCTAAAGGCCCAAGAAGGTATTTTTCTGTTTGTTTTAAAGCTTCCCAAGCATGCTGAGGGTTAAATATTTCCGGTGCCTAAGAAAGAACAAAAAAATAGTACAAAACTAATAAAAAACACTAAGAATACTTACAACACACATTGCTACAGGAACATTGCACCTCAGTTGGAAATCGGTCCAGTCCTGTGAAGCCCCGTAGCAATCCTTGTAAATCCCGCGCTTATTAATCAAGTCGGGCCTTATCTCGCCCTCTACCGGCGCCGTATTCACCCAGAAGTACTTCTCAAAGTTGGCCTTGATCTTCCCAGCCCACTCGTAATACGACCAAGTGGTTTTGCTGCCGTTTTTGTGCGTTCTCGTGACACCGCTGTGCGGGAATTTTTTCTCGACGTTCAAGGAGTGTAGCCACGAGACTACGGCGTAGGATAAGCCGACCAACTCTACGGCAGAGCCATCTCGCGGCGTAGCGGGTTTTCCGCGGTTGCCGGCTTTGTCCGACGACCCCATCTTGTCCATCCACGTGCCGCAGTTCATTTCGTTGCCGCCAAATACGAAACCTGTCTCTGGGTGTACGCCTATTTGATTGTTGAAGCCTTTCTCCGTCATGTGAGCGTCGATTTGAGAGCCAGCGTTGCGCTCTCTGAAGGCTAAACCTTGGAAGTGAACGTTAAGAGCTTCTTGCATGATTTCGTGTAAAGGTTGGTCCACACTGCCGGCTGGTGTAGGTTCTGACTCGTCCGTAGGGAATATACGCGACACCTCGTCATTTAGAATGTTTAAACCGTTAGGTACATCAGTGCAATATTCTCTGATGCAGTATAGCCACCACCAGATGGCGTCTCTGCAGTTAAATCTGGAAAATATTGTTATAATTACAATCCACACAACAAGGTCTGTTCTATCTCGTACTTAAAATACTAAAAATCACTGCAACGCTGCACAGAGTTTAACGGCGGCCATTTTTGTTGTTTACAATTCTTGTGCTTTGGGTTTGTGCTGTTTATACAGATTAATAATCGTTTTAAACGTTATGTTTCTTAGGGAGGCACTTGTAAGCCTTAAAATAGGCCTTAAAGTGCGAAGGGCAACCATTTTACTCCTCTTTTGTAAAAAATAAACCTTAATCTATGTTTCTAAGGAAAAATCTCAACAAACAAAATTGGCACTACCCCCTTTGGTACTTCCAAGCCTTAATTATCTTTCATACCAATTTGGAGTTTTACCTTATCCATAGCTTATAGAATAGATTTCATTTATTGTTATTCTAGTATTTTTATGATAGCAGTTTTTTGGAAATAGTTTTCTTTTTGATCGTCTTCTGTTTTTTTCGGTATCTGATTTTCCTATGAGGAACCAAATATAATTTTCCACCATTCTTTCATGTAAAAATCTCTGATAACGCTTTATGGACTTGATTTCTTAATGAAATCTTCCAAAATGTTGTCAGTCTGGTTTTGAAAAAAAAGTTTAAATGCAATGAATGGATTCTTAGGGATATATTTACGCATTTTGATCGAAGAAATAATTGATATGTGTCCAAAAATGTAATGTAAAAGAATAGAACAAATACCAAATTTTGTATAATTCTTTACCCAATCTTCGTCGATTATTAAATCCAATAATGAAGCCGTAAACTTACTATGTTATAGAATAGAATAGAATAGATTTATTAGTTCAGAAAGATTGCAATGGTTACAATGTTGAACACGTCCAAAAAAGTATATATAAATATTTAAGATTAACAATGTACTAACAAACAAATCCAAGAAAATTTGGTACAAATAAACAAATACAAGAAAAACATTTAGTTAAAAAAATCATCAACGCAGTAATCACATCTGTTTACAAGGTATGCTCTTAAGCAAGGTTTAAATTCCCTAAAACTAAGGCATTTTATTGTTTTTGGCAATTTATTATATAAAGTTAAAGCAAAGTTTTGAATACTCCTGTAAACGGTGTGGATCCTTGTTTGATTAATTAACATTAAATCTTTATTTCTAGTGAAGTAGGAATGCTGTCTACTAGTATTGTTAAACATAAAACTGTTTTTCTTGTAAAAAATTAAAGTTTCAAAAATATAAAGATCTGGTAATGTTAGTAGGTTATTTTTTACAAACGTTTGCTTGCATGATTCATTAAATTCTAACTTAAAAATAATTCTAATAATTTTTTTCTGAAAAATGAATAGATTTTTTGTATGGGATGAATTACCCCAAAAAATTATGCCATATTTTAAATTGGAATAAACAAATGCATAATATACATTTAAGAGTGTCACTCTTGAAACAACAAATCTTAGATTAAGGATTAAGTATAGATTCTTATTGATTTTTTTTAAAACACTATCTGTTTGTTCCTTCCATAAAAATTTGTTGTCCAAAAAAACACCCAAAAATTTAATTGAAGTACTCAACTTGATGGTACACTTATTGTTAATATTAATATTGTTATTGGTAAACCCATACTCTCCAAATTTTATGTACTGTGTTTTGTCAACATTTAACTTAAGGCCATTATTTTGAAACCATTGAAATATATTTTTTTGTGTTAAATTAATATTAGTTATTAGATCATTTTTAGTAGAGGATTTAAAAATTGAAGTAGTATCATCTGCATACATAAAAATATTGTCGTGGCATTGGGGCAAATCATTTACATACAAAATAAATAAAATTGGGCCAAGAATTGAGCCCTGAGGAACTCCTTTTTTTAACTCCACTGTGTTGGAATATAACTCCAACCCATTTTCCGATGATATTTTTACCCTTTGTTTTCGGTTGGACAGATAGGATTTAAATAAATTTAGCGCAGTACCTCTTATGCCATATCTTTCTAATTTCAACTCCAATAGTTCTTTATCCATGGTGTCAAAGGCTTTGGATAAGTCAAAAAAGGCAGATACTGCCAGAGTTTTACTATTCCAAAGGTCCATGATCCTATCAACAAAATTAAATATTGCTAATTCCGTATTACTACCTTTAACGAAACCATATTGATGTTTAGAAATTATACAATGTTTATTACAATATTTTATCAATCTGGTAGAAATTGATATTTCCAGTATTTTTGAAAAGATAGGTAATAAGGAAATAGGTCTATAGTTATTAACATTAGTTTCAGGACCCTTTTTATGCAAAACCCTGACAATAGCCAACTTTAATCCATCCGGAAAAACGCCACTTAAAAAGCAAAGATTTATAATATGACTAAGAGGACTTGCTATGACGGATGCGCACCTTTTAATAATTTTTGTTGTAATTTCATCCCAACCAGTGGATTTTTTATTTTTTAGATTGTTTATAATGTCATAAACTTCAACGGCATCTGAGGGATATAAAAACATATTGGAGTTAATGGATTCAATGTTGTTGACATTAAGTTTTGGTGATGGCAAATTTAGTGTATCAGATATATTAGCAAAAAATACATTAAATTCATTAGCTACATTCAATGGACTATCTATAACAATATTTTCTTTTTCCAAAATAATATTTTTGGATTTAGAAACTAAAGTTTTATTTTTATTTATTAATCTCCACATTTGTTGCTGGTTGTTTGGAGCATTGTCTATAAGTTTATTATTATAATGAAGTTTGGCTTTTCTTAATTCAAAATTTAAAGTTTTAGATATTTTTTTATAATTATTTTTTAAAAAAGGGTAAGTAATATTGTTTCTACAATTTATTAGATTTTGATGCATTTCTCTTTTTAATTGAGAAATTTGTTTTATATTATTACTAATCCACGGTAGTTTTGCCAAAAAAACATTATTTTTGTAACATCTTTTAGGGAAAAAAACATCGAATTTGGTTTTAAAAACATGGTGAAAAGCTTCAAAAGAAATATTAGGATCTAAACAATTATAAACAACATTCCAATCAAGCATAGACAACTGGCTTAAAAAATCATTAATACTTTGTTCTGAGTATATTCTTCTAAAATGCACAGATGTTCTTTCTTTTTCAACGATATATCTAAAGCAGAACTTAATAGCAAAGTGATCCGAAAGATTAGCCTTAATAACTGAAGAGGTAAAGTTGGATAAATGAATGTTTGTAAAAATATTATCGATTTGTGTTTTTGAAATATTTGTTACTCTTGTAGGCTCATTAATAGTTGGTCTAAGGTTAAAACTAAATGTCAAATTTAAAAGGTTTTGCGTAAATCTGCAATCGTTATTTAAGAAATTTACATTAAAATCTCCAAGAATAATAATTGATTCATTATTCTTAGTGATTAAATTTAAAAGAACATACTCAAAACTTAACAAAAACTCTGAAAAATTAGCTGTAGGTGACCGATACACACAAACAATGAACATATTGTATTCTAAACACTTTACAGCACAGCACTCACAAATTTTTTCTTTTGATTGCACTGGAATTTCTTCAATTTTAATATTATCCCTTGCATATATACAGGTTCCACCATGAGCAAAGGTGGTTCGACAAAATGCAGAAATAAGGTTGTAATTATAAATTTTTTTATATGGTATAGCCTCTTTTGACAACCAATGTTCTGAAAAACATACAACGTCTGGTTTTTCATTTTCCAGAAAAAATTCCACTTCTTCCAGTTTATTATTTAGGCTTTGAATATTTAAATGGATTATATTAAAGTTTTTATTATCTGCATTAATGTTTTTGTTATTATTAAATATATTTTTTTTATTGAATACTTGCTGGTTGATTTTGGTTACGAAAAAAAGTTTTAAAATTAAAGTTTTTTATTAATATTCCTTCCGGCCAAAATTTTGCATCTTTTATAGTAGATATATTTTCAAAATCAGATCCAACAGTAAATGCAACACTTCTGGAATTTTCTTTTTTTGGAAGACTCTTTACTTCGAAATTTTTGTTTGGTAATTTATTTTGTATATAATTTTTAATTGATTCTTCAGTTGTGCCTATTGCCATGTTTCCGACATACACCCAGGCGCGCCTTTTTACGGCTGTTAGTGTATTTTCAGAATTTTCAGCTTCATTTGGTTTTGCGGTTCCCCGTATAAATTTAGGTTTAAAAATAGATTGTTTAACTTGTGTTACACTACTTTTTGCTTCCATTGAAGACGAGGCGATGGGATCTACCTCGCTTTTTTGTACTGATTTTTTTACGACTTGTGAATATTGTGTAGGGACAATATTTTTGCATGTATTTAAATTTTTAATTTTATCTTTTAATAATTCGTTTTTTTCTTCCATTTCCTTAACTAACTTAATATATATAGCGTTTTCATTTTGTACGGTTTTATTAATTTGAAGAACTTCCAAAACTTTGCGTGCAACTACTTCATTTGCAATACATGATTTACAAACAAATAACTCATTATGGGACTCACCATTTTTTGCTGAACAGTTAAAATGATAAGCTAATTGGCATAGAGAACATTTATAGCCATTTGTCACTTTTTTATTGCATGATTTTAATGCACAATTAACACTTATATTGGAGCGCGAATTTAACACGTCTTCCTCTTCGGACGACATGATACTTATTATTTATCTGATACAATACAATGAATAAAAACAGTTTTTTTAACCTAAGAAATTGGCATATGACTCTATTGACATTACATCGGCAAAATCAAAATTTAAACAAAAAAATCTCAATAATAAATAATATTATATTATATATATCAACGATAAAAACTTTTTCCCCGAGTTGGATTGTAAATTGCATTAATTGCATAAATGTACAGTACAACCCATGATACAAAAAATGTATCATGAATACAACCTATGAATATCGTAAAAACAAAAAATAAACAAAAAGTTTGTTACTTGTACATAAATGGTCATAACTTTGGTACTTATCCATAGATTTTTGTTCTTGGCAAAAAGGTAAATGTTGCATTCTTATTTTTGCTCAAAAAACGACTTATGTTTCAATATTCGAGCCCATTGCACTTAAACTACTCAAATAATTGGACATTAATAGAGTGATATTGGTCGGCGATTCGATTATGTTTAGTTTTAGACCTTTTGCAACCAGGTTGGCCCTTTACAACTCAAGATATATCCCAAATTGTAAAGCTGCATTAAAAATTCAAATCTTGAAAACCGTGCCGTAAAAAAATTGTTGTGATTTTTATGTTGAGCAGGCGAAAATTGAAGAAAATATTTGCATCAAATGTAGATGTAAATTATACATGTATACAATTATATTATTATATAATTAATCATTAAGAAGTGTTTATCCGTTTGTAAACTTTCTTTTCAATGTTAATTATTTACAGAATATATGTAATTGTGAATTATTGTCAGTTTTAAAAAATAAAACGAAGAAAAAAAAAATTTTTCTGTAAAAAAAACTACTAATATGTGTTAAAACTACCTGTTTTAGTATTAACTGTATGTACTAAAACTAAACCATGGCTTAGAACTGTTGTTAAAGGACAGTTCTAAAACAGTTATGTTTTATTACAGTTAATACTAAATAGTTTAAAAAGATTTTACAGTTTTTGAAGCATTTTTTGAGAGTTCCAAGATGGTTTTAGGACCGTTTTATTAAAATTTATACAGTTACTTATTAGACCGTTAACTGTATAAAGTTTACTAAACCTGTCCTAAAACCATATTAGAACTGTTTAAAACTGTTTTTTACTGTCCTAAAACCATCTTAGACTGCCTACAAATGTAATAAAACTCAATACCAACCTTGCTTGCACACCTCCAAACAGCAAATTCGGAATCAACCCGTGCCTCAGTGTCGCAGCATAACCTAAAATATGCTGCCTGGCCTCCTCGTACCTCCCAGTCAAGATCAAGTTGCCTCTCAAGGCAATAAAAGTGTCTCTGCCCCAGTTGCGCATGTAACCTGTGGAAAAATGCGGCAACCCTGCCGAGAGAGTTGCGCACGCCTCTTCTGCGTCGCCTTTGTCGTTAATCCTGGTAGGCGGTTTGGGCGGGGCCAAGTTCGGCGATAACTGTGGCAACTGCGCGGATTTGACGTAGCCCGTCAATTGGACGGAGCCTAGAGCCAAGGCGCGTACGAAGGTGGAACCGTCTTTGACAAAACTAAATAAAAAAAATGATTAGAATTATTTTTCATGTATTTTTAATTTATAATACTTACTCTGTCATTGAGTTGTAGCATTGTTCAAGCAGTAAAGTGTATAATCCGGTTAATACAACGTCAAAATAGCAAGGAACCAAGTATCTGGGAATGTTGTTGAAACATTTGACGTTTTCTTCAATCCATTTTCCCAGTTCTTGGGTTCCTGGGTTCAATATGAGGCGTTGCCAGATGTAATCTTAAAAATAAATAAGGAAAAATTAAAAACCAATGAAACATAATTTTGAACAAAAATATTTACCTATCATCCAGTTACCATCTCTAAGATTACCACACATGGGGTGTCCCAGATCATTACTAGGTCTGATATTTGACATAACAGTCATAAAACCTGAAAAAATCGAAATCATAAAAAACTATAAAAATTGTTTAATTATTTCTTACCTTGGAGACCTGCGTATATCAAAGATCCAAACCCAGGTATATTATAGGCATGTATATGATTAAACTCGTCATTTTCCTCCTGATCGCATCTATACAAAGCCCTATTTAAATCAAACAAAGTCATTTTCTTGATGATTTTCGTTAGTTTAGTTTCTTTACTTATAGCAAACTCGGCCATGAGTTTTCTCACTGACTGAACAGCTTTTTGCATTGCATCAGGTAGAGAAACTCTGTAAAAAAATATAGATGTAATATTTTTAAATGCAACCTTGGGTTTTTTTACCTTACTATCACAATGGAACCGGGTTTGAAGTTTTTGAAGTTCAGTTGTGCGACATTCTCGGTGCCTGAATCGCTTTTCTCGAAAATATCGGATTCAGGGAGTTGTATATGTTCTTTTAGTGAAACTTGGTATTCTGATAAACCGTTGATGAATTTGTTGTCTTTTACGAAATTATTGCTGTTAGTAAACTTGGATTTCCCACTCCTAAAAATAAAAGCACATTAAAAAGTTACTTGATTAGAGTAAAAATTAAATACTTACTTAACCCCAACGTGGCTTAAAGTAGCCTCAACTGCAATCTCGACGAGGTTTCCTTCAAACCTCAGCGGTTTAATATTTCTCTGCTGATTCTCCGAGAACTCCCCTGGATGTCCAAAAGCAGTGAACGCGACAAGAATGTAACTCTCATGGGACTCGGGGTTGTGTCTAGTAACTGCAACGATATCTGCATCCATTTGATCCACATAAACCTGGTTGAAACCGTCTCTGCCGAGCTTATAGTGGATGTCATTCAGTACTTTTTTGGCGGGAACAATACCGGTTTTGTCGGTGACGTACTTCGCGTTGCCCACGGCTAACTTCTCGTCGGTAGCCCACTCAGTGTACTCTCTACTCTCATCGACGACGTGTATATGATGAGGCACCAACTCGTCGTAGCCTCTGTTCGACCCGCTGGCGCACGCCGCCATGTTTACCAAGGCCGTGCTGGGCAGCATATCGAAGACGGAGCGTTTTTCCACAGGGCTGGGGTTGTCGTGCGTCAAGTCTAGGAAGAGGGCGTGCGCCACGCTCGGCACCAGAGGGCGCGTCGGTGGCTGCAAGAAGGAACCCACCGGTTGGCCGCCGTAGCGGTAAACCAGGCGACCTTCTTCGTGAGAATCGCCGGCCGACATTGCTTCGCGGATCAAGGAGGTTATGCCCAGTCTTAAAAAAGAAGAGATGCTTGGCTTAAAATGTGTTGTTTTTAAATTAATGTTTTTAGGTCTGTTTTTAAAGAGCATTTGGATTGTCAAATGGACGTCAGAGACACGCGCAAGGTAAATTCCATATTCGTTTATTGCGCATGGGATTTTTAATAAATAGTTAATTAATCAATTATTAAGTTAATTATTGTTTTGCAGTTCGTCTTAAAACTGAATAAAATGTCTTAAAATTGCCTTAGATTCAAATTATTACAAAACTATCATTATTGCCTTATCACTGTCCTAAAACTGTTTTAGAATTATCCTAAATCCGTTATAACTGTCTAAAAATGACAAATAAACTGCCTTAGAACTGTCCTAACAATTAAAATTGTCCTACAATTATTGTAGATGGGTGATTCTAAAAATATCGAGTAATTGGTTGTCAAATATACATGATTATCTTTTAAACCTAAAAACAAAAGGCAGTCTTGTCCCCAGCATGACTGGAAAATTTGAATTGATTATTCCTTATTAGAAGATTGCAATGTTTACAATGTTGAACACGTCCAAAAAATATATATAAATATTCAAAGAACTACCAACAAACAAATGTCAGAAAACTAAGTATATGTACTTAGTTTTCTGACATTTGACGGTCTTGGGTATTAGAATGTCGAAAAAAACCGAAATAAGTTTTTGTGTTGAAAATATACACATTTTAATAAAAGTAGCAATCAACATTTTAACATTATTTTAATTGAAAAAAATCCTTTATTACAGAAAAAAAAAACTAAATTGAATTTAATTTATTTAAAAAAATAAACGTAAACGTTAAATATACTGTCGGTTAGGTACTTGTTGCAAAACGGAGTCAATATTCATTTACAAAATAATAATAATTTATAAAGTTAAATTAAAAAATTATAATTTTATAAATCGATGTGTTAAATAAAACGATAGTTATGTTAATACAGCACTCCATATATTTTTGCGGCCCGGTAGTATATCCTTAATCCAACTGAATTAAAATAATAGGTATATTTATTATAATCATATTATATTTATAATCAGGGTAGGAAATTCACTCTTTAGAAAAATTAACTTTTGCATTTTTTTCATATTACCCTTTAAATAATACGAAAAAAATGCAAGTCCATTTTTCTGAAAATTTCCAAATTTTTCCGCCAGATCAATTTTTCCGGAAATTTTAAAACCCTAGTACTGTCTAAATATATGTTGTAAAAACTTCCCTATCACTCCTAAAACTGCTTTAAAAGTCATATAACTGTATAAAAATGCCATAAAACTGCTTTGGAACTATCTAAAATGTCTCAAAACTGCCTTAGAACTTAACTGGTTTAGAACTGTCCATTGACTACCCAAAAATGTTTCAAAAATTGCCTTATTACTATCCTAAGAACTGTCTTTAATCTGTTTTAGAACTGTTTTAAAATGTAATAAAACTGTTAAAATTTCTCAAAACTGCCTTAAAATGTTTTAAAATTATTCTTAAACTGACTATCTAAAAACAGTTTTTAAATTGTTTTAAAACTGCCCCAACACCAAATGTCCTAAAAACCCTCTTAAAATGTCTTAAAACTGTTTAAGAACTGTTGGAATTATTTTAAAACTGTTATAGAATTAACCGTGTTAAAACTAGAACTGTCTTAAAATAAAAATAAGAAATCAAAAATATACTAAAATAATCTTGTAACTTTCTAAAATGTCCAAAAATAGCCTTTTTACTGTCACTACTGTTTTAACTGTCTAAACATGTCATAAAGCTCTTAATAGTTATTTACGTGTCAAGCTTTGTAAACGAATATTTACGGGCGAGCTGGAAGTTTGTGGGGTGGGTTGACGCAGGAGCAAACCCCATAATCCAGTGAGCCTAGTAAAGATTAATTGCAAACCGTGACACGTACAAACTTTTATTTTCACTTTTAGATAACGATTTTCAAATTTAAAATTTGAGAAGGTGGAAGTAAAATGTTTTAAAAGTGTCTTACCTATTAACAAAAATGTTATCGGTCATATCCGAGTTGGTAAACAACTCGGCAACAACGTACAAATCGGGTCTCACTGTTCTCGCAAAATCCAACAGGTACTCCGCAACCGGAATTGGTGTCGAATGACAGTTGTCCAACCTAACGCCGTCGAAAATCCTAACCGTATCCTTGACGTACTTCTTCATGTGCTCCCAGAGATACGGGCAATCCTCCGGTTTATCCCCGTAACGCAACTTGACGCTGTCACCCCACGCAATCAGTTCGCGTCGTATGTAAACGTTGGAGTCTTGCGCAGCAAAGTTGCGCAGAGGGTCCGAGTTCATAACCCAACCGTTGTGGGCCATTAAGTATTTGCCGTTGGGGCTGTACATTAATGCTTCGTGGTCTTGGAGGGTTTTTGGTTCGCCGTGGTCAGTAAAATAACGAAAAACTAGAGGGTTTTTAATTGTTATTTCCCGTACTTTAGGTCCATCGTGTTGCACTCTAAAATATCTTAGGCCAGCGATTGTATTCTCAACTGCAGCGTTCAAATGATCGTTCAGTTCACTTATCACAGCATTATTAAGTGAATCTAAAACATTTTTAAACTCCTCAGTACACTTCCTGATTCTGGAGTCTTCATCGAAGCAATCAGGACGGTAAACATTGTACAACTTCATCGCCAACTCCATATGAACCCCGCTCTTTAACCTTCTATACTCAGGGTCCTGAATCAACTCCAAGTTTTCCTTACAAACCCCTTGCGTGTTAGGCTCCACACTCTTAGCCGCATTTAAAAACTCCACCACGATTTTACTAACATCGCAAATCATCAACTCCTGAAGTTTCAACGGTTGCAGAACGCTGGTGTGCAAGTGATATCTGATCGCGTTTAAATGATCTTCGGTGCTAACTTCGGGCGGGATGCCACGCGTGTCGTAGACGCCGTTTTTCACGTCCATCGAGAAGGTGTGCAATGCTGCATCTAGCAAGTAGGCCGGACGCATGTACAGGCAGTTTTGACAGTTGTAAGTTACTTCCGGGTGATCGACTAGCCACTCTGATTCGTTCGCGGTGTGGTTGAGGACTATGTCGCATATTGAGGCAACCTAAGCATTAAATTGTTAATAACCTAACCATTAAATTGATAATAATAATGAATTCCAGCAAAATAGTAAAATAATAATGTAAAACATTGGAAACTTAAAAAAACAACAAGTATATTAACAATGGAGTCGACTTTTAAGTGGTAATAAAATAATATATACTGTAAACTTGCGTGGCTTTAGCCCCCTGACATTTTGTCAGTACCTATTTGTTTATTCCGCGTAGATTAGCAATTGAAATTTTAATATTGTCATGTTAAAATTGTCTATGTTTTTATACACTGGAAAATATGAAAATGAGTAATAGAATGAGTATAAGAATTTTTTACTGTCAAAAACTTTCTTTGTAGAGAGTATAATAGTAACATCTAGGACATCTTTTCTTAATTGATGTTATGTTTTATAATTGTTTTTGTCGAATTTCTAACATTAAAAAACATACTGGTGGTCAAAGTCGCGTATTTGGATCATTATACTATTAAAGTTCTCTGCCATTTGTCAGATGTCCCTAGCATTTCTTATTAAAAAAAATAACAAATTGAGACAGCTAATATAGAACTAGATTTATAAATAGAAACTTAAAATAACAAAAATTAATAGAAATTTTTTAATTAAATATAAAAATATTTTGAATGTCTTAATTAAGGTTGAAACCTATATTATAGGTTAAACCCCATGTCTCCATCATATTTTGTATAAAACAGAATTCTAAAATTAAAATGAAATAATGAATAAGAAGCTCCTTAAAATCTTTGTGAATAATTTTTTAATCGTGACCAAACCTTGTCCTTATACACTGCCCGTCAAAATTAACGCATAATAAGTAAAAAAATTCTAACTCTAACAATCCTTATGAATTTTTGTATAAAAATACTTCAACTTATATCTCAGTTTACGTGTTCGAGGGTTTTTCGAGAAAATATTTTTAAAGCCCTTTTATTTAATAATAAAAAAACGTTCCAAAAATAACTTTTAGGGAATTATTTTTTCAATAAATAAAAAATATGCTGTTAAAGACCGTATTTTTGTTAGTATACCCTGAAAATTTTGTACAAATTATACAAATTAGTTATATTGCTAAAAAATTGTCATTTTTGACGACTTTGAAGCGCTGTATTTTCGTTACTGTTCGTTTGATTTTTACAAAATTTTCAGGGTATACTAACAAAAATACGGTCTTTCACAAAATAGTTTTTATTTACAAAAAAAAATTCCCTATAAAAGTTTTTTTTCGAGCGATTTTTATTATTAAATAAAAGGGCTTTAAGGATATTTTCTCGAAAAACCCGTAAACTGAGATATAAGTTGAAGTATTTTTATATGAAAAAATTCATAAGGTTGATAAAGGCGTTTTAGAGTTAGAATTTGTTTACTTAATATGCGTTAATTTTGACGGGCAGTGTATTTAATGTATATTTCCTCACAAACCGCCAAAATAAAAACAGCTTTGTTATAAAATACACTGGAGTTTAGCATTACATATAAAAAGAACTCTGTAACCCATGTAGTTTATAACTCTGGCACGAGATGACGCCGCTGCAGGCAATGGTATCGCTATTGTTATTTTGCGCGTTACAAAAAAGCAGCGTGTGTATAAGTATTTGCAGTATTTAATTTTCTTTTTCATTTAAATTAAACCAATTTCTTTCTTTTTAATTGATGCAATGTTTTATGTACATTTATTGTGTCACTTAGAAAATAGATTGTGAAAAATGTCACATGTCTCTTTTGTCATACTGCACTGCTATCGCTACGACATTAAATCTTAAAAATAAAAGACTCTTTAAGCGAAACTTTACTGCTGAGAGTAACATTATAATTACCTTTAGTTTGCCTAAATAATAGTCACAAGGGATATGAAAATGTGAAATATTTATTTTTTAGAGGTATATGGGGCTAAAAAGTATAATGAGCCATTTACTCGTTTTTCTTTGCATTTTCATAAAAAAACAAGGGTGGCCAAAGTAACCCAACTCTGCTTTTCACCCATATTTGCTATAACTATAGGTCCTTAATAGTACTTAACAAGTACATATGTACTATAGTACTTAAAAGTACTATTGACAAACTATAAAATGACACCAAGAATAAGTAATTATCTCTATTCTGTAAAAAGTTCCAGGACCTAAAAGTTCAAAAGTCACCCAAGTTTATGGTACACATTTTTATATTCAGTTTATCAACTCCATAAACAGTTAACATAACACGGGTTTTATTATTTGAACAAATTTTTTTAAAATATTTAAAAAACCAAAACAGCTTACGTAAAATTTAAAAAAAACAATAGGTTTTTATGAGAAATGCACTTTAAATTTAAAACAACAATCATTTCTTTATTAAACCTGCAAACATATGTTTGTATCAACTCCGTCAGTTTATTTAATTAAAAAATATTTCTTGTGACACCTTGTAAGTGCTAAATCTCGTAAATATTATTATTGTTTATAAGCAAAAATTACAAAAAAGCAACAATTAGAAATTTAGTTGAGCTTAAGCTCTGAATTCAGGAAAAATTGCTTATATATAAATATATATTTACAAATAAGAAGCTGTATAAGTATAATACTGAGAAAAGATTTTTTTAAATACTTGTTGTTTTAGTTTAAAATAATATTGTAGGTCAGGAGTCCTGTCCAGAATTTACTTTTAATAGGTTATGGGCCCAGGAGAAATAATTAGGATTATGATATAGACTTTGAATTCACTCTTAAGAGCACTCATCTTAATTAGCTCTCTTGACCAGAATTCACTTTTAATAATATTTTGTACGCATTTGTAATTTTAAACCTAATTTATATGAGATTTATGTTTTTTAAATGTAATTTTTCTATTTTTTTCTGGAAACCCATTACAATAAATTGAAAGAAATATGAACATACCTTCCACTCACTACGCATTTTATTAGTTAATTCTTCAACTTCATCATAAGTCACCATAGAACCATCATTTTTTTGAAAACCAGGGTTTAACTTAAGTTGTTCACTAAGACTGTAGCATGAATTTGACACTCCCAGCTCCTATAAAATAAAATAAAAACTCACAATAAAACCATTTTAACTTTTTTATTTTGTTGACTAACCTGTATTGGTGTAAAATGTATCATATTATACCCAGACTCTTTTGCAACCCTTAATTTATTCTCCCACGTGGAAAATGAGCCCAAATTCTTGGCCAAAACCGTTTGACATTGAATGCAATCCAAGGGCAAAGTATCATTTACACCCACTTTAATCACAGGGTCAACCAAGAAATATCCTGATCCTCGAGGTTCCTCACTTTCCCTGCAAAATAAATCAATAATTTCAAACACTCACTATGCGTATAACGTTGACTTACCCGTAGACAAAGTAGAAATGAAAACTGCCGGCAATCTGCGCAGTGATCTGCGCATACAGGGCAGTATCGTCGGAATTTTCGTGCTCCTTCAGCCACGGCAACTGCTGATAGACTTCTCTCTTGAACTCCTTCTTTTCGACCGGATAATTGCATTTCAAACTAACTTTCCTGCCCAGTAAAGAGGGTCCCAAACGAAACTGTATAATCCAGTCATGTTCGATTCTATAGATCGTCGATATTTGGTGTTCGTTGTCATTTAAGGTTAGAACTCGTACTTGCGCGATCGCCGGCATTTTTACTGTTTCGTTTGTTGTCGGGATCGATTCGGGTGAAGCCGTTGCTTCTTTCAATATTTTTTGAGTTTCTACTGAAGAATCTTGTTTCAAGTATTCTAAAGTACAGGAATAATTTTCTCTGGGTTGATTTATACAATTTTCGACTATTTCCACTTCTTCTAAATGATCTGTTTTAGGACATAAGTCTTCTGAATTTTTAATCACAAATAATTCCGTTTCTGGATCTTTTTCAATTACTTCGAAATATTGTTCAACAATTTGTTCTATTTTATCACATAAAATAGGTATTTTATCACCATTAGTTTTTTCTGTAACTTCTTGAGAAATACTTATATGTTCTTCAGTATGATTTTTGCAAATTTCTGTTATTTCTTTTTCTATATTATTTAAATTACGAGAATTTAACTCTTCTTCTCTTAAATCTTTTGTATTGGTACTTAAATCTTGACAATTGTTTACAAATGTACCTTTTATTTTACTATATAAACTTATTTCTTTAACTTCAGCATTACCATTTGGAGTAACTTCTTCTGAAGAAATATTTGATTGTTCTTGTATCTCTAAAGGAATAATAATTTCTGGTTCTTTACTAAAGATTTGTGTTTGTATTGGAAAATCTTGTTCTTTAATGTGATTTTTACAAGATTTTAAATCTGTTTTTGGATTTAAATCCTCAGAATCTATGTCTTCTATATTATCACATAAACTGGGTTTCTCTTTTATTTCTTGAATTTGAGCATTACCATTTTCAGTTACTAAAATGTTCTTTGGAATTTCAGCATCACCATTTGGGGTAACTTTTTCTGAAGGATTTGTGTTATTATCAAAGGAGTTGTTAATTTCTTCTTGTTTCTTTAAAGTAATAGTACAGATTTCCAATTCTTTTTCAAGTCTTTTGAGCTCTTCTTTGGACAAATTTTCATAAAATTCAGTATCTTTTGGTTTTATATTGTTGCTGCAAATTTCTGAATATGTAATATTATCTCTTATTATTGATTCTTTTTTTTGTAAACAATTTTCAGATTTAACTTCTACTGAATTTATAATAGGTTCTGATTTCACTATTGGTTTGCTATTTTCAGAAATAAATGCTTCAACTTTCTTTTCTTTATTTATTTTCTCACTTTTTGGGGAGGTTGATAATTTTGGTTCGGCATTTAAGGAAGACTTACTTTTCTTTGTTGTTTTCTTACTTTTGGCAATTTCCCATGAGTTTAAATCTAATTCAGTTTCTGGACTTAAATCTTCAACTTTCTTCGATTTTTTCTCATCTAAACTTTTGTTATTTCCTTTTTTAGCTACATTAACGTTATTTTTATCTTTTTTATTAACTTCACCAGTATTTTTTTTACCTAAATCTTCTTTACTACCTTTACTATTTTTATTTTTCTTTTTATCCAATTTATCCTCTATAGCTTCCCGTATATTATTTTCTATGGGAACATCTGATTTTCTGCCTATTTCCAGTGATTTCTTCTTATTTTTATTATCTTCTTTCTGTAATTTCTTATCTGGAGTATCACCTTTACCAAAAACCTGTAATATTGGATTAAAACACAACACCATAAAATAAAAAATGTATAACAAAATAAAAACAACAAAATATGATATGTGTTTGATTGTTCTTGGCAGTAAACCAAATGAATGCTTTAATACAAAGCAAATGGAATCTAATATGGTCATATTAAATAACTTGGTGTTTAAATACTAGATTAAAACAAAGATTAACAAAATTGCATAACCGAATAAAGACTTGCGTTGAGAATAAAGTAAATTGGGTCGAAGATCAAAAATTATACCCAAAAACAATAAATAAATGTGGTTTTATTAGTTAATTTAATAAATATACTTGACTTGCAAAATAATTTATTTAATGTACTGGCAAAAAAAGTAAACAATTCTTACTTACACTTTTTTCATTCAGTGTTTTCAAACAGCACAAATTTAAGTGGGTATTTTTAAATTATTTTATACAGGCGGCTGTTTCAAGGTGACATTGACACACAAAACGTCACGGAACGTCATAATGGTAGTTCGTTTGTACCACATTAAAAGCAAGACGAAATAGTGTTTATTTTTAACCATATCTTTATCAGTAGTATAATACATTAATTAATAATTGTTTGATATTTTTTAAAGTGTATTTCGTTGTGAGATAATTATTTTAATGATTCAGTGTTGCCAATGGCTTGGAGTAAAAGTGACTAGTAACAGCTGTTCGTAACCAGAAAAGGAACCAAACAACAAAAATAACAAAAATGGCATGAGAAATGACGTTAAATTTGGGTTAAGTTTATAATAACTAATTAAATGATAAAAGTGCAGTGATCGTGTTACAATTATGGACAAAAACATGTGTAATATAAGCAAAAATATTAGTAACGATGGTGGTGAATCGGAGAACGAAATCGAATTGTCCAACCGAATATTCAGTGTGGAAAGTGATGAAGAACTGTATCCAATCCCTTTGGAAAACCACAATGAAATAGTGGATTTTGAGGACGAGTTGGACGCCGTGAACATAAACAATTTTTTTCATAGGGTTGATAGTGATCAAATAATATATCAAAGCAAAAAGAAGAAGTTAAAACTAATTGGGAAATATGTGATGGGGGATATGTTGGGTGAGGGTTCCTACGGGAAGGTTAAGGAAATGCTGGACTCTGAAACGCTGTGCAGACGAGCTGTGAAAATTATTAAGGAGAGGAAGATTCGAAGGATACCTAATGGTGAACAAAACGTACAAAGGTGAGAATTTAATAATTTTGTTGTTTAATATTTTCAATAAAATTTTAAAGGAAATAATTTAATATCAATATAAAAGAAAGCATTATTGGTATACAGGGTGTCCAGAAGTATAATATATTTCAAATGCTTAAATTACCTACATATTTCAAATAAAGTTTGGGCTGTAAGTGTTACTAGAAGCATTAAAATTGTTTTTCCAACATTGTATGTTAGTTACCGCTTAAATTTTTTTATTAAATGTAATTGTAATTAATCTTATTAGATTAATTAGAATTGATTAACATAGGTATTATTATATATTTTAATCTAAGGCAAAATAAAAAACACCTTGTACTTCAGAGAGAAATTACAAAAAACAACCCAGAGTTTTACACTGTATATTAAAATATAAAGTTAAAAAAATATATATATACTTACACCTCCTAAAAATAGGAAACTAGCTAACATAGATGCTGCAAACACAAGGAACCTGTAGAAAAATAAAAAATATTGGATAAATTAATTTTGTGAAAAATATCATTTCATTTTTATGTACCTAAATAGTTTATACAAATATAAAAAAATATATAATAAAATATATTTTATATTTTCAAATAAAAACACATTTGCATTTTAGACAAAAACAATTTAATCTCTGGTTAAATTGCCAAACTGATAGGTATTAAAATTTATATATTTTTTTATGATTTCTTATACCTATGATTTATCATAATTTCTAACAATTTTTAAATTGTTACAAATTATTATTTATTAGAATTTTAGATTTTATGATTTTTTCTTAACTTTCATATTTTTTAAATAGATTTAATTTTTCTTTATGATTTTGTATCCTTTTTATGTTTGTTTTTAAATAAGTATCATTATACTAAAAAATATAATACTTTTTCTGATCAGTAATTTTCAACTTCAAACAAAAAATTTGGCTTCATAGTTGTTATGGAAACAAATCAAATAATGCAGCTGACAGGGTTAATAGTATTTGTATTTTATAACAGTAAAAAAACGAAATTATTGTTTTTATTAAAAACTTTTAAATTCGCCATAAAAAAATTATTTTTTTATTATTGTTAACTTGGCAACGCTGTGTATTTCCTAAGCCGAAATATTACACATCTAAAACAAATACAAATAATAATATTGTACTTCAAGCTGAAATAATAGTTATGGAAACAAATCAAATAATGCAGCTGACAGGGTTAACAGTATTTGTATATACAGTAAAAAAACAAAAGTATTGTTTTTATTAACAATTTCATAAAAAAAATTTATTATTTATTATTATTAACTTGGCAAAGGTGTATATTTCCTAAGCCGAAATATTACACATATAAAAACAAGACATCTACAGAGTGCTGAAGTTTACATGGTTGACATGTTATTTCCGACAGTTTTTGAAACATACTTGTTTTCTATGGTTATACATATATAAATAAATGGTCTTAAAACATTAAAATATATCAAATTTAGTTTTAAAAACCATATAGGTAACTCAAAAACTACTCGTCAAAAATCACGTGGTATGGGCTGGTACGCCATTTTTCAGACACTGCATGATATTATTTTATTGTATAAGATTATGCAATATTTCCTATTATGCATAATCATTTGAAATTTTTCATGCAGTACCTATCCTATGGGTATTTGTTTTATTTAAATAGCTGCGTCGGATGTATGAGAGAAAAGTTGCCTATTAAAATGAAACTTATAAATTGAAAAAAACGGATTCTCAACATATTAAAAAAAACTAAAAACCATTTAAAATCACAAATCGTTATAACTTCGTTATTCCTGGAAATTAAAAAAAAGTAATTTTTACATGACTACATTTTCATACAATTTGTTTGCTACTAGGTATAATTTGAGTTACTATAGTAACTCAAAATATGGTAGATATATCACCATCTTTTTTTATAATGGCCGCCATAACTTATTTAGTTTGATGCATTGTTGGATTTTTTCTATCTAATAGTGTAAAATTTTAATATGGCGGTCATAGAAAAAACAAAAAATCATAAATTGGATAAAAATGTAGATAAATGTGTATGTGTATGTAAAACTTACTTTTTTCATAATTCCCAGGAATAACAAAGTTATAATGATTTTTGGGATTAACAGCTTTTCAGTTTTTCTTAAATTATTTGAGAACCGCTGATTTTGTATCCAATTTTTGAATTAAACTTTTGTTTAATTTAATTAACCTTGTAGCTCTTGAAATAAAAAATACATACTTAAAAGAATACTTGGTGCACCCTGTATATCAAAATTAATCGTTTCGAAAGTATTTTCAAAAAATTAATAATTTTGTGATGTCACAACAATGCCAGATTTTCCTTTTTAAAGAGGAAAAAATATTTCTGGTGTTTTATGTTTTCTCATTTTGAGATTGATTTTAGGGATGCACCGGATCGGGTATTTTGCCGATCCGGCCGGAACCGGAATTTCGGCCGCTGGCCGGACCGGATCGCCGGAATTCCGGCCGGATCGGGACCTAAATTTAAAATGTATGTGCATGCCTATTTTTATACGTAAAACATTGAAAATATTGAGGCTGAATTATTTTTACTTTTTTTTAAACTAACTACAGTATGCAGAGTGTTTATTACTATTAATTTTACCTAGATAGAAATTACTGTTTATTTAAATATTAATTTTTAATTAGCGTTAACAAAATTAAAACAATTCTACTCATTCAATTGTAGAATAGCAGCCACCTGCCAATAATAAAAAAATTAAAAAGAAGTCGGGGAACTACAGCCGCCGGTCTATCATAGGCACGCACACCCTGACCACTGACCCTGACCAATTATAAAATATATCTGGTCGAAAGTCGGGGCATCCCAGACGCGAAAGTCGGGGAATCACAGACGCGAAACTCGGGAAATCCCAGACGCCTGCTAATCATAAGCAAAGGCACAGGGCTGCAGGTCATTTCATTATTCATTTAAAATAATTTTCTTTATTTTTGCATATATTTGAATTTAAATAATATTAAAAATTTAAAACTTAAACATTTCCAAAAAGTTCCGAAAATTCCGGCCGGAAAGCGATCCGGCCGGAACGGTAGTTCCGGCCAATTGGCCGGATCGGCCGGATTTAGTGGTACCGCCGGAATTCCGGTGCATCCCTAATTGCTTTACTCATGAATTCTCACGGTGTGCCTGAACGAAGTTTAGGTCACATAAAAATGACGCCAAAAACTGATTGCAGTTTCTTGTTCGGGACCCTTTGGTGACTTAAAAATGATATTTACCAAAATCCTCTTTTCGAAATTTTTTGAAAATTCATGATTTTTTTTAAATTTTTGTTTATCTTAATGTCTACCTTTGAGAGAGTACACATTTGTACACCGATTTTTATAATATTGGAGTATATTGTTAAGGATATTTGGAGAATACTGTTTATTTATACTGTGCACATCATTTAATATATACAGGGTTAGCAAAAAAATGCTTCTTTTAATAAAGCAAAAGCGTAAATTCATGATTTTGGCATAACACGCAAAAAAGATATATACCCACCCATGTTTATTTAGATATTTTTATGTTTATCAGGCTACAAAATGGGATTCTTATCAAGACTTTATAAGAAACATTGATTTTGAATAAAATTAAATAAAATAAATCTTTTTGGAGATAAATCTGTTTTGTGCATTATGCTTTTTACTATATAAAAACGTGATTTTTGGCTAACCCTGTATAAATCTAATGATGTGCTCAGTATGAAAAAAGTATTCTCCAAGTCTCGTTAACAATAAACTCCAATATTATAAAAATCGGTGTACAAATGTGTACTCTGTCAAAGGTAAGATAAACAAAAATTTAAAAAAAATTAAGAATTTTCAAAAAATTTCGAAAAGAGGAGCAGCTAGGATTTTGGTAAATATCATTTTAAAGTTACCAAAGGGTCCCGAACAAGAAACTGCAATCAATAAAAATCGGTGTACAAATGTGTACTCTGGCAAAGGTAGACTTTGCGATAAACAAATAATTAAAAAAAAAATGATTTTTTAACAAATTTAGAATTTTGGTAAATATCGTTTTTAAATCTCCAAAGAGTGCCGATCAAAAAACTTTAACCAGTTTTTCGTTCAAAATTGAAAACTTCTAAAAAGCCTAAATTAAACAACATTTTAAATATTCTCTAAGCGTTATTTTATTTAATTTTATTAAAAATCTATGTTTTTAATAAAAGGTTAATAAGAATGCCATTTTGTAACCTAATAAACGTAGAAATATCTAAAAAAAATGGGGATACATCTGTTTTGCGTGTTATGCCAAAATCATGAATTTACGCTTTTGCTTTATTAAAAATAAGCGATTTTTGGCTCACCCTGTATATATTAAATTATGTTAACAGCATTAAAAAGTATTCTTTAGGTCTCCTCAATAATATACTCTAATTATAAAAATCGGTGTACAAATGTGTACTCTGTCAAAGGTAGACTTTGAAATAAACAATAATTTAAAAAAAATTATAAATTTTCAAAAAATTTTCGACAAGAGGATCAGCTAGGATTTTGGTAAATATCATTTTTAATTCACCAAAGGGTCCCGAACAAGCAACTGCAATCAGTTTTTGGCGTCATTTTTATGTGACTTAAACTTCGTTCAGGCACACCGTGTAGGTACTAGATACCTTGAGAATCGTAATTCTTAAAACTGCTGACGGGTTTGTAGCCATTCCCGCTCCACACGAGACCGATCTCCAGGATTCTATTACTACATGGATTTACTATATATTTATAATTTATTTATTATGAATTTGCCTACAAAACTAAATAAAATAATTAAAATTTTGTCTTTTAGTACAAACAGATTGTCTAATTTAGACAGATATTTTAAAAATGACAAAAATAGTAGATTATGTCATAAGGAGTAGAAGTGACTCTTTTTGTGGTGAGTACAGAGATTGACGGCCGAAGCGTAGCTGAGGCAGGCAACTGTACGAAGCACAAAAAGAGCTTCTACTCCAAATAACATATACTATTTTTTTTTCAAGGGCGTAATATAAATAGGATAATCAATAGAATTATTTTATTTATTCATAACTCATGTGGGATAAAATTTTGGCTAAAAGCATTAGAAATTATTGATAAAAACTAAAAAAACTTATGACCCTTACTTACAATACCGATAAATATCCTAAACTAAAAATAAACACTGCTCTGTCAAAATGCTGCGCTTGAATTAATTTTGACGTACTGATATTTGTTTGGAGTTCCGACCTTGGCGACTCGTCTATCATCATAATATTATACTAATAAACTAGTTGTTCTTTATTTCGTTCAATTAAAATTTAATAAATAATCACTAAATATTCCGTGCGATTATAATTAATATAATTAATACATCGTGATTGCTTAGTATGAAATGCTAAATTAATTTTATTATTTGACGTCTATTGAGTCACCTATGGATTTACTTCTATCCCTAGGCTCTTTTGAGTTTTTGTCTGTCGCTAATGAAAAAGACGCACTACAACTCTCTCTATACATGCATATAAGGTTGTATATCATGGCCGCTTGAAAAATGTTTTTCATTTATATTTATTATTATAGACATAAACGTGTTTTTGTTAAAAAAAAAAATCTAGTAGACAAAGTGCAAAACCAACCAATAACGTGTTTACAGAGAGATAAAGCTGCTGCGATCGCTGCGCCACAAGAACGTGATCCGGCTGGTGGACGAGTGCTACAACAGCGAGAAGGAGAAAAAGTACCTGATCATGGAGTTCTGCGCGGGTTCGTTGCAAGGCATGCTCGATTCGACGCCCGACAAACGGTTGCCGCACTTTCAGGCGCACGGTTACTTTTTGCAGCTTATCGACGGTCTGGAGTATTTGCACGGAAAAAACGTAGTGCACAAAGATATCAAGCCCGGCAATTTGCTCATCACTTTGGAGGGCGATTTGAAGATTTCGGATTTGGGGGTGGCCGAGGTGAGTTGACGCTTTTTTGTTTTAATTTTGAACTTCTATATACACGGTGCTGTTCTGAGAGGTGATTTTTGGACTTTCTGTGAAACCTAATTTTTTTTATATTCTTGTTAATTAGGTTATAACTAAAATTTTAAGAGCAAAATAAAAAAAATTTGACGGTTTGAATTGTTTATTAAAAATATGTATGCACACTAGGGTGTCCCTTATTTTTTATTTTTTTACGCATACCCTCTAATTATATTTATTACGTGTTTATATACTCCCAGTAAAAATTTCAGCTCATTCACGGGAACCCGTGCCGACTTGCATCTGAACCCTCCGTGAGCCAACGTTAGGCGCGCGGTATTTTGTAACACGGTTGGTCGCGAGGTCTTCGATCGTAAGTCATTTTGTGTTTGTTATTATGTGACCCTTATATTATAAATTATTGACAAATGTTAAAATATATTTTATTAATGTGTATACTTTGATAAAAATGTATATTTTCACAGGGAGTGGCTAGTTACCCGGAAGGGTCTAGTGAATATGCCGTAAACTCTGAAATTGATAAACTTAATGGGATTTACTCTAAATAACTAAAAGAGTCTATTGTGAGAGATGACTACCGAAAACTGTCTGAAATATTTTTGGGAGGACATCAAGAAAAGAAATGCTTATAAAAAGCTGAAATTTCATATAACAGTATATTTTAGCAATACTAATTAGTATATTAATATATTTAAGGGATAAAATCAACTAATTTTTTTTTGGTTATTTTTTAGCTGTCATTCAGATATAATAAAAAAAAGAGTTTCGGGTAATTAGTTTTACGGCCTATTCACCCGACACTTCCGGGTAACTAGCCACTTCCTGTAAAAATATTCATTTTTATTAAAGTATACACATAAATAAAACTATATTTTAACATTTTTTAATAATTTATAATATAAGGGTCACATAATAACAAACACAAAATGACTTACGATCGAAGACCTAGCGGCCAACCGTGTTACAAAATACCGCGCCTAACGTTGGTTAATGGAGGGTTCAGATGCAAGTCGGCACGGGTTCCCGTTTATAGAATGAGCTGAAATTTTTACTGGGAGTATATAAATATGTAATAAATATAATTAGAGGGTATGCGTAAAATAATAAAAAATAAGGGACACCCTAATGCACACTTTCAATTCTCCAATTAAAACTTGCGATTTTATTTAAATATTATCATTACTTTTTAAATCAGATTAAAGATTAGTTAATTTCCTATAAAAAGGTCTATACATTTTTTATATCTTTTACTGTTTTGTTGTAATACACGTTTAAAGTTTTAATTTAAGGTTAAATATATAGTATACATTTATTAAACAATAATTCTAAGGGTGCCACATTTTATTTAGGGCCGATTTATTCATTTTTGATTTATTTTACGAATAATTTTTTTGGATACTAGATATTGCCAAGACATGAAAATTATCGGCCCGATAAACTTTACTAAAGATGAATAAACCGGTCCTTAGTTAAATTTCATAAATTTCTTCGTAACTTTTACTACAATTTTTCATTTTTGTTTATAAAAAACACTTTAAAAACTAAACAAAAATTATAGAATAGGTATACTGAAAATGACGTCAAATAAATTTTTAATAGATCTAAGTTTCATGGCAACCTTTAAGGATATATTAATTAAGGGAACATAAATGTATACGTCAAAGGTTAGATTAAAAGTTTGAACGTTTATTGCAACAAAACAGTAAAATATATAAAAAAATTTAAAAACCTTTTTTTTAGTTATGCAAATATTAAATATTTAAATTAAATCGCTAGTTTTAATTGGATAATTGAAAGAGTGCATAATATTTTTAATAAACAGCCAATTAAAACAATTCAAACCGTCAAATTTTTTTTATTTTGCTCTTAAAATTTTAGTTATGACCTAATTAACAAGAATATAAAAAAAATTAGGTTTCACAGAAAGTCCAAAAATCACCTCTCAGAACAGCACCGTGTATATAGTCTAGTAGTAGTATTCCATTAAGAGAAGCAAATTTTTATTTGGAGGCTTAGCATTATAAGTTTTGTATACTCCCACCTTGAAAACGCCTATTATCGTACATGTTTCCATGACCTTTTAAATACACATTTACAGGTTGTGGCTTTATGGCGCACAGGCTGAAGTAAGCAACAGTTGACTTTAAGTTAGTTGTTAGTTGTCAAATGCCATACAATCGTTAAAATAAAGTGTCTTTCTTGTAAAATAATAATACTAAATGTGAAAATTATTTTATTATCTTAATACGAAAATACAAAAGTATTAAATAGTTTATTGACGCCAATATTTGAAAAGATTGTATGAACGTTCGTACTGACCTTTTGATTTTGCCGTAGTAGTGCAGTTAGCTAGATTTAAATGATAACTTATCATTTAAATCTATCATTGATAAGGCGTTAAAAATTTTGCGTACAGTGCCCATAAAACATTCTCGTCTCTTTTACTGTAAAAAACTGCTTCTATGTCTATTTTTAAGGGATAAATCTTGATTTACACAAAAAAATTTGACATTTTAACTCCGGTAGATTGCCAAGTTAAAAATTTTAACGGTAATTCCAATAAATACAACTGTCACTTTTTGTACCTTTAACATTTCCCGTGTAAGAATTTTTAATACTGATAATATTTTGCAATTATAGTAATAAAAAATATGTTCTTAACATAATTATGTTATAAGTTATTTTAAAGTATCAATAATTGAGGCGTGACATTTTTCGTTAGAAGGGTAAATACTATGTTTTTAACGAAAAATCTCAACAACAAAAAAATGACACATAACGCCTCAATTATTGTTGACTTGAATTTAAATAATAACGGGCAATTTTAATGGTGAAAATTACGTCAAAAATGTTTATTGGGATTGGTACTTTATTTTCGTATATATGTCGCTTTATACAAATATTTAATTTAAATTATTTTTTAGATAATATTTAGTATTTGTGGTAGGAAAAGTATAGTATGCAACTCGTTTATAAACTTTTCTAGGCACTCGTTTAATAAAGCACTCGCTCGTCCTAAATTAAATTCGTGACTAAAATAGCGTTTATCAAACTTGATACATAATATACTAATTATCTACTCCTACATTGACGAGCTGTGACTTTATGGCGTTTTAGTCACGGTCTGAAGTTAGCAATAGTGGCTTTTGGGCATTTTAGTCACGGGCTGAAGTTATAGTCGCGGCCAAATCTGTATGGGTGCACGTCATCAACGGCATATGACGTCAGCGTTAAGGTCTATTCATACGTGCCCAGACACAATCTAACGCTCGTGTATTGTTGACTGTTTATAGCGGTGGGGGCTGTTATTAAGATGGAATTATAACGTCCTTGTTATAATCTTCTGCACTAACTAATTAGGAGTTTGTTACAGGCAAATTTTTATTAAATGTGTTTAAAGAGAAAACAAACGGAGTTTATTACATTTTTATTACAAATGCACATAACAAAAAAATACTAAATTATCAGAAACACAAAAATAATAAATTACCAGTCGTCATTGTCATCAGAGCAAACCAGGTCAGAATTGAAGTCTGATTATTTCCCCAAATTTATTATTAAGGGCGCAATGTCTTCGAAATCTAATAAGGGCTAGTTGCCAACAAGCCTTATATCATTGTTTGCACAATCCAGGGATTGAATCTTATAAACATAATGTATAATATTATTTATAATAATTTGCAACAAACGATGCTTCCGGACGAAATGTCACAATTACAAAAATACGTCAAATATAAAATGACAGCGACCAATCAATAATATTGAACGGTGCGCGCCAGCCTTAAGCTATTACCAACTGGCACACACAAAAATTACTAAGTGGATGGTTTTATTTTGATAATTTCGTGAAAAAACGTTTTAAAACAAGGAAATTGTTACAGTTCTTGGTAAACAATACGCAAATGAATGATTTCTTTTTAATAACACATCAGAATTACGCCTTAAAAAAGCAAATTTAACGGCAGTAACTTTACAATTCAAAGTTGGTAATGCTGACGTCATTATATCTCATTGATGACGTGCACCCATATAGATTTGGCCGTGACTATAGCTTTATTATAAATTAGAGAAGAGTGAGGTTAATTCCGTTGACATTTGACAAATGTCAAATGTTTAACAAATAAAGTTGGATTTAAATTCTTCTTTGTGGTCGTCGTAGATAAAGTATAGTATGCAACTCGTTTTTATTAAACACTCGCTTGCAAGCTTCGCTCGTGCTTAATAAAACTTGTAACTAAAATGGCGTTTATAAAACTTGATACATAATATACTATTATCTACTCCCACATTGACAAGTTGTGACTATGGCGTTTTAGTCACGGGCTGAAGTTAGCTTTGTTATAAATCCAGGTGACAGTTTTCAGATGTCAAATGTTTAACAAATAAAATTTCTTTAAATTCTCTTTTATGTTCGTCGTAGATAAAGTATAGTGTGCAACTCGTTTATAAACTTCTCTAGACACTCGTTTTTATTAAAAACCAACTCGCAAGCTCCGCTCGTTCCTAATTTTACTCGTAACTAAAATGGCTTTTATAAAACTCAGAATATAGGTACTAAATCAAATCTTTTAAATCATCATCATATTATTATTATTATTATTATTATTATTATTAAATAAATGACCAAAGTAAACACTAGTTAAACAATGAAAATATTGATGCACTATAGTGGCACAATGAAATAGAAGAAGAAAAAGAAAATAATTGTAAACAATAAATTACATTCAATGTATAATATTTGTACATACTTACATAAATATGATTTTTCGGTTTTTTAATTTAATTTTTTTAAAGTCTATAACAGTTTTTGTATTATTATAAGCCTATATAAAAAGACTTTATTTTAGTACACAGTTCAAAAGTCAAATTATTGAGTGGTTCCAACTATCGCATTTAGCTTGAAATCAGTGAGGTCTTATTTAAGATTCCTAAAACTTAAAAATAATAAAAATAGAACTTATAAGTTATAACTCAAAGACTATTAATCAATGTTTGTTTTTTTACACTGAAATAACACCCCAACTGTATGACGTTTATGCTCCATTTTTGAGACACCCTGTATAAATGTCCACGATTTAATAGCAATGTTATTTAGTGGTTTTAGTATTTGAAATATTTTAAACATTATTTCATAGAAAATAATTAATCAACATTTTTTTTTCATATTTTCATACCTATTTATAAAAAAAATTACAAACCACAAAATAATAAAAATTTAAAAATGGTTAAAGTTCCTTACCCCGTATAATTCATTTTCTTAATATTTTAACGCATACTATTTTAATAACTTTTTATCACAATAAAAATGTCATAATATTATAATAAAACTAATTTTATTTCTTCTTATTTATCAGGAAAATTTTTAACAACTAAACTAAATTTGCTACATTTTTATACAAGAAAAAATATTCAAAAGAAACATTAAATTAATCTTATACCTGGCTTTATTTACATCAAATTGTTTGCCAATTTTATACCTCATAGAGACATTAACAACATCAATAACAATCCCAATAATCTGTTTTGATAAACAAAGTGTTCAAAATTGATCTAAAAATAGATCAAATGTTTATCCCTTATCGATTTTTTCAATCTCTTAGCAAAGTGACTTCAATGTTAATGTACTTACATCATGATCACGAACTTTTTACAAAACTAATTAGAAATTACCACACCAAATAAATATTTTACAGTTTGTGTTGTATGTATTTTTATGAAAAAGTGGTTATTTTTTGCGCGTACTAAAAACAGTATTATACTACTAATTTAGTTTAAAACACATTGATATTTTTAAGCATAATATGTGTAAAGACATTTTAAATTCTAATACCCTTACTTAAGGGTAAGTTGACGGTTTGTTATATTAATGTATTTATGTATTTAGCAAAAAATATGATTTTAATGTTTCATAGCGCCAACTTACCCCGTTAGTTTTTTCATTTTATTTTGTTAATAAAAACTAGTAAAAAATGAAACTTAAAATTATACGCACACTATGATATACTCAATCATGATTTCATTGGACTGAACTGGGCACACTTGATACAATTTTCACACAAATCGACGATATAAAACAATGTCAAGGGTCATACTATAACATAGAGAACTAACCAAACTAAACAAAGTGAACCGAATGCTTTTCGGCCGATTTTGGTGTTTTTGTTGATTTGTCGAATTGCAGAAATAGTGATTTAATTGATTTTTAATGAGTTGTGTAAGAGATGCGTTCTTTTCTTTAGTGCCACGTCTGTTTTGAGAGGATAAAAGTAATTAAACTGCATCTAAATGCCGCATGATAGGGCCGTGATCGGGGGTGCTATCTATTGTATTAATAAATGTCAATGCGTGTTTAATGATATATTTAGATTGTTTATACTTTATTATGCAGATTACATGGAATATTACCGTGAAATTTACAACTCGATGTTTTATACCGGGTGTCTTACCTTATTTACATTAATTTCTATATAAAAATAGCTATTTTTTAAGCTATTGATTTTAATTCATAAGGTTTATTTACTGTGTCTTATATTAAGACCAAATTTTTAGAATTGTGCTAAAATCTTATAATAGATATAATAATTAGGTATTGCTTTTTTACTACAATTAGATAGTTTTTACCAATAATAAAAAATTATTAAAACTTTACTGGCTCCTTTTTAAAGATTATTAAAGTCGACCCTCCGATATATAAATCTTACATCTGTTGGTCGTTTCCAACCTCACTTTTCCCCATTTAAAATCCGAATGTGCCAAATCACAGTAAATATTAAAATCGGCCAACAACGTGAACATTTTTTTCGTTTCCTGGCAACAATTTTTCTGAAAATCTGTTAAATTATTTTCGGTTTGTTTTCACTGAGTGTGAAATTACTACTGAAAACAATTTTCTAATTATTACTAAAAATCGAGCTTTAAAAAAGTAAAAACAGAAATCCAATGCATAATTAATACTAAAAATAACCATACTTATAACATACAGGGGCTACCAATATGGTGTTACTTATTTTATTAAAAAATATATAAAATTTAATTTATAAAATATATACATATTAAATTTGGGCATTTATATCAAGACGATTTTTAATTTTTAAAGTAAAACTTGTTTAGTGAAGTAGTCAGAAAAAATAGTACTTAAATTGAAACGCTTTGGTGGTGGGGATTAGTCAGAGTGGGGAACATTGAGACATTGGGGAGTTGGGTCACACAAAACGAATACAAATATTTTTCTAGATATTAAGTAGATATTAAATTTTTTTAATTTTTTTATTATTAATATCGGGACATTTCTGCGCTATAACTCACTAAATAGATACCTATTATCTATTTGTTTGAAAATTGAAAATTTATACTATCATCAAAAATCATGATTGCACAAATTTTAAATTTGTACAATAGTTATTTATGGAGATTTAATCAAAATTGTACAATCATACAAAGTAGAAGTAGATTAAATATATACAGTGTGACCCAATTGTTTGAGATTCACTCCTGCAAAATCTTTATTTATTGTGCGATTTTAACCGGATTTGTTTTAAATAGTACAGTACAGTCATCTTAGTCAAAAAGGGATCAACCTCGGAATCTAACGGAATAAGCTGAATTGTTGTACAAACCTTTATTTTAGCATTACAAATGCTGTCTCAAAAGTCACATATGCCAACGTGTGAGCGGCCTTAGATATTCAAGGTCAAAGGTCGCAAAAATCAGTTTTTTGAGAATATCTCGTTTTCTCTGCCTCCTATCGTATTTGCATTTATTATAAAAGTTGTATACATCGTTTTTGAGATAGAGAGAATGTGGAGCGCGCAACCATATGTACGTACCTTTAGCGCAAGGTAAATTGTAAATCCCAATCTATTATACCGGTTTTGTAATTAATTATGTATTAAATATTACTTAAATAACAATTTAATACCTTATACTTATATTTCTTTTAAATCAAATATATTTTATCTTAATATATATCTTATATTTTAATTTAATTTTAATGAAGGATAATTGGATCAGAGTAGGAAAAAATAAAAAAAATATTTTTTAATGTTGTTTTTATTTATATCAATATTATTTTTATTTATCTTCATCTTCTTCATCCTCGTCTTCTTCAGGTTGGCCAGCAATTTCAGACTCTTTCTCATCATTACTCTCCTCATTATCATTGACATTAATTGCCATATCTTCAAAAATTTCAGTAACTTATTACAAATAAAAAACAAATAAGCCATGTTAACCTTTAAAATATTACGAATATTATCTGTCACAACTTGCTTCAAATAAAAAGGTTAGGCACAGAACATAAGAGGTTAGGTATACCTACAATTTGTATTCATAGCAAGCCCACTATTGTTTTTCCAGGTATGTTATTTTAAAAGTAATATCTGGATCCAAGAGATGACCAGAGATAACATATTCAAGGCAAATTCATTTAATGCCTTTTCTTCTTAAAATGCATTTATCATTAATAAGAATGACATTAGAATATATTTAGAATGATCCACTTTATTATTTAATTATTTGTATGTCAAAGGTAAGTAATATTTAATGACTATTTGATTTAACTATGGTTTCGCGTAAAAATCGAACAAATTTTGGACATTTGTTTGCAAGTGATGCCAGAATTGAATATAATTTTTTAACCCTGTTTCTACATCTAAATGGTGCATTTTTTTCAAAAAAAAATTTTTATCCATTGACCGCCGTGGGTTTTAGGGCTTAAGTCACTCTACTGTGTTAAAAATAGATAAATTTTGATATTTTGTAATAACATTTTTATTTAAAAACGTATCGATTTAAAATTTAGATAAAATGTAGACCTTATTAGTGGCAATAAATCCACGTATAATTTTTTTTAGATTTTACCATACAGGGGGCGCTGGGGACAATTTAATTTAAAATTTTACCATTTTTTAAGGTTTAAAAAGTCGAAGAAGCAACGTTGTTCTATAATTTTGAGTATATCACGTGAAAGTACTGATAATTAACTATTATTTGATATACAGTGCTTGCAAATCCAAGTCCGACCACACTGGAAAGGACCGCTGTTCAATACCCGCGTGAAAAGAACAAGGATAGAACGCCAAATAGAATTTGATTGGCCAGCCGGCAGGCTACGACAACGCATACCCATCGCGCACCTCGCAGCGTGCTTGACACGAGGAATCCTCGTCGAGGATATCAGAACGAGAACTGCAGTGGTGCCAGCAAGAGCCTCTTGCCAAGAGGTAGTAATTTTAGTAAAAAAGATTATTTAATTAAAAAATGTAGGTACACGTTGGAACAAAAAGTTCAGATTTTAATCTGGCATTTTGCTGGTAATTCTGAACGAGAAATTCAAAGATTATTTGCGGGAATGTTCGAGGCCAGACCAAACAGAGAAACAATTCGACGAACCGTTAATAATTGCTTGTTCGAACATTTAATTTAATTTTTCAGTTTATTTATTTTTAGAGTTTTATAAGACCAGGGTCGATAATTTTTGAAACCAAAAAAAATAAAAGTAGGATGAAACCCATTGGAAAAGGAGAAGAATATAATAAAAATAAAAGGAAAAATAAATTACGGGCGATCTGACTTTGGGAAGTGGGAGGGGGGGTTTTAAGGGTAAAAAATGGTTTATCTCGATTTCCGGTAAAACTACAAGTCCTATGGAAAAAAGTTAAATGGCAAAGTTGTAGGTAATAAAAGGATCTACAACTTTTGTAATTACAATTTTTTTACATAACCTCCAAATTTATGGGAAAAATTCAAAAAACCAAGTTTTTGGTTTTTTATTTTTATCTTTTTCAAAAAAAAAATTTTTTCCACGAAATTTGGTGAAAACTTACCTTTTTATGTCCCAAATACACTGTAATTTATTTGATTTGAAATATTTATTATTTCGCCTTATTTTGACTTAATATCAAAAAAGCACCCTAATTTTCAATCGAAAATTCTCGCGTCAAAATATCAGCTTTTTTCAAAAAGTCGGTGTGCTTTTTGTTTGTTGAAATCTCTACTTTCTGATGGTGTAAAAAAATATACATTACTATGGTAAATGTTCTCAGAAAATGCAAAAAATATTATAATGAATAACGAAAAAAACTCGAATTCGAAAATTTATTTTAATCATTATGTACAATTTCATCAAAAAAATGTGATTGTTGCAATTTTTTTAGTTAAAAAGTTTATTTATTAAATTCTAATAACATTTATGTCAGAAAATCTCATAAAATATAAAAATACATGTAAATCATACTATTGAATTTAGATACTTCATTCTGATTACGATTGATTGAAAATTAGGGTGCTTTTTTGATATTAAGTCGAAATAAGGCGAAATAATAAATATTTCAAATCAAATAAATTACAGTGTATTTGGGACATATTTTTATTTTTAGTTATTTTTATTTGAGAAATCTTTTTTATTAAGAATACTATTTTTGTTGTTGCCCTAGTTCTCAAGGAAAAAAATCAAAACATTTTATTTTTAGGATTCGGGTATAAAATATTTAAAAAGAAAATTAAAATGTGCATCTCCACTCCAACGCAGTTTGCTTAACACTAAATCATTTAGTCTAAATGCAGCCAGAGACTCTGGCCCAGAGTTGACCTCGCTTACAATTCGCACGCATCCGGGGCTCTGGCCAATCAAATTCTATTTGGCGTTCTATCCTTGTTCTTTTCACGCGGGTATTGAACAGCCGTCCTTTCCAGTGCGGTCGGACTTGCATTTGCAAGCACTGTATAAACTTTTATATGCAAATTATGTTTCTACGAGATACACCATTTTTAAGTTAGGCCTTCAAAGGGCATAATACTAACGTGTTTTACAAAGTATATTTTCTTTTATCTAGTTTTATAAGATTATGTATTGTATATTACATATTATACATTATATATTACATATAATATATTATATATAACATACAATCCTTACATATTTATTTTAAAAAGTCGCCATAGATGGAGCTAAAATTACTTTTATTTATAAATTTTAAATTTTTGATCATAGTATGCATCATAGACTTTTCTCTAAGGTAACCTACAATTATAGCATGAAATATAATTTGACAGTTCAGTTTATAAGTTGCAAATGACTGATTGCGTTTCAATTTATAAGTGTACCTACTATAAACTCAAAACATTAACTTTTTTAAATGAATAAACTAAATAATAATTATAGACAGTGTCAGCAATTTAGACATAATAACCTACTTATAGCTACTTTAATTTTATTTTTTGCTGCACAACCAAGCTTCAATTTATTTTTTACTCGATAAGCAAGCTTTAATTTTCATTCCAAACTGAGGAAAGTAATATTTACCCAATAAATAAATTAGAATAAAGAGTTTATTTTTTATGTTGCAATTGGCTATTTAGATATATGTATATTTTTTATTAAGTTGGTTTTTGCTTTTTTGTATTTGGTTATTTACCAATATAATATAATGCCATACAGGGTGTTTCTGAAGAAACGCAAACGATATAGATTTGATATTTTAATAGCATATACAATTTGATATAGACTATACAATTATTATTAGTTTTCAAAATATTATTATTTTTTTCGTTAAAATTTTGCTAAATGCACGTTAATCAAAAATAGCATCTAATTTTTTTGTTATTATGTATTAAAACATTGTTTAAATAATTTTTTAAAGGTTTTTCAACAAATAGCTTAAGAAAAAAACACTTGAAATTAGGCAAAGTTCAAACAATAATAACGTTTTTATTATAAATGTAAAACCCTGTATGTTTTAAAAAAAATTAAAAAATCTTTCGATTGGTATTATGTTTCCCAAAGTTAAAATTTCAGAGACATTTAACAATTTCTAATATTTTTAATACTTACTATTTTGTATCAACAAACCTGTGAAATTATACATGTGGGTTAATGTGATAGTATTCATGGTTACCACCAAATCCATTGTTTAAAATTAATTAAAATATTTGATTGAAAAATTAGTAACTCGAGAAATATTGACTTTAGGAATAGGATATCGTATAGCCATTTTATTCAGAATTTTATGTAGAAATAAAAAATGTAAAAATGTATAAGGTTTACTGTTTACAATAACAAAGTTAAAGACATTTCCGGTAAAACAGGAAGTACTATTTTGTTCAAAATAATTTAGAAAAATAGACTTAAATGGATTATAAACTCTTTTAAAATTTCAAATAGATATTTTTTCTTGTTCCCTAGAAACTTATAATGGACCACGAATGTGGAACACCCTGTATATAATATAATTACGTATATTAGTGGCACACTAAAGTCTAAATCGAATAATTTACGCTATTAAAATTTTAAATCGATGACTTTCGCGATTCCCCAGAAACTTCTAACGGACTACTTACGTGAAACACCCTGTATATTAAACGTAATTTATAAATATATGTGTTATGCTATACTTAATTATTAGTAAAAGATACAACAATATTAGTATAAAAATGACAAAATGTACCAAACTAAACATTTATGAATACTGCTACTGCTAATTCAAAACTCATCCTGGCCACAGAAACATCATTTGCATAAAAAAGTTAATAAATCAAATAATAGTCAAATATCAATACTTTAACGTGTTATACTCAAATTTATAAAACTATGTTGCTTCTTCGATTATTTACCCTTTAAAAATTGTTAAATTTTAAATTAAATTATCACCAGCGCCCCCTGTACGTTACAATCTAAACAAAATTTTTAAATGGAAGAATTGTCATTAGTAAGATCTACATTTTGTCCAAATTTCAAATCGATACGTTTTGAAATAAAAAAGTTATTTACAAAAAATAAAATTTCTTCATTTTTAACACAATGAAGGAAAAAATAAATATAAAAACAAAGTTGTCAATGGAGGAGATTTTTTTTTTTTAAAGTACTGCATTTACATGTAGAAATATGGTAAAAAAGTTTCAATCGATTTCTTGAACCCTTGCAAATCGACCGTTCGATCCTTTCGCGAAACCGTAGTTAAAAGAAATATAAAAATTAATATAAGGTATTAAAGTGTTATTTAAGTAATATTTAATAAATAATTAATTAAAAAAAACGGTATAATAGATTGGGATTCACGATTTACCTGTATACGTTATAAGGCTGAGCGCTACACACTGCGCCCTCTATCTCAAAAACGATTAGACGTACAAAAGAAGAGAATTTTATTCTCTACAACTTTCATAATAAATGCAAATACGATAGGAGACAGAGAAAACGAGATAATCTTAAAAAATTGATTTTTGCGACCTTTGACCTTGAATATCTAAGGCCGCTTAGATTCCGAGGTGAAATACCTAGATGACTGGACTAAAAGTGTAGATTTTGATAAACTTTATTTTTGGAGCAAAAGACGCCATATTAGTACAAAATACAAGTCCTACTATGTCAGTTTTTAAGAGTAAATTTTTAAGAATTCATATTAGCGATTTTTTAAGCACGGCACTGGATTCACCACCCCAGTCGCAAACAAATGGGTCACACTGTAGGTCGTAGGTGTGTCGGTAAGCGTTTGCGCAGAAAAGTATAACATAATAGGTATACCTAAAAAACAAGTAAAATACACATTAGGGTGTTTCATTTAAAACAAAATTTTTTTTTCTTGCTGACACATGAAAATTTTGTTTTTTAGGTTGAAAAAAAAAATTCCCTGAAAATTTGAGCCCTTAATTTTGATTTTAAGTACTTCCTTTTTAATTTTGTAGTTTTTCCATATAAAAAGCATGTATTTTTAGGCCCTGCATCAATTTTGTTTTTGATTTATTTACGTTGATTGTAGTAGCTCCAAAAGTCGTTTTTTCACTCTTTTCACATATTTTTGAGAAAATCGAGCAAATGACTGGTTTTACCGAAAAAGTTCAAATAAAAAAGTTGTAGAAAATTTAATTTTTGACAAAAAAGGTTTTTACGTTCATATCACTAAAGTGCTTTGTTTAAGAGATATTGTTGAATCAAATTACATAAATTTCAATAAAACCTATTTTTGCTTTGTTTTTGGTTATTGAATTGCTTATATCTCTTAAACAAAGCACTTTAGTGATAAGAACGTAGGAACATTTTTTGTCAAAAATTAAATTTCCTACAACTTTTTTATTTGAACTTTTTCGGTAAACCCAGTCATTCGCTCGATTTTCTCAAAAATATGTGAGAAAAAGTGAAAAACTTTTGGAGCTACTACAATCAACGAAAATAAATCAAAAACAAAATTGATGCAGGGCCTTTCAAAAACCGTGAATACTATGCAGGAAATTATGGTGATAAAAATTATAATTCAAAACCCAGCCAAAATATAGAAATTTAAAGTAAAAATGATTAAAAATACATGTTTTTTATATGGAAAAACTACAAAATTAAAAAGGAAGTACTTAGAATAAAAGTTAAGGGCTCAAATTTTCAGGGAATTTTGTTTTCAACCTAAAAAACAAAATTTTCATGTGTCAGCCAGAAAAAAAAATGTTCGTTTTAAATGAAACACCCTAATACACATACATACAAATTTGAACGGAAAGGGGGGTCAAGACTGTGACAAAATGTGACAGAGGGAAGGAGGTGTCTAAAATCACAAAAAAATGCCTGACATAATTTATAGACAGCTTCTTTTTAGGTTAGGTTTAAGTGAATTAAATGTCATTTAATTAATTTCAGCTTCGCCATACAATAATAATAACTTTATCGTACGGCAATGTATAATAATTATACTCTTGAATATAAAGTCTTTCTAATTAATTTTACATATTTTGCTATTCTCCTATAAAAATATAAATTTATGTTTGCACAGGGTGTTCCGAAAATAACCCATAATCGCCATACCATACCATACACATAATTAGAGTTTTATTAAATTGAATTTTATTATTATTTTACTATTGTTTTACCCCTCTTCATTTATATAATAAGGATAGAAAACAATAATTTTTTTGTAAAAATGTCAGCTTCACGAACAAAAAATCCATCTGTTTGATTTAAACCTTTCCCAGGACGATATGTAAATTTTCGACCTCAATTTTTGCCATAAAAACGAATTTTTTAAGTTATTAAAATCGCTAGCGTCAAAATACTTATCCGATATCAAAAGTATGTAAAATAAAGATTTAGAGGGCTCAAATACCTTCAATTTAAGGGCTTGTTTGACCAAATCAATCAATTAGATTTCACAATTGAAAATTCCATAATTTTTTTTGTTGTGATTTTCGTGTTTAGTGCGTCAAAATACATGGAAAAATTATAATGGGATATGGTGGGCAGAATTTTTTTTTGATTTTGTAAACTAGTGTAAATGATCCACTCTAAAAAATAGATACGATTACACATACTTCTTTCTACAGATAATAGACCTCTTCGCCGAAGATACCTCGGTTCAAGGCCAAGGCACGCCAACTTTCACACCACCCGAAATAGCCAACGGCTTAGAAACGTTTCCGGGTTTCAAAGTCGACATATGGAGCTCAGGAGTTACGCTGTAAGTTGTCATAATTTTCTGAAAAAAATGATATATTATGCAATTTTAGTTACAATGTAGTTACGGGCACTTATCCATTCGAAGGCGACAGTATATTTAGGCTTTTCGAAAATATAGGCAAAGGCGTATTTCAAATTCCCGAAGATATAGAAGACCCACTGCGAAATTTACTGTTGGGCATGATGGAAAAGGACCCGTACGACAGATTAACCTTGCAACAGATAAGACAGCACCAGTAAGTATTAAGTCGAGATGGGTGGTGCCACCGAGTGAGTATTCGATGAACCAATACTTTTTCCTAGGTGGTTTACGCGAAAACCGGCCAAACATGGCAACGTGGTGCCTCTACCGGCTCTTAAAGGAGACCAATGGCACAACATGACCACGATTCCGTATTTAATCGATCATTATTATGATTTGCCAAACGATGATTACCCTGATGAGCACTTTTATACAGAGCATCAATTAAATGGTAAGAGAAGAACATTTTTTTTATACGTTGGGTTTTGTATTTAGAATAACTAAATTTTATTTATGTGTAATTAGATACGGGGTCGGTCAAGATTTATGCTAACCCAACTACTACTTAGATTTTAGGTATGATGTTTGTCAATGAGTTTGATGAAAAATTGATTAACCAAATCGGCGGTTTTTTGTCACTAACAATATATTGCGGAATTGTGAATTTTGTATATTTTCTTACGCTAATGTGCACATAGAAGTAGACTCTTGCCTCAAAATAATTGTTCAACAGAACGGCACAAAATTAGGGATTTGGGTATTGTTACTAGGGATGGGAAAAATCTGAAGAGAAAACTATCGATATACCTCGTTAATTTCCCCCACCCCTACTCTAAGGCAAGAAATTTACACTTACAATTTTAAACAAAGAAAATGCGCTTATTTGTTTACATCTGCAAAAATTTATAATCTTGTCTTAAAAATACCAAACGTTCTACTAGTTTGGGGCTCAGTCGAGAACGCTTTTCATTGATCAATAGTTAACGGTAACGCCAAAATTATCGATAGTTTTCCCATCCAAATAAAATATAAAATATACAATGTATATTATACATAATAAAAAGAAGACATAGTAAAAAAACCTCCCTGCGGAAGATCTGCATGGTACAAGTAGTGACATTGCATCATCCTGTCCCCTGTGAGGAATTAATAAATCATAAAAATTCTGTATTTCAGAAAAAATGTCCACCCCTAGTTGTTACTGGTAAAATATGTGTGGTACAAAAATAAAACAGATTGACAAAATTTTAAAACAAAAACGATACTTTTCAAAGGCATTTTGGTCCGACCCATAGAGAACAAAGAAAAGAGTAGTCAAATGCATTGTAATACGTGTAGTATTTAAAACGCCGCCATACATAACTGAGTAAACTAACCTTAGAATTGAGGAGGTTCATTCCAAAACTCGGTGATTTTGAGCAAAATATCAAGTAGTTTGGATAACAATAATAGGGTGAAATATTGAAATTAATGACGAAATATAAAGAAAGTTTTACCTGAAATTCTCCCACTGTTTGTTTCTTCACTGGATTTTGCTGTTAACTTGTTGACAGCTCAAAGGCCAGAACTATGCTAAATAAAATAAATAAAAGAAAGTTTAAATAAAAACATATAATGTGAAGAATAAAACATTAAAAAAAACAGTAAAGAAAAAACAAAAACAAACAAAAAAATTGATGTTTTTTTTTCATGTTACATCTCTACCTTTGACAATACCAGCAAATAAGGGTTTAGTTGATGAAATGTATTTTTAATACGACAGACAGATGAAGCAGTAGGGTGGAGTGAATTTTTTTTATTTATTAATTGATTTTTCCTATATTATTAATTGTTGACTAAAGACGTAAAATAAATAAATATCGAAAAAATATTCAAATTTTTTAATATCTTGAGGTGACGCATCAGTCTCGAAGTTTTGAAAATTCTAAAAAAATATTACTTCAATCAAAGTTATAAATAAAAGGTTTATTTTAGTAAAATTAACGTGAAACGTAAACATATTTAATAGTAAATCATATGCTTTAAGTAACTTTAGGAGTGTTTATTGGTAGAAATGAGATCTTCTTTTTCGCGAAAATACTGACATTTGGTATCAAAATTTGGTAATTATTTTCTGACTTTAATTCTGCTTCCGATCCACAAACCGAGACTGAAGATTTAGTATACTGGTTATAACCAGTTTTACACAGCGTTCCACTGCTTGGGTGTGACACGGAAATTTTTTGGAAGTATAGGAAATGGTCACCCGAAGAAATCATATCGGTAATTTTTGTCATCGTATTTCATAGTCGTAGGTGGTTCAGTTACCTTTTCTGTCGCCCAGTGAATTAACTCGTAAAAATGTAATGCTTCAGTATTTAGTCGTGGAAGCTTTAATTCCCGTAATCTCGAACATTTTGATTCTTTTAATTTAAATTCCTTTAATATTTTCGGCAATGCTAGTTCTCTAATCGATATATATATATATATATATATATATATATATATATATATATATATATATATATATATATATATATATATATATATATATATATATATATATATATATATATATATCTTGTAGGTAACATAGCAAGTAATAGGTTTTCGGGATAAATATTAGCTATAGCTAACAAAGATCCAGGAAAGCTAGCACATTCATGGCTGACGTGGGCTAATAGGATTATTCGTTTATATGTGGGGACAGCAAATCCATCGGAAAACCTAAAAGAATTGGCTACTTTTATCATGAAAGTGTATGCCCCAACGTGGTTTTACATCAACACCAAGAATACGTGCAAACATTGTCCTATTAACATATTTAATATGACTAAAAGAGCATTACACCTCCAGAAAAACTTGAAGGCCTTATAACTATAGTTATAAAGAATATTCAGCGAAATATTTATCCCGAAAACCTATTACTTGCTATGTTACCTACAATATATCTATCGATCAGAGAACTAGCATTGCCGAAAATATAAAAGTCGAGAAAAGAATCAAAATGTTCGAGATTACGGGAATTAATCCACAACTAAATACTGACGCATTACGTTTGTACGAGTTAATTCACTGGGTGACAGAAAAGGTGACGATGACAGAAATTACCGATATGATTTCTTCGGGTGACCATTTCCTATACTTCCAAAAATTTTCGTGTCACACCCAAGCAATGGAACGCTGTGTAAAACTGGTTATAACCAATCTTCAATCTCGGATTGTGGATCGGAAGCAAGAGATGGTTTCATCAGAACAAGAATTAAAGTCAGAAAATAATTACCAAATTTTGATACCATGGTATTTGCAAATGTCAGTATTTTCGCGAAAAAGAAGATCTCATTTCTACCAATAAACACTCCTGAAGTTACTTAAAGCATATGATTTACTATTAAATATGTTTACGTTTCACGTTAATTTTACTAAAATAAACTTTTTATTTATAAATAATGCTATTTTTATTACTTTGATTGAAGTAATATTTTTTTAGAATTTTCAAAACTTCGAGACAGATGCGCCACCTCAAGATATTAAAAAATTGGAATATTTTTTCGATATTTGTTCATTTTACGCCTTTAGTCAACAATTAATAATATAGGAAAAATCAATTAATAAATAAAAAAAAATTCACTCCATCCTATGAAGCAGACTTCATATTAAATTTGTTAAGGGTGAAATTTAGTTTGTTTGCTCTTCTATTAAATATATCACCTATATTTGTACTTTACCAAAAAATGATTTTAATATGTTCCTAGTATTTTGACTGTCGAATAGACGTCAGGAACATGCGCAATACCAAAATCGCATGCGCAATACGAAATATGGTCCTGATTTTACTATTGCGCATGTCACTGACGTCCATTAAACAGTCCAAACGTTTGGGTTAAGCTTTACTATAGTTGGCAACCCTGCAGGGCTCAAAGACAAAATTTCTCGCTCCAAAAAAACCTTAATCCCTAATGTTGTGCTGTGTTTAGAAATTATTAACAAAAAACTAAAAAAATTATTAACAAAAACTTAGAAGTAGCTACAATAATTGTGTATTTAAGGTCTTTTTAGTCACATTAAAACTGCTTCTTTTTTCTATTTTAGAAGAAAGAAAGAAGTATCAAAAAGACCATAGCAATGGTACCAGTCAGCAGAGCAATAGTTCAAAGCGAAGATGGAAAAAGCCAATTTCCTGCATGACAGTGAGAAACTTTCCAGGCTGTAAACAGTCGTGACATAACCTGTACATACTTGTTAAATATTTTTGATAATTGAGTCATTAACTTTGTTGAAACGTGTGGTACCCATTTACTTTGTTATAATTATCAGAAAAATGTTAAATGTGATGATTTTTCAATTTTACAGAAAAAAATGTTTATTAAAATGCTGAGAGTGCCATATTGTAAAATAATTTAAATAATATTAAAATAAAAAAAAATTATTATAAATTATATTAGCTTTTTATTGAACCCTCTATTTTTTTACAGGAATAACAATAATTATTATTTTCTGATACTTTGTAATGTTTCAATATGCTGTCATATTTTTCCTGCCTTGATTTTTCCTTGGAGTTATCCGGTTTTTGGGTGGAAACCCAATGGGAAAAGCTTGTTGATTCTGCAGATGACAATTCCTCATTACTGTTTAAAATTGGACCCTTAAAATATTCAAGACAAACATCTACTGTAAGACCTAGTGATTTCAAAAAGCCTTGATGTCAATTGAGATACTTGGCAGAAAGATTGTCTTAATTAAAATTACTTACCATACAAAGTTGGCATTTTTGTTTGCCATTATCATTTATAGCCAATTTATCCCCAGTTTTCATAATAGTGGTTACAGTGGCTGGGTAATTAACTTGTAAATCATTTACAAACTTCTTCATTAGGTCTTGTACAGAACTATAAGGATTTATTTCTGTTTGTTTTATAGAAATTGGGTCTAAACTATTAAGTTTATTGTAAAATGCTAGCTCTTTCATGTCAAATAGTCTGAGTGGTCTTAGTATTTTAACATCTTGGTTTCTGTCATCACAAAAACCCTAAAAAAGTGAAATTTAGTGTTTTAATACACCCTGTATGTAAATTAAAACTTACTGTATCAATTGGGACATGAGACCCCCTTCCCAATGATATTTCTCCCAATAACTGAGAAGCTATATCACTAGATATTTCAGGGGTTAATATAAACTTACAGTTTAAGTTTTTAGCAATTTCAATTAATAAATTACGTCTAAAAATAGAATAAAAAGTATTGGAAACATTTTAACTAGTTAAACTTACTTTTTTATGTGCAGAATATCATTTTTGTTGGTTTTATTAAGTTTGCTCACAAAAATATTGTTTATATTTATTTTATCATCTTCATTTAACGTTAAATTATCAGGATTGTCGACTATGTCACCTAATTTATTATTATTTACAATATAATCATTAAAAGAAACAAATTTTATGACAAACTTGAATAATTTTATTTCATTTTCAATCTTCTTTAAAACTTCTTTTCTATAATCAACTGTAAACTGACTATTATCTAAAACAAGTAGTAAGTAAAATGGTGTTTTTATTTTAAATTACAGTTTGTATAGATTGTAACATTACCAATACAATCAAGTCCATAAATCACCCCAATTAAAATATACTGTTGCTTTAAAATCAGACATCTAAACAATAATATAATAATAATGATTTAATTTATTGTTATTATGTTATGATTTAGATGTCTAATTTTAAAGCAAGGGTATAATTTAAAGGAAAAATAAAATATTAAATTGTAAAATATGTGATAGGCGCTTTTGTAATAATTGGGATGAAATGTTTATTTATCAAATTATTATAATGTAATTAAAGGTATAATAAAAATATTAAAACGTATTTTACCTTCAACGTAAACAAAAATAACATCAAATCTCAGCTTCTTATGTGTTGTTAAATCCAACCCACACCTTAAAAAATGCAATAACGCGGTGCTAGGATGCCCGATTTGATGGTGTATCAAAACTTTATCATTAGGCCTGATAAGTTTGTGTTTTCCAAGCAGAGCTTTAAACTTATGTGTAGCCCCGGCCAAAAAACATGCCTCACAATATGCATCTTTGCTACGAAGCACCACTATGGGATCGTTTTCCCTGCATTTATTACACTTTGTGTTGGCAAGAGTTATTTTTCCTCCGGCTGGCATGCATTTTTCTTCTTCGGTTTCAAAGTTTTCATCGCCGACACTGCACATTTTTGATGTTTTGAAGGCACGTTGTTTTTGAGGTTATACGTTAAAGTGACGTTTGTGCGACATTTATCGGTGGCTTTGTGAAGTAAAAAGTGTTGTTCTTGGGTAAATTAAACGCCGAAAAACGCTTTTTTGCGAGATTTGAAAGGGAACAAAACGGAAACGTATAGAAAATATAAAATACTATATATATTTAAATTCATATCAATAAATTTACAATAATTAGCTATAATTTAAAACAACTTAAATCAAGAATATCCTGCGCATTAGATACAAGGTTAGTTCCAGCAAATCCTATCTGTAGTACGGCTGGTTGTTCGTCCATTGAGGTGGAGCGGCGGTATAGTCGTATTGTGCGGTGGGCCGGGCCGAGGGCGCCGGGGCTGGAGAGGCGTATTGAGGAGGGGCGGGCGCCGCGGCGCCTGTATACGCAGGGTAGGTCTGAGCGGGGCTGTAGGCGGGAGGGGCGGTGTAGTATTGCGGCTGTTGGGGAGGGGGTATGTGCATGGGGGGGAGGGATTGCGTGTAGCTGGCTGCTTGAGGGTATTGGCTGAAATAAAATATTTTATGTTATAAACAGAGTTGCAAAAATGTTAATGTAAAAAATAATTAAATCGTCATTTTTTTTAATGCTAATATAGTTTGAATACCTACTTTATTCATTAAAAAAAATTTGTAATAAGATTTATTTTCATTACACATTAAAAAAATAATAAGTAATGTCAAACAATACATTACAAATTAAAAAAAAATGTGTGACAAAAGACATTACCCATTACCTACAGCAGCGAAAAATGATCAGGGGAAGGGTTGATGGGGTGATTTTTTATACGGGGCATTTTACAAGTCTGACAGTTTGAAAAATGTTGATTTTCGATTTCTTTTATTTTTAACACGTTAAACGCCACGCGTTATTGGTGATTTTGTTTATTGGGCCAAGTTGATATTTTACTTGTATCATTTTAAAAAATAAAATCGTCAAAATACAGATTAAAAAATAAATAATTAAAAAACTCTTGTATCTTCGTCAGCCGTCAGGCCCAAGCGGTCCTATGCATGCTTTAAAATACCTTATACGAGCGGTCCGCTGGCCAGAAAATCATGTTAAACTGTTAAACAAAAAATTGACAGGCGGTCCCTAGGGACCGCCGTGGCCTGGATGGAAAAACTATTAGCGGTCCCCTGGGACCGCCGTGGCCGTTAACGTGTTAAGTACCCATTAAAACTCCCTTTCCGGTAAGGGTTGATATTTTTTTGATTACTCGTTCAAAGGATATAGGTACAAACAAAACGCGTTTTTTGTTTTTTTGCTTCTAATTTCTTTAATAATGGTGCGAATTAAAATTTTTATTTCTTAAAATTTTCGTGTATCAAAATTATCCAAAGCATATTTGAATGCAAATTTTGAGTTTGATTTTCTTGTAATTTTTATATGTTAAACTTCTACCCACTCAAGAATTTTTAAGCCGAGGTTGATAGTGGGATTATGCAGCCATTCCACGCTACTCGGGAACTTTTGTAGCGTCCGTTACAATCAAAAATTGTGAGTAAAAGCTACCATAATTAAATTAAATACTATTACAATAGTTACTATTGCAAACATGTTTATTATGCTTGTAATAATTAGGCTTAAGCTTATAAGCATAATAATTACAGTGGTTTTACTTACAATTTTCGATTGTAACGGACGCTACAAAAATTTCCGAGTAACGTGGAATAGCTGTATGATAATTAGGTGAGAAGGCGACCTAAACTCATAAAAGTATTGAATCCGCGATGGTATGAACGAATAATTAATTTTGAACATCTATTACTGGTAAAAAACCAATTCAAAACAAAAATTGAAAAATGTGTCATGCAATAAAAATATCTTCCTTGCCCACTAAAAAGAAGTAACTCGATAATCATTCATTTCTCATTAAAAATAAAAAATGAGTAATGTAAAGTGAGTACATTACTCATGAACATAAAAAAATTTAATTGAAAATTTCAAAATACTCATTACAAATTAAAAATGAGTAATTTAAAAAAGAATACATTACTTATTGGAAAAAATGTAATGAGTAATTAATTAATTAATTAGTAGTGCATAATGAAAATTAAACACATTACTCATATTTTAATAATGTGTATTGAAACCTTAATGCTTTAAAAAAAAATAATGCATTATTTGCAATTCTGATTATAATTAATATTATATAAATATTGATGTTCGATTTAGATGAAGAAAACAGTCACTCCCCAACAGAACCCAATGATGGAATCCAAATTCATGTCAACAACAATTAAATTTATTTATTCAAACATCAACAGCTACATTACAAAAAAACATTTAATTAACCACTATATTGAACAAAATAATATTCAATGCAGCATGTTTGTAGAGACAAAAACAAACGAAGATCGTTCCATGCAATATAGGGATTGGACAACCATATATAAACATGGCAACATACTCAACAATAATACAAGAGGGGGTGCTTTGGTTCAAGGTGATCGCAGGCTTAAAATAGGTAAATCAAATCCTCCACACTTTAACAACCCCTACAATGATGTGTTACATTTTACTATTCCTTACAAAACCGACAAAATACACTTTTTTTTGGTTTACATGCACCATAGTAATAGATTAATAGAGGAAAATTTATTTACGAAAGCATCACAGTACAAATATGCAATCATCATAGGGGATTTTAATGTTACAAATAAAAGAAAAAAACAAATACAAAACTTTTTAAACAATTCAGATTTCACCCAAATCCACACCCCTCCTACTTTTATAATGCCCAATAATAGTGACACTACTCCAGACATTTTGCTCTGTACAAAAAACATCATTAACAATATCACAGAAGTAGAACTAATACCTGATTTAGGATCCGATCATCTTGCCATTCAATTTAACTTTGATATAGGAAAAAATCCACAAACCATTCCAGAAAACATCAAATATAATTTTAAAAAAAGTAATATAGAAGCTATAAATAATGAAATCATCCAGACAATGAACCTACATGAGAATATTTCTCCTCAAACAATTGACTCCTTTCTAAAAAATATCACCAAAATTACTCTAAAACATACTCCTATTTTAAAAACAAGCTTCTTTGCACATACATTACCACCATTCATCATAAAACTAATTAAAATAAAGAAACAACTATATAGAGAGATAAAAATTAATTACGACCCTATACTTAAAAGAAAATACAACGAATTAAATAAGGATATACATACATTAATTCTACAATATAGGGCAGATAAATATCTAGAAGCATGCCAAAATATCAATGTAGCAAAGGGTCGGTCATACTGGGGTGAAATAAAGAAACTCTCTCGATATAAAAAATATAACCACATTCACTATATAAAAGAAGACAATAAAATCTTACAAACAGAGCAAGAAATTGCTGAGGCCTTTGCAAGACAATTTGAAAAAAATTTTAAGTTTACGGAAAATGTAAGTTTTGATGGAAATTATAAAAATAATACACATAACTGGGTAAGAGATAACTTTACTCAAAGAAACTTAAATGAAAATATAGAAAATGTAACTGAAGACGAATATTTCGAGAGTTTGAACGGGAAGAATACGGCACCAGGGCATGATCAAATTCCTAGATTGGTTTTAAAGCAATTTGACCAGGAAATCCATGACCAAATAATAAGAATTTATAACTTCTGTCTGCATAATAGTTATTTTCCGGAAGAATGGAAGAAAGGAAGAATAATTACCATTCCTAAAGCGAACTTGGATCACACTGTCCCAGGCAACTACCGGCCCATCACCTTATTGCCAGTTGTCGGAAAAACTTTTGAAAAAATAATCAAAAATAGATTAGAACAGGCCATTGGACATAAAATCCCAATATACCAATTTGGATTCAAGAGACGAACTTCCACTACTCACCCACTAATTGTCTTAACATCAAATGTACAACAGAAGAGTATAGAGGGAAATAAATCAACTGCGCTGTTTATGGATATTTGTAAAGCCTTCGATTCCGTATGGCACGATGGGTTGCTGAAAAAATTGGTGAAATTGGAAAGCCCGAATTATTTGGTATGGATAATAAAAGAATTCCTCACACAAAGGAAAATACAAGTAAAAATTGGCAATACACTATCCCCCACCTTTTCACCAGAACAAGGAGTGCCACAAGGCTCACCATTATCACCGTTCTTGTATAATTTATTTTGTTATGACATGTACAATTTGGACCACTTAAACATAAACAGACAGAGCTATATTCTCCAATATGCTGACGACACAGTTTTGATAACGCATGGAAAAACGACATCAGAAGCAAGTGTGAAACTACAAGAACTAACCAATCAGGTATCGTCATGGATGTCTAAATGGAGAATCCTACCAAGTCCGTCAAAATCACGCCTACTACTGTTCCATCACAAAATAAAAGAAAATTCGCCCACAATAAATATTATGCAAAGTACAGTGGAACCATCAACATCATGTCGTTACCTGGGAATTTTGATAGACACTAAGTTAAACTTCAAACAACACACAAGCCACACCAAGACATGTATTATAAACAGGGCCAAGCACTTTAGAAGCTTAACTTATAAAGACCAGGGAATAAATATTGCTGTGGCAACCAACATTTATAAACTTATCTGTCGCCCAGTGCTGGAATATGGATCTGTTCTTTTTATAAATTGCAGAAAACCCACCCTAACAAACATAGAGATAGGCGAGCGCACAAGCATAAGGAAAATTACAAAAATCAGACATCCTCAAAATTCCTTATTCAACCCATCCAATGAAGCCCTTTACCATATCACTGGAATACAACCCATACAAGAACGATTGGAATACCTAGCGAAAAAATTTGCCAACAAACCCGAAAACCTTAATGTGATGGAACCTTTGATTCTTAAAACACAACTCGAGACAACACCAAGGAGAAAATACCCAGAGAAATCGTTGTATGACTCACTCAGGGAATTGACAGAAGATTAATGAAGATATTAACAATATATTTAATTATAACATTTTTTTTTTTTTTTGTAAAGTACAGAACATAAATTAAAATATAGTATTTGTTATATACAAAATTGTAATTGGGCAGGAAGACGAAAGTCGTTAGCCTTTTGGATTTCCAATAAAGTTTATTATTATTATTATTATTATTATTATATAAATATTTTATAAAATTAGGAAAAACAAAATAATTAATAATTAATACACGTTTTGCTTTTTAATAGCGGCATTTAAAAGTGGGTTCTCGTATGGATCGCTTAGCAGGTTAAGATTGCGTTCTTTGAGTGAAAGCCTATCACCAAAATTCTTTGATGGCTGCGCGGAGATTTTTTTGCTCATCATGGCATTAATTGTGCATCATCAGTAAAATAAATTAAGAATTGGGTGAAGAAATTTGAGGAGACAGGTAACAACGCCGAAAAAGCCTCTTGCACAGTTTTCTGATGGTCTGTGTTTTTCGGCGTTGCTTTTTTAAATGCCGCACAGTCTCATTTTGAGTCATTACAAATTAAAAAAATTTTTTTTTAAGAAAATGATAATGATAATAATGAGAAAAATATAAAAAATCAAAAAGTACGTTTGATTAACTATAGTCAATGTGTATTTTTTTAACATTAGTAATGTTGTTTGAAATAATTTAAAATATTCATTTTAAATATAATCACGGGCATGAACATTGATAACATGTGTTTTCCAGTAAACTTATATTTTTAAGTCAGTTCTACATACATATAATTTAATGTAATAATGAACTTTTTTGTAACCCCCTGAGACCCAAATCCAAATGATAAAATAATTTTTTAGTTAACTGACCGTCTGTGGGCTAGCGCAGTCGCAAAAGTCTATAGAATACCGAGACCAGTATGAAAATGTAATAAAATTTAATCTTCTTCCATGTCTAATAAAAAATAACTATTTTTTTAGCGCTATTTTTTTTATTAGACATGGAAATCTTTTTGATTTGATTTGGGCCCATAATACCTAGTAACTTTGTTTTGGCTAACTGAATCCCCAAATATATTTTAAATGTGTTTTTTTGTTAAAATTGTATATTTGTAATAAAAAAGTAAGTATGATCTTAATTTTATTAATAAGTTTAATTTTGACTCACCTATAATATGCATGTGTAGTAGGTGTGGGATCATGCACAGGGGGCGCTGAATCCTGTATTGGAACAGTTATCAAATTAGTCCTGACCCCCCCAGTCTGTATGGCACCCTGCCTCTGCCGAACACCACCTGCTACTAAATTAGCTCTTGGATCGTTAACCCTGGCCTTGGACCCCCCTTTCTGGTTCCACAATCTCCATCGGCTGCTGCAAACTTGAGACATGCCTATGGTTTATGTGAGCCTGTAGATCTCGCTGTGATAAATAGGTTCTTCGACAGCCAGTAGAACCATATCTTGTACCTTCGTGTGTACACATAAAAACAGTGCCTAGGCCTGTTTGTTCAACTCTGGACACTTTATCCAAGCATCTGGGGCATTGTTTTTGCTCTTTTTTACCACATGCGAGGCAAAAAACGTGTTTACAGGGTATCTAAAATATAAATATACCTAGTGACTTTCACATATTTGATTAAATAGGATTTTTTTATTTGTTTAATACTTTAGTTTTAGTTTTTAATTCATAATTTATATGGTTTATATACTATAAGGTGTAAAAATACCAATTGGATAAGTACACAAAAAAATATATCATTAAAAAAAATTAATAGGCCATTACCATTCTTCCATAGATCAAAATAGGCTTCAAACACTTGTCACAACAGTGGATCAAGGGGTTCAAGACTTTTTCACCAATCAAATTAACTTTATGTGACCAATCAAGCCTCACCATTGGCTCAGGGGGCCCCCTATTAATTGTAGTAAAAGTAGGCGCTTCCAGCTGCGATATATCCGCCTCCAAATCAACTAAAAACAAAACCATTAACACTTTATCACACGTCAACTACAATATTTACTTTTAGGGACGGTATTTTCGTCGGGTTCCGCATCTTGCATCTGATTTTCCTCTACGGGTTCTTGTGGCTGAGTTGTTTCAATTTCTTCGTCGCTTTCGATCACTTTTATCGCTTTTTTGCCTCTGCCGCGACCCCTTCCACGCCCCCGACCCCTTCCTCTGCCCCCACGGCCTCTACCACGGCCCCTTTTAGGTGGATCTTCCATTTTATAATGGGACGCTTCGTTTATACGCGAAAAGTTAGGTTAGGTTTCTAGTTGACGTTTAAGCAATGTTGCCAATAGAGAAAGAATAAAACAAATGGCGCTGATTAATTGTTTTGGGGATTTTATTGCTATTTGAGGTATAAGTTGGTAGTATAACGGTCAGTGAGTTTGATTTAAAAAATAACGGGCAGTTTTTATTTAAATCCCTGATTTAAATGCTGCGTTTAATAACAAACAAGATGTATTAAAGGTGATGTAACTTTGTAATGTTTCTGTGATATTTTGTGTTCATTTCATTCATTAAATTATCATCATTTATCGCCATGGATTTTAAAATGAAAAGTGACAAAAATAAAACGCCAAAATCGAAAATAATCGGTAAAGTTTTGAATGCCAACAGCCCTTTTAGTTCATTTCCTAGTTTTTCCACACCCCCATCAAGATTCGTAAAGATTTTCAACCCTTTTAGTCAGCATTTAGTGGAAAGATTGCATTTGCCAACTCTAAGGTAAAATCGATTCTATTCTAAAAATCGTTGTATAAAAAAGTGTATTTTAGTGGTAGCCCCTCAGTATTCAACCCCATAGAAAAAGAGCAGGATAAGTTTAAATGGAGTATAGATAATATATCTAAATTTCAACCGGCTGATATAGATGAAACTACCATTGATCAGCATGTATTTGATGATGATTCTCACTTGGAATCAATAGTTCAAGACAAAATAGACAAATTTTTCAGCGAAAAAGTTATAATTCCTAGTCCTATGACCAACGAAGTTAAATCCAGAGCTTTAGTTTGCAGTCATAGCCCCATGAGACGTCCAATAAAGCAGTCTGTTACTTGTAAGTATATTTTCAAATTATCCAGGTAAAAATTAACACATTTGTACAAAATTTAAAAAAAAAGAGAAATTTATGGTAATAAAAAATACTGTATTTTTGTTTTGAGTCCACATTTATTTTACATGGACAATTAAAATACATTGTTCATGGTATTTTTATAGGTTCCACTCAAACAACATTAACTCTACCTCCCAAACTGCCTCCACATGTGGAGGAAGCTTTAAAACCATACTTCTGCTACTCAGAAGAGAAAGACAATGTGAACACTTCTTTACATCATCAATTATTTGAAATTGATACTCCATCGAAGAATATTGCTGATGTATCTAGAGTTTCATCTCCAGCCCTTTCTACAGGGTTAAGCCCCATACACTTACCAACACCATTTACAGATGAAAGGGACAATAGTTTGGTAATGCCTCCAGATTGTACATTGTCTCCGATTGGAAGAAAATCTCCAAAACACTCCAAATCAGCATGTAGATTAGATTTTTCCGAAAAAATGAGTGTTGATGCCTCTATGCTTGTACCTGATATTAGGAATACCAGTAATCTTTCTATTAAAGGTAAGAAAATTAATTCATTTTATTTAGATACACAGGTATTTATTATAACTACCTCAATGGTTTGGTCATTTAAGTCTATATTGGTAATGTAATGTTGATGCTGCTTGGCAAACTTTAGGTTACAAAATATTTAAAGGAGAAGTTTCTAGACTGGCTTTAATTTTGCACTACAGTTTATACAGGGTGTCTCAAAAGTAAAGGACAGCAGAAAAGGGGTGGATAGAGGATAACATTCTAAGTATCCAATCACAGGCATGGGACAACAAAACCTTTTGCTATTCCAAAGCTATGAACGTATCATATTGTAAAATGACCTTAATTTTATTAATATTAATAATAATTAATTTACTATACTTTACTTTTTTTAAATAAGTAAAAATAATTATTTTATTAATATTAAAAATTTTAACATTATTATTTAATTAATATTAAAAATGTCATTTTTGTAAATACACTGCCCGTCAAAATTAACGCATAATAAGTAAAAAATTCTAACTCTAAAACGCCTTTACCAATCTTTATAAAATTTTGGATAAAAATACTTTAACTTATTCTCAGTTTACATTTTCAAAGGTTTTTCGAAAAAATATCCTTAAAGCCCTTTTATTTAATATTAAAAAAAACGCTCGAAAAAAAACTATTATACGGATTTTTTAAGTAAATAAAAAATATGCTGGTAAAGACCGTATTTTTGTTAGTATACCCTGAAAATTTTGTACAAATCAAACGAACAGTAACGAAGATAAAGCGCTTCAAAGTCGATAAAAATGACCACTTTTCAGCAAAATAATTTTTTATTCAAAATTTAACACATTTGATTATGTTGGTACTTTATTTCAACATTCTTTGGAATTTTTTATAATTAAAACTAATACCTACTTTACTTTTTTTAAATAAGTAAAAATAATTATTTTATTAATATTAAAAATTTTAACATTATTATTTAATTAATATTAAAAATGTCATTTTTGTTAATACACTGCCCGTCAAAATTAACGCATAATAAGTAAAAAAACTCTAAAACGCCTTTACCAATCTTTATAAAATTTTGTATAAAAATACTTTAACTTATATCTCAGTTTACATTTTCAAGGGTTTTTCGAAAAAATATCCTTAAAGCCCTTTTATTTAATATTAAAAAAAACGCTTGAAAAAAACTTTTATACGGAATTTTTTTTAAGTAAATAAAAAATATGCTGTTAAAGACAGTAACGAAGATACAGTGCTTCAAAGTCGCTGGAAATGACCACTTTTCAACAAAATAATTTTTTATTCAAAATTTAACACATTTGATTATGTTGGTATACCAAGTATACTTTATTTCAACATTCTTTGGAATTTTTTATAATTAAAACTAATACTTGTCCTCAATGCCTTAATTTTAATTTGACATTAACATTTAATTGTTAGAATAAACAATGCCAAAAAAAACAAAAAATATAAACAAAATTAAAATTTAAAAACAAACCAGCATTTTGATGAAATAATTAATAATTTGTTCTACATAAATCCACTAAATTATTTTGAAAGTGTAAACAAATACAATTTGAATCCAAGATGTGTTTTGACAGTTTTTTGGTGTTTTGTATTGTTTTGAGTCGTTTTTTTTACAAAAACAATATTAAACGGTAAAAGTTTGATTTTAAAAAATACATGTTTTTCCATTGAAAACTTTGACTACAGTGGGGTCAAAGTGTTCTTTGAGGGGGGGGCAGGTTAAAATTAAGTTTAAGAGAAACTTGGCAGAAACTTTTTTGATTAATTTTGAACCGATTTGGAACCTGCGTGAAATAAAATAAAAAGAAATAAGGACCACCCTATTGTAAATTAAATACAGGCATAGATAAAACAATAATAAATATATTTACAGTATACTGCACCTAATTGTTGATTATTAATTCTTATTTAACCCACATTTTGCTAATTAATTTTTTTATTCAAGTAATTTGGGAACCGCTGTTTTTTTTAATTTCATTTGAATATACAACTTTTCTCTGATATAACCCATGCATAGAGGGATACAAACTTGGTATAAGTCTATTTAAAAAAATAAAGTTTTGTGGGAGAAATGGGTTCCATACTACCCTCATAAGACTTAAGAAATAAGAATTATAATTAATATGTTTTTCTCTTAGAACCCAATTGCTCAATAATCCACGACAACACCGTTAATTCTTCTCTAAACTGGGACATGGAATACAAACAATTATCTCTATCTCCCACGACTCATAATTCAACGGATAAAATGGACATCTCAAACACCACCACACCTCATTCGAAACAATTTCCTAGTCAGAGAAAAAGACTTTCCGAGAGCTTCAAAGACGAGGAATACGAAGAAGACCTCCTTCAATTGAAAGAAGATAGGAAAATTAAAAAGCAGTCTGTCAGAGACGAACTTGCCGAAACTGGTTACATGACGGGTAGTATACAGCTGGAGGATTTGACCTGGGATCCCCATGTTTTTGCTTCGACGCCGAGCAAGACGAAAAGTATTGTTTTTTAGAAAAATTGTATAAATATTATATACAAGGTGTCTGGAAATGTGCAAAAAACTCGATTCTTCAACGCAAGAAAAAAGTTTTTTGTTTATCATGATCATGATGTGACAAGGTATATTTTTTGAACAAAAAATAATTTTAGTTAAAATAATTACAAGACTGGGTATTTTAAGCGACTTAAACTTAATTTATAAATTGTCAAAATTTTAATATATTTAAAAAAAATTTTTTATTTAGGGTGATTATTTACTTACAACCAGAATTAAACGAAATAGACTTTGTTTTGGTTTGTGATGAAGTTGTCAAAAAGTGCAATTTTATTAAAATATTACATTATTTTAAAATAGTTTTTTATTAACCATCTATAACTTTAAAATTCGTGAAAAATTAAGACCTTTTAGCATTTTAAAATAGGCTCCCAAAAAAGCAACAAAATTAGTTTGTATAGAAAAAAGGATACCAAAATAAACAAATGCAAAAAGCAAGAAGACTACACAAAGGAGTACCCAACTTGATCACAAGGCATACAATGTTACGCCAAATAGCGTGCGCAAACAGTATCACTCACCACCACTATTCAATAGTATTTAATTTAATTATGGTAGCTTTTACTCACAATTTTATGACAGCAAAAATTGCAGAGTAACGTGGAATTGCTCAATTGTAACTAGAATCTACGCCAATTATTTGTATAATTGTTTAACGGTTATTTCGTCTATTTTTAAAATAATACAATATATGTATTTTTTGTGTATACCTAACTAGGGTTTCAAAATTTCCGGAAAAATGAGGCGGCAGAAACAAGCGGTTTTTTTTTAGAAAAAAAAACCGGAAAAATTGGGTAATTTTCAGAAAAACTCACTTTTGCATTTTTTTCATTTTTGTAAAAAGATAATACGAAAAAAATACAAAAACATTCTTTTTTAAATTTACAAATTTTTAAGTATTCAAAGGATACTATCCATACACTGATATCGAGAAAAAAGTGAATTTCGGACGCTGATTATAATCATATACAGAGCTGCAACAAGTCAGTTTTAAAAAGACTTAAATCTTAAGTCAATTCTAAGATAAAGTTCAAATGATTTAAGTTTTAAGTCTTTGAATTAAATCAATTTTTTTCAAGTCAAGTCATTTTCGCAAATTCTTAAATCAATATAAAGTGATTTAAGTCATCTTATGACTTTAGTAAGTCGTTTTTATGACTCTATATTTTTTATTTAAATCGAGATCTAAGAGTTAAGTCAATAAAATGACTTGAATCAAAAATTGTGATTTAAATAAAAATAATTACCCTTAAGTCAATACAACGATTTTTTTAAATGTTAATAATAATTTTATGGTACACGGAGAAAAAAGTTTATTGCTCCCAAATAAAAAAAATATTTAAATATGGGACAAGGGTACAGTTTATTTATCCTAAATATATTTTTATTCCCGACATATAAAGTTTTACTAAAGTATATTTATCGTTATTATTTCGACTATTTAGAGGTAATAAACAATATATTCACTACAAATAAAAGTATTAGGTAAACAGTTTATTTGTCCCATTTTTTTCTCAGTGTATTAATGATAATGATATTATTAATCTATTGTAGATACAGATGATACTAAACCACTATGTTAAGAATTTAAAACGATTTATTTTCAGAACACTTACAAATTAAAAACTTAAAACACATTTTTTGAGTAGACAATCAAAATAAAAACTTAAACCACCTTTTTTAGTAGAGTACATACAGGGAGGCTACTTTTTTATATACATAAATGGGTAACTTCTAAACGCATAACACGACGAATGTTGGCAAACAAAATAACAAAATTATAAATACCTACGCATTTTTTTTCATTTATTTTAGACAGGACATTTTTTAATGTAGCCGTCAAACGGTTCCGAAAAGCTAACTTTACCGCGGCGGTTTTTTTATTTACTAACGGTAGCAATTATAGGTAGGAAATTAAAGGAGTTTTTGATCTGCTGCCGCGTGAACCCCTGGCAGTTCAAAAGAAAATGCCGCTGTTAAAAATTTCTAAAAAATATATATGAAAAATCTGACTTAAATATTTTCTAAAAAGACTTAAATCTTTTTAAATTACTTAAATAATTTACCGACTTTTATAAAAACTTAAATCTTTTTTTGACTTAAATCGTTTCTATATGACTTAAATCGTATGTACTGATTTAAGCCTTTTATTAATGACTTAAGTTTTTTCTATTTTGAAAAAAATATTTAAGTCACAAATCATTTTGAAAATTACTTAAATTTTAAGTCTTAAGTCAGTTTTAGAGAAATGACTTATTACCAAATGACTTAAATCATTAAAACGATTTAAATAAAAAAAACGATTTAAGTTTTCTGAGAGCTTGCAGCTCTGATCATATATTATGATTACAATAATTAATCCTTTTATTTGAATTAAAAATGAATATTCTTTCGGATCACAAAACATATTTTGTGCTATATTAACATAACTATCGTTTTACTTTTCCCAAAAAAAAATTTTTCCCTAATTTTTTCGTTTTTTTTTCGACACTTTAAAACCCTATGTATAACCTTAAGTTCTTAATTTATAACGCAAAAAATATATAAAATATATAATATGTATGTATATTGAAAAAATATATATATTATACATTGTATATTCGAAAATAGAACAAAATTGGCGTTAAATTAATAGATACACAACCAATCAAAGTATGTACACACAGAATTTTGAACATCATAATTTGGTCGTCTTTGTGTGATTCTGTAAATAGCAAAGATACAATAATGACCATTTTTGCTTTTGCTGTCAAAATGACAATGACGGTGTTAACCAGAAGTAAGGTTAGTTTTCCATAAAGGCAGTTTAGATTTTAATGTCAATGGAATGAAAAGTCATTCGAAATTTCGTGTCTCCCATTGTACGTACATTTTTTGGGGTTTCCTTACCTCCTGTATTCTACAAAGACTCTTCTACTACTACTACTTCTACAAAGATTCTTCTTAACACTAAAATTTAATTTTAGATTTTGGTAACTTAACGGTTTAGAGTCCCTTCATGAATTCAAGAGACGGTCCCTATATAAGGACTCTATAACGGTTGTAAAATTTTAGCGCCATCTTTAATTGTGCTGTAAAAATGCAAAGCAATTATCGGATAAATAAAAAAAAAATATTCGTCCGATAGGAGATATTACTTCAATAGTCACATACAATGCTTATTCATGTTTTTACTTTTACTTTTGTTACCAAAACCAACTCAAACCCAACCCAATTCCAGTTATTTTAATTTAAGTTAGTCCGATAGTCAATACACTTCCAAATGCAAAATGTTGCCTTATTTTAAAGGTAAAAAAATTCTTTGTTTCCTGGTGAGCTAATTTTGGATTTTACTTTTTGTTACCAAAACCAACTCAAACCCAACCCAATTCCAGTTATTTTAATTTAAGTTAGTCCGATAGTCAATACACTTCCAAATGCAAAATGTTGCCACATTTTAAAGGTAAAAAAATTCCTTATTCCTGGCGAGCTAATTTTTGTTAAAAAGAAGAAAACTATTTTTTCAAAATTAAATATTTATTCCATATATTACAAAATAAAGTAACAATCATATAATAATCTATAATACACAAGTTAAAAACTAAAGTCTAGTAATTTCAGGGGTTATTCTGTTGAATGGGTGGTAAATTTAATGTATTCTGAAAAGCATGTTCTTGGGCTAAATTCTGCTGTGATGTTGAAGGACTGGGCATCATGTTTGGGGGAATAACCACTTGCTTATTGGATTTTGGTATTAAAGGCTGCTTATCACTGTGAGATTTCGATAATCGTTCGCTTAAAGCTTTCAAAGCAATTTGTCTAGAAGAAAATGTAAAATTATTTGTTTTTAATTTTGTTAAAAGTTACCTTCTACGTTCCATATCATGTTGGTCGCTTCCAGGAACAATTGTTACTCCTGTTGGGTTCGCCATGTCGATTTTTTTAACAACTTTTTTACACAACCCTATTTTAACAAATCCATTGTAAATACTGTTGCTTAATAAAGCTATTGGAGGCTGGATAACATTGGGAAAGAAACTAAAAGAATGTTATATTAATTATATATATGCTAAGAACATGCTTTGAACAAGATGCTAACAAAATTCTTCAAACAAGATTTTTAATCAACGATAGCACGCCATAAAGGGAGGTGTTCGCAATATAAAATTATTTAAAATGAGCGGAACGACGGTTTTAAAATTAATTAATAATTTAACAATTATTGTTATAAGCAATAAAAAGAGCCAAGTAACAGCGAAATTATGAATTTAACTCGAATTTAAAAATCGCGTTGGGTTTCAAATAATTGTAATTTTCAGCCGAATTCCAATATAATCTTATAATAAAAATGTTATAAACATCTTTAAACAAAATGCCTTTACTAAACTAATTTTAGTAAAATTATTAGATCTCTTTGTTGCTTGGATTTATTGCCAATTGTTTCAATCTAACCATAAAAAACATACTTTTTAAACATAAAAAACCGTACCTTTTAAACATTAAAAAAAAACAAGTTTTGAACGAAAAAAAAACATATTTTAGTTCTGTCCAAGTCCCGCATTAACATTATCAATTTGACAAGCATTGACTTTTTGGCGTATTATTCAAGGGCTGAAGTTAGCATCAGTGGCTTTCCGTATTTTTCTTTGACTTATTGGAAGTGTTAATATGTCTATGGGCTTTTCAGTCGCGGGCTGAAGTTAGCTTCATTAGGTATAAATTGGGAAAAAGTGAGGTTAAATCCGTCTGACATATCGAATGTTTAACAAATAAAAATTTAAACATTATTTGTGTTCATCTTAGATAATATACCTAAAGTATAATATGCAACTTGGTTATAAAATTCTCTAGACACTCATTTTTATTAAACTCGTAAGCTTCGCTCGTGCCTAATTAAAACTCGTGACTAAAATGCTGTTTTTTTACTCCCATACTTTAATTCGTTTATTGTATTTCCTACCTGTATGACCTACAGTGTAGGTACTGTAATAACTAGTGTAGGTACTATAATAAGATCCATTATGATACTATTTTTTAAGATACAGATTTATAAACAATAGAAATGCAATACACGGCAATATTATCCCATAGAAATGCGTTACGCGGCAATATTCTGTCAATATCAACTATTGCCTTGGACATTGACACATCTAATATTTATCAATTTTGATATGTTTTTAAAGTAAATTTTCTACTTTATTATGATAGTCATAGAAAAAATAGAGTATGCAACTCCTATTTCATGGGCTATTAACACACATAATTATCAGGCTCAGGTCATTGCATAAAATTATCAAACTTGATACCTACAAAATATATAGTATATACTGTTTAAAAAAAAAACATGTTTTTGCCAACCCTGTTTCCAACCAACCCAACCACTTTTTAACAAGAACTGCAAAATCGTCGGTGCACTCATTTTTATTAATTTTTATTTGTACGACTTGAATTCTAGCAAAAGCTGCCAAACTGCAATTGACGCGTTTCTCGGAAAAACATCATTAGTCCAAAATTAACATATTTGGGAAAATGAAAAAAAACTCTCCGACATTCCCATTTTTGACCAAAGTACTTTATTGACCTATTTATTACATGTAAAAAAATGTAAGATACTTTGTCCAGAATTCCTCATGTTTGTATTTTCAAACGAATATGAAAAAAACAAAAAATACATGAACATGTGAGGTTTTTAGAAGAAAAAAACAAACAATTCTCCTTACTACAAACACTACAAACTAAATACTAACTCTGAGTAACAAAATGAATGAAAAAACTAAAAACTGTATTACTGCCACACTCAGTCTTCGCATCCACAGCTGTTATCATCGTTGTCGACCGTGTTATCAGGACTGTCAGGTGCTATGGTCTTCTGCTCTTTTATCAAGTTAGGTATCATAAAATTTTCTATTGCTGTGGTAATGTAAAAGAGGTAGAAGCTTTTCTAGAGTGTCCAAAAACGTCACATGTTGTGTACATGTGACTTTCTTAAACGAAACGGAGTGGACTTGTGATGTTTTTAGAAGAACAAGCTAAATTTCATATTTAATTATTATGGAACCTATGACATTTTTACGAGAAACACTTATTTGTATACGTATATATGGAGGTTAGGAAACAGTTCGTGCTAATATCTAAATTTCGACGATATTGGACTAATGATGTTTTTCCGAGAAACGCCTCAATTTTACCCAAAAAAAGTAAAGAGTGTGATATTAATTTTAAATAGTTTGCCAATTGTCCATGTAAATGTATTTAATGTGTAATGTGTTAAATTTACCTTGCAAATGTGAAATAGTCTGCCATATCCCCCCGAGTCCCATTGCTATGTTTCTGGTAAAACCTCAAGTAAACCCAACTGACTATGAGCCCAGTAAAAAACATAGTGGGGTATGTACCATCCACCAACCCAACAATTTTAAACAGAACTGAAAGAAAAAACACAGCCAAAGGAATATTTCTATTACTTAATTTCCCTAAAGGCGTCTTAACTATAACTAAATCAGGCATAATTTGCTTAACAGTAACGGAAACTCCAGCCAAATAGCCAGCAAGTCCGTGTATATTTACAGTGAACAAAAATTCCGTGTTGAACGTCGCACAATACAAAATAAAATAGAAGGCGGTAGTCAGAACGGCAACACCGAAATTAACAATCGCGAAAAATGTCAACATCTCCATTTGCCCCCACAGCGGCTCGATCAGTTTACCGCACAGCCCCACTGTTATTATGTCCACCAGCACCTCCCAGAAGTGTATCTCCAAAAAACAAAACGTGAACGCTGTCCACAGCCAGAAGGATGGGGGCATTATGTACCCAGGTGTCACTGATATTACGCGAATACATTCTTCGGAATATGAAAAACCGTAACTAACTAACACTACACCACAAATAAACTTTACCGACGTGCTCGTGTTCCCCAACAATGCGCCAAATTGCTGCCGCAAGTACGGTATATTTCTATTTAAAGCCCTAAACATTGCCATTGTCAAATCATTTAGGTTATGTTGTTATCGAAATGACAACTGATTGTGACGTTTAACACCAGAGTCTCTGTTTAACACAACACAACTGTATTTGCAAGTTGGCAACATTGGATTGCGTCAGGGTTACCATTTTAAATAAACGTAACTGACCAAAGTTCTTTACTGACGTTTACAAATCAATAAAAATAACCTAAAAAGTGATGTTTACGAAATCCATTATAAATTATAACAATTTAACAATAATGGTTTAATAGCTTTAAATTCCTATCTAATAATCATTAAAAATATGGCTCCTACAAAAGTGATACTTTTGGCATGCGGGTCTTTTAACCCGCCAACAAATATGCATTTAAGAATGTTTGGTGGGTATAACATTAACTTTTTTTAACAGTAGCAAAGTTTAATTTTATATTTTAGAAATAGCCCGCGATCATTTACATCGTATGGGCACTTACCAGGTTATAGGGGGTTTAATATCACCTGTACATAATGCCTATGGCAAAAAAGAGTTGGAATCATCTACACATCGGCTAGCAATGACAAAATTGGCTCTGCAAGGGCATGATTGGGTTAAATTGTCGGATTGGGAGTGTTTGCAGGAGACCTGGAGCAGAACTAGACAAGTATTACAGTACCATCAAAACAAGATTAACTCAATTTTGCATACAAATAATTGTGACGATTGTAATGAGGACGATATAATGTGGGTGCCTGATAATTTGACAAATGGCACTACAGGGACTGTTAGGGTTAAGTTGTTATGTGGAGGGGATTTATTGGAGTCTTTTGGTACTCCAGGGTTATGGGCTGATGAGGATGTAAGTATTTTTTAATTCTAAATTTTATTTTTAATTTAATAATTTTTTTAAGATTAATGCTATAGTCGGACAACATGGCCTAATAGTAATCACAAGGTCTAAAACTAACCCCCTGGAGTTTATTTACAACTCAGATTTACTTACAAAATACATGGTAATATAACAAAAAAATTCAAAAATAGTCTCAGGAATTTTTTTGTTTTTTCAGGCCAACATAACAATAGTAACTGAATGGATACAAAATGAAATAAGCTCAACTAAAATAAGACGTGCTCTAAGAAGAAGCGAATCCGTAAAATATTTATTACCTGAAAAAGTAGTTGATTATATTTACAAACATAATTTATATGGATCAGAAAAAACGTAAGTAAAAACCTAATAAAATCAAGATTGCTAAAAAGTGAGGTTAGCCCCGCCCACGCTTTTACTCTATTGGTAGGGGCGGAGTTAAACTCATAGGCATCTTGATTTTTATATTAAAAATGCGTTTTCTTTGACTAATTTTGACTTTTGTGCTGTCTGGGTTGTTCAGTAAGTATTTGCATGCCCCTTACCCGAATAATTACGAATTTTTGACCCCATCGCCATCGGATTTAACAATGGAATCGCCAAGCCCAACAAACTGCATGATTATTTGTAATAATAATTTATTTTCGCGTCCCCCAACATACGAGAAACGCATGTCCATCGACACAGTCGACTCAGGCAAAGGCGACACAAAAAATCTGTTGAACACGCTGCGTCATCCGGGACAAGCCGTGAAAATAATCACGGAAAAAACGGGGGATCACTGCGTGGTCAAGTCGGAGGTACGTAAAAAACACGAGGCTTCGTCACTGTGCGAGGATGCGCCTGCAAAAAAACCGCTTAAGTCGTCGAAAAGCTTCACGCACTTTCAGGAGATCGAAGGCGGCCTTAAGCTTACGAAATCCAACACTAATTTGAAAGAGTGCAAGAGTTGCGATGAAAATTTAATCAAGTTTATTTTCACCAAGCACGGTATACAAGTTATTAGCGATGTCGAGACCATTGTTTAAAAGCATGGGAATGAGTTTTAATGATTTAAAAGTACTTTAAAAGTAATTTTAAAATGTCATGTAAAGTCGTGATAGAATTCAAAAAATGAGGTTATGTACTTATGACATATGGTTGTCAGATAGATGTATTTTATGGCAAAGTACTTTTAAATTACACTGCATGTTTTAGAATTTAAATTTGGTGTGAAGATTTCATAGAAATAATTAAAATACAAAAATCCTAGGGTTATAAATCAAAATGCTTCTAAAGTAGATTTTTTATTTGGACTTTGACATATTGAAAAGTATGATTTTTTGTTGTTAATAAGTTATTAATTTTCCAAAAAAGACCGCTATAAACTATATCAAAGTTGATAAAATAATATAATGATAAAAATAAATTTGTAGTGGTCTACTTAATTAAGAAATTTTAACCCAAAAAAAAAATTATTGTTTTTAAACGCACTTTTCAGATAAAAATACAAACAAGTATATATATATATATATTTTATACTGTCCTAAATATCACATAGGGGCATATCTCATATTGAACAATTTTACAGAGCATTTTAAAGTTTTTATCTAATTTAATTTTTTTTAAGGGCCACCAGGTGGTAAAATTAATGTAATATATAGTAAATTTAAAAGTAAACTACGTACACGTCATCAATATAACAAAAATTGTACCCATTGGTCCCAACACTAAATGACTAAATCGAAGTCTGTAATTGAATATTTGAATGCATTTTAAACATCATCAGTTGGCAACAATTAAGATGTTGTCATATTTACATTCAAATATTTCATATTTAAATGACACATAAAAAAGAATTTGACGTTTTAGAATTTTGAAGCTGTCAGTTGTGTTTTTGAATATTTCGTTTAATTCGTGTATTATTTCGTTTATTTTGTTTGTTGTTTGTGTTATTTTATATCGTTTAAGTTTTCATTGCCGTTTTTGTCTTTGTTATATATCGTTTTTTTATGTTTCCTATATTTAAAATGCCGAAGCATTTAAATAGTCGGAGTCAAGAGTTGGTGTCATCCTTAATACGCTATTTTGAGGCAGAATGAGATAATAATGGACCTTTGTTACCTTTAACAGCTGTTAGAGAGGTAAATAGGATTATTATTAATTATATATTAGAATATTTAACAAAATATATGTTGGATACATAAAATAATAATATATATACCAGAGACTGACTTTAGATGGCAAAATTTTTGGGTTTTATATCAGAAAATGTCTTTAAAAATGGCTAAAAACATACTTTTGGCGGTGCATCATATAGGTTATAAAAACTCAGACTTTTGACATTTTGGCATTATTCATGTAAACGCCATCTATCGCCCTGTAGTTGCACTACCACTTTCCCTTGATGCAAGGATTTTAGCATCACATTGACAACCGTGCCCGATCAGCTGATTGATGACGTGTACGTAGTTTACTTTTAAATTTACTATAGATGTCGCGGCGAATGTTTCAAATTGCGTCATCAAATTCTGAACCAAGCACAGATATTACAATTATTGTTGTTTTCTTTTACGTATATAATCCAAGGAACAGCTAGGTTAATGGTATGTCGAGAAATCGGTTTTTGATATTCGATATTGATGACGCAATTTGAAACATTCGCCGCGACGACTATACTGTACCTATAGAAAATTTAAAATGAAACGACGTACACGTCATCGATGACGTTATAATTTTGCGCACTGGTACCAATACTAAATGTATAAAACGAAGTCTGTAATTGAATATTTTAATTCATTTTAACCAACTTAAGTTGGCAGCAATTGCAATGTTGTCATGTTTAGATTAAAATTTTGCTTAAAAAAATGACGCATAGAAAAAGAAATTGACGTTTTAGAATTTTGTTTATTTTTTTGCTTGTGTTATTTTATATCGTTTAAGTTTTCATTGCCGTTTTTGTGTTTGTATATTGTTTTTGTCTTTTTTCTATATTTAAAATACCGAAGCATTTAAATAGTTGGAGTCAAGAGTTGGTATCATCCTTAATACGCTATTTTGAGGCAGAACGGGATAATAATGGACCTTTGTTACCTTTAAAAGCTGTTAGAGAGGTAAATAGGATTATTATTAATTATTAATATTTAACAAAATATAATAAATGTTGGATACATAAAATAATAATATATATACCAAAGACTGACTTTAGATGGCAAAATTTCTGGGTTTTATAGCTGAAAATGTCTTTAAAAATAGCTAAAAACATACTTTTGGCGGTGCACACAAAACTAGTTTTGTGGCGGTGCATCATATAGGTTGTAAAACTCTGACTTTTGCCATTTTGGTATTCTAAGGTCCCAAATCTAGGGACCCTGTGGTATTATTCATGTAAACGTCATCTATCGCCCTGTAGTTGCACTACGACTCACTTGATGCAATGATTTTAGCATCACATTGACAACCGTACCCGATCAGCTGATTGAGACGTGTACGTCGTTTCCTTTTAAATTTACTATAGTAGCACATTTTTTCCAGGATTTTGCATTGCTACAATTAAGTATTTTTTATAAATAACAAAATTTATTATACCCTCACTTTCTCGATTGTAAAGATCATTATAGTCGCCCCTTGTATATTTAAAAAAATCTGACATCTGTTAGTTAGTTTAAACCTCACTTTTTCCCAAATAAAAACCCGGTTGGTTCAAATCACTGAATATTGAAATCGGTCAATCACTGATACCTAACAACGTGAATAATGAGTTCATTATTCCCGTTGTTAGGCGCGGCGTTTATAATGATTAATGGAAAATTTAAGCTCTCTACATCAACTCTAAAGGCGCATTCATGCTCACTTAAAATAAGAAATAAGAATAAGAAATAAGATAAAAAGTTAAAACTGTGTAAAGTAATGGTTGCGTTCATGTTCATGAAAATAAGAAATAAGACTAAAGATTAATAACTTTTAACTTTGGTTCTTATTTTTGCGTATAAAACTGCGCAAAAGGACCAAAATGGGTCTGTGAATTATTTTGATGGGTTTTATGTGCTGTCCATGGAGCCATGGTGTTGGAAATCGCGTTGAGTGTCGCTGTCGATTGTTTACGTTTATAGCCAATATAATCCACTATAATAAAATATAATTGTGTGACATTTTTTATTTCTTATGTTATCAGCATGAACGATCAATCACGATCTTATTTCTTATTCCTTATTCTTATTTCTTATTTTAAGTGAGCATGAATACGCCTTAAGATAGTCCGTCCGCTATTTGACCAACATTTCCTATTGAAATAACATGGGAAAAACTTTTTTTGCACTTTGAAATTTTGTCGTTGGCAAATTACCTACACACAATAATGGAAAATACATATTTTTCTAGAGAATTTAACGCTTTATAAAAAAGCTCTAAGGCATAAAATTCGTTTATATGTATGATAACGTTTAAAGTTTAATTATTTAAAATTATCAGTCAGTCAGGTACGAAATAAACAATCGTGTTATAATAGTACATCATAATACAAGTGTATAAGAAAGACTTAATTACACTAGCGGCAAAAATTACAAGCACGAACTGTTTAATTGTATTTATAATTTGGAACATATTGAAAATTTTGTAAATTTAAAACAATTCTAAAAATTTTTTTTGTAATTTAAGTCTTTTTCACACACTTGCAATACAGGTCTTGTGAGCAAAATAAGTTTTTTTGGAAAACATGATTTTTTTCTAAAAAATTGAAAAATTTCATAGAATGACTAGTCTGTATTTTTATCTGAAAATATGTTTAAAAACAAAACAAAAATAAAAAAAACAACTTTTAATATGATCTTGATTCGGCAGTTCATAACTTTGGTTGGGAAAAAAGTTAAAAAAATCCACGAAAACGTTCTTAGGGGGTAGTATAACAAACAAATTTCAGCCAAAGGGGTTCAAAAGTGGTCGATTTGGCGTGAAATGATATTTTAACATTATTCACTACACATAACTCTTTTGTCTAAAGTCTAAAAAAAGAAACTTACTCAATGTAAAAATGGTAGTCTGCACTTCTGGCTGTGTTTATAGAAACTAGACTTAACATTATTACTCAGTATTAACTATTTTAAACTTTTGTACCTGAAAAGAACACTGCTACTATTATAAATTATAATTTGGTTTTAACACCATTGCATGGTTAAACTTTTTCATTTTAAGTTTCTGAATACAGGGTCACACAGTTGTCATCCCTTGGGGGATAATAGTTTTATATAGCATTATAGCACTATAGTGCTACTGTCAGAGACAGACCCTTGTCTCTGCTACTGTTTTTGAATTAAGCAAAATTCCAAAAATTAACCTAATTGATGCGACAGCTGTCGACGTTCGAAGTATATATACTATAGTCGGCCCATTTAAATCATCGACAGCAGTGCCGATAAGAACCACAGTGTTAAACAACTGTCCGACTCTACTTAGTCCATCGATCCCATGCTTTAAACGAATCCAGTGTCGTGCCAAACAAATGGCTGAGATTTAAAGGAAAAACTTGCTCACTTTGGCGTGAACTATCATCCTCCCAATGCATGACAACTTATTACATGACGCCCTGTATTTGTATTTTGTATCAGCACTCTATTAAGTATCAGAATTAACTTTTATGACCTTGAAAATTGCAGTTACAAAAACTTGACCAAACTTTATTCTTATAAAACTGTGTTGCATGTATGTTTTTTGTTTCAGGCATCTATAGTCAGGCCTGCATGTCTTTAATTAATTAACTTTGATGTTATTTAAATATGAAAAAATATTTTGTGATAGCTTTTATAGATTTTTTAAATTATGTTTATGGATGTTGACTCATTATTTAATTGTACAAAATGTAGGAAATAAAAAATAGTAACATATATTACAGTCTTTTATTTAGTCTTCCATATTTGGCAGATCAGAAAAATGCATTATATATGTGTGTGGTAAACACATAATAGTTATTTATGTCATAAGGCTGAAAAGTAAGACTTTGTGATGAGCTCATGATTTGTCTCAGCCAAATGGCATACAACAATTTTATCTTCCAGGCACAGTTTTTTTGTTAAATGATACATAAAAGTTTTATGTATCATTTAACATTATTAAAACACACAAACAATTTTAAGAGGTATAAAGTGATGTTAAATACATGCTCGGGCGTCTTTGCTGTACAAAAGTTTGTCCGAGGCGCTACTGTCGCCAAAGTTGTTTTCGTCACCGAGACTACCGTTATCATAATGACGGTTGTCAAATATTTACAAAAATGTAGTTTTATTATGTTTTAATATCCCTCTTTACTTTCACTAGAAAAATATTGGAATTATTGTGGAATTAAAAAAAGGATCAATTGGTACAATCCAGTATAAAAATTTAAACAATATTTTGAAAATCTCTTTTAGACTACACCCGCTGGAGGGCGCAGTAGTCACAACAAAACTTTAATAACAAGTTGCCTATCCAACTTACCCCCAAATCACCCAACTATGGTTAGATTTTTGGGGGTCCTTACAGACCAGGATCTAAAAAACTTTACCTGATTGGTCTATATTATTTTAACAGCCTAGGAGATAATCAAATATTTTGGTAGTGAGCGTTGACAATAATAGAGCCTAAATTTTAGAACACTTGAAGTTAAATGTGTATACAGTGACCACTCCCATGTGGCGTAACTCTGCCCCTTATTACTCACTACATGAGTTATCTATAGTAAGAACATTTGTCAAATTTCAATGCTTTTTATTATTTTTTGTTCAACATTCACACCAAGGAGTCTTAGTTTGATCACATAATAATTGTACATTAATAATAGTTAAAGGAGCACCTTCTATGTTCATTTTTGTTCGACTTTTTATATTATATTTTACATCATGTAAACCTGTTACTTTATCCCTTTTTCTGGTCACTTCTTTTTGGTTAAAGCACTTTTTTGTGTCCCTTACTCTTTGTTTTGTGTGAATATGTCTAAAATAGAAAAAAATAATAAATTTGTTTAGAGAAGTTCATATTAATATTAAATTCTTAAATTCATTTTACTATTGAATTTTTTAGATATTAGGGGAAAAACCTTAAATGTACCCCCTAAAGTTTTAGTTATGAGGGGTTTTATAATATAACCATGTTCCATATTACCAGCATCTATTTAACCATACTCACTTAAATGTATTGGTAGTGCCTGTCGTAATATTTTCTGGCCTTTGTATGGTTAATTTTGCATCTTTTAATCTCACATAAAATTCATCATCTTCAAGTCCCCACCCCCAATACCTATTCGACAAACCATTAACTTTAGAAAAATGTTCCCTACAAAATATTATAAATTATAAAAAACATAAAATAATAACTTGTTTACCTATTTATCAGTAAAATACCCCCAATAAACTTTTCATAGTGATATCTGGGATGAAATTTTGGAGATGCAATGTGCAAAGGCATTTCAGGATATTTATACAACAAATTATCATTTAATGGTAATAAATCCACATCATGCATAGCCAAATATGTATAATTATCTTTAGTTGCCAAAAAACCAACGTTTATTAATGAGGCTCTATTAAATCTAAAAAAATCTATCTGATGCAGTATAAAAATATCATGGTCAACATTTTGTTTTATTAAAAAATTGTGTATATATGGAGCGAATACTAATAGTTCTTCAAATCTGTCCTTATATGGCACTAAAATTGCAAGCTTATGACCACTAATATGATTTTTATTTACAATTATTTCTTCCGAAGGTAAAACAGGGAATTTATTATCTTCAATATTTATAGACTCGTCCAGTCTCTGACAACTGCTTTTTTCTGTAAAAACATAAAAGTTAAGTTAAGTTTTACAAAATACGCAACAATTTACCATAAGTAATCAATTTAATAGTTAAAAACACTATTATTAAAAACATACATGAAAAAATTAGCAAAACTAATCTTAAAAACGAATATCCATAAATAGATTTTGTACATGAACGCCTCATTTTGTCTTAAAAATTACCTAAAATCACTTAGTTTCCATTGTAATGGATTTTTGAAAAATTTTACTTTTTGACATAACCTCACATTTTTTGAGTCATTAGAACTACTTTTAATACATTCGACAAAAATAAAGCCGTTCAAGGTTGAGCAATAAAATTCCTTGTTGAGACTCTCAACTTGAGATCCTATATGATTAGTTACTTTAAACTATTATTATTCAAATAAACCAATTTTTATCATTTATTTTTTCATTTTCAAATCAGAGTTGCCAACAGTCCGAACAAAAATTGACATTGGTTTTTCCAAAATTCCATTAAAATTAGTTATAAAAGTGCTTTATCGCTAGTTAAAAAGGATTAATTATTATTTAGGACCACTTTAGGCTTATCTTTGGAGCGCTGCAATGTGGTGTAATAAGAATTCAGACTATTGATTTTTTGTATCGTCAAGTTGCCCCCACATTGCGCAAAGTGACTAAATTCCGTCCGTATAAATTCACTTTTCGCGGTCAACCCAGCATAGTTGATCAAATCGTGTCCAACTGAAAACATGCAATTGAGTTTCGATACACTATTAAATCAAAATATATGTCAAGTGATTTGTACTAGTGCCAAGAACACATCAACAAACCATCTACCTTCTTGATCAAGTGTTAAATTATTCGTTTTCAATAGTAAATTTAGGAATAAGTGTATTTAATTTAGTGAGCATGCCGAAAGGAAAACGAAAAGGAAAGTCTGGTAAGTGATCAAGGAGCTTAAGCAATGTGTTAATAAGGTTTACGTTCGTTTGAATCATGGAATGAAATGAAGCTATTAAATGTCAATTTGACGTAATTGTTTATTTAACGTCAATTCGTGACATGTTAATTTTACCATGCCTAATATTGCGTTTTACTCAAAAGGTTTTAGTAAATAAATAAATTAGGAATGTGACGAGTGGATAAAAATATTTAATTTCTTGGAATTACAGTGAGTCAGCGTCTGCAAAATTGTGAAATGTTTTAAAACGCATCAAAAAAATGCATGCCAGATAAAATTAGATTTCAGCTTTGTTTGTATTTTCTCTTGTGCAGCGCGTGACAAGGTTGACTTTTAAAAAGCATATGGCAAGATGTTATGTAAGTAATATTTTTACATTCTATATAGAAGCATATGCTAACTACCTACCTGTTTATAGGTAGGTATAACATGCGAAAAAAAACTGGTTAATTAAACATACAAATCCTGTCTAGTTTTAAATGTTACATACATTATAATAATAATAAACGATATTAGTATTTTTAATACCAGATACGATTCTTATCATAAGAATATGTTTCCTTTACAGTTGTATAAGAATATTTGATAAATTGACCCTTGACCTTATTGAAAATTAGTTATTTTATTACCCTATGTAAACAATATGGTACCTACACATACATTTTATTGAATAGTTTTTTTAGTTTTATTATACAAGTTTTATCTTGGTAATATATTAAATTTATCACGACTTTAGCAACAATTTAACATTTAATTTATGTCACTTTATGATTAATTCATGAATACATCAGACAGAATAGACAAGTCCGTTGAAATAGCGTGCCGTATAGACTCCGAGTTGTGGGCGGTGCTTTCTTGTCACGTAATATTTTCTTTCCAATAGCCGTTTTCTTTTACCACCAAGATCAAATAAACGAATTGTGATTGATCAGTCAAAAATCGAGTGTGCTAAAACCACGCCCACAACACGGAGTCTATACTGCACGTTTTCGTACATTGTCCACACCTAAAAGTCCCACCAAGCTCACGTGGTGGGACTTTTGTGTGTGGCCAAGTATAGGAAGCCTATAGTATACTATCCTGTCTATTATAGGAAGTATAATAAAAGTTAATAAAAGTCAGTATTTTTTGGGAACAGGCACAATCCACACAAGGTCTGTTTTATCTCGTTTGGTGCGTACTAAAAATCACTGCAACACTGCACATAATCTAACGGCGGCCATTTTTATGTTTACAATTCTTGTGCTTTGGGTTTGTGCTGTTTATCGTTTTAAACGTTGTGTTTCTTACAGAGCTGCCATTTTACTTCTTTTTTCTACTCCCACCTTTAAAACGCCGTTTATCGTACATGTTTCCATGACAATAAGTTACCTTTTAAATACACATTGACAGGTTGTGGCTTTAGTCACGGGCTAAAGTTAGCAACAGGTTTTTAGTCACGGGCTGAAGTTAGTTTTAAGTTAGTTGACAGTTGTCAAATGTCATACAATCGTTAAAATAAAGTGCCTTTCTTGTAAAATAATACTAAATGTGAAAATTATTTTATTATTCCAATACAAAAATACAAAAATATTAAATAGTTTCTCAACGCCAATATTTGAAAAGTTACATGAACATTGTACTGACCTTTTAATTTTGCCGGCAGTAAACTATAACTTAAATTCGGGCACGGACTCTGGAGTAGCTACTGTAAAGCCCTCATAAAACATTTCTTTTACTTTCACTGTGAAAAACTTTTCAATATACATTTCGATTTATAACCTTTATAATTGTGTTTATAAAATGTAAAAATGTGACATTTGACAGTTTCCCCTGTTGTTTCATAGATGGCGCTCTATACAATTTTTTGATTTAAATCATTTTAAGATAATAATAAGTATTTGTCGTAGAAAAAGTATAGTATGCACCTCGTTTATAAACTTTTCTATACACTCATTAATTTAAGAACTCGCTCGCAAGCTCGCTCAGGTCAGGTTTGTCATCAAACTGTCAAATTTAAATTTGTGGTTTATGTTAAATTAACCTTAAAATTTAAATTTGACAGTTTGATGACAGCCCTGATAAAATAAGGTTTATTATTTACCAAAACAGGAGTAAAATGGTTGTTCTTAGCACTCATTAGCCTCATTTGAGGCTTACAAGTGCGAAACACAACGTTTAAAACGTTTATTAATCTATATAAACAGCACAAGAATTGTAAACAATATAAAAATGGCCGCCGTTAGATTCTGTGCAGTGTTGCTTGTGTATTGTGGAAACAGGTACCTATATTAAGTAAATTTTTTAAATGTTCCTGATGTTTGATGGCAATCTTCATGTCAAAGAAACGTCATATCAATACATTTCGATTTTGTTTATCATAGAAAGCATATTATTTCTATGATTATGATCCTAAAACAAATGACAATTTATTACAACATGTTTGGCATTAACTTTTTTAACCTTAAACTGTCATTTTAATTACAGATCGTAGCAGATACGATGGTTCACTCCAAACGTCAGATGACGATTCAAACAACAACGACGCCATGAGCGTGATCAGCAACTACTCAAAAAGTTCGGAGAGCTCCGAATTCGGCGAAGACTGCGCAGCAGATCAACTCGAGGACAAACTAATGGAAGTGATGGACGGCTTGTCCGATAAATCCTCAAAAACGAGAATAGACAGCTTTAAGATGCTTTCGAAGGCGCTAATAAAGAAATTCATACCAAATTTCGTTAAAGATAGACTATTCACGATCTCAGACAGCATTGAGAGGAGTTTGAAGAAAGGCAGCGGGTCAGAGAAGGCCGCGGCTGCCGATCTGACAACGCAGCTTTGTATACAGACTGGGTTGTTTGATGAGTGTGAAGATATATGCAAGAATTTCACACCAACGTTTCTCGTCATTGCCAAAGATACTTCAGTTAGTCCTACAGTAAGAGGAAAGGTAAGAAAATATAATTTTTACAATGGTTTGGTGGAAAATAGGTTTGGTATTTCAAAAATGTTAAGATCCTGAAGTTTTGTAGCTATTTTCATTTTCTAGAAATTTTATTTCTATTTATTCCACCAGGGGGGCAAACCTAATTATTACACAGGCCGGCAACTTTTTTGGGGTAATTTGCGTGCGCTGATTCCAAAAATGACCATTTTTGAGATATTGTTTAAAAACAGTTTTTTATTTTAATGTTGTTTTTAGTTGTTTTAATGTGTTAATTAAACTAAAAAAAATAAATTATACTTATATTCCCTTTAAAGCATGTTTTTAACGAAATAAAATCTCACCACGTGACTGATAGAAATAATTAAGGTTAATTTTTGGTTGATTTATGCAGCACAAATTAACATTAAGATTAACTTTAACATTAAGATTAAGATTAATTTAACATTAATAGGAGGGTATTTATGCAGCAAAATTATTAGCAAATTAAGCATGCGTATAAGTTAAAGTAATTTTGACATCTGACATTTTTTATTTGTTTGAATTTTGTTTTAATCCCGTTTTAGCATCTGTTAAGTAAAATAAATGAAAACTATAAACTCCACAACAAACAAAGAACACAATCATTGAATAAAAAATTAATCATTCAGCAGTTTATTTAAAAATTGCGCCGCAAACCTGCGCAGGAGGAATAAAAATTAACATTATCATTAAGAAGATAAAAGTTGGCCATCTCTTAATGTTAACTTAATGCTAAAGTTAATGTGTTGCATAAAAGCTTTCAATGGATTACGTTCATTTAACTTCTTAATGTTAATGTTAATCTTAATCTTAATGTTAATTTGTGCTGCATAAATCCAGCATTTCTGTCAGTGTCATGCTAATTTCATCTTATTTGCTAAAAATAATACAATATATGTTTTCTTTATTTTAAAATGAAACCTTTATACACAAAAAATACATGTATAGTAATATTTTCATAAAATAGGGCGAAATTAGCTTGACAATGACAGAAAGTCAGAGCTGGGAAAGTTACTTTTGAAAAGTATCTAGTTACTTTTCTAAGATACCTACTTTAAACAAAATAACTTAGTTACCTCAGGTAAATAGATACTTTGAGTTGGAAGTATCTTTATTTACAAGATACTTTAGAAAGCATCTAAGATACTATCCGAAAGTAGCTAAGATACTATATACTATATATGAAAGTATATATGAAAGTATCCAAGATACTTTTAAGTAACTAAGATACTTTTGAGTTACCAAGTTACTTTTAAGTATGAATAAAAACTATAAAATTATGAAAATTCAACAAGTTTTAGGTTAGGTAATTACTTTAAAACATTCTGGAATCCCCCAATTTTCTCTAAGAAAGTATCTAAGTTACACTGAAAAGTATTTAAGTTACTTTAAAAGGTATCTTAGTTACTTTAAAAAGTATCTTAGTTACTTTAAAGTATCTAAGTTACTTGAATGTATCTTAGTTACTTTACCAAGTAACTAAGATACTTTTTTAGATAAAAGTTAAAAGATACTTTCTGTCCAATATAAAAGTAACTAAGATAAAGTATCTTAAATACTTAAGAATTAGTATTTAAGTTATTTTTAAGTATCTTTTTTTCAAGATACTCCCAGCTCTGCAGAAAGTGAAACCTAATTATTTCTATTAAAAAAAAAGACAAAAAAGACAAACAAAAATCAAAGTAAAAAAAAAGTTGAACAAAAAATTGGTATTGGTATCAACCCTACGCGTACCGATATGCATATGAATCTCTAATTTTAAAGTCTTCTATCATAGAAGTTCTGTGTCAATATTTACTTACACTATAAACCCTTTATATTTTTGTTTTCGAATCAACTAATTTGATCCAGGGTTCCTGTTTGTCATAAAATTTTTAAATATCATAAAATTGGCTAAATTGTCCTAAAATGTCATAAAATTCACATTTTGTCATAGAAATCATAAAATTTCATTATTTTTTAACAATTTTCTCACCTTTGATCTTTTTTATAAAATGGAAATTTTGTAAAATAAAATTTAAAGCCGGTCCTGTAGAATAAAACGCAATAAAATGTTTTAAATATGGCCTTGGTTGTTGACGTATGAACTTCATACTATGATGGGAAAAGAAGTTAGGTTAGGAAATGAATTTTAAATTTGAAATAAATAATGAGAAAGGTAAATTTATTTTTATACTATATTACTTTACTAAGGAAGGCACAAAGAAGGACTTGAAGAAATTGATACTATTTTGGCAAGTAAGGAAGCAGAGTTAAAAATAACAAGAAATATTATTTCTGAAGGAAATAAGAAATTATCGAAGTACCTTAACAATAACTACATAACTACTCTTAAAAAATCTGTAATATTGGAGGCTCAAACAGTGATTAACATGGGTCTAAAAAAGCAACAAAAATAGTACCCATATATAGGTACAGTACCTATACCTATAGGTATATATACTATTTTTTTTTGCTTTTTTGAGACCCATGTTAATCATTGTTTGAGCCTCCAATATTTCAGATTTCTATACCTTTGTGGTTTTATTTATTTTGAGATTATAATACCTATTATAATAAAATACTAAAGTAACATATATTAAAAATATTATAGCAGAAATATTTATTTTGATGCGAGAAAAAATATTTTTATATAATAAACCGTTAAAAAATTACATTTATTTTATTAAATAACTTTAGAAATAATAAATTCTTGTCATAAAAAATGTCATAAAATTTGAAAAATTTGTCATAAAATCATAAAAAAAAAGTACAAAACAATGCTGGGAACCCTGTTGATCTTAATTCGCAAATTTTTTGTATTAAAGTCAAATTACTTGATTATAAAAATAATATTTTCAAACAGTAAAATATCCCTCACCCTGTAAATTAAACTTAATTTAACAGTAACTGTTTTGATTTTGCCATCTCGATGACACGCGACTGGATGGAGAGCTGTGATTAGTTGGTTGGAAATGTGAGCCTTTTTGATCAGACCTCTTGTTTTTGGGTCTCACTTTAAATAGGAAACCACTTTCAAGGTGGTTACAGACGCGAATGACCCCCTCCCCCCTACAACAAGGGCTAGACTTATTTGGTTTTGACCGGAAACTCATTAATTTTAGCAGTGACTTATGAAAGAACATTTTTTTAACATTTTGCTAAACATTGTTGTCTTTTGTTTTAAAACTCGTATAAATACATATTTTAATTAATTATAGTCCGGGAGGCAGTGAATATTTTCGGTACTTATTTTCCCAGTTTGTGAATGTCATTAAGTTTGTTCAAATGGTGACACAAAACGACAATTTGTGTGTCTGGCTAAAATTTTCGGATGGGTTCACTAGATGAGCCAAAAAGTCAAGTCCACTTATTTTTCCAGTCATAAATATTTCACATTAATTAAAGTGAGTCATTTTATTAATGGAAATAACAGTCTGGCACATCCCAAGTGAAGGAAAGTCAGTCTGGCTGAAAATTTGCGGAAGCAAAAATTTGACCGGTTTTTGAAATACGTAGCCCTTATTTTCCCATGCTTAAAATTTAACCCATTATTTGGTACTGTCATAAACTATAATCAAAATTAAGTCTGGCTGATTTATGAAATTGGCAAATTGTTCTGGCGGCATCTTGAAAATCGTAAGAATTACAAAAATTTTGCTCTTATTTTCCCGGATTTGAAAATTTGTCACATGATAAATAATACTATAATTTCGTTGAAAATACACGTCTGGCTGTTATTTACAATCACGAAAGCCCCGCCAGACTCACAAGAAACTCGCGTTTGAATGGGAATTTTCGCGATTTTCTTTTTTTTTATTGATAAAACTCAAAAACTAAGGAAGATACAAAATACTGTCAAGAGATCGATTTTGTAGAGAATCCTACAAAAAACAACTGCACAAATTTTCTCGTATCTCTGATATATCTAACTAACTATATGTAACTATAGTTACAAAGTTATTCGCGAATAAAGTTTTTTGGTGGCGGACGGACTGACATTTTTTTTAGCCATATTTAAATTTTGCTTTACACAAATTATTTTCTTATCATACATTATGAAAAGTAAAAACATGTAGAGATGACAACAATCGCCTGTAAAATTGAACATGCCGAATTTAGCGCGCCTGTGGAGGGTTGGACGAGTCTGGCAAGGCTTTCGGAGTGTTCCACATTAGCCAGACTATATTTGCAGCTGTAATTATAATATAAACTATCATCTCACAAAATTTTTAGGACTGCGAAAATAAGGGCAATGGTTTTGATAATTTTTCCACCTGCCAGACATATTACCCATACTCACAGATTAGCCAGACTATTTTTTTTCTTAAGTTCACTATATCTCTCACTAATGGAATTATTTTTATCACTGGAAAAAAAAGTGCAATATATTTGTACTTTATAACGCATTTTCCGCATTAACCCATCGGAAAACCCCCCCTAAATATATATAAATTTTGCTCAGAATAACAAACCCAATAATTGTATCGGTGTTTGCCGACTGGGAAAATAAGTACCGAAAATCTTCACTGCCTCCCGGACTATTACTTTTCACAGAATTTATGAAGTCGTACAAACGCCAGGAGCGAAAATTACTGTAAATATAAATTTTGACACTCGCGGTTATTTTAAGTGCCTTTTAAGAAATTTTTATTCAATTGCGTTGAAGTGTTTAACAGAATAAAGTAGATATCTACCTAAAAGTTTTTGTAAATTTCATTAAAATCGGACTAAAATTGTTAACAGCCCTTTAAATTTTGAAAATTGTCGAAATTTGGCTAAAAACGATTTTCCTTCATTATAAGCATAATTATTGGGGGGGAAAGCTTTATGAATGTGTATGATTTAATTTTTGTCAATTTAATATATTTATGCATACATGCGAATTTAAGGTTTGCTAATATAAAACGTTTTTTTTACAATATCTTAAAAACCAGAGCTGTTTGAGAAAAATGATGGCAGCAAACCCAAATTACCATAGAAATGTTGACCAGTGTAGTTGGAAAAAACATTAATTTAAATCTATACAAATTTTAAATCAATTTAAAATTATAATTATTATTATATAATTTAGTAAAAAAAACAATACAAGCGCTACAAGAAATTGTGATATTGATTATCCTTTATCAAAAATATAATTTGTTTTTAATTGCAATTTTGGTTTATTTTTTACAAAAGAGGAGTAAAATGATTGTTTTTACCACTTTGAGGTCTCTTTTAAGGCTTGCAAGTCTCTCTGTAAGAAACACAACGTTTAAAACGATTATTAATCTGTACAAACCCAAAGCACAAGAATTGTAAACAACAAAAATGGCCGCTATCCTATGATGTGCAGTGTTGCAGTGATTTTTAGTATTTTTACTACGAGATCGAACAGACCATTTTCTAATGTCGCACCCATTACGCGATTAATAAGGTTACATAAGGCTTTCTATAAAAGTTTTTATTGATATTAAACAAAAGTTAAATATCTAATTTTTATACTATTTTGTTTAATAACTTATCTTAATATATCTGAACACTTCATTATCATGAAAAAACGGGTACCAATATTTATACAGGGTGTTTCACATTCGTTATCCGTTAGAAGTTTCTGGGGAACGGAAAAAGATATCGATTTTAAATTTTAAAAGCGTTTATGATCCATTTGTCTATTTTTCTAAAATATTTTGAACAAAATGCCACTTCCTGTTTAACCGGAAGTGACATCAATTTTGTTATTTCAAATAGAACACCCCAAATATTTTTACGTTTTTAAATTCTTAGTAAGTAGTTTTAACAAATTACCTGAGAAATCCCAGGGCACATTAAGTTAAATTAAAAAGTTAAATTATTTTAAATGTAACACCCGATATATTTTTACATAATCCAATAGTAAATTAAAAAACTTTTTAAAATTAGCAAATACAACACTGCAACAATTTGTTTACTAAGTTAGTCAAAAAATTGTTTGTCACACCAACTAAAATTGTTTGTCAGACTAAGTAAGTTTTTTGTAAACAAAATTACTGATACACTGGCATTACTTTTAAATTTTAAAAATATTTGGCTTATCTATTTTTGTCACTGACTGCTATTTTTTATCAGTAATTTTGTTTACAAAAAACTTAGTTAGTCATCAAATTGTTTATAACGACCTGAAAAATTGACGACATTAAATTTTGAACAATGACAGATTATGTGGTAAACATAGGCACTGTCAACACACCCGTCACTGGTTTCTTGATACAAAATAATATTTAAAATTTTAGAAAATGTTTAATATCTCTAAAATTATTAACTTTGGGAATAGGGAATAGTTACATTGTTACATTTAAAATAAAGAAGTTAATAACCTTGCAAGTTGGTCTAATTTGCCTGGGGTTTCTCTGGTAATTTGATAAAAAATGTTTAAGAATTGACATGGAATGTTTTAAACAAAGTTTTAAGATTCCAAAAATTCCACTGCCATGGCGGAAAACTAATTACAAAAAAGTTATAGGCTATTTATGATTGACGCGCATTTTAACCAAATAAAAATTAAAAACTCAAAAACTATTTACTTTAGGACATGGTATAGTAATTTTACTCAGAATTTTATACAGCATTTAAAAATTTCTTCCTATTTAAAAAAACAAAGATAGAATTAAATGGATTACACCCTTTTGAATTTTTCTGTCGATATCTTTTTTCATTCCCCAGAAACTTCTAATAAACCACAAATGTGAAACACCCCTTATTCAACTGGCAATATATAATTACAACTAACTAATTTTTTTTTTATTGTGGCAGTGTTGCCAAGCTCTGGGAAACATGGCCTTTTTGGGAGGCGGGGAAATGGGCGAAGTTTTAACTCTAATGCAACAATTAGAAACAATATTCTTGGGCAGTTATCTCAAGGGAGACGGTGCCGTTCCAAATATCACCCCCGAGGTCGCCACAATGCACGCCGCCGCCTTGAGCGCATGGACGCTGCTATTTACTTTGATGTCACCCGGCAACATCTCGCACATGATGAACAACTCCAAGACGCTGGCGTCTTTGGATAATTTGTCGGGTTTGTTGGAGTCTGCGCACTTGGAAGTGCGCATGGCGGCCGGCGAGGCACTGGCCGTCATCTTTGAATTGGGTAGATTGGAGGATGAAGAATTCGAGGACGATTTTGCCAATGATATTGCTGATACGTTGAAGAAGTTGGCCACTGATTCAAATAAATATAGGGCTAAGAAAGACAGGAAGCAGCAGAGGGCGAGTTTTAGGGATATTTTGCAATTTATAGAGGTAAGTTTTAATGCCATTCCAACAGTCTTTGACGTTTCTAACCTAAAATTTACGTTTTAGGAGAATAGCAGTTCGAATGTGACGATAAAGTTCGGCAAGGAAGAGGTGACGTTAGATTCGTGGGCTAAAAGGAAACAGTATGAGGAGCTGTGCAAAGTCTTGGGACCTGGAATTAATATTCATTTAACTGAAAACGATCTCCTTAGGGATATATTTGAAATAATCGGCGTGCCACCTGGCGACGACGGGCTCACTCACGCCCAACAACAACACGAAAGAAAGATTAAGGTTAGTTTTTATATTTTTATAGTTCTATGCCAAGGCCAACTTTAGTCATGATTTGTGCCAAATTATTTATGCATTCTTTTTGTGTTGCAGAAAATTCAAAATGCTGCCAACTTCAAAGCAAGAACAATAAATAGAGCTAAAAATAGGGACAAGCGATGCGACTTTTAAGTATGATTTTAGAATAAATTTAGAGAAATGTATTTATTTTATTTAGGTAAATTACATACTTTTTTAATTATGTGACATTTATATAGGCAATAGAATTCTTCATTTATTTTTGTTTTTAAATAATAAATAAAAATGGATAATCAATTTATGATTTTTATTTATTTTTCTACTCCCACCTTTAAACACCCATTATAGTACATTTTTCCATGACTTTTTAAATATACATTAACAAGTTGTGGCTTTATGGCGTTTTAGTTATGGGCTGAAGTTAGTTGACAGTTGTCAAATGTCATGCGATCCTTAAAATAAAGGGGATTCCACGTTACTCGGTAATTTTTGTCCCGCCCGTCACAATTAAACATTGTGAGTAAAAACCACAAGTTATTAAATTAATATTTTATAATATAATTTTTATAGTGCTTGTAAGCTTATTACAAGCATAATAAACAATATTTTGAAATAAATTTTATAACGTGTAGTTTTTACTCACAATTTTTAATTGTGACGAGCGGGACAAAAATCCCCGAGTATCGTGGAATGACCCTAAAGTGCATTTCTTGTAAAATAATAACAAATGTTAAAATTATTTTATCTGAATACAAAATTAAATGGTTTCTCAACGCCAATATTTGAAAAGTTTATATGAACATTGTACTGACCTTTTAATTTCGCCGGCAGTAAACTAGAATTAACTTAATTTCGGGTGGAGACCCCACCGTGAAGTGCCCTTAAAACATTTTCTTCAGTTTCACTGTGAAAAACTGTTGTTCGTCCATTTTCAAGTGATACATTCGATTTACACATAAAAATTTGACATTTTCACAACACATTGTGCAGATTCTCAAGTTGGTTACGCTATTGTTTTAAAGATGTCGCTCTATACAACCCACATAACACAAAAATATATTTAGTTATCATTTATATGCTTCTAAAATATTTTTTCAACATTTAGATGTCCCACTTTTTATATTTATACAACATTTTTAAATCATTTTTATAAATAAAAGTAGATAAACTAAAACAGTGGAAAACCATAGCTGTAGATCTATTTTGTTGCACGCTAAAAATACCAGAAAATTTAGTGCACGTCTTAATAAAAAGTATTAAAAAAAAATGTTTATTTTAAAAATAATCAATATAAAAAAGTGAAATACGTAAATAAAAAATTCCTTACATCAAATAACTTTTAATAAAGTTTTCAAAAAGTTTATAAATATTGTTAAATAATATTAACATAAAATTGCGAAATAAATGTTAAAAAATATTTACGTGATATTTATGAATGTTTCAGAAATATTTACGCGTACAAGTTATAGTAATATTTTTCCCTGTTTGTTTGTACATAATTTCATCAACCTTTTATTTATAAATATTGTCCCCAAACGGCCTGACAATATTTTTAAAACATTGTGTTATGTGGGAAATATTAAATTTAAATAATTTTTAGATAATAATAAGTATTTATCGTAAGTAATATCATAAGGGCATTTAATTTTTCCGAAAAGAATCGAAAAAACACGTTGCTAAGTAATATTTTAACAAAAAGCATGAGTGCTGGTGGCAACAAAAATCCGAGTCGAAGAGGAGGATTTTTGCACCTGCACGAATGCATTTTGTTAAAAAATATTACTTAGCATTGTGTTTTTTCGATTTTTTTCACAGGAAAAATTAGATGCCCGAATGGTATTTGACAAGACTATTTCATGAGTAACAGTTAACAATTAAAATATAAATTGCAATTTTTGGTGACAACAGCTGTCAAGTTTTGCCGCGGGTAAACTCGAATAAACTGCTGACAGGTGCTGTCACACAGTTTTTTCACCTAGAAACCATTTGTAATTCAAAATTGCGCGTTTGTGATTGGTGGAAATTAAGACGAGGGAAATAGTCATAGAAAAAGTATAGTACCTATGCAACTCGAGTTTATAAACTTTCACTCGGGCCTAATTTAAAATCGTGAATAAAATGGCGTTTATCAAACTGTTTTCAACCCCTTTGGAATAAAACACAATATTAACATAATTAATAATTTTAATAATAAATAATAATAATGGAATGAGATCAACTAAAATAATTTTGATTATTGGTTTTGCTTTTTTAAAGCATTACTCTGTTGTAACTCATTAGTAACATGTTCCCATGCATTTGTATTAGCCTGGTGAAAATTAATTTGTTTATTAACAAAATCCAACAAAATATTTTTAATGCACTGTTGTTTTTCTTGGTGCCACCTAGCCAAATCGCTTCTTAACGACTCGTTGGCGCATTCCAAATTATCTTGATTTGACTCGACCTTTTTCAACAGTTGCGGAATATAAGTCCCAAGTTTTTCCAATTTGTCATCACTACTTTGCTGCTTCCACAGTGAGAAGGAGGCCGAATTAGTGCTCGGATTTTGACTATTTGCCACTAACTAAAACAAAAACAAGTCAAGGTTAATAGTAGAAAAGGTTGTCCCATAACATACCTTGTCTTTTTCATCATGTCTTTTGTTTAGTTCCTCCATCGACATTTCATAGGCATACTGAAAAGCCTCCCTTTTCTTTAAAGTATCTTGTACAACATCAATGTAAGTTATAAAATCTTTGATAGGGTTGCCAACTGTAGCATTATAACTTTGTACTAAAGCACTTTGTGCTGAAGTGCTTCTTTCCAAGGCGTTTCCTATATTTTGCAGTATATCACTTAATTCCGGCTCACTGGTAGCCCAAGACGTGTAAATTGGATGGTAACTGTTTAACTCTGTAATAAATTCTGCTCTATCTTTGTTTATACGACTAGATATTTTTTCTATGGAGGCTAGTTTTTCCGATAGCGTGTTTAAATAGGTTTTTGTTTTGTCAAATTCCAAATGACGATTTTTAAAGTTTGAATGACTAGAATTTGCATGGGATATATTTGTTTTTATGTTATCACTTTTTGGACGATTTTTACGATGTACACTGAATTCCTACAGAACAATTATTAACAAGTATTGCACAAATAATATATTTTATTATTATAATTATATTATCTGTACCCCAGAACCAAACTGTATTAAGTCACACTTTAGGAATTGTTTAACTTTGGAACCAGTAGAGATATATCTCTACTATTATTAGTATTATAATACCTAATTTTTTCAACATACATAAAATATCATTTGTTTTTCTTGAAAGTAAAATGGTGCGTTTGATATTGTTTCTTTTAGAAATAAAAAATAAAATGAAGTTAATACTATTTGGCTTAAATATAGCAAACATTTATTTGACTTGATACTTGACATAAAATAATAGAACCACCATAGAATTAAAAAATAGCAATTGCTCATTGCAATAACAGTGTGTCAACTTAATATCATTTTTACACTGCTATACAAGGTGTGCCTAAACTTAGTTGCATAAATTTAGGAGCAGATTAGGCAAGTCAAAATAAGACAAAAATCTAAATAAATATTTTTCGTAATTACTTATGTTTCCAAGATACAGGGTGATAAAGTGTTACTTATCATATGAGTTTTTTTATATAACTTCCACTATGGTAGTCTTGGAATGGTGATATTTACTACCAAAACACATATTCACACATAATTACAATTGTTTGAGTGAACACAGTGTCGTAGAAACGGGGGTTGCTTTAAGCTTATTGTCCCATACAAACTTTGAAGTTAGGTTTTTATAACATTTGATGCAATTTTTCGATGACTCAGTTCGGCTACTATTAAAAAGGTATACCTCTCAAACTTCGATAAAATAAACCGTTTCCGAGATATTCGAGATTACAATAATTGTTAAATCGCATTAAAAGGTACATGATAACAAATTTTATTTTTTAATTGAAAAAACTAAGAAGGGCATTCTATGAGCCTCGGGATTTTTTGCCCTGACCGTCACATTAAAAAAAATTGTAGTTTTTTCAATTAAAAAAATTGTTATCATATACCTTTAAGTCCTTTAATGCGATATAAGAATTATTGTAATCTCGAATATCTCGGAAACGGTTTATTATATCGAAGTTTGAGAGGTACACCTTTTTAATAGTAGCCGAACTGAGTAATCCAAAAATTGCATCAAAACCTAACCTCAAAGTTTATATGGGACAAAAAGCTTAAGCAACCCCTGTTTCTACGACACTGCCCTCACTCGAAAAAATGTAATCATGTGTGAATATGTGTTTTGGTAGTAAGTGACTGTTCGCAAAATATCACATTTCCAAGTCTACCATAGTAGAAGTTATATTAAAAAAACTGATATGATAGTAACACTTTATCACCCTGTATCTTTTAAACATACGCAATTAGGAAAAATATTTATTTAGATTTTGACTTGCTTAATCTGCTTCTAAATTGATGCCACTAAGTTTAGGGACACCTTGTATATTAAAAACTAAATAAGCCAGGCCCTGTGTTTACCATTAAGAAGAGCGGAAAATTGTAGAGGAAAAACATGTAAAATATAGCTTTTAAAAAAGTGAACCTAATACAGTTTGGCTCTGGAGTACAGATGGGCATTTTATTAATTTTTAAATTTTAGCCTGTTTTAGCCTTTTTGGAAAAAAATATTTTGTTGGCTGTTTTTGAAAACCATACTTATAATTTTTAGCCTATTTGAACAATGAAACATTTTTTTCCTTCTGTCCCTTTTTAAATTATAGGGCAAATTGTATTTTTTTTGAGATATTTAAAACCACAATCCACACAAGGTCTGTTTGATCTCATACTAAAAATACTAAAAATCAATGCAACACTGCACATCATTTAATGGCGGCCATTTTTGTTGTTTACAATTCTTGTGCTTTGGGTTTGTACAGATTAATAATCGTTTGTACAGATTAATAATCGTTTTAAACGTTGTGTTTCTAATAGAGGCACTTGTAAGCCTCAAATTAAGTCTTAAAGTGGTAAGAACAATCATTTTACTCCTCTTTTGTAAAAAATAAACCTTATTCTATCAAGGCTGTCATCAAAATGTCAAATGTCAATTTTAAGGTTATTTTATAACCCACAAATTAACCTTCAAATTAACATTTGACAGCCCTGATAGAATAAGGTTTATTTTTTAGAAAAGAGGAGTAAAATGACTGTTCTTACCACTTGGAGGTCTCTTTTAAGGCTTGCAAGTCTCTCTGTAAGAAACACAACGTTTAAAACGATTATTAATCTGTACAAACCCAAAGAACAAGAATTGTAAACAACAAAAATGGCCGCCATTAAATGATGTGCAGTATTGCAGTGATTTTTAGTATTTTTAGTACAAGATCAAACAGTTGTGTGGATTGTGTTTAAAACCTTTTTTAGACTGTTTAAATTTACTATTTTAATTTAAAAAAAAACTGATATTTAAAACCTAGGAGACTGTTTAAAATTACTTTCAATTTTACAAAACTGATATTTTGTTAATTTTTATTTTATAATAATATTTTTTCAAACTTACCGATGGTTGCGCTGTTATAAAAACTTTAAAGTGTTCATTACAACTCAGTATTGGGTGTTGCGCTATTCTACGTATAAATACATTTAAGGCTTTCATCCTTAGTATAATAAATTCTTTGGAATATCTATCTAACTGTCCCATAAGTGAATGCTTTCCTGGGAGTGGCTAAAAGAACAGGAAAAAAAGTAGAGATCGACCGATATAGAAATTTTAGCCGATACCGATAATCGGCCGATACCGGTATTTCAAAAGCATTGTTAAGCTTGGAAAATCCTCCATATTGCTAAATACGAGTTTATAGTATTTAAAGTAAACTAAGCGGCGGAATAATTATTTTTGTAACAAAGTGCCGAAAACAAGCCCTTTATGAAAATATTTAAAAAAAAATACAGAAAAACAAATGTGCAATTTTGTTTTATTGGGTGGCAAAGGAAAAACCTTCAACACGTCCAAATTGAAATACCATCTGTCGAAACACCACCCAGTGGAATATCGTCAGATAAGGGATTCAGGTAGGTATTTAACTTGTAACTTGTAAAAATATAATACAGTCGTCATTCCCTTAATTTTCCCTCTAAATCGAATTATTCGTAGGTAATATCATAAGGGCATCTATTTTTTACTAAAAAAATCGAAAAAACACGTTGCTAAGTAATATTTTAACAAAAAGCATGAGTGCTAGTGGCAACAAAAATCCGAGTCGAAGAGGAGGATTTTTGCACCTGCACGAATGCATTTTGTTAAAAAATATTACTTAGCATTGTGTTTTTTCGATTTTATTCACAGGAAAAATTAGATGCCCGAATGGTATTTGACAAGACTATTTCATGAGTAACAGTTAACAATTAAAATATAAATTGCAATTTTTGGTGACAACAGCTGTCAAGTTTTGCCGCGGGTAAACTCGAAAAAACTGCTGATAGGTGCTGTCACACAGTTTTTTCACCTAGAAACCATTTGTAATTCAAAATTGCGCGTTTGTGATTGGTGGAAATTAAGACGAGGGAAATAGTCATTACAATAGCATTATTATAATAGATTAAAACATATGTCTATCGAATTAGTTTACTCAAACTATGTTTAACTTGAATGCATTTATGAATATCTGCCACTAAATATACACATAAATCACTTTCCATTATTATATTTGGATTTTAAGAACAGTCAATTTTAAGAAAAAAGTTCCTATAAACTTGGGACCGCAAACATTCGTCGGAACTGTTTCCAGCGATTGTGTCAACACAGTGTTAAAGAAATAAATTTAATTCATGTTGCATTATAAAAAACTATAATATCACAATTTAATGTAAACATTTTGACATATTAACTTAAAAAAACTAAATTATCAATATTAACCAAATATTTAAATGATATGACCTTATAGTTGCAATATGTATTAAGTTTTATTTTATCTATTTTTAATTCATAAATAAAGAATAATTAGTGATGTTATTATGTTACCTACATTTTATTGCTAATAAATATTTATTTTTGATATAAGTGTGTTTTTTTATTTTATTTTTTTAAATTATTTCCATAAAAAAAAATGTTGGCTGATACCGATAATCGGCAAATCAGGCCGTTATAAATATCGGTATCGGTCGATCCCTAGAAAAGAGGTAAACTTAAGAATTCTTTATTGAAGTTAAAACAATTGTTACTGAAACTGCTTTTTTTAACAAAGGTCTGCAAGTGTAGAAAATATTTAGTATTAGTAAATATAAATGTCACCCATAGTTCTATAAAAAGAGAGGGGTTCCATATCCTATACTCTGATTTTTAAATGCATTTTTAAATTTTATATAATTTTATTAAAAATGTGACCTTTTGGTACCAATAATAATTTTACTATAGATACATCTTATATCCAAATTCCTTACTATTATGTAATCAAAATAAACAAAATAATTAATTTTATACAATTAAACACTGCCAAAATTATACAACCAGTTGGTTTATCAGTATTTATAAAACAAAGATGCAATGTTAATGTTATTTTTTAATCACATATATTATTTTTAATTGTCACATTATCTGGCCTTCAACTAAAACCATTAAACATGCAGACTAATTTAACATAATTATTTATTAAATTAAACATTTAACATTACCCATGTAATTGTGTACAGTTGTGTCAACGTTTTTAGAAATATCAATAATAAAAAACACTAATTTAGTTTAGTTTTTAATTTATACTCACAGGGATAATGCAAAATGGATGACATTCTAATAAACGCTGCCGAAGCCATATAAAATCATTGTATCTTCTACGTACAATGTACTCATTATCAATAAATTCGATTCTTGCCACCCTGGTCGTTATTCTAAACGTGATATACGTTTCCAATGTATCCAAATGTTTCTGTGGATTATCTATTTTAACACACAAATCCGAATTTTCATCCATATTTAGTTCAGACAGGTTTTCGATGTCTTGAATTGTTGAAAAACTTTCCAGGCTTGGAGATTGCACCTTAAAACAAATATAATACGTTTGTTTGCTTTTCAAATAATACATTTACTTTTTTAGTGATAAATACCAAGATACATACACCTTAATGATAAATACTTACAAAAGAATTATCACAAGAACCGCTACAAATACTCGATTTGTCATACTCCTTATCTTTTAATAAAGAAGATATGTCTTTATTTTCTGTCACCACATCTAATACAGCTGAAGTATTTGCCATTTTTTTGCCAAATTTGACGCGATTTTAGGTTATTTTATTTTAAATAGGACAAAACAGGGCGGCACGCGATGTTGACAAATTTCCCCTGATATCACTAAACAATCATATTTATTAGCCTAATATAACCTTTAAATAGTGTTAATTTAAATAAAATTAAACTATTTTATAATATTCATTATTGTTTACATTGTATAATACAATATTAAGCCTAAAAAAGCTCGTTTTATTGTGGTACTTTTAAACTCCAATTCGACAACACCGCAGAGTGTCATAATCGCATTGCGCCAACTTGACGCGCATTCTCATAGATGTCGCTTTAAATTTAAAAATAAATTTATTGATCTAAAATTATCCCAAGAATGTAAACATGTTAAAATTAAATCTGATATTATTGTTAAAAATTATATCATTTTCATATGGTTTAAAGGAAGAAAATGTACTGCAAACGGAAGTTTTTCAAGTTACCATAAATCCTTCAATGTTTAATTGGACTTACTCTAATGAACAATATACTTACGAGATCACATTAGCAGGCGCCCCAGATCTACCTTCGTGGTTAAAATATGTTTACAGTAACAAACATCATTCAGTTTTTGTCTATGGTGTGGCTCCAATTGGTAAAAAATCAGTTTCACTGGACGTTGTAGCTCTAAATAGAAAGACTTATGAGACTAGAGTTGAACAAATTAAAATTAATATAGCGGAAAAACTTAATCCAGCGTTGTATGAGGTTTATTTAAAGATTAACAATATTAATGTTGAGGATATGTTTGATGTTGAACGTATGGAGGCTCTAAAAGATATTTTTCGTAAGGAACTGTGGAAAGACAGTGGCACCGATTTGTATGTTACATATTTAAACTCTGCACTTGATATTGGGGCTAGAAAACCGCCAAATCCAACTGAGGAAGAAGGGTACATTTTTTTTCCCTACTTATATTTTTTATTTTTTAAACAGCAAGTTTTCTGTTTAAAAATTTAATATATTAAATTCTTCTTTATTATAATATACTACCCAGCAAACCAGGCTGTTCCATTTACATAACCATGATATAACTAACAAAGAACATTGCCATATAAAATTGTTTACATAATATTTACATATTAGTTATTTATTTTGTTACATAATTATGATAAAACATAGTAATATAACATTTATATAAATATGTTCCCCTCTTGTTATATTTACATCCTCCTTATGTATCAGCCATATAACAATGTTATATATCTACAATGGAACAATGATACATCATTGATATATGGCAATGTTTTATAGTATCCATTAGGGTGTTTCAAAAAAATCGACTTTTTCTTTTTCTTCAAATGGTCAGCAAATTCTTTCAGAGGATGTCAAAACAAAGACCTCGTTAAAATTTGAGCTTTTAATTTGAAGATTTAGAGGTCGCGGATCGCAATTTTCTATTTCCCATTTAAATAACATAGGAATTTTTTTTTTTAACTTTGGAATTTTATACCTCTATATCGAATCAACTTATGGCAAGGAACATCTTAGATTTTTATAGTAAATTTAACGCTCTATAAAAAATGTCTCTTATAATTTTTCTATAAATTGATTTCTTCCAGAGTTATTCGAGGCCAAAGTTTGATTTCCATCGAATTTTTTCGTTTTTTCAACTTTTAGCATCATGTAGTAAAAAAATCATATATTTATATCTAAAACATAGGAAGTGTTGTAAAAAAAACAAAAAAACAAAAAAACGTCACTTTTTTCCAAAGCCTACTACAAAGTTTTAATGAAAATATGAGATGTGTATAATATGCAGAGTAATTTATTTATAAATGCATTTTTCTCGAAAATGGTGCATCTGAGCAATTCAAATCAAGAGTACCTATTTTTCGTAAAAAACTATAAATTCTCATAATTTCATAAAAAAAATTAAATTATTAACCCAGAAAAAAGTTGGGGCTATTTTTGTAACTTTGCCCCCTCCAAATGTTACGCCTATGATTAAATTTTAACAGTTTTGATCATAGATTTAGATTCAGCTTGTCAAAATTACCAAAATACCAAAAATTCATTTGTTTATGTTCAACCCTCTAGGAATAGTTTTAAAAAAATTATCCTCTTAGGCTCCTATTTAGGGGGCCGTAGCTCCTTTAGGGAGCATTTTTTGATATATGTTTATTAAACAAAAAATGTGTTATTTTTATACGAATAATGCACTGTTTAAGTTTAGCCCCCTGATTTCGGGACACCCGTATAATGATAATTGTACCATAAATGTTAAAAAAACGCGAAAATTTGATGGAAATCAAACTTTGGCCTCGAATAACTCTGGAAGGAATCAATTTATAGAAAAATGATAGGAGACCTTTTTTGTAGAGCGTTAAATTTACTATGAAAATCTAAGATGATCCTTGAAATAAGTTGATTCGATTCAGACGTATAAAATTTCAAAGTAAAAAAAAAAATTTCCTATGTTATTTAAATGGGAAATAGAAAATTGCGATCCGCGACCTCTAAATCTTTAAATTAAAAGCTCAAATTTTGACGAGGTCTTTGTGTTGACATCCTCTGAAAGAATTTGCCGACCATTTGAAGAAAAAGAAAAAGTCGATTTTTTTGAAACACCCTAGTATCCATATAACCTTATTATATGGTATTTACATAGTTTTTCTTTATTTTGTTACATAATTATAATAAAAAATTTTAATATAATAGTTATATCAAAATGATCCATTCTTGTTATATTTACATCCCTATTATGTCATGGCTATATAACAATGTTTTATACCTACATTGTAACAATGATATATAAATGTTATATATTAATGTTTTATAGTATTTATATAGCCTTTTTATCTTACTAACGAACTCGTTTAAACGGTTGTGTCAAGTGCTCTCTATTGTGTTTTAAGTTAAGTTAAGTTTGATTCCATTTTTTTATAATAAAATGGAAGACAAAAATAGAAAAAAAAATATTTCTCTATCCCGGAGGCAAAAGCGGAGGAGAATTAATGCAGATCTCAAAATAATGGGCGTGGAGGTAAGAAATTGTATAGAAAATACCCAAGACAATGTGGAATATACTGAGGCTAAAACCGAAGTATATATATAATATTATCTTTCCCTAACCATCCAATAAATAAACATATAATAAAAATATTTTTACAGAAAATTTGGGAGAATATTCAGGAGGAAAAATTCCCATACTTTTGTGGAAGATTTGCAAGATTTGTGTAATAGATACTTACCTAGTCAACTTTTTATTAATGATCTGTTAAAAGTTTTGAGAAAACATTATTGCAAAAAGAAGTAGAGGCTGAATTTGTAAGTATATAAAGGGCGATTTTAAACCTGTTTAATAATGTTAATTTGTTTTTAAAACAGGGTGCTAAAAAACAAGCGACAAATTATAATTTAATGATATTTGGTAGCCAAAATAAGAGTTTAATTTCTATATTTTTTTTAACTTTATACTGTTTTTTCAACTGGTACTTAAAAGATACAATAATTTTGCTAAATAACCAAGATGGATACACTTTTTTATTATAATTGTTGTGACAATTAATTTTATGCAAATTCCATATTTTTCATTATTTTTATATCTCTTAAGGTTGCAGGGTGCATTTGACTTGAATAAATAAAATCAAACAAATTATTATTTGTACCAAATATCATTTACATAACTACATAAAGAATAGTTGTTCTTTGTTTTGAAAACAAATCAATAAACAAAAATAATATTAAATTGTATTTTTTTTCAGTTTCAGTATATAACAAAAATTGGAGGCGTCTCAGAGAAAGATGCCACAGTAAGAGTTATAAAGAAAATCTTCTCAAATAATTTGGCAAAAGATTGCTCTTGGCTGGGGCTAAGAAACAACAATAAAATTCAAAATTTAAAATCTGTTGAAATATTGAAGGGTAAAAATGTAAATTTTATGGGATTTTTTATTAAATAAAATTTTTTAAGCTGCTGTGTGCACTTCGACAGACAAAAATTTTGAAGGCATAGTTTCCGAATGGTTCCGGCAGGCCAAACAAAGATTTGGTATACCCTATAGGGAAGCAAAAAACCCATGAAAAGAAGGTATATTAATATTAAATTCATGGGATTGCTTTATCTTTTTTACCATATATTTTTTAGCTTTGAAGTATTAATGTATTTGGGATTTTTTTTTTGTTTGGAAAAACTTTTCGTTTGTTTTAAGAAGTTAGAAAGAAGAAATGATTTGTTTTTTTTTAATTAAAATAGTTTTTAATAAACATTTAAACCAATTTGTTTTTTTTTAATCTCTTAAGAGATTTAAGAGAGAAATTTCAGAATCATTTATTTTTGTAATGTTTACTTATTATTTATGTAATATTTATTTATAATTTATTTAATATATTATCTAACTGGCATTAACAATTTCTTAGTTCTAATTTGGTATTATGGCAATTTTAAAATTTTGTTGATTGATAGGGCTAAGCAATTTTTAATACCAGTAAGATAATATATTACATGAAATTATATTTATAAATATTTCATAAATAATATGTAAATATTGCATAAATTATATATAAATAAGTAAATGCAACATTTATGTAAATAGAATATAATTGTTTTATCACGTTTACATAACTATGATATGGCGCTGTAACATTACAGTTACATATCTATGATAAAACACTGTTACGTCACAGATACATACCCAGGAAGGGGTCTTGAGGCGGACATAGGAGCATCGCCATTACATATAGGTGACATAGCTGTTGCATAGTAAGGAACAATTTTTATGTAAATGTTATATCACTGTTACATAACTGATATGGCGCTGTAACATTACAGTTACATAACTATGATAAAACACTGTTACATCACAGTTACATACCCAGGAAGGCGTCTTGAGGCGGACATAGGAGCATTGCCATTACATATAGGTGACATAGCTGTTGCATAGTAAGGAACAATTTTTATGTAAATGTTATATCACTGTGACATGATTTGGTTTGCTGGGTATGTTTTAAAAAATAATATGGACCCCTGAAAATTAGTTATGGGTAATACCTATAGATGTCACCACGCTATTATATTATAAAAATAATTGCATATTAAAGAAAAAAATAATTAAATATTTTTTAGAGTCGTAATTCGTTTAGGTAGCCAGGAAGCTTTTTCACATGAAATGATTGGATTACAGGAAGAGGTCAGACCTCTTTGGAAAATGACGTTGTGTCCTTTTAAAAGGACTTCAGTGGAAAGATATTTTAGGACTGCTGGATTCGCTTTGGACTGGTGTTTGTTTAGATTGGTATGTGCCAGAAATAGGTTTTCAGACAACCTTGTTTACTAGGTACCTTGATGCCAAGGGACCTACAAGAAAATGTCTTCCCGTTTTTTTATTTATATTATAAGATTTTGTTTAATTACAGATAGGAGAAAATAATTCTGCCATTGGTGTAAATGAAAAATTATCATATCAAGAACCTAATGATGTTTTAATTGATACTATTTCAAAAGATGATATACCAAAACGAGATTACTTCAATGACTATCTATTGGCAACAATGGTGCCAATTGGAATTAACTTGATACTCGTTTGTTTGGTGTCTTTTATTATTTGCGCCAAACATGATTCATTGTAAGTATAAAATATGAGGTGGTTTTTTTTATTTGGACTTTGATAATGTCAAAATTTTGATTGGAAATTCTGGACAATGTTCAAACAAAAATGAACGATTTTTATTATTTATATCGTCATATTCCTGCCAAAAGTCACTAACTGACATTTTGTAAGAATGTTACTCTACAAATTTACCATATCTTTAATATTTAAAAGCCACTAGATGCCTAGAATATTAGAAATGGTCGTTTTTGCATGGTTAAAAATCACTACAGTGATTTTTAACCATATAACCACAATCCACATGTGTATACATGTGTGGATTCCCTGTTGTAAATGACATATAAAATCATATATGAAAAATCCCTGCTGGTTCCAATATGATACTATATGATTTTTGAAACAGACATTACATATAAGACCATATTCATATTCATTTCTACACAGGCATATAAAAAACTGACCATATACAATTTATTACCTATAAATTCATATTCATTCATATATGATTTAAGATGGATTTTCATATAAATTTCTGTCATATAAAACCATATAAACACATACAGTTCATAATACTGATTACATATTGAATCCATAGTGTCATATAACAAACTATAAAAACATATAGAAACACTGTACGGATTCTATATGTTTCTACTGGTCATTTTCAACAGGGTTGTGCGTATAGGTAACTATAAATATAGTTTATAAACTGATGTAATAGATACCTATATTTATTTTATCTTGAAGCTCAATAATAAAATAACATATGTTAGTGACTTCTTGCAGGGATATTATGTTTCTTAATATTGTTTATAAAATTTATAGAAAGGATGAAGAAAGTGAAAAGTTTTTTAATGAAATATTTCACATATGCACTGATTGTGTAGATGACTGTAAAAGGTAAAATAAACTAACAAAAAATTGTAAAGCTTGCTTTTTGACTTAATGTTACTAAAAAAGAGTGGTAATAGAATAAACTTTAGAGTTACCTATATAATATTTACAGTGCGCGTCAAAATTAACGCATAACAAGTAAAAAAAAATTAACTCTAAAACGCCATTACCAATCTTTATAAAATTTTGGACAAAAATACTTTAACTTATATCTCAGTTTACGTGTTCAAGGGTTTTTCGAGAAAATATCCTTAAATCCCTTTTGTTTAATAATAAAAAACGCTCAATAAGTCAATAAAAAATATGCTGTGAAAGACCGTATTTTTGTAAGAATACCCTCAAAATTTGTACAAATCAAACGAACAGTACTGTATTTTCGTTACGTAACGAAAATACAGCGCTTTAAAGTCGTCAAAAATGACCACTTTAATAAATAATAAAAACGGGATATTTTTTATTTAATTAAAAAAAATCCCCAAGTTATTTTTCGAACGGTTTTTTATTAATAAATAAAAGGGCTTTAAAAATATTTTCTAGAGAAACCTTTGAACACGTAAACTGAGATATAAGTTAAAGTATTTTTATGCAAAATTTCATAAAGATTGGTATAGGCGTTTTGGAGTTTTTTAACTTATTATGCGTTAGTTTTAACGCGCTATGTATGTATAATTAAATATTAACAAAATTTGACATCAATATTCCTTAATAACATATTAAAATGGCCTGACTCCATCTATCATACTTTCTAACTCCTTTAAACTAACCCCCGCGTTTTTCCATTCTGCAAACCACCTATATCAATGCATTTTTAGAGATGAGAGAGAGTTAACCCCGCCCCAAGAACCGGGGAAGTACGAAGGCATGAGTAATGAGCCTCTGTACGCGATCAACAGTGATATGAGTCTTTCCCCGGAGCCAATGCTGTTCAGTTTGACGAACAGTCCCACCTCTACATTGGGCCATGGGGTGCATTGCCGGCCAAGCCCACCTCCGTACGTCAGGCCGAAATTCAAGCCCGAATTGTGACAGTTGGAGAACGGGGGTGTCGAGGAGAAGACATGGTTTTGTTAAGATTTGAGTGTATCTTACATGGAATGTACCATAGATTAGAGAATCTGTAGATTATTTGGCACTTTTTGCTAATAATTTTAACATTTAGTTATTAAATAATGTTGCCATATATAATCCTAATAAATTTCTTTTATTGCATATGTATACTCCATTCATAGGCTGAAATAAATAGGAAATAATAAAAATAATATATAATAATAATAATAAAACAACTATAAACAGTCAACATTTTTTATTTATATATCTAAATCACATTATGGGAACTACTAAAATATAAAATACTGTCATTAAAAATATATATAAGTACTTTACTAGGGAGTTTTAAGGTATGTATACAGTCAGGTACTTAGACTAAATTTGTAGGAAAATGGAGCATGTCGTATGTAGAGATGTTAAAAACGTTTTTTTACTCTGATTTAAAAAAAAAACATGAAAAAAAACCTAAAAAAAGCGAAAATTCGACTTTCGCTACCTTTTGCGCGATGCCAAAATGGCGGATTTCCGGGAAAGCGACTCAACTCTACAGCTGATAAAAAAATTAGTTGTAAACGCAGAAGTTAACTTTTTTAATGTATAAAAATGCGTTAATATTAATATTTTTTCTCTCTCAAAAGGCAGCGAAAGTCGAATTTCCGTTGCGCTTGTCATGAAAACCACTGTACATATCTCGTGGCAAAACACGGCGATTTCTAAAGAAATCAGAAATCGCCGCTTTTCGCCACTTGATATGTAATGTACTATTTCGTTTTTTTAACTGCTACAATAATTCACAATAAATTCATTATATAGGTACCCAAGTATATTCTGTCAATAATTAACCCGTAACTACTATTGCTTATTTCAACTTACTATTGGGGTCAAAAGTAGGGTTGCCAGATTCTGTCAAAAAAATTTCTTTATAACGAACTATATATTATGACAAAATTTGGCGGTTAAAGCGAATTTACCCAAAAAAACCTAGCTATTTTTTAATTACATATGAGACATGCCTAAACAAATATTTGGAATTAAATTTTAAAAGAAACTATTCGAAGAAAACCAAAGGCAGCCCTGGATTAAGGGGGACCTTATTTTTAAAAATTCAGATCAATGACACACATTATACAGGTACTAAGTAATTTTTATCTCGGTCTGGATAAAATAAAAAAACAACTAAAATATTTGTTATCAAAAAATATCCCGAAATATAATTTGTTTTGTAGGCGTTAGACTGTAGAAGAAGTTTAGTAGTTTTGTATGAACAATTTGTCTAGTGACAGAAAATACCTTAGTGGATCTGATAAATGTAAGGTAAGAATCAGCTCAAAGCATTTCACACAATTTACTTGGTAATGGTAATATAAATAATTTTGGTAAAGTTAAAACTAAAAACTTTATTTTTACTTCATGTAAAATAGTTACCTCCCTGCTTAAAATACCCCATAGAGACCTATACAAAATAATCTATCGGGCGCTACCGGATTCAATATGTGCATTTGTCCGTGGTTTTTTCCGGATAGGGCCCGATAGAAAATGTATAGGAAACTACCTATAGGCACACCATAACTTTTACATTTTCCCTATTGAAACCGATAGCAAATAACTCAATAAAGAATATATAGGGATATCCCTATAGAGCAACCTTAAAACATTTGACAAAATTTTATTAAAACCTATGGGGTCCTATCGGTAAAATACTAATTTCTACATTTATGTGTATTTTCCCCATTGAAACCAATAGCAAATAAATCAAGGGTGGATATCCCTATAGAACAACCATAAAACCCAACTATGGGTCCTATACATACCGATACACCCTATAGAAACACCATACATTCCGATACAAAAATCTATCGGTTTGAACAGGGTCTCTATGGGGTATTTTAAGCAGGGCTACTTATTTAGGTAGGTACCAATTTTGGAAAAGGAAAAATAAATTAAATAAAATTACAATCATTTATTGTTTTCGATAACTTGTTACAACCAATATATTTTATTTATGTTTTTTAAAATTTAAAACAATTGTAACAAGTGTAAATAAATTTAAGCAATATTAATGTTCAGTTAATTTTTGAGCGCTCTGTATTGTTTGCTGTTTAAAAACAAAAGCCTGTAAACTTACTAAAGACTGATATTGGGTATTTTTCTTTTTACTAAATTTAAAATAAAGATCTATTATTATTATTAATATTACATTTTTCTTTCAATAAACAACTTTGAGTGCCCCCTAAATTTTTTAGCCATATGCCCCCTTTTGCCCCTAATACGAACCTGACCATAGGAAAAAAAGGTTAAGAAAACTTAACAAAGCTTATATAAAATATATGATTTTTTTAATAAAAGTGTTTTGATTTTCCATTATTAGGTTTACCAGATTTATGTAATTGAACTACATACTTATAAAGGGTTTTTCATTTAGAGCGTCAGAACTTTTAAATGAGATAAAAAAATAACTACATGTTATAATTCTTTAATCTTTATTTTATTTTGAAGAACAATCGATGACATTATGTTTTAAAAATAATATCGTTAAATGTCCCCCTCGACTTTGCCTGACTGAATGCATTCTGGAGGCCCAATTTTCTACTATTCTTTTACAAATATCGCGTGGTATATTTTGAATATTGCGTTTAATGTTTCGTTTAAGGTCGAGAATTGTTCGTGGCTTATTTTTGTTAACCTGAGATTTCACCCTTTGGGTGTGTTGTCGCATGATCTTGGAGGTCAGTTGCCATTAGCATTCTTCGAAATAACGCATCCAGGAAACTGTTGTAAGAAATTTATTGTCTTACGAGATGTGTGACATGTCGCTTCATCTTCTTTTATGTCAACATTTCTCAGTTTAGACCAAAGACCTTTGCATGTTCCTATACCGCTGACCATTAACAGTAACACGATTTTCTTCTTAGTCTTGAAAAAAATAAGGCTCAATCACTCCTTGTGCCCAAAAACCGAACCGAACCGTGATCTTCTCAGGAGAAAGGGGCAATTCGTGAATTAATTGTGGCTTTTTATTATCCCAAATCCTACAATTATGCTTGTTTACAAAACCATTAAGGCATAAATGGACTTCATCCTTTCTGCAAAAAGTGGATCGACTTTTAACTGCGGAAGAGCCCAGTTCACAAAATTTTGACTCAAATAGTGATCATTTGGCTTCAGTTCTTAAGTCGTTTAAACTTTATACGCTTTAAAATGAATATCTTTACGCGTAGTTGTCTGAGAAAGGCAAAGTTTTTAAAAAACGACGTGGAATAAAGAGGTTTGGATCATATCTTAATCTGGCTTACAGCAGCAATATTTACTTATGATCGGGAACCCCGATGATACACAAAAGTTGACTTATTTGCCAGTAAACCAGTTTTTTCTTAACTTATTAACTAAACGATAAATAGACCGTTTAGTTGGTCAAGTATTTGGACCATATATTTCGCGCAACTCGCAAAATTTTTGTCGAACCGATGGTAAATACGAATTATTTCTAAGCGCTGTTGAATTGTTATGTGTCCATATTAATTTGACACAATGTACTGAACACATGTGTTGTCAAGATTTGACACTTACATTCCAGAGCAGCCTTATTTTTAGGGTAAAAGTTATGACGCTTTAAATGGAAAACCCTTTATGTATGTATATGTCTTTCATATAAATTTTGATTTTTAGAAATATTTTTTATTATTATACTTCCACACTCTCTAAGTATTATGTTTTATAGCTGCATTGCTATTATTAGAAATTAAAACATACATGTTTTTATATAATGATGATTTTATTTACAGCAAAAATCGCTAAAAGAGGACCCTTTCGATATTCGCAATTTTTAGTCCGTTTAGTATAAGTTAATAGGTTAAAAAAACAAAATGTTAAAAAAATATTTGAAAGAAAAAGTATCAAAATAAACAATAATAATATAAATTTTATGTTTTAAAAGTACTCAAAAATTGTTAATAATTATTTTACTACAATACAAATAATAAAAAATAATTTTTAAAAAGAATTTATGAAAAATAAGAAAAGGTTTATCAAAAACTCTTATGCTCCATCTCCCATTTTCTTTACTCTAAGGTAATTTATAATATATTTATATACATATAGGTATTTATATTAAACAAATATTTTAATATTGTATATATTTATGACATCAAGACTGGTTTGGGGTATTCAGGGAAACAGTTTCAAAATGTATGTAGGAAAAATTGAGTTTCATGTTAGCTGCTCCTCTAACAAAATCTCCTCAGAAATTCAAAAAATCAATGCTTAGTAACAGGATCATAAACATTCTCCAAATTTTCCTCGCTCTCCAAGGCATTCTGCCTGGACAAATGTCCAGAACCTGCCGAACTTTTACTATGCACACTGTAATTACTATTCGAATGCCCAATCGAGCCCAAAAACGCCGAAATGGACGAATTTGTACAATCCGACATTGTGCGCGTGCGCCGAAACTCGCTCGGCGAAAATCGTAGGCCGTCGGCGCCGCCAAGACTCTCCTCAGCCTGCTCCGTTAAATTCATCTCGCTGCGAGTTTGTTGCCTTTGGACGTCGGGCGTTGGCGATGGAGATACGGCAACGCTGTTGGACTCGGATGTCTTGACATCGCTGCTTTGACCGGATTTGGAGGGCGATGAGACTTCGGATACCAACGGAGTGCTTTCGTTATCCGAGTTTTCGTTCAGTTCTGGACTGGAATGTAGCAATTTGTCTTTGAATTTGTTTAGTTTCTCGAAACCACTTTCTTTTTTCTTTAGGGTGTTGTCTATGGATTTTGAGCGATTTCTGTGCCTTTGTTTGGTGTCGTGTTTGATTAAATATAAACTGTTTGGACGTGGTTTTGTTTGCGATGCTGTGGTTTTGTATTCCTGTTTTTTACCTTCCACATTTTCGTACAATGCCAGCGAATTATTTGAAGATATACCGACTCTTGGAGTATTATCCGAATATTCTGCCTTTATGAAAACATGTCTCCCTTTTTTCGTAAAATCTTCTGATTTTAGACTAGATGGCCGTCTTTCTGCAACTATATTTTAAATTAGTACAATTTTTTGTTTAGCTTGTGCAAAAAATCGAGGATACATTTATTTATTTACATATTTTACACTGTGACATGGATGTAGATCTTGTTAATCTTATGAAAACTTACCTTAAATTTTTGTTGCATATTATTTACTTTACATACAAAATACTGAAAAATTAGTAGTGAGAAATTAAATTTAACAAAGACAGTTAATAAAAAAGAGATTAGACCGCAGACAAAGCAGAATATATTTTTGTTTCTATATGAACAATGTGTATAAATAACTATACTTTTTCTATGAATACCATAGGCAAATCAAAACAGTAAATCGCCACCCAAGAGGACTTTAACACGTGTTAGTTCTACTACTTACCGGGAGATGGCGGTTGCGAGCTCCAGCTGCACCTCGAGCTTAGGTCGCTGAGGCTTCCTGATTGGCCGCCGATCGAGTAGCCGACAGGTTGCCAGTGCATGTGCCCGATGGGCGAGGATTGCAATAAAACAAAATCGGTCTCACCTAGTGCGCATGCGCTGTTAGTGCGCGATCGCATCGCCCTCACCGGATCTAAACAGAAGCAGAGTAGAGGGGGTGTATTAAACAAAACGAAAGAGGGGTTATGTTGGTGATTGAGCAGAGTATACAGGGTGTTGGACATTGGAAGAAAATAACTCGGGGGTGATTCCAGAACATTATTTAAGATTTTTGGCAAATAGTAATTAGGTTTTTAAAATAGATTTATTTTTATTCTAATACTAGCGCCATACCACGCGATAATAGTAGTTATTAAGCATTTAACTTGAAATCTCTGTCGCCCAGTATGTCAGCATATTCCATATTTCATTAATATTGTTATGGAAGCAATTCAAATGGTTGACAAATTTTATGACAATTTGTCCAAAAATAAAAACTTCACTTTTTCTTTAATATACAGTGTGTCAACGGATGGACTATACAATTGAGGCGTTTCTCGGAAAAACATCATTAGTCCAATATCGTCGAAATTTAGATATTAGCACCAACTGTTTCCTAACCTCCATATATACGTATACAAATAAGTGTTTCTCTTAAAAATGTCATAGGTTCCATAATAATTAAATATGAAATTTAGCTTGTTCTTCAAAAACATCACAAGTCCACTCCGTTTTGTCTAAGAAAGTCACATGTGCATAACATGTGACGTTTTTGGACACTCTAGAAAAGCTAGCTAGGTAGAAGCTTCTACCTCTTTTACATGACCACAGCAATAGAAAATTTTATGATAACTTGATAAAAGACCAGAAGACCATAGCACCTGACAGTCCTGATAACACGGTCGACAACGATGATAACAGCAGTGGATGCGAAGACTGAGTGTGGCAGTAATTCAGTTTTTATTTATTTTGTTACTCAGAGTTAATATTTAGTTTGTAGTGTTTGTAGTAAGGAGAATTGTTCGTTTTTTTCTTCTAAAAACCTCACATGTTCATGTATTTTTTGTGTTCTTTTCATATTTGTCGAAAAAAAAAACATGAGGAATTCTAAACAAAGTATCTTACATTTTTTTACATGTAGTAAATAGGTCAATAAAGTACATTTTCCCAAATATGTTAATTTTGGACTAATGATGTTTTTCCGAGAAGCGCGTCAATTTTTCGAAGAAAAGTCACTCCTCATAATTTCTTCTGCTTGTTATATAAATACCATTCTCGATGAGAAACTTCTATTTTGTTATACAGGGTGCGCAAAAAATACAATTGTTGATTTTGCAAAATTTAAAATTGTTAAATATTTTTTTAAGGTCTAATATGAAGAGCTTGTAAGGAGAAATCAAAAAGCCAAATAAAGTTTTTTCATTTGAGTAAGACATTTGTTATTAAAAATAAAATCAATTCAGGTCCTAACTTAAGTGAATCAATTTCACTATAGGTAAATTTTTAACTTTTGAAATAATTTTTGGTCGTAGATTCCAAATCCATGCTCGGTTTAGCTGTATCAGGTCTAAAAAAAATTTTTCATATTGGAAATCCGATCTGGGGACACTGGTATATTATAATTTCTAAAATAATATAATTCACCTCTTGTGCCAACAGTTTTATGCTTTTTATTTGTTATTATATAATATCCTCAATTATACTCAATAAAAAAAACATACAATTATCTAAGAAAAACCCTTAGGGACACATGTATCTTTTGATCAATTAACTTCAAATTTTGCAAGAATTTGTTATTTTTTTAAATTTAGAACTGATGTGTGGGTCCCGCCAAATTTAATTAAAAAAAAATGTATACAGGGTGATTAAATTTACACAGGGCGTTTCCAATCCCAGGTAGCACACTGACTTCTGCTGACGTTTATATGACGTTGCTTACGTCATTTAAACGTCAGAAGACGTCATATAAACGTCAGTGTGCTACCTGGGATATCTTTGAATTTTGACCTGATACAGCTAAACCAAGGACGGATTTGTAATCGTAGCTACGACCAAAAATTAAGTTTACGTGTCCAAACGTTTATAAACGCTATAGCTATGATATTTTCACGTCCCTATAGTGTTATTTGTTAAAATTGTTAATCTTAAGGATTAAAAACTCATATGAAAAAAAAAACATTTGACTTTTTGAGTTATCCTTACCAGCTTTTTATATTAGCGCTTAAAAAAAATATTTAAAAATTTTTAATTTTAAAATCAGTATTTTTGCTCACCCTGTACAACAAAATGGATATTTATATAACAAGCAAAAGAAATTATGAAAAATGAATTTTCCTTGAAAAATGTAAAATAAATATTTTAACAAGTATGTATATTTAAGTCCATCCGTGGACACACTGTATATAAATATTTTTAAAACATTTAAAAAACCTTTTATTTATATTTATTTTTTAATAAAACTTTTTTTTGGGACAATTCATGTTTATATCGCCGTTGAAAATACGTAAAGCCTAGATAAAAGAGGACGTAAAGACATATCCATTAACTATGGGCACTGCCCACTGCCCATAATGGGCATATCTCGTTTTTGTTGATAAGCAAAATTGTGTTAACTACAATATAAAGTAATAAAGGTTATCATACTTTTGCCTGGAACTAAAAAAAAAATAGGTACGCCTTTGCGTATTTTCAACGGCGATATAACAGGAATACAAATATTTTTCAAACACGTGGCATTTTTTGAGATTACCTATAAGTATTTAAATTTTAACATAGATATCTTTATCGTGCATGTAATATTAAATAACCATTACTAGATGTGGCTTTTCCTAGCTTATAAGAAAAAAGCGTCGCCGCTCAAAAACTCCTTGTCAGAATTTTTTGGTATGGCCACAATTGTGGGTATGGCGTTAGCGTGCTATTACAGGGTGTTTTATGAAAATAAATGTAAAAAAACACCTTTATTTTGGGGCGTATGTGTAAATTAATTTGTTTCTTAAAATACATTCAGGAATTTCCTCCAAAATACGTTTGCATAAACAATTCAAAACATTTCAAATGAATTATGACTTGGAGTATCAAAATTTTCAACTTTCAATTGGTTGTCAAGTGGACTAGTCTATAGAACTTTTATAATAAAATACTGTTTTACAACAGTATTTATACTTTGAAAAAGTATTTCTTCAAATTCGATCTGATCTTTAATTTACAATAATTTTATATTTAAATTAAAAAATTAGGACAACCATTTTACTCCTTTTGTAAAAAATAAACCATATCAGGGCTGTCATGAAACTGTCAATTGTCAGTTTTAAGTTTAATTTACCATAACCCACAAAATAACCTTAAATTGCAATTTGACAGTTTGATGACAGCCCTGATAGAAAAAGGATTATTTTTTACAAAAGATAAAAATGGGTGTCCTTGGCACTTTAAGGCCATGTTGCGTGGATTGTGATTTTTTTAATATCTTGAGCATGAAGCCTACACAAGAAGTACGAAATCAATTTGGGGAATTGACATAACCTGCATACGTGTTCTTTTTTTCACCACTAGCGGCGATAATCATAGATAACAAATCACAGATTATAAAGATAATTTTCATGTTGTGCTGACGTCTGCTGTTTAGCTAGAAACTAAACAACAAACACACCAGCGCCCCCTTACGTTGGGAAACCATTTGTTCACATGGAGTTTGTACTCCTTGTGTAAGCTTCATGACCTTGGGAACGAAAATGTAACAATTATTTTTATTCTATTCAACAGAAATGTTTAAAATTGCTAAATACACATTAAAACCACACTTATTTATATTAATAATAAATTGTGCTTGAATAGCTAAAAGCAGTGCAAATATAGAGAAAACTACCCTTAAAATTATTTTTTTTATTATAAGGTTGGGATTTTGGGATGTAATTTTTATTTTATCTATGTATATTCTACAAATCATGCACAAAATAAACATATTAAACATGCACCAAAAAACAGGTATACACAGCTATTGAATTCACTAATACAAAAAAATAAAAACAATACAAAAACAAACGACAAACAAACATAGTAAACATATTATATGAAATAATACACATGCACTTTCTTTTGTAATACTTTTATTTTTTTGTTTAAATGGTAATTATCACAATAACACTATGGTGAAAATAAATAGGCTACAACTACTTTATGGCACTAAAATATCAAGAGTTTAGTAGCAAGGTTGTCTGAAATGAATTTTTTATAATGAATGCGTTAAAACAGATTCATGCTAAATAAAAGTGAATTCAATAACTGGTAACAAAAGTTTTAAAATACCTAATGTGATGTTTGGAGCAACACCTAATAATGCTAATAATGGTATTGCCATAATAATAATACTTTTAAATTAAGAGGACATTATACAGTACTATTTTTCACACCAAAAAGGTCCACTTTGAAATTTGAATGAGAAGCAAGAACTTATGATAAGGCATTGAAGTTTGGTATCTGTCAAAGTATAGTCAACGTTGACAGATACCTAACCTTATTGCCTTATCATCAAAAGGCTGCGTTTCTCATTTAAAGTGAGCCTTTTTTATGTGAAGAATAGCCCTTTGAAAACAGTAGAATGTCTGTTAAAAATGCTCTCACTTTGAGTAACCAAGAACATATTTACGTGAAAACATGCAGTGATGTATTTTTTCATGCATTTGGTTTCTCAAAGCATTAAAACAAAATAAATAACTAGATATATTGCCGGTGACATTTCAAAAACAAATGCCACCAAATTATTGCCGCCGTTGGTAATACTGACTATCATCTTATAGGATATGGTGGTAATATGGAACCCTTGTCAAAAATAGTATTGGCTTCAAGGGGTTGATGGTCGAAAACTTGTATTTAAGCTTTCTATATGGTACCATTACGATCGCAAAACAAATTTTTCTTACCCAATGAATTGCAATAATAAAACTTAAATACTTGACTCTAAATATGTATATCAAAGTGCGACAAATTTTAAACCAGGTTTTACTGATTTTAACTCAAAGTACCTATAACTATTTAATAATAAAACCCTCAAATTTTATTTATGGCCTTACGAAGTTTTTGAGTTTTGGGTAATTTATTGTAAATTGATTTACGTCATATTTTGCTTACAAGTTAAACAATTGTTTCTTTTGGCAAAGTAGTTTATGTTTCACATTCCGACTTGTGTAAAAAAGGTTTTTATCTCAAAATAATTTATATTTATGAATATTTATGGAATAAAACTTGGTTGTTAGGGTCAATGTTCTTATAAAATTGCCTTTTTTCTCTTTCTTTAGCCTATCTCAGGGAATAATTAGATTTTAAGCTAACATTTTTTTTTATGTTAATAATCAGGACTTTATAAAAAACTGTAAGGGGATGAACCTCCATAGATTTTCTTTGTAATGTCTCATTGGTTCAATAAATCTATTCATTCATTCATTCATATTTTAGAATTTTAGAAAATAAAGTATCCAATATTTTTGCTTTAAAATAGTGCTTGTTTGGGGTTACTATTCAAGTTTTACCCAAAAAAATATTACTATATGCTTTCATACAAAATTTTATTGACAAAAATCAGATATGTTATTTAACAAAACAAAAACTATATCTGATGTCAAATAGTTTATTTGCGGCGTAATTTATAATCGAGTTTCTCGATAAAAAGTTCAAATGTCGCACCCGATACATGGAAATTTTAGAAAATAAAGTATCCAATATTTTTGCATTTAAAATACGTGCTTGTTTGGGGTTACTATTCAACTTTTACCCAAAAAAATATTACCATATGCTGTCATCCAAAATTTTATTGACATTTTGTTTGAGTTAAATATATAATTTTGTATACTATTTTTGTTTATAAACGTATCTTGATATATCCGAACAAACACTTTATTATCATGAAAAAAACGCAGTGTCAGTGTCGCACCCGTTACAATGGAAATACCCCTCATTTTTTTAATTTAAGACCATATTTCGAACCCTAGGGGATAAATTAAATTTTTGTTTAAAAAAAGTGTAATGTTTTAAAAATTAAAATTGTTGTTTTCAAAAAATTAAAGTTTTTGAGTTCAATGTTGGAAATGTTGCCTTTTTTATAATTTTAAGTCGCCTATGTATTCCTTGTATTATTAAACGTCAAAATTTTTTTAATTAACCCTTTCACTACTGGTGTTAGGCTAATTTTATTATATTTTTTAAATTTTCCGAGTTCTAAAATTTTGTTGGCCTTTAGCTTATTAGTAAACTATTTGGCCATACCTAGTACCTACTAGAAATATAATTATAAATGTTTTTATTTAAATTACTAAACTAATGAAACAAAAAGTACTAATTTTGTATGAATTAAATATGTTGTAAAAATAAAGGACAACACAAATAAAATAAAATCTTAAAATGAGTGTATTAAAAATAGTAAAAAATCCCTATGACTAAAAAAAAATACCTAGTTGGCAACACTGTGCATTTTAAGTATAGGTATGGCCGGCTTACACTTCAAACCCCATTTCTGCCAAAAAAATTAAAGTGAGTTAGGACAAAGAAAAAGTATTTTTTTTTATGAAAACTAGATTTGATAGCATTAATTGTTTATAAAAACAAATTATTTTTAAAATAAATCCTTTTTACAAAGAATCAGAATAAAAAACAATTTAATCTGGTTTAAAATTTTGCGTTTTCGTTATAAATATTAAAATATGTATTAAAAGTCCATTTTACCACCTTTCTACCTAACATTCTTAATCGCGGAATGTCGCATTACTATTGCTAAGCTTCCATCCCTTTAGGAAGATCCACGTCGATATCGTTAAAATTGACCTTAACGACATCGTCGTAGCTGACTTTTTTGGAGGGCTTCTGCGCAATAGAATTGGCGTAATGCTGCGCAGACGTCGACGCGCATTGAGATTCACCTTGGTTCGAGTCTGGACTGGGCGGGATCACCGACGTTTGCGGCACCTCCGTTTCGATGGTGATCACGGTTTCTTCCTGTTCCTCGAGCACGTCTTCGCATGCCTCTTCGTTGAGCGTTTGCAGCGCGCCGCATATCATTTGTTCTTCCAGGGTCACCTGCGAAAAGGGTGACGTTATGTTTGTGTGCTTTACAGTGTCTACAATGTAGTACAAACATTGAAAATTTGCAAAAAAAACAATACTTTAGATTATAATTGTTTTTTTAAAAATTTTAAGATTTTTAATGTGTTAATGAAACATTGTTTGGTATGTTATACTTACTTGGTACTTTAGTAGCAAGCAAATAATGAAAAACGTTTTATTAAAAATATTATAAATTAATAAAAATGTGTCTCAAGTACCTGTTTTTCCATAACACTTTGTTTCCTTTCCCTTGGGGGGCCGTCAACTTGAGTTTTACTTTCTTTTTCTCCAGGTATTGTTAGTTTTGTAACACTAGCTACAAAAAAAAATAAAATATATTATCTTAAATTCTGGTCTTCAAACTGCCGCGCGAAAAATTAAAGCGAAAAGTAAGAAAATAAATAAATATGAAACGCTTTTAAACGCCGGTAAGTATCAGGAGAGCATGAAGTTGCAGAGGTAAGTAATTAACAAATAAATATTGAAGGTTTTAAACGGAAAAGAAAGCGAAGTCGAAGAGATTGTCATTTATTTTGCTGTATGTAATACTACCGCAGGATAAAATCGAAAAGGTTTAAACGCAGATGTTACGTCATTTAATAAAGTGAATGTGTGACATAACCTCTGCGACAGTGGCGGCTCGTGACCATTCATGAAGGTGAGGCCCATGAACCGCTATATGGCACCGCAGGCAATTTTCGCGTTTTTGGAGCACTTCAGAATCTAAATAATAAAAATATATTATTTAAAAATATGTTCTTTCACGAGAAGAATTTTCAAAATTTAGCTACAATAATATAAAAAGTGCGGGACGAGGTGGGATTTTTATTTATTCCTTCAGCAGTTTTCCACACCCAGGAGGTACTGCTCATTTTTACCTATCTTACAATAATTATTTTTAGATTAATAAAGGCACAACCGCACAACAACAAAATAATAATGTACAGCACAGTAGGTATATGAAACTCAACGATTTAACATTGAACTATAAAAAAACATGAATATTTTTATTTATATTTTTTGTGATTTTTACTTTGGTATTTGTGTGTTAATATAATAATATATTAAAATAAAAATGACCTTTTATAATTATTTGAATTATTTTTACATGAATTCACAACACAATAATGTATTTTACGCTTGCATTTTTATCACAACTTTCCATTTTAACGCTAAGGCAAAGACTAAACAGAAATAAGAAACTATAAACACGCATAGATCTAATAATTAAGCTTTGTTTACTAAAAAATTCCACGGCCGCCCAGTCTTGTACAACGGCTGATAAGCGAGCCGCACAGATCTCGGGTCTGACTCTGCTATCTTCCATATACTGTGGTACAAGCCCAACTTTGTGGGCCTCAATGTCTACAAACATTCGCGTATTATCCACGCCTTGCAGGGGTGCCGGCGGCACCGTGCAGAGGTGGGAAGCGATATGTTGTATCGGCAATGTGTGACGTATATGAAGCGCAAATTTATGGGATTACTATTTCCCTATTATGCGGTCGGGCAATGATTTAAGCGTTTAGAATTAAAATTTGGAAGGGGTGGGCGCTAAATTTAAAGGAAATATTTTAAACTTTAATGGTTATTCTATGTTTTGATACTTTTAATGACTGGAAATTAGTTTTAAAACGTTTTATATTTAAATAAGTAATGTATCGAAAATTTCAAATTATATTATAATTTTAACATCTGAGGCCCGGCCTCAGTTGCTTTATACGACGAGCCGCCACTGCTCTGCGAACTTTCCACAATGTTGGAAAGGTGCTAAATTCACTATCGTAGTAAATGTAATTTAGTAGATTGCCAATTTCATTCAATCTATACTACATTTACAACAAATTAATTGACTATTTCTTTACAACTAGTGATGCCGCCGATACGAGAGATTCTCGCCTCTCGTCTCGTCTCGTCTCGTCTCGACGAGACGAGAGGGCGATTTTCTCTCGAAAAAAGGCTCGAGACGAGACGAGAGAATGCCCTCTCTCGCTCGAGAATTTCTCGTTTCTCTCGATCTCTCTCGTTCTCTCGATTATAAAAAACAATTTTTTTTTACATAAAAATTATAATTTTACACATAAATGACGATATTTATTTGGACCAATGAGAACATTATTCGCATTTCATAATAAACAAAATATGTTCCTGGTTAACGTTGTATTATTTTATAACACAACTTAACGTTAACCAAGAAAAAATTACTTATAAAATAATAATAATTTTTAAAATTTACCCTGTATAAGCACATCTATGGCACTCCTTATACTATTACAAAAACCCGTAGGGTTAATAAGCATTTCTTATTCAATAAACTTATCAACAACATGTGGTTTTTGAGGGCCTGATTACAAATTTGATATCCATTTTTTTTTAATAAAATGGCTGATCCAATATGACGAAAATTCGTCGTTCGGCTTTAATGGTTTGGGTAAAATTTAGTATTCAGATATTTATGGGGTCCCTGATTCAGAATTTGATATCCATTAAATAAAACAAAATTGCGGATTCAAAATGACGGACATGCGCAGTATTTACAAGATGGTCGGATCTATGTGGAGTAGTTACATCATATATGCGCAGTTTTCAGATGGATGGATCAAATGATTTGATCCATTAAAAACTACTGCGCCGATAGGACGACATTTCGAACATTTGTTATAAATTGTTTTCAGAGCCGACTATTGTTGATTTAATGTTCATTTTTGTTTTTCAAACGTTTCAAATAATACATTTTACAGGGAAACCCATTTTTCTTAAATTTTGAATTACAGCGCCATCTGTTGATAAATTGAAAAAAGTTTAAAATAAAAGTTATTAATTTTTTTATGTACTACCAAAATCTGTAAAAAAATGGTTATCCCATTTGACTCTTCAAAGTTACCCCCAGTTTCACCCTTAAGGAGGGGTAGGGGGTGGCTAGCGGGTGGCTAGCGGTAGCATTAACCTTTTATTTAAAACATTTTTCCGTGAAATGAGTATTTCTCGAGATATTGAGCTGTCTCAAGTTAAAAGAAACACCTATTATAGGTGTATAATACTAGATGTAACTACTCCACATAGATCCAGATTTTCGGCGTAAAAAGTCTTACTTTATTAGTGTGGTCTTGGCCCACATTTTTTTTTATTTCCAGTTTAAATTTCTATATAATAGTATATTTTTCAGACTATACTTTTTCTACGTGAGGTTGGATCGGTCTAAAGTTTGTTAGATATTAAAAACAGAGATGTCGCCACGAGTGTTTATTCTGTCATCCGATGATAGAATATTTCATTCTGTAACACTTTACGGAATATATGTCATTCCATAGATAAAAGTGATATTAGAACGGTCAAATTCCGTAATAGGAGTAGAAAAAAAAATATAAACGAATTCGTATTTCATTCCAAATAATTTTTGTATTCATACTTAGGTACTTTTACCACGAGAGAAACGAGACGAGACGAGAGAAAGGCACTCTCGAGCGAGAAAAGAGTATTCTCGACGAGACGAGAGACCCATTTTCTCTCGCTGCACGAGACGAGACGAGAGAAGGACTATTCTCGTCTCGTCTCGTCTCGCGGCATCACTATTTACAACCTCCTTGAGATGAATATTAAATGAAAGGGCAAGTTAAAAACTTTATGGTATTTGTGTGTTAATATAATAATATATTAAAATAAAAATAATCTTTTATAATTATTTGAATTATTTTTACATGAATTCACAACACAATAATGTATTTTACGCTTGCATTTTTATCACAACTTTCCATTTTAACGCTAAGGCAAAGACTAAACAGAAATAAGAAACTATAAACACGCATAGATCTAATAATTAAGCTTTGTTTACTAAAAAATTCCACGGCCGCCCAGTCTTGTACAACGGCTGATAAGCGAGCCGCACAGATCTCGGGCCTGACTCTGCTGTCTTCCATATACTGTGGTACAAGCCCAACTTTGTGGGCCTCAATGTCTACAAACATTCGCGTATTATCCACGCCTTGCGGGGGTGCCGGCGGCACCGTGCAGCGGTGGGAAGCGATATGTTGTATCGGCAATGTGTGACGTAAGTATATGAAGCGCAAATTTATGGGATTACTATTTCCCTATTATGCGGTCGGGCAATGATTTAAGCGTTTAGAATTAAAGTTGGAAGAGGTGGGCGCTAAATTTAAAGGAAATATTTTAAACTTTAATGGTTATTCTATGTTTTGATACTTTTAATGACTGGAAATTAGTTTTAAAACGTTTTATATTTAAATAAGTAATGTATCGAAAATTTCAAATATTATAATTTTAACACGTGAGGCCCGGCCTCAGTTTCTTTATACGACGAGCCGCCACTGCTCTGCGAACTTTCCACAATGTTGGAAAGGTGCTAAATTATACATTCACTATCGTAGTAAATGTAATTTAGTAGATTGCCAATTTCATTCAATCTATACTACATTTACAACAAATTACTGTCTGTCCACTCGAAGTTGGCTGAACTAAGGAATTTTGTTGTTTAGATATTAAAGAATTGTCGTACTGTGTGCTTTTAAAACAGATTTTATATTATAAATAATACTAGTATATAATATGTACTAGTATTATTTATAATATAAAATCTGTTTTAAAAGCACACAGTACGACAATTCTTTAATATCTAAACTACAAAATTCCTTAGTTCCGCCAACTTAAAGTGGACAGACAGTAATTGACTATTTCTTTACAACTTCCTTGAGATGAATATTAAATAAAAGGGCAAGTTAAAAACTTTAAGGTGGGGAAAAATTTTCAAAATTTTAAAATTCTTAGAATTTTCAAAATTTCCTAAATTTCCAAAATTAGCAACTGTTTTATTTGGCCATAAAAAAATTATTTATTTTTTAAGCAAATTTATTGTCAAATTAAACCTTTGGTAACATTTCTAACAAAATGTATTTATTTTTAAACCGATAAACCATATTGAAAATAATAGAATTTATTTTGGAAAATTATTTTAAAATTTACAAAAATTAATTTTTTTCACAACTTATAAAACTTTTTATAAACAACTTTTGTTTTCGTCTTCTATGCCTTTTAAAATTACTTTGGTTATTATAATTAAAATATTGCGGCGCAGGATGGTACACCAGCGAGCACGTTTTCCAAAAGCGCATTTATTATGAACTTTTACTTAATTTAAAATACAAAAATAAAAAATATCTTCTTAACATTTTTGCTTCTCAAGTTTTAATGATTTATTATTTTCTGTTCAACAAGCGACTTGCAACCTATTGTTATTGAATTATTGTGTCTATCAAGTAAATATCTATTGACACCAAAACATGCACCATTGAATAATGATGTTGATAGATATTTTACCTAAGACATGTCTTAAAGTGCATTTTAATTCACTAAACAATAAAAACCAAATGGTTAAAAATTAAGGTAGTTGTCGTGCTATAAGCATACCATCAGAAAATTTTAAATTTTTGTATACTTATTAAGAACATGACAATACATATATCCTTAAAATTTGAAGTCGATTGACCGTCTATAACCCGAGATAAATTCAATTAAAAATTGGATAATTAACATGGATTGTATAGGCTTTCTGTAGTTCTGTACCAGTTTCTTAGTTATACAGAAAAAACTAACTGTCAGAAGCTTTCAAAAAACTAATAGTGTTTTAATGTATTTTTGCTGAGTTTAAAAAAAAATAATTAAAAATTTTTGACCGTCCAATTGTTTATAAATAACCGTTTAAAGTTCAACAATTTGTAAAAAGTATACATCACTAGTGTAGATAAAAACAACTTGGCAAGGCTGTACGCGAGTATAGATATTATTTCCGCAGTAAATTTAAACGGATTGATTCAGTCTCCAATATATCTATTGGTTGAGCATAAGCGACGTTGCCGGATTAAAACTTATGAAAATATTTGAAAGTATTACGTAAGGTAACGTCTCCAGGGTACAGTCTTGCGAACAAATTATGAATCACTTAGCTACAAGCTCGTATACTTTTACGGTGCGTATAATCTAAAATTTTTTGACAATATTGTACCACGACAACTACCTTAAAGAATGTTTTTTTCTGTAATTTTAGAAAAAATTTGCTTCATACAGTCGCGATTCACTTGTTTAACATAACAAATGATTTAAAACTTATTTTTCAAACAAATATATAAAAACCAATTTTTTAAGTACCTATATAATTTTTTTAGTTTAATCATTGCTGGATGAAATAAAAAAGGTGATAAAAAATGCGCTCTCGGAAAACGTGGGAGCGTGAGCTGCGCAATATTTTAATCATAATTACCAATTGGTACTTCAGAAGTAAATGGAAGCAAAAAAGAAACAGGTATGCACACAGTGTATTATTTAATATATAGCAAACTTTTAAATTTATTTAAAATCGGTTAGTAGGTACTTTTTTATCACTGATTACTGACAGTTCGGTTGTTATTGTGGTTTCTTTGGGTCTACATGAACAGTTTAGTGTACCTAAAAATAGCTGAGTATGCAAAACAAAAAACAATTATCAACAAAATAATCAATGATAACACAAATGGAAATTTTTAATGAATGTAGATTATTTCCCACTGTGCAAGCATATTTTGTGTCAGTTGTCGTAGGTCAGGAACAATCAGTGGCGGCCCAAAATTTCTACTTTACTGATTTTTTTATTAAAAATGCATCCCCTATATCATCCCCTTAAAGGATGACAACCTATTTGGTGACAGCCTGTATACATTGATGTATAAATGATCATTTGGATAACAAAAATAATATATTGTAGAACATCTTGATAAAAAATAAAGGATTTGGAGGAAATGTTGTTAATAAAAATTTACTTACTTTTGCGTTCGCGTGGATAAGCTTTTGTAGTTTCATCCTCTCTTAATACGCTGGTGACCTCATATTCTCTTAAAGATATTAACATTACTTTAAACATCTCCCAGTCCCCAAAACTCATGGTCAAAAGCTGAAAAACATCAAATTAACACACGCTAAAACAATTAATTTGATTATTTTTTCCATACCTTCTTTAATTCCTCCAAATCACAATGTAATAAAACTCTTCCATTTATATTATGTTGCCTAATAATCCCAACATACTGTTCTAGAGCACTCTTATCCAAATCTTGTATTTTCCCAATTAACTTACACACCCCATCAACACTCAAAGTGGACAATTTATTCTCCAATACTTCCGGCTGAAAAACATCGTTAATAACCTAAAGTATTCGCGACAAAACTTCTCTTACCTCCAAGGCGGTCACAGGAACAACACTCGCCATCGAGGGATGCCGATACGGGTGCATCGTTGCCAAGTCGGGCCACATCTGGCTCAAGTACGGCGCCACCGGCGGGTAAACGAGCGAAGCCGACTGAGCGCTCCCGCTCTTCTGCATCTGGTTGGCCGACTTCATGCGCCGGTTGACCAGCGACCTGGGCGAGGTCCACTCCATCGGTTGGGTGTGCGGCCAGGGCGGAGCCAAGGTGCCCGAGTGCGGCATCTGCGCATGCGTGTTGGGGTTTCCGAAGTGGAGGCCTTCGTCTTCGAGAGCTTGCGTTTCTTCTTTGATGAGTTTCTTGAGGTACGGGTCCAGGTTTATGGTGAACGGCAGGAAGATTTTCAGGTCGCTCACCAGCAAGCTGGAGCGGTGGAAGGTGAGGAATATGTCGAATTTTTTTTCGTCTCTGTCCAGCTCCATTAGGGGTTCAGTGTCTTTTATGCAAGGGATGTGGGGCCTTATTCTATTAAAATTTAAAAAAAGCAATTGAATATATATTACATTTTTTTTAAATTATCGTCGCCTACATGATATATTACACAGTATAACAAAATTTTATTTTTCCCTCCCATAAAAAATTTCTATACGCTAAAGAAGCATCGGGTTTTAGTAACGCGCACGCCATCTGCTGGAGTTCGATTGCATTGTTGACAATTCAAGAATTGTGCATTTATACAAACTGCACATCATTTTTATATAAGTAAGTACTTTTTTCACAAAAGAGAGGAAGGCAGAAGTCTTACTCGACAAATTTTGTTCAATTGCACAGCTAAATCGCTCACGTTATTAGTTTTTTGCGTTGCAAATAAAAACTGAAAAACTTTGGTTTAGTACTTGATTTTGATTTATTATTCCTTATATGATTGATTAAGAAACTCAACGCTTATATGCTTGTATAGTTACGTTAGTGTGTGTAATTTATCCAAGTGATTATGTAAATGATTGTGTTTTAAATTGTAAATAAAATTCAAAAACTAAATCTTTGCATTTTCAAGTTTTGCCAACGGATCTAATTCGGTACGTATATTTGTTGGTGCAGAAGAGTAATGATAACTTTACCTAAAATAATTTATATTTAGGTTTGTACATTTTTAAGAAATCTAACAAAAAATATGTATTGTACAAACAGAACCTTAAAATCGAACATTTTTATATTTGAGTCCTCTAAGAAAACGCCGACAACGGCATTTTAAACGACAAAATATAAAATAATAATATTAATAAATAAAAAAAAAATTCATGGCAACATAATATAATATATAATGAGTGGAGATTTTTTTAATCAACGCTTTAATAATGCATTATCATTTTTAGTGAATTGAAATGTTTAAAATTTTCACGTAAATCATTACTAAAATGTGTATTTATTGTATCTAATAGGTACAAGGAATGTATGCAATTTATTTATTCATTCGGATTACCACTGTTTATTGGGAAACCGGTAAAAACTCAACCTAGGATTTCCTTTTGAAAAACGCCCAACAACAAAACAAATCGTGCCACGGTTTTTTTCCCGATATTTTTAACACTTTCTGGCTTTATTCTCAAAAAACACTCATTTGTAACATACGCGTTTAACAGCTGCTTATTGAAAGCTGAGTTCTGGTTACGATGATAACGGCTACGTGGTGGCGCTACTAGCAATGCTTCTTTAGCGTATATATTTTGAAAATAGACTTAAAAAATGATACCCGTGTTTTTCCAGACCACATCATTTGTTTTGTTTTAAAAATTTCATGTCAATTCTTTAAAATTTTTCAACAAATTACCCAAGAAAATTCAGGGCAAATTAGGCTAACTTGAAACGTTAATATCTTTTTTATTTTAAATGTAACACTCTGTATGTTTTTACATAATCAAATAGAAAATTAAAAACATTACGATTGATGTAACTATTCCCTATACATAAATTTAATAATTTCAGAGATATTTAACAATTTCTAATATAGACCCAGAATAGTCAAGAAGATCAACGTCTAATGTAGAAGTAAGAATTAAAAAATGCTTGAATGTAAATGAACATTTAGTAATAAAGTAGTAATAAAAACTGTTTATTTTAAATATTTTTGGTTTATTAAATTGTTACAGTTACGCATTCTTTTTGTTATTAAAATATTTCATTAAATAAATTTTATAGGTATTGTATTGTCTTCAATGAGCTAGTGCTTCATCTAGTTGAAATATTACAACTATGTTGATTTTTTTTCAAAATTAACAAATACTGTTTGAATTACTTTTAAATTTTAAAAATGTTTGGCTTATCAATGTTTTTTATAATTTACTGACTGCTTTTTATCAGTAATTTTGTTTAAAAAACACTTAATTAGTCTTGTTGTAATTAAGTGTTTTGTAAACAAATTTTTTTATAACAACCTGAAAAATTGGCGCCATTAAATTTTGAACAATGACAGATTATGTGGTAACCAAAGATACCGTAAACTCACCCGTCACAGATTTCTTGATACAAAATAATATTTAAAATTTTAGAAATTGTTAAATATCTCTGAAATTATTAACTTTAGGTATAGGGAATAGTTACGTTAATCGAAAGGTTTTTTTTAATTTTCTATTTGATTATGAAAAAACATACCGGATGTTACTTTTAAAATAAAAAGTTACTAACATTTCAAGTTAGCCCAATTTGCCCTGGATTTTCTCGTGTGGGTAATTTGTTAAAAAATGTTAAAAAATTGACATGGAATCTTTTAAACAATGTTTTAAGATTCCAAAAAATTCCATCCCCATATCCGCAAACCTAATAGCAAAAAAGTTATAGGCTATTTTTGATTGACGCGCATTTGTCAAATTTTAACGAAAAACATTAATAACTCGAAAACTATTCACTTTAGGTATAGGACATGGCATAGTAATTTTACTGTTCTATTTAAAATAACAAAGTTTGTTCAAAATATTTTAGAAAAATAGTCTTAAATGGGTTATAAACGCTTTTAAAATTTTAATTCGATCTTTTTCCGTTCCCCAAAAACTTCCAATGGACCACGAATTTGAAACACCGTGTATATCAAGTGGTGTTTTGTAGGTTGTGATACCACTATAAATTCTAAAGCAATGTATAATCGTCAAACTAAAATACCAAGATTTGTTTTCAACATATATTGAATATAAGATAAATTCTGTTTTAAAAAATCAAAAATTAAAAACAGAAATTATATTTTTTAATTATTATTTTCTTTAAGTATACTTTTTGTATTATGTAAAAAACATACAATATTTGAAAAAAATTATTTATAACAGAATAGAGAATTCAAAATCTGTTTAGGTTAAAATAATAAAAATGGCTGTATGAAAAAATTTAAATGATGTGATTTCTTTTAAAGGTGATACCTACACGGGTACGATTTTTTAGCCTTTATTTTTAAAATCTGTTAACATTTTTCATGGGAGGTAAATTGTGTTAAACTGTGATATAGTTGCATATGTACCTGTAATAAACAATACTTACTTGTCATAAATAGATTTAAGTGAGGTATTATCTTCCAACTGATCTTCATACAGATCATAATGATAAATAATCCAAGATGTCCTAAAGGGCCATTGTTCTGTAATATTTATCCAAGAAGCCAATCGGTACCAGTTAAAATCAATTTGGAAAGCTTTAAGCAAACGTCCTATAGAACAAATAATGAGGGTAGTTATTTTATTGTGTTGGGTTTTAAACTTTAAGTACCTGTAACATAAACTACGTTCATCAAGCGACGCATCGACCTGGGATTCACATCGCTAAAGTAATCGTCCGTAAGCAACATTTTCGTTAAGTCTTGAGCCCCTCCGATTTTATTCATATTCGAGCCGATAGAGCTCGCTATAGATTCGGACATTTTTAATTTTCTCGATCCTTTTCTACCGGGAAGTTTTAAGTTTTCCCTGCTGGACATGAGCATGTTTTCATTTGATAGTCTGCGACAAGATGACTGAAAATTAATGTGTTATATAAGATTTGTATAATTTCACCATTAAAAACTATCTAGAATGTATAAATAGTATAGAATATTTATTCACCGATCTGCCTAAAAAGCTGTTAAGATTGTCTTCATCGGTCCACGCAGTCCCAGTATTTTTTCTGTGGCTTTGCGCAGTTTGCTGCGCGACTTTGACCTTGCGCAGTCCGGAGTTTTGTAGGTAAAACGGTAAATGCACCATGTTGTTTAAGTAACTGTGACCGCCTATATTATTCTCGCTAAATAGTCTTCTTGTATTCATTTCCACTGCCTAAATAAAAAAAATTACTGTTAAAATAATGCCTCTGATTTAAAGTTTAGGAAAATTAAGTAATAGGAAAAAATGTTAAACACATACATATACCTACATATAAATATCTATATTAGAGTGGTTCGTTTTAAAGGATCATATATTTTTAGTCACTACCCAAGAAAAAAATGTTGATGTACCTACATATTTCAAGAAAAAAATGCCCTTAATCTTACTCCTAGGTAAGATGCTCTTTTAAAGTACCTGCAACAATTTTACTACAATTCATATAAATAGACCTGTATACGTAACCTAAGTTATATTTTTAATAAAAATCAGTATTTTTGCATTTTACTGCAAAATTAATGGTTAAAGTTACAGGTAATAAGTTAATAACATTTTTATAGGAAGTTTAATTTCCTATGAAAAAAGGTACCTTGCAATAATGCAATAAAATGTATAGTTTAAAAGATGTAGAGAATTTAATAAGTTTTGGTGTCAAATATTGATAAACTAATTAACTAATAAATCCAATGTTGTTTTACGGCAAAACGGTTAAAGTTCCAAGTAAAGAGAAGTTTTTTAAAGAAAATTCCATTTTTTACAAAAAAGGTCTTATGCATTAATGAAATAAAATAAATAGTTTAAAAGATTTTCGGAAAAATTAAGCCAGCGAAAAAACCCGTTTTTTTCCGGAAAAAAATTGACTTGCATTTTTTTCATATTATTCAGAGCGTAATACAAAAAAAGTCAATTTTTCTGAAATTTCCAAATTTTTACGAATAACATCCGTACACTGATATTGAAAAAAAGTGAGTTTCTGACTCTGATTGAAATCATATAATATTATGATTATAATAATTATTAATTATTCCTATTCCAGTAAAAATATTATACCGGGCCGCAAAAAAAGACATGGTGCTGTTTTATCATAACTATTTTATTTGACACATCATTTAATCAAATTATAATTTTACTTTAGATGGATATTTTCAATGGACTAAATTTTATCTACTGCCACATTGACAAGCTATGACTTTATGGCGTTTTAGTAACGTGCTTTTGGTCATTATAGTCAAGGGCTGAAGTTAGGTTTATTATAAACTGCGAAAAAGTGAGGTTAAATTCGTCAGATGTCAAATATTTATGAATTAAAATTGGCTTTTAATTCTTATTTCTTTTCGTCCTAAATAAAGTTTAAATCGTTTTATAAACTTTTCTAGACAATAATTTTTATTAAACACTCGCTCGTGCTTAATAAAACTCATAACTAAAATGGCGTTTATTAGACTTGATACATAATATACTATTAATGAAAATATAGGTTGTCTAAAAATTGTTGCATGTATTTTTAAAGAGCATCTAATTAGTAAAAATCGCACCTATGTAAATCGCAAAATACCGCAAAGCATAGGAAATTAAAAAAATATCCCTAATTTCCTGTTATTTCAATGGGAAAACTTTAAAATCAAAATAAAAGTACTTAGGAGGTAGGGGCAATTTTTTCTTGATATCTACATCAATATTTTGATTGGGGAGTAACAAAAAATAATGTTCCTTTAAAACGAATAATCTATAAACATTTATATCTTGTTTTTTGTTTGGAACTTGACAGATACGTACAGTAAGTTTGGTAATTAACGTGCAAAAAACTGTCAAATTCAAATAAAAACAATACACCAACATAACATGACACATAGACTGACCTTCTCCCAGGCAACCTGATCGTGAAAAAAAGCAATTAATGATGTTGTGCCTTGCAATATGATAGCGTGAGTCAATTCGACGAACTTATCAAAGTACTGACCTTAGCTATTACGTGCGGATCTATTGCTAATATCACAATGAAGGGGGTGTTCGCGTCAGAGAACAGCATGTGAACGGTGTCCAGGATTAGTAGGACTTTTTCTTGTTCGCAACTGTCCAGGCCGTCCACGATTATGACCATGCGAGTTTGTTGTTGACTGAGCCGGTCCAAACATTTCACCATGTCCTTCATTAACGTTACCTATAAAAAACAATATATATTTTAGGGCAAGAATATGGCGTATCGAGATATAATTTATATCATCTATGGTATATTACCTCTTGTCGCAATGACTGTAAAAATCCTTCCGACTTGAGTGTCTCTAATTTTGATATAGTTTTTTGTAAGTGGCGACGTTGTGATAAAAATATCGTCCTCAATAATTTACTCCAAGTATACATATTAGCTATGGCAGTTACACCCAAAAGTAGAGCTGTACATATACATATTACTTGTAAAGTAAAATTATTCTTATCATTAGCACTAAAATAAACCATTTAGCATAAAATAAATACATTGTATATAATTCATCTTACCCAGCATTTATTTTTAATAAATACAACGTCAAGGCACAAACTCCCAGTAACAAACAGACAAAAGCCACCTCAAAAACTATCACATAAGGTAGACAACACACTTTCCTCCAAGTCCAAGATGACGATGATTTTTCCGGTTTTGGTTTAAACGCCCTGAATAATCTAGTCGCTACAGCACCATATTCGTTTTCTATTGCATCATACAGCGAACCGATCATTTGTACTATGGAATTTTCACCACCAGCTGTACTTGAAACTCTTGTTTGATCCGTAAAAAAGAACCTGAAGAAATGTTGCTTGTATTTTTAAAACCGTTTTACTTAGAAGTATAAAATTTTGTATAAATATCAAGAATATCCAGTGTTTTTTTATAACCTACTTAAAAAGCTCACGGGGTTTTTTTAAAGTGTTTTTTTGAATTTTTTTCTTCACTCTTTTTCTTAAACTTAAACTATTTATTTACATTTTATATTTTTGTATTTTGTAAAAGGTAAGACCGAAAGTGAAATTGTTAATTAACTGTGATAACTGAATTAAGCAACTGGTGTCTTAAAAATAGATTAATAATTAATGTCAAAAAAACTGTCTTGATCCAATCCAATTCCTATGGTAATCTTAAGAAAGAAATTCAAATCAATTATAAAGTTTTTAATTTCTCGAATTCGTCCAAATTTTCAGGAATGATAATAGATAAATCTTTTACACGGGATGAACATATAGGTTTTATGGCTATAAAACTAAAAAAATCCATCTATTAATTGAGGGGCCTAGAATTAAAAGGGTTTAAGTGCATTTTTGTTAGTTCTGAGATAAATGGCTTTAAAGTTAACTTGAATTTTTAAGTTTTGTTTAAATACAAAAAAGGTTTATAAAGAAAAAGGAATTTTTCAATTTCGCTTTTTTGTTAATTTTTTTTACAAAAATGTACTTGAATCGTCATGCATGTAAGACAAAATTTAGTGGTAAAATGATTTAAATGCAATTACTGTACTAGAACAAAACTTAATTTTTTAAAATTTGGGTAAGTTTTATAACAAAAAGTATTATTCATAATCAGAATCTAATACAACATTTTCTTCATCTGAATTAGCTAGTCTTGTTTGGGGTTGATCTAAATTGGATTTTTTTGGCTCAATGCTATGGTCCGTTTTAAAATACTTGTCAAGGCTTTAGCAGCATAGATAATAGCCTATGTTTAGCAGTAAAAGGTGCACTTAAATCGTTTTACCAAAGATATATTTTAAAATATTTTGACAGATTTTTAAAGAAGATAAGAAATGGCGCCAGGGAATGTAAAATGTACTTATATAATTTTACCACTAAGTTAGAATATTCTTTAGGTGTGATATTCTGCACTTAGACCATTTTTACTTCCAAGCCCCTCAAATATAAAGCATAAGGGACAAATTAAATATTTCATCTCTTCTTAATGTGTATTTTGCAAATATGAGTTTTAATATTTTATCCTGGGGTCTTGCTAGAAATAGTAATAGAATTTTAATCTTGCAAGAATATGCCATTAGGGTTATTTTTAATCGGAAAAAGTAGATTATTGTAGATGTTATTTTAAAAATTATGGAATTTTAACTTCTGTAAGTGACTATTTCGTTATTGTGTACCACACAAAGAAGTTTATATATTATATAAACTTCTTTGTGTGGTACACAATAACAAAATAGAACTAATGAATAAAAATAAGTGTCAATACACATCCAGATCTAAGGATAAAATCCCCATTGAAATGCATTGGCATGCAAAATATGAAAAGTCCCCTTACTTCGTGGGAATTCGCCTCTATAATAATTTGCCCAATGGTCCAAGAGAAAAACTCTAAATTTAAAAAAATTATGAAATCTTTTTTGCAGTCTGTGTGCTGTTATGTTACATAAAAGAATTTAAGGAAAATATTGTCTCTATTTTTTTAAAAGTAGAACCATGTAATGTTTATGTTTTAGTAGGTATACATTTAATTTATCTTTTTGACCTGTCATATTTACCACTTTTTGTTAAAATTCTGTGATTAATAATTATTATTATTAATGTAAAAAAGTTGGTAATTAAAAGCAGTAGGTACACTGGCTAAAATTTAAAATAACATCCGCATAAAGCGCTGGTCAAACTAAAACTGATTTAATATATAATTCATTAGACATTCCAATTTGGAATACAAAAAACGATCAAACAAAACTTAATTTTAAGTTCGGGGATTCCCCTGCCGATCTGTATTTTACCTATGCATTATTTAATTGACGAACGACCGCGAAAATATTATTTTCAAAAGAAGTCGTGATGAAGAAGGTAATATCCTCCTTTTTTATACAGATTTCACTGTGAAAATACTTGAATTTTTGAAAAAACAACACTTAAAATCGGTATAGAATTAAAAAATCCAATAAACCTACTTATAAAACCCAAATAGCCGAGTGGGTTGGGGTTTATATAAAATCCAACCCTTGAGAATATCCATTATAATAACATACTAAAATCATAAGTAAATATCTTTTTTCGTTTTTGAGAGTAATTTCAAAGTAATTATATGGCGCAGTCGGAAGAATATTAAAAAATGTTTACCTTATTGGATGTGCTGACATGCTATCTGGTGAAGCGCCTGGGGGATGGCAGAATAATATTTGCAGCAGTAATTTAATATTGCTAAGTTTTCTTGCAAGGTTTACGTTGAAATTATATGGCCAATCCCAATCGTACCTATAAAAAAACCCATAACAAATTTTTGCTTGTAAGATAAAACCCAATGTTGCTTACCTTTTGCTGGCAAACCAAGTAAGCGCCAAAAACATGTAGACTACAATTAAGGCAGTTACACCAACAGAAACGCCAATGACCCATGATTGAAATGAAAGACCGAAAATTGTACCTAAACTTAAAGTAATGTGTAAAAGTATTAAAAATAGGAGAGTTGTGAATTGGAAGACTGGATCCACCCATTCTTTGGCAAAATTTTTCATTTCCTCTGCAAAAAAAAACGCTTAATTATTATATATTGCTTCAAAAAAACCATTTTGTTACCTCTTAATTTGTTTAGCAAAAAAGACTTGCCACTGCCCCACTTGGCATATAACCCTACAGTAATAGGCATCGATAAGGATGGCTCACTTAAAATATCAGCCAAAGCGCTGCTATACAAATCATATCCCAACATATTCTCGTTATCCTCGTTTGTATTTAATCTCCTCGCGCCGAAAATCTGCCCCAAAATCGTTTTGGGGTGGTTGAAGTCGATGTTGTAAGCAGTCTCGCCGTTCCTGTTCGGCCTATACAGTAGTTGACTGTGTTTCGGGTTGCGTAATAGTATTTCGACTATGGCTTTCGAACGAGCACGCATCGCTATGTGCAAAGCTGTGTCGCCTTTTTTGTCTGCCGCGGAAACTTTTGCTTTTTTGTCTAGAAGAAGTTGGACTAATTCTGCGTTGCGCGATCGCACCGCTTTGAGTAGAGGAGTGTCGCCATCTTTGGTGGCGATTTCCAAGTCCGGGTTGCTCGCCATAAGCATTTTAACTATATTCACGTAACCCTTCTCTACGGCTATGTATATAGCAGTCTTTTTATCCTTCCCCGATACATCTACATCGGCATATTTTTTAAGTAAAGCTTCCACCACGCCTCGATGACCACCTTTAACAGCGTGTATTAAGTTTGTATCGCCAGCCCTGTCCTGTATGTTTATATAAGCACTGTGGGACATCAAAGCAGCCGCTATTTCGTAATACCCCTCTTTACAAGCAATAGTAAGAGGACTGCAACCATCCTTATCCAACGCGTTAACGTTCGGTTTGTGCTCCAAAAGCAAGTTGACCACATCCACGTGGTTCCCCTGCGTGGCCACCAGCAGAGCGGTCCACGAATACATCCCTGCGGTATCCACGTTGGCGCCGTGCTTCAACAGAATCTCCACGATATCGGCGTGGCCTTTGCGACACGCCCACACCAAAGCGGTGGTGCCGTACTTATCGCCTACGTTGACCTTGGCGCCGTGCATTATCAGGGCTTCGGTGATTTGAGTGTAGCCTCTACCGGCCGCCCACAGCAACGAGGAGATGTGGTAGTTGCCATGCGCGTTGACGTCGGCGTGGTTTTCCAGCAGAGCCTGCACCACTTCCGTTCTGCCTTTGTACGTTGCCCACATTAACGATGTCCATCCACCCTGAAATGAAACGTTAATAAAGAGTTTAAAAAAAGTTACTTAATTACCATTTCTCTGTGATCAATAGCGGCATTGGCGTCGAGAAGTTGCCTAACGATGTCCAAATGGCCTTCTTTGGATGCGCAAAGTAAAGCTGTCCACCCATCATTGTCTTCGATATTGGGATCTGCGCCGTGGGCTAGTAATTTGCTTACGAAGTTTGATCTGCCCTTGGTGGCGGCAAGGATAAGAGCCGTTCCTCCGTTCTAAAGGAAAACAATGTTATGGAGCTAGGCTTTACCATGTATTTTGGAAATATAGAAATGCTTAAAATTTATATAAATATTAAATATAATATAAAACAATAATGTTTAGAAACGTAAGACTTTGGGGCTTGAAATCGTCTAGTTCTAGTTAAAGGCTCACAAAGACTGAAGACTTTTGTGCTTGTATATTGAATACTTCACTTAGAAGTGTGAAATTTGGTACAAATAAAAAAATGTGAATTATAAAGGGGTGGAACAAAATAAACCAAAATTTTAGCTATTGTTTTATATGGTAATGTCTTTTTAATGCTCGACTTAGGAGGCAAGAAATAATGGCTACAAATCCGTCCTAGTGCCTCTGTGCGCATGCGCTAATCCGACATTTTTCCTTTAATTTGACATACCTATATCTAGGGCTGGATGCTCCCGTGTACGAGTTTTGGTTCGTCCCGCGCATGACGTCACTTGATGAGTAGTTTCCGTGCGAATACACGAATAACACAGTACGACAAAATTTGATTTTTGGTCCCTCCCATGAAAAATTTCTACAGATTCTAAAAATAGAGTTAAAAAAATGATACCCGTGTCTCGGCGTTTTTTCACATCACGTCATAATTTTTTTTTAAGGGCTATCCAATAAAATGTTATTCACACTATTCGCGACATAATTTAATAGACTCGATAACAGCTGGACTGCATAGTTAAAAATATATATATATTTACTAAATGGATAGGCAACCATTATAGATGCATTTTAAAATTATTTTAATCTTATACAGAGTTTTGCACATATATATATATATCAAACGGTTTATTTTTAAACCAAGTAACAACATGTTTCAATTTTAAGCCAATCAAAATGCTTTAAAGTCGGGTGATTACAATTTTTATTTATTCAATTTTTTGTAAAAATTGAGCTTTGTTGAATTAACATTTTAAAAAAAATTAAAAGATATTTAAATGAATTGATTTAAGTCTTAAAGCAAGTGTACCTAAAACATATTTAATTTAAGTAAAAAAAAATATTTAAGTATACGAAGTCAATTGAAACAGCAAAAAACAAAAAATTTACACATCTGCGGCATTTATACATAAAAAGCATTGTTTTCAAAACAATCTTTATACGAGGGTAATACTTTTTTTTTAATGTTAAATAAAAACATTATTGCAGCGATAAATCGATAAATTTTTCATATTAATTTTGATTGTTGAGTTAACCATCCATTTGAAATCAAAGTAAAAATGCAGTGTCCTAATCGAAATAATTTTTGTTATGTATGTGGTTTATTTGCACCTCCAAGCCATATGCGAAATATTACAAAAAGTGTAGTAACAGCTTTTGAAGACTATTTTTTGGTGACGTATATACCAAACTTATGGTATGTACCAGAGGTTTTATGCGATTATTTTTACCGTTGTTTGCATGGATTGCAAGATAAAACACACAGTATGAAATATGTTGCACCAACAATTTGGCTTCGACCCGTCGCGACGTACCGAACACGTATCTGACCAGTGTTATTTCTGCATGTCAAAATTAAAAAGTTTTGGATTTCGGTACAATTCTAGAGAGAAAATTGATTACGCCGATGTAGAATCCGTCATTCTCGCAAGAGTGCGATCTAAAGATTATCCAACTGCTCCTTCAGAAAACATATGTGAGGATAAAAGTAAAAGGCCTTTAACACCCAGTACAACCATTTTTTCCAAAATGGAATCTGAATTTATTCCCTGCAGTTCGGGTTATAAAGTACATTTTATAACACAGGACATGAAAGTACATATGTCACTGAAAATACATTTTCTCCATGCTAATTTGGACTATTTTCCACCAAATTTGGGCGATTTTAGTGACGAACATGGCGAACGTTTATACCAAGACATTTTAACAATTGAAAAACGCTTCAAGGTAAAAGACGTCAGGCATTTGCTGGGTGAATATTGCTGGTCAATTGTTCGAGATTCTGAAGCAACATACAGCCTGTTCAGAATAAAACCGAATATATCTATATATAAGGGGCGTGGCCTCGCCTCCCTCCAAGGCGCGTCACAGTTGCTTGTGTGATAAACGACATGACGAAAGGTCGAGCAGGTAAGGACTTAAAAAATTAAAAGATAATAATGCAAAAAATCTCATTAGCGATGCAGTCTATTTGCTTAGCTACTGTGTCGCGCGTTGGAGGGAGGCGAGGCCACGCTCCATATATATATATTATAGATATATTCGGTTTTAGTCTGAACGAGCTGTATAATCGTCAAACTAAACGACCAAGATTTTATTCCAACATGTATTGAATATAAGATAAATACAAAAATGTGTTTCATTAAAAAAAAATAAAAAAAAAATATTTAAAAAAAATCAAAATATAAACTTTTTTTATATTTGTTTTTTGTATTGTGTAAAAACATACAATATTTACAAAAAAATATATTTTTAACCGAGTAAAAAATGTACAATCTGTATAAGCATAAATAATAGGAATGACGGCTTAAAATTTTTTTATGACGTGATCTCGTGAAACTGTGAGACACGGGTACGTTTTTTTTACCTCTATTTTCAAAATCTGCTAAAATTTTTCATGGGAGGGAAATCGTGTTGTACTGTGTAATAGTAATATTATCAAAGAAAATAGAGAAATTTCTGGACATAGTGCGTTGTTATTAAACTTAATATTGAAGAAAGTGTTATAATATGGATAATAAATGCTTTCAGTCCTTGATAACATTTAGGGCTGTAGTTTAAGCGTTGGTGTTTTAAATTAAACTTATAGTCACTGTCCAGAAAATGTTTATAGGAAACAGAAGCGGTCTTAACGTAAATATTGTCTATTATTTTTGTGGCATTTAAACACTGTTTCCACAAATCAAACTTTTTCGGGAATCGATTAAATTTAATGTTTTTATTTAAAGGGTTTTTCTTGGACTGGTTGTCCGAATTGCATCCAAATATGCCACACCGCATTTTAATAAATGCAAATGGCACTATACAATCTAAAACACAAACAAAACAAGTTAACGCAACACAAAAACAATAATAAACAAACCTAACAGGTTAACCTAACGCAATAACAATAATTTGAACGCTGAAAAGTAATTCGAACCTTACCGCACACAAACGACAAGTTAAACAAAAAGTAGAGCAAGTTAACATCCAAAAGCATCGCAAAAACAAGAATTTTAGCAGCAGATAATTAAAAAGCACGTTAAAGATTTAAAAACACTCATCAAGTGACGTCATTAAGTCCCGCCCAACATGCGCACCATCCTATCTTAAGGTGTATGTATCTTGCTGTTACATCAACAGCAGGTGGATTAGTAGTTTAATCTCCAGGTTCTAGTACTTCATAATTTTGCCATTTTCTAAAGCCCGTATTACAGCCTGCAATAAGGGCATGTTTATTGCCATTCAAAATACCGTTCCTGCTCGATTTTTATTGCCAATTGCATGCCGATCTAGGAGAAAATTTGGTAACTTTTTTTTTATACCAATCCACACTTTAAATTCCCTAGAAAAGAGCTCCCAGCGAATTTTTAAGTGCTATTTTTAGGTATTTGGGACAAATCTTAGTAAAATTTAAGGACATTTCAGCCAAAGTTAAAAACTTGGAAACGTTTTATTGGATAAAAATAAATTATTCATTGGATAACAAAAACAAAACTTTTTATCATTAGGAACACATACTAAAATATTCAATCCTCTAAAAGAAAACTAAAATATTTGCATGTTTTATAGGGTAGTTTTGTATTTAATACTTCGTTTTTTTCTTTTTTTAAAGTTTTAATTCTATCACAGAGCTGATCCTTTTCTTTAGTGCTTAGTTCTACTGCAGTAAAGGCACTCTGTAGGTCCGATTTATTAATTGTGTTCTTTCAAAAGTTTTCAGATATTCACATTTCCCTTTAAAATTAGCTGGTCCAAATCGTTAATTTTGTTTTGATAGGAGTCAATTTGATCATGCAATTCGCTAATTTTGTTCACACACCATAGAGTAGGCAACCTAGATCACAAACTGATGTTTTTGTTTTTTTTTAGGACATTCAGGACAAGAGCAATTTTATTGGACATTAAGGACAGAATGCTGAATTTTAGGACTTTGAGACCCTTCTAGAGATGCTGGTTTGTTATTAGAAGTCCTATGTGAGTTGTTTCTTCATATTGTAAATTCTATTACATAATATATATTATAATGTGGCAAGAGGAAGTTTTAATTTTAATTCTTCTCTATAAAATTTTATATTTTCTTCGTTAGGTATCATGCAAGTTGAAATAAGAATTGCAAAGAGTATAACAGTCCGCAATACTGTCATATGGATCCATGGATCCATTGCATACTCGATTATGTTCCTGTTACTTTTTTTTAGCTGTGTAGGATGTGTAAAAACTGGTACTTACAAAAGTTTTAATTAAGGAAAAACGAATGCATCAAAGTTGGTATAAATATTAATATTAATGTCATTCTCAAAACACTTACATCATCTTTATCATCAATTTGCACTTGTTTATTATCAAGAAATGACTGCAATCCTTGTAAGTTGTCATCGTTTATGAATACTGCTAAACTTCTGTAGCACAACGACACCATGGACTCGGTGCGATGTAGCGTCTAAAAGAAAAGAAAAAAATTGTTAGACAATATGCTAAACACATAATGTTTATCAAAAAATCAAATATAAAACACCAAAAAACGATTAATAAATTAATCACACATCAAAATCTAGCCGGTTAGCGAAATTAGTAACGGCTGCGCAAAACGAGACTAACGTTGTGCGAATGTCTGCGCAGACCCAGTCCGAAGCTGAACCGCCGGTTTTGATCGCCATCTGGCGACGTGAGCGTAAAGGTGGGCAGGTGCAGATGCGTTAGCGAGCCTCGCCATGACGCCTCAGGTATGTGAAGGTTCAAGAACGAGGGTCTACGTCGGGACGCCGCCTCTTGCGGCGCCGCTATACTGTGACGCGGCGACCGGTTCGGAGAAGAGCCCTCCCTGTCGCCCATGATCGCATGTTATGCTTTTATCTCGCCGCTGTTGTTGAAGAGAATTTCTATAAGTAAAGTATACTTTGTGTGATGCGGTTAATCAATATTGTGTTGTGGGAAAAGAAGAGTTGCAAAATAGGAAGGGTATAATATTTAAAATAGTAAACCTGGCACTACTTATGTTCTGTGTGGTATACCAGACAGACTATGGTCTAAGGTTTGTTGGTGGATCTCACCGCTGTTGCAGTACAAAAGTGTTATAAATAACTTAATTAATTTTAGACTTGTTTATACAAAATGAAAGTGAGTGCATTAACCGAAGTACATTGTAAGGAATTCACATTTTTTTAATGCAAATAATTTAATTAAATTGATTGAAACTGTGGCAATCAAGATAAATATTGTTTATATTTTTTAGTATAAAAAACACGCATAGGTTCACAAACACAACTTGTTCACCACACTGAAAATACTGTACTGATGGAAGTTTCAATTCAATTCCATATCTCTGTTATTTCCTTTGCATTTCCTCTATACGAGAGGGAATCTATACTTAAATTTTAATATTTATTATTACTTGAATATATCATAATCCTTTCATAAACCAATACCGGATGTTCCCGCAAATGGTTTTAAAAAATTTAAAAATGCAATTAATTGAAAAAAATAATATCTAATCACATAATATTAATTAAATTAATTAAAATTTAGTATATTTTGCAGTCAATTGCATTTAAATCTGTATCAAAATTGCATTCTTTATTAATTTTATAGAATTATCTTTAAATTACATTTTTGTATACCAGATTTGCAATTTCTATATAGTACATACAATTCATTTTTTTTTATCTGGACTCGTGTTTTTTTGTTAGGTTGGTGGCTTATGCCAGTTTGACTAAGTATTTTTAGTATTTAAAAATGGTACTTCTGCTAAAGAATTTAATTAAATACTTTGACACTGTCAAATTGACAATAATATTTATTATTGATAATTTACTTGTCAAATATAAATACAAAGATAATTCTGCCAAAAATAATAGCACCGAATTCGAATGTAAAAGCCCTTTTAAGGGCAAAACTCCATTTTGATGAAATTATGCCAAATGCCACAATGGAAGAAAAAGTACATCGCCTTATGGACATTTTTGGAGTAAAAAAGTAACGAATTTGGTTTTATAAATATTACATCACACATTAGTTTCACATTATTCACCATTGGACAACATTTAATTTCCTTTATATAAATTCTTTTCAAAGCAAAGATTATTATCCGCTAGGAATACTTTCTCTTCTGGGCCGTAAAGCAACCTATATTTAACTACTTTGTTAATATGATTTTACTCATCCAAGCACCACCAAAGCCAAATTAATTGCATTTTTAACTACGAATTTCGACAACTCAACTTGACAACTGCACAATGTAACCTACAATAATTTATACATAACCACAATTAGATTTATAACTAGCTTAGTTTGTTTTAATCAATGCGACCAACTTAACAACTGTATTTACCAACCAAAACCCTAAATTTGCAACGTTGCCGCAGTCCAGATAAAAAAAATTAACTTTACATATACGAAAATAGTTAATTTAAAACAATAAATTATGTTCCAAAAATAAAATGTTAAAATTTGTTAATAATAACAGTTAAGATATTTAGACAAACTGTAAAAAATACATCTGTCAAACATGCCAATAAGACAGCTGGTACTATTGGAATTAATTCCATAACAACCGTTATAGATGTACATATAATATTTTAATTTATTACACACACAGTGTTGTCCAGTTTCTTAAACTTAAATGCTTAACAACTCAAAATACACATTTCATAAAAAATACCTAAATATTACGTACCACATGGAAATCAAAAATAAATAATATAATCATACGAAAATTTAATAATTATTTTAAACTTAAAATATTTTTTATAAAACTGACTTACGTATTCTCCATATCTACGTTTCTTAAACATATTTGTTAAAATTTGCACTTAGATTTTATTGCTGGTATTGTTTTTAAATTTGTTGGACATCATCACTTAGCTAAGGCAATTGAAAAACTGTGATTTAAACGTATTAAAATAATTACAGTTGAGATCAATTATTATCAATAAATTCAGGTATCCCCTTATCATTGCCATTATCCAAATTTGGTTTAATTCCCAACGATTTATTCAACTAAATAGGAACGATTTTTGACTAAGGACATATTCATTACTTGGTATTAAGTATTAGAAAATTTCCTTCATTATAAATGATAAATTAAATAAAAAATGTAGTAAAAATATGCCTATACAGGAAAATATATCTGTACCCCAGAGCCAAACTGTATTATGTCCACTTTTTTTTTAATTGACTTTTTCCAGTGTTTTTTCCCTACAATTTTTTGCTCCTTCCAATGGTAGGTAAACCATATTAAGTCCAGGCTTACTTAGTTTTTGATATATCAGTGTAAAAATGATATTGAATACACACCTCGCTTGATATAGCAGTGTAAAAATGATATTGAATACACACCTCGCATAAAGCCAAATTGTTTAATGAGCAATTGCTATTTTTTGTTTCTAAAACTTAAAGTTAGGTGGTATTAAGTCCCATAAATAATGTTTGGCTCGGCTAGATTGAACTGTATAATAATAGTCAGTACGTCGCTTGTGGGTCCTAATATTATATGTATTACATTTTTTTACAGCCATATAATTGTATCAAGTATCAAGGTAAAAACAAATGTTTGTTTTATTTAGGCCAAACAGTGTTTAGTCAAGCAAATTTTGATATTAAGTCACTTAAATATTAAGTCCATCATAAAAGTCATAGTATTAAGTACAATTATGTATGTTCAAAAAATTAGGTAATAATCCCTTCTGGTTCCCAAGTTGAACGCGTTTACAACCTTAATTTTGCTCTCCTGAACAATTTTAAAAGTGTGACTTAATACAGTTTGGTTCTAAGGTACAGATATAGATCCAGAAAAAAAATATTTTTAGGAAAGGCCAGCAGCATTACCAGATTTGCCCGCCATTAACAAAATATCAAAACATAGTTTTTTTTTAATTTTGCTGTACTTTCATAATAATTAAAAAACAACATTCGATAGATTTTAAACAAATAAGATGGCGACCTTTTAATATACTACCACACAGTATTTACAAGACAGTCTTCTATTTTTTTTAACATGAAAACATTGGCCACCGAAAAGTTGCGATCTAAAACCGCTTGACTTCTTTCTGTATTGTTTGTTAAAAGTAAGGTATTTGTCAACTAGTAGAATAATTCTTTAAATGTAAGAAACTTTTGGTTTCAACATGACGGCAATACTGTTATTTAAATATTTGTTGAATAGTTAAAAAGTGGGATACCACAGACCAAACTGGACTGACTTGGCCAAGTAGCATTTTTAGTGGTTAAAACATATTGGCCTCTTATACTTGGAACTGTAAAGTGTATTGTCAAAATCTCTGCCACGTGGTAGAAATGGTTCTATTACGTGGAAGTGACTCAAATGAGGAACACTTTTTTAGTGCCAGTTACGTTCCAACAACGTTTTCTGAATTGTATACAGACACGTTTATACCACGTTGTGATTACGTTACTATAACGTTGAGGTATAGTGGTCAAAACTTAAGCGAAACTTTACTACTCTTTCCAGCATAATATTTATCTCATTATCTTTGCTTTCTCTGACTGGACATTAAACTAACACTACATACTAAAATTATAATAATGTAAGAATACAACTTGCAAATAATAACTAGAATTAAAATATTCCCAAGAGATAAAATTAGCACGAATTAAATTTTACTGTCAATCATGGGTGTCATAGCTCGAAATAAAAATGCCCCGTTGAAATGTGATAATAAAAAATAATATTAAAATCTGTAAAAGGATCCGAAAATTATTTATCCTGAGGCCTCAAATAATGGTGCGGTACTAACCAAAATTATTTGTTTAAAACTACACATTTATTTTTCTACAATGGCGATTATTTGTAAACATGTCTGCTTTTGAAATACGAAATGTGAAAATCACTTAAGCATGTGTACCACTGCAATTATATAATCAAAAATATTTGAAATGGTCCTACATAAAAGGCTTCTAAACTTTCTGCAAGAAATTAAATTTTTAAGTTATCGTCAAAATGGGTTTCAACAAAAAAAGCACACAAACTGCAATCATAAATCTAACTGAGAATATTTATAAAAATTTAGAACACAAGAAAACTATACTAGATGTATTTCTTGATCTATGTAAAGCCTTTGATGTTGTTGACCCAGATATATTACATAAAAAACTTGGGACAATTGGAGTTACAAAGAGAGCCCTTAAAATATTTACCAACTACTTTCACAACCGGTTTCAGTACACAAGCATTGGTGACAAAAATAGTAAAATGGAAAAAATTCACTATGGAGTTCCACAAGGGTCAGTGCTAGGGCCACTACTTTTTCTAGTTTACATCAATGACATAACTGAATGTGATGTTAAAGGTGAAACAGTTTTATTTGCGGATGAAACCGGACTTTTCTATTCTGGAAGTGAACAGGAAGTGTTTGGATGGGCCCAAAGCGATCTAAATGCCATTAATGTGTGGACTAAGAAAAATAATATTTATCTTAATGAATC